TATTTGGGTTGTTTTTTTCTACATAGTATATTTTGCAACTCGACCAAATTTATTCTAAGATTGGGTTTTGATCTCTCTTTAGCTTTTCAATAAACATTAACGCGGTGTAATGTTTATTGAAAAAAAATATTCGACTCGATTGGGAAAGAGTATTGAAATCTTGGTTTCGATTTTTTAATCTTTAAAATCAATTGTATTTTTGTAATTTCTAAAAAAATAGATTGTATTTTCTGAAAAATTCATATAGTCGGCGTCCGGCGATTGTTGTACCCGGGTAGATTTACACGCATGCGCCTTGAAAAGGACTCGCCACGTGTGAACGCTGATTTTGCTGTTTTCACGTGAACGACTTATTTTTTCTTAATGAGTTTCGCATTTCCTCGAATTTCCAAGGTCATTCGATTAAAAAATTATCGAACCTGTCCATAAAATGCGAAATAACCGGTTAGTCCGTGCGAGACCATTTCGAAAGACGCATCCTCGAAAAAATCTACCCGCGTACAGCAGTCGCCGGATGCCGATTTTCAATTTTTAAATCAGATTAATTTTTTTAATTCGATTTCGATTAAAATTATTTTCGAATCCGTTTTGAATTAGTGTATTAGCATAAATTTTTATTAGATTTTAACTTAAACCTAATTTTTTTGGGAGCAGATGGAAATTCCATCATCTCAAATAAAAATACTGTTACTGATTTTCCAAAATTAAATATGCGATGCAAAAATGAGCGTCCGGATGATTTTAGTAAAAAAAATCGATAGCGGTAGAAACAAATAATCGTCCAAAATTTGTACTATTCGTAATTTTTGATTAAAAAAATCCGATCCTATGTGAAATTTTTTCTATTTTTAGGCAGGTTGTTCTCCAAAAACTAATAATCACGTGAATATTAGAAATATCAAAACCAACGTGACTTCGTTTTCATTCATTTCTAATTTTTTTCCATTTTCGCCAGCGTTTTGTGCGGTGCGTTATTTCGATGAAGAGCTCTGAAAACAACAACATTATTAAGAAGGTAATTACGAGATTTAAGCTTATTAATGAAAAAGAGGGTCACAATATTAAAAAAGCTTGATTTCATTTTCAAATTTCCTCAATTTTTCATTATTTTTGCTTATTATTTTGAAGAAAATAAGAATGGATTTATTTTCAGATCAATTTTGCTCCGACTTTTTCGATTGTGCTCTTCAATCGCCGATGTGTGGCTAATAATCGGTCGTGTAAGTTTTTTCTTCTTCTTTTATGATTTTTAAACAGTTTTTAACAAAGTTTGTTAAAATTAAGAAATATTTTAAAAGTTGCGATTTCGTTTGTCCCGACATCGAAGGTTCCGAACCGCTGTGAGCGTGTCTCGAGAACATTCGTTGAGTCGGATTTGAGAGAGCCCGCACGGACGCCGCGTTCTCGTGCCACGAGACGCGGACCAACGTCCCGCTTCGGTGACCCATAGGGTCCGACCCAGGAGGGAAATGCCTGGGGAAGTCTAGGCGCACACGGTGGAGTGGCGTCGGGACCATTCGATGTAGGGACCGCCAAATTGGCAACAAATTTTCGAAGGTCTCTAATTTTTTTCCTGAAAGCGCAACATGAAAAATTATAAGCTTAAACTATTGATAGTAATCAAAACAAATATATTACTTTTAATTATAATTAAAACTTCAACTTTTTCATGAACACTGTGCCAACAAATGACCAACAGATGGAGGATGGCGAAGATTTATGGCAGGACTTGAAACAGTGACGGTTTTTAAAATATTTTTTTTAACATTTCAAAAAAAAATTGCTTCAGATCGAAAAACTTCGAAACTGAATGGAACATGTGACGGGATTCAAACAGTGATTTTATTTTCCCATAATTTCAAATTGAATGTTCAATTTCAGATCACACACTAGGCATAATCAATTGGTAGAATGCGAACAATAATTTCGTTCTTTTATTAATAGGGCATTTCTAGTTTCAAAACCCACGTCTGCCGCTATCGGAATTGCGGAGGTCAGCTTCAGATGAGATACTCGTACGGCTCGAAATCTTTTTAGAAACTAATCACCTATATTTTCAGGAATAAACGAAGAAGAAAGGAAATAGGGTAAAATAAGGAATGGAGTGCATATTTTTGACAGAGGTAATTTTCAAAAGTTGGAAATATTATTTTTTATGACTGACTTCTGAATTGGCGAGTTTGCGCATAATATTTGTTTACGTACAATCAGCATTCAAAGTGAAAACTTACTTGATTTGACTCATTATTCTTGACTAGTGATTTTTTACTATTTTTTTGACTAATAATTTTCGACTAACGACGTTCTGTAAATAATAAGGTAATTTTCCACTCTAATTCTGCACTGATGCAAAATTTTGCCAGTTATTACAAACCAAAGAGACCTCCGAAGTAGATGATAGACAACATTTTTCTTTAATTTTTGAAAAAAAAAACACACAAAAAATCTTGAAAATCCATTGAGAAAAAAACAAAATGTAAAAATCGTTGAAATCGAATTTTGAAAATGGGGCGTGGCAGCATTGTGCAAAGCGGCGCACTGTTTTGCAATATTGCGGCACGCTTCTTATCCACGAGTCTGCTACCATTTGGAGCAAATTTTGAGTAGCTTTTGATGTCCATTTCGGACAGAGCATGCGTTTGCGCAAAAATTGAACACGGATATTCTCAAACCAACCCGTAAGATGTAGAAGAATTCACACAAAGTTTAATCCAATTCTCTGGAATCTCAAAACCAATCGGTTTCAACGAAATTCAGCCCCAGAATCAACCTCATCCCATTGGCAATTCAACGAATTAATTTGCCGGATCCAACCAGATTAAATTTCATATATTTGCAGGAAGGAACTTTCGATGATCTGCCTAGCCGCTAAATTCGAATCAAATTGGACGATATCTTTGATTTTCTTCTTATTTTTATCCTTGTTTTTGTCCATTTTTTTATTTTTCTATTAATCCTTTACTATTTAGAAGAGTCAGGTAAGTCATTTTTTGAAAATTGGAACATCGTGTTAAACCCTTTCAAAAATTCTCTAGCGAAATGTGTGTGTGTGATGATTTTTTCTATGATTTTTGAGTAGTTTGAAGGGTTTTCACACGAATTGGGCCCAAGGTAAGTTGTTTTTTGATTCTGCGCTTCTATTTTTAATCAAAAATCAAAAAAGGTAATGGAAATGCTGGAAATGTGTTGTGTGAGGTTCTACGGGTGTATGAGGGCCGCGTATACTTGATAGAATCTCTAACACAGCATGTATTTTCAGAGGTTTGTGTTTCGTATAATATAAATATATTTTTGTGTCCCACAACTTTCTTGCGAAATGCGCGTTTTTTTTTTATTTTGGGACTGACTGAATTCAAGATTTTTCTTTAAAGAGGTTAGATTGTATCATACTTGCTGAATTGGACGTGTCGGGTCGCTAAAATTATCACTTCGACCCCCCCAATTTTGGTTTTCATGAATTTGGTTTTATTTTGCATTATTCTTTAAGTTAATCTTTTTCAATTCAAATGTTAATTTGTCAATTTTCTGTCGATAATCTTCTGAATCCAAGATCTTGCGGGTACAATAATGCTGGATTATTTGAAATTAGACCTATTTTCATCGCGAAAATGAATGAAAACTTTGCGTAATTGCGGACCACAGCATTTTTTCGTTTTTAGTTCGATTTAAACAGTGTAGGTTTTCCCGTACTACAGATAGCCTGCGAATAATTGCAATCTTCTATATGCAGTGTCTTTCCTAAATAGGCAGTTGCTCGTCAAGTGCGAAAAACGACTGTGCCGTGACCCGTTAGCACGTCCGTACATGTCAAATAGGGGGCAATATAAAGAGGATGGAAGGAGACATTTTCGTTCTTCCGAGAACATATACTAAAATTGGAACAATACAGAGAAGATTAGCATGGCCCCTGCGCAAGGATGACACGCAAATTCGTGAAGCGTTCCAAATTTTTTGAGTAATTTCCTGGTTGTTTTCGAAAATGAGAAATTGTGGGAATCGAAGCAACACATTTTCCATATTGTTGAAAAATGACAAATGTATCCAGGTGTCGTAGGATCCTGCGTTTTGTACGCAATGCTAAGAGACAATTACCGTAATCCTCGCATCGATTTACGGGGACTTTTTAGCAGTGTGTGCTCTCGGGAGAGAATTTCCCGAGAATTCCCTAAACTACCCAGAAACAAAATTCTCGAGACTCACGGAAGCACCGAGAAATTTTCGAAATTATTAGTCTCGGTACTATAAGGGTAGTCGCGCGTACGGGAACCGAGAGTCTCGAGACATTCTCGGGAATTTTTCCGAGACTCCCGAGAATTTCTCGGGAGTCTCGAGACTTTCTTCGGGATTTTTTTATTGATGAAATTCAGTAGTTAAATTGATAACTAGTAGGGTTTTGAAAACTAGCAACATATTTTGAAAATGTTCGCCCGTTTAAAAAGGGGATTAATACATAAATAAATCGTTTTTTTTGCATACGATTGTTTGCGATTAAAGTAATGTCTAAGGTTTTCGTACCATAAGGTTTTAGTGCCATATGTTTCACCAAGACCAAAATTTCAAGTCACTGCATAATTCCAATTATATCTAAAACGGACGGAAAACATATGAAACAATGCGCAGAAAACTGATGAAAAAGGGGTCTGCCACAGATCATTTTTTTTTGTCCGCATTTGATCCATGTTTCATCGGGTTTTCATCCATTTTCCGCCAGCTCATCAACCACGTTTCGTCTGTTTTTTATCAATTTTCCTTGCTCATTTATACTGTTTTTAATCTATTTTCCATCGGTTTGGTTCCATTTCAACCATTGTGCAAATCCGACTGTTTCAGAAACGCCGAGTTTATTGCATTACAACGAAACATTAGGTTTTTTAAATAATAATAACAAATGAAAACAAAATAATTAAACAGGAAATGCGTCCCTATCATAGTTAAATTTAACAGCATAAATTAAAGAAAACTCAGTCCCGCAAAAATAGTGAATGAACTATTAATGGGTATTAGCAGAAACTTAATACAGACCGTAATATCATCAGAAGGTTTGGATATTCTGAATTATTAAGCCAAGCGAAGTCTCGGCCGAGATTCCATTCGTTTGTATAGTTCGTATTCCAGAGTCCTCCGGAGCCTGAATCTGAAAAACAGAGTAGCGTTATTATCGAATGACTTTGGAAATTTCTTCCGGGCATACCTAGATAAGACGACATGGGCGAAATTGTTACAAATATGCGTATATAGAGCGATTCAAAACTTGTAGTTAAAATTGTCATTGGATTTCCAAACATTTCAATGGTGTCATCCAAATGGAAAATAATTTCCTTAAAATTAGTTTAGATTTTAGAAGAAAATTACACATCAGCTACATGATTTTTAGTGGTGAAATACTTGCACAAACACTATTCGAAATATCCAACATTCTCATATTGGCCTCGTCGACTTCTTTTCAATGTTTCTCTCCTCCGCTTTTCAATAATTGTCCTTGACCAAACGATACAACTCGAGTTCTTAATTTGGTCTGAAATACTTATTTTGTTGAGATTTAAGAGCGTTTATTTTTTGCTATTGATGAACAGTTTTACTATTTTCACGTAAAAACATCAAAAATTTTTACATTAATTAATTTAGAACTTGTTCTTTACGCACTTTTGATTCACTAAAACACAAGAAAGGCGCAGCAACGTAATTTGCCAGCTATACATTTAAAAAGAGTGACAAGAAATTAAGTTTTATAATTGTTTAAAAATTACCTTCGTTGAGAACTGATTGGCCCTTTTTATTTTCTTCCTTGTACTTCATGGCATTGAAATTCCGTTTTCAGGAAAGCTTTCTTTGAGAATATTCTGAAAGAATCATTCTATCACCAAAGAAATAAGATGGAGTAAATGCGAAAGTAACTGACCAAGTTTATATCGATTTTTACGAACTGTTCTCTTAGAAAATATGCTTTGAAGATTTAAGAACACCTCAATGAACGTTAGGTCGTGTTAGTTCTATATTTTTATATATTTCAGCAACTATTTTTTTATTAATTTAAGGAAAACGAAAGTATTTAATAATTTTTAGGAATTTCTATTTCGAGATTCATAAGAAGTCTGTGTGCACAGCACGAAAATCTACACAATTTGTATACAGTATCATGCGTATTTAATTCCATCCGTTATTTGCCTCTTTTTTTATCCATCTTTAGTCCATTTTCCTGGCAGGTTATTTGTAATCTATTTTTCGTCTATTTGTTAGGGGTTTTTCATCCGTTTTTTTCCGCTATCTTTTTTTCTTTCATTTTTTAACCCTTTTTCATCTGTTTTCCTGGCTCACCTATTTTTTATATACCATTCAACCGTTTTTCATCTACTGGAATTATGCAGTGTTAGCAGAATAAGCACTTTTAAACGATATTTTTTGGTAAAAACAGCAGAGATTTAAAAGAAAACATTTTTGTCGTTAATAAAATTATTTATTCGTGTTTGGCTTTTTGTACGCGTTTCTATTACTTTATTTTTGTATTTCATAAAATATTTCTAAAGAAAGTAAGAAAACACAACAAAAAATTAAAAGAAATTAAAAAAAAAAACTCCGTAAATCGCTGCGAGGATTACGGTAACTGTCTCTTATCATTGCGTACAAAACGCAGGATCCCACGACACCTGGATACATTTGTCATTTCTCAACAATACAATTTCTCTTGTATTCCATATTTGTCTTCGAATAGTTTTTGCCAAATATTTTCAAAAAAGAATACGATTTATTTCCTAATTAGTCTTTAATTTTTCGGGTTTTCTACAACAACATTTTCTAAAAATACATGCGAAAATCTTGTAAATAATAAATAATAAAATAATCAAGATAGTGGATAAGAATGCGATGACATCGATTGAATGATATTGGAAGAAATTGAGTTTTTGGCCGGCCGGCTCAAGATTTTCCAAACTTTTGAATTCGGCCACGAATTCCGACCATTTCACAAGCAATTCTGCTGGCTTCGTTGGCTGCTTACGGACCATTTGGGAAATTCTTTTGACATTGTTTGAATACCTTTAAATTATCGATAAATGACGTCACTTTTTTGCAGTGTTCTCACAACTTTTTAATGACTTCTGCTAAAAAGTTGACAAAAATTTGCGAAAAAATTATCGGCAAATAATAATGGCAATTTTCTTTAAACTTTAGGCAACCTTTTTTTTCTCATCCAAGTTGAATCAAATATTGAAAAAATCAAAAAATTAAAACCCACATTGGATTCTCAAGAATTTCTTTCAATTTGCTGACAATAGTTTCCTTCGATATTTCCGATTTTGCAATATTTACAGCAATTCCTGCAATTTATAATTATATATTTTTTTCATTTAAATACATTCAATAAATTACCATGTTTGAGCGCGATTTTCGAATTTTTTGGCTGATCTCCGAACAATGCAATGGTGACTAATGGAGTACCCGAAGAAATTGATTCCTAAAGTATAATTCAAGGAGAAATAGATAAGAATAATGTATTACCTGAAGACTGTTGTATCCTCCGTGAGAAATGAACGCCTTCGTATTATTATGAAGTAGAAGATCTTTCTGTGGAAGCCATTTGAATAGGTGCACATTTTTGGGAAGTCGATCTGAAATTATTGAGTTTCTCGGAATTTTCTCAAATTCAACACACCATTGAGGTCGTTCTCAACGTATCTCATCACAAATTGATAGTCTGCAAATTCAGCAAATGCTTCCAAAAGGGCGCTTTTCCAGAATTCGGGCATTTTGTGGGCAGCAGCCACCGATCCGAATGAGAAAACGATTGTTCCTTTTCCGCTATTGATTATCTTCTCAAATTCCTGAATATCACCACATTTGCACAATTACTCAATTTTGTCAAACCCCTGTCAGCGGTTTGGCAGCATCGAAGCCGACACCCAATCCTCCAATATTCACCACCTTCGCTAGAGTTGGTCTTGGTAGATCATAAAGCTCATTCGAGTTCACCATAACCAATGGACATTTCTCAGCCAAATCCATAGTGTGCGGAAAATTTGGATCGATTTCCTCTCGGAATACTTCTGTGTATTTGGTAGCCATCATACTATATGAAATGGGAATTATTTGATTTGCCAAAAAAAAATCACAAACCTTCTAGAGAGCAAACCCAAAAGTGTGTGACCAATGAAACTCTTGATTCTCTCATAGAATGTAAGAGTATCATGAGCTTCCATCATCATTGGTGGAACATAGCTTGGAATAATTGGGACGCCAATCGTATTCGCCACATAATCCATTAAACCACCGCTAGAAATTTATAAGTAGATCAAAACTCTAATATCATGTATTACGGTACCTATTTAACCATATCCATGTGGGAATCTTTGCGTGATGAATGATACCAACTGGACATGTCGAGTAGATGTACGCAAAAGCAATGTCAAACTTCTCACTTTCAAGCCATTTAAGGAATTCCTTATTGCGAAGCAACACTAGAAAATATGAAAACGTTAGTAATTCAAAATTCGCATACTTCGACATCCATCCTTTTGCAAAGTTGTGAAAAGGTTCATCAGGCGGAACATTTCGGGTTCAAGTGGACTCACATCCTAGAATAATCCATATTCAGAACACATCACCCATTATTTGGTGATTATTACCCTAAACATGAACTTTGCCTGCTCGCCGTGCATGTATTCCTGTGTGAGTCCTTCGACAAAAGCATCAACCTCATATACTACAAATCATCATTCATTATTATCCGTTCGGGATGTTTCTATATGTACCTTTAATATTCTTGGGTATCTTCACATCGTGTTTGAAATCGCTGAGATGTGTTATCATAGCCATTGTGACGTCATGGCCAGCATCGGCAAGAGCTGCAGCAACTCTTGTACAGAATTGAACCTGAAATCAACATCATAAATATCCAAATTGAGTGTCATGCAGATGAGGTTTCCACATTTGCAGCGAAGGTCTCCACTTATACTGAAACTGAAGACCTTTTCTTCACTGGGGGACTTTAACTTCGCTATGGCGCGCATGGGTACCTGTTCTGCGCCATGGGAACCTTATCTCCACCATTTTTTTTTAATGGAATGGGAACCGGATCTTCCATTCCAGATAATGCTGCAGATAGGCTCCCCACAAAATGCGTTACAACTCCCTCGAGAAAATTGCACACCCCACACAGTGCAGCATCGGTCGCCCAATGAAATTAGTAGAAAAAATCGAAAATTGACGGAAATTATCGATATTTCACACTTTGATAATTCAAAACTACCTCATTAACTTAATAGTAAGAAAAATTAACGGCAATTAATTATTTACAGTGAACACCGTTTTTCCTGAAAAAATCAATGTTTCACCATATTTTTAAAATATCAAGATAACGCAAAATTACATTGACGCTGTGTTTGTAACAAAATTTCAGAAAATTAAAAGCGATTAACGTTCAAATCGCAAAAATCAGCAAAAAATGAATAGAATAGAAATGAATAGGCGCCAGGCGTTGCGCACTGAGTGTTAACACGATGACGCCCAATTGCACAAATCACGATTTACACGTGCCGGTGAGATCCACGCAGGGTACCTATACCAGGGCTGTGCGGCAATCGGAAATTTCGGCAATTCGGCAATTCGGCAAATTGCCGAAAATCAAAATTTCGGCAATCCGGCAATTCGGCAAATTGCCGAAAATCAAAATTTCGGCAATTCGGCAATTCGGCAATTTGCCGAAAATCAAAATTTCGTCTATTAAATGTTTTCAACGATAATTCGAAATATAAATACCGAATTTTCACGGTATCGCAAATTATTCAATGGACATTGATTTTTGTTTCGCCGATTTTTTTTTTGATATCAAATTGCTGAAAATCAAAACTTCGGCAATTCGGCAATTCGGCAAATTGCCGAAAATCAAAATTTCGGCAACCCGGCAATTCGGCAATTTGCCGATCGAACGTTGTCTTCGGCAATTCGGCAATTCGGCAATTTCAAAACACGGCAATTTCGGCAATTTCGGCAATCGGCAATTCCATTGCCGCACAGCCCTGACCTATACTGCACAATTCTGGGACATCAAATACATTTTGACTGCGGGGGACTTCTACTGTACTATGTGGGAATTTTAAATGCAATTATCCCGAGAAGAAGTAAAACGCATCGTGTGGGAGCATTTATCTGCATTATCTTATCTGCATTATTTATCTTATCCCCCCCCCCAAATTGTTATTAATTAGCAATACCTGACTATTGGCCATATTTGGCACAAATACTAGCATTTTATATGCGCTACATGATCCGACGACGAGCAATAATAATAGTAATAGTATCCTCATTGTCACTGATTAATACTATGTAGAATAATAGAGGAGGCTGCTTCTTTAAGTAGGGAGACGTATCATTTGTTGCATCATGGGCAGAAAATTGCGAAACCAAGTCAGAAAATTTTAGTTGATAAACATTGAACGCTTAGGCAAATCAAATAGAATTTTTTGATTCCATGAGAGTCGTCAAGCAAACAATCGAAAGTACTATTATAAAAGCAATTTGAGTGTATTTTGTCACTCTATAATATTTTAGACTACTCTTCAAAAACTTTAGAATGTACGTATTAGAAGATTTTGAAATTTATTGAGAAACATTCGAAATTACTCAGAAAGCTTTGTTAAATATTTTGAAAATCAAAAAAATTAGAAACAAAAATTTTCATGTTTTTTTTAAGTTTCAAAAAATTTTATGAAATAAATATGTACTTTAGAATTTATTGTAGATTATTTGATTCGTAAAATAATTTTTTTTGGATTTCCTGGGCATTTGTAGGTCTATTTTCATCTTAACATTTTATATTTAAATTCTGTTTTCGTAGTGTATACGTTTTTCCTTAAAATTCGTTTCCAAGTGCAACATGTCACGACGACTACTAATCAGAAAATAATCAGACAATGTCTTATCTCGACAGCTGGTTTCTATCACAGATTAGCTATACTTTAGTTTTAATTCGAAACCAATTTTATCACACATTTATTTCCTAATTAGTCTTTAATTTTTCGGGTTTTCTACAACAACATTTTCTAAAAATACATGCGAAAATCTTGTAAATAATAAATAATAAAATAATCAAGATAGTGGATAAGAATGCGATGACATCGATTGAATGATATTGGAAGAAATTGAGTTTTTGGCCGGCCGGCTCAAGATTTTCCAAACTTTTGAATTCGGCCACGAATTCCGACCATTTCACAAGCAATTCTGCTGGCTTCGTTGGCTGCTTACGGACCATTTGGGAAATTCTTTTGACATTGTTTGAATACCTATAATATTCTTCTTTAGTTTCAACTATTCCTATTAGAATTATAACATCGGATTCTCAAGAATCTCTCGAAGATTTTTCACAATTGTTTCCTTCGATATTTCCGATTTTGCAATATTTACAGCAATTCCTGCAATTTATAATTTTAAATATTTTTTCACTTAAATACATTCAACAAATTACCATGTTTGAGTGCGATTTTCGAATTTTTTGGCTGATCTCCGAACAATGCAATGGTGACTAATGGAGTACCCGAAGAAATTGATTCCTAAAGTATAATTCAAGGAGAAATAGATAAGAATAATGTGTTACCTGAAGACTGTTGTATCCTCCGTGAGAAATGAAAGCCTTCGTATTATTATGAAGCAGAAGATCCTTTTGTGGAAGCCATTTGAATAGGTGCACATTTTTGGGAAGTCGATCTGAAATTATTGAGTTTCTCGGAATTTTCTCAAATTCAACACACCATTGAGGTCGTTCTCAACGTATCTCATCACAAATTGATAGTCTGCAAATTCAGCAAATGCTTCCAAAAGGGCGCTTTTCCAGAATTCGGGCATTTTGTGGGCAGCAGCCACCGATCCGAATGAGAAAACGATTGTTCCTTTTCCGCTATTGATTATCTTCTCAAATTCCTGAATATCACCACATTTGCACAATTACTCAAGTTTGTCAAACCCCTGTCAGCGGTTTGGCAGCATCGAAGCCGACACCCAATCCTCCAATATTCACCACCTTCGCTAGAGTTGGTCTTGGTAGATCATAAAGCTCATTCGAGTTCACCATAACCAATGGACATTTTTTGGCAATCTCGTAGGTATGAGGAAAATCTGGACTGATTTCGTCGCGGAATATAGAAGTGTCAATGTCAGTTGATCTGAAACAGGCATTCAAACATCTCTCAATTTTAATTTATAGATTATTACGATCGAAACATGAATTCTCCGATAATGTGGCCGAAGAAGCTCTTCAATCTTCCAAGGAAGTCCATATTATCATGAGATGCCATCATAATTGGTGGAACATAGCTTGGAATGATTGGAACGCCAACGGCATTCGCCACATAATCCATTAAACCACCGCTAGAAATTTTTTACGTAGATCAAACATTTAATGATAATACTGTACCTATTTAACCAGATCCATGTGGGAATCTTTGCGTGATGAATGAGACCAATTGGACATGTCGAGTAGATGTACGCAAAAGCGATGTCAAACTTCTCATTTTCAAGCCATTTAAGGAATTCCTTATTACGAAGCAACACTGAACTTGAGATTATTTCAATTCTCGAGACAAACGTGATTACATCGGCAGCCATTTGCTTGCAATTTATTGAACCTTCTGATCATGTTCACAAGACTCGGATCGAGCAATCCGATGTCCTTGAATATTAATTTCGATTGTTCATCCTCGATTTGCGCTTTTGTGATTCCATCCAATATGCCCAGCGCGTCATAGACTTTCACATTCTTCGGAATCTTCACCTCAATCTTAACATCGCTCAAGAATGTGACCATCACCATAGTGACGTCGTGTCCGGCGTCGGCCAATGTGCCGGCCACTCTTGCCGCGAATTGCACCTGTCTCATATCTTTGAATTGAGCAATTAATCGAAATTACCTGGCTGTTGACCATATTAGGCACGAATATTGCCATTTTATAGGCATTGCAAGCCCCAATTATTAATATTTGTACTAGTAAATTGAGTGTCCGCATTAACTGCAATTTTTAAAGTAGATGGTTGCATCACAAGTCACAAGTTGTGCACCAACTGTGATAGCGGACGAGGGGGTTCAAAAATCACAGACGATTTGAACCCTGTGGGGGTAAATTGATTTGGCTTCCAAGGTCATCATTATGATTTAAAAAATTCTTTGATTTTTTTATTTAAAAGAAATCACAAAAAATCGTAATTTTTTCGTTTTAATGAACCATTAAGAAGGCTAGATATTTTTGATGAAAATTGTCAAAATTTTATTTCTACCTTATAATATGTAATTACGCGCTTTCTTTTCTAGTTTTACGAAAAAAACATAATTATTTCCTATGGTCCCTATTTTGGGAATAATGAATAATTTTCAAATGACCAGGTGTGCAATATATACGGATAAATGTATAATTGCGCATTATAGTAAATAGAATAAAAGCCAGCCGTTTCCATTTATGGTAAATCGCTAAATAGACGAATGAGAGTAGCGCGGAAATCAATTCCAATTGAGAAACGACAACCACATTTGGTGAAAGAGAATGAGTTTGGCTGATAAAAAAGTATTGCAACCTTTGATGTCTAATTTGGAATTCGCATAGGAATTTTAATACGTTCAGTTCGCCAAAGAGTTTGATTTTCCTAATTTTGTGAAAAAAATTTTATTTTGCTGGTTTTTTTGCAGTAGCTATTTTTATTTTTGAATTATTTTGTGTAATTTTTACGTCAATTACTACGCTAATTGATTTTTCTCAAATGGCCGTGGCCGAGGAAAAAGTCGAATGGACTAGTTTTTGTACGGTCATTTCACACGAATATTATTTTCAATTTTTTTCTCGGCAAACCGACGGCGGAGTGTCTGCGAGCAAACAATGGAAAAAAAATCGACGTGGTGTGTTTTCTCTTTAGAAAAATTGTCAATACTCACAGGTAAAATGCGAAGGACACGTAATGTGTTCACAGGAATCACATAGGAGGCAACATAATTAATGAAATTTGCTACCATATATGTAATATTCTCGTGAGACTACATAGAGCCCATATACAAAAATATACATACCGATGGAACACACTATGTGCCCGCCGCATTTGAAAACACAAAAAATGCAAGTACGGCACCAAATTCTGTGAAATACTGCAAGTGTGGCGCAGGCTTCTTTTTAAAAACTACGAATAATGTTTCTTCAGGATTTTCGCTTATTTCTTTTTGATAAGCAAACGTGGTCTTGGCACAAAACTAAAGGGGCCTATGTAAAATTATAGGTTGAAGGAGACATTTTGATTTTTTGGAAATTTTGCCAATTTGCCACAGTTGCACGACGTCGACAATAGCTCTACTTAATTAAATTAGCGAATCCATCAAGTGTGGCTGTAACTTATTTTTTGAGAACATTTTTCTAGGCCACACGTGCGGTGCGACGAGCCGCAGTTTCACTAGAACTGCGAATGATGCGTCATGTGGCAGATTAATTTTTTGTTTCAAAAAATGATTTTAAAAAATCTATTTTCAGTAAACTTGAACTAAAGAAAACTGAGATCTATGAAAAACCATGATGATGCAACACTCGAACCGAAAAATCAACTATGCCATTGGCAAATATCGATGGAAACGAGTTCAGACTCTCAACATGTCTTATTATTTCTTTTCATTTGCAAGTTCGGATCAAAATGTTATCATTATTTGATTTGTGACCATCTCTCTGCGTTTCTCGGCCAAAAAGGTTTCCTTATATTTGCATTAGTATTGGCGCGCATTTCGGTTTCACAATCAATAGCAGCATGGAATCATCGCCGTGTGCCTCATCGGATTACGAATCGATTTGCGAGATTTGCTCACAAACCGCGCATGGCTCGCATTTCGGAGTTTTGGCGTGTAGAGCGTGTGCCGCATTTTTCAGGTATCATTGGAAAATTTTCTTCTAAAATTGCTTTTAAAGGCGCATTGGGTGTAAAGCTCATTGAAGGGTCAATGCGTTTTTTATCTGAATCTTTTGAATATCAGTCGTAAGAAAAATAAACCGCTCAGGCAAATCAAATAAAATATTTTGAGATTCATTGAGAAACTAACGTGTCTCTTTAATATTTTAGATTTCTCTCAATAAACTTTCGAAATTATTATAAGATTTTAGAATTTATTGAGATAATTTAGAATTTGCTCAATAAATTTTAGAAAATCTTATAAGATTTGAAAAAATATTTTTAAGTTTAGCGATTCTCGATAAGTTTTAGAAAGTATCAATAAACTTTAGAATTTCTCAAAATATTTTAGAGTTTATCATTGAATATTTGATTCTCAAAATATTTTATTTGATTTGCCTGAGCGAACTCGATAGAGATTAAAAAGATCAGAGAGGCCCGCTCATTTCCTGTTTGCTATTATGCACTTATATCTAGCACCCTCTTACTCACTAATCACGGAAAAGTGTTTGGTGCCCTTTTATGTGACGCCATGTTTTGTACTATGGTGCCACTCAAAACCTAATCAATCAATTGTTCAGACGTACCGCAGTTCTCGGAAGAACCTATAAATGTAGGCGACGTCGCGGAAAATGTGCATTGAATTTCGAATTGAATGAAAAGTTTTTCACTCAATAAAATTGATTGTCTGTAAATGCCAATTTTCAGATTGATCTGCAAATATTGCCGATATCAGAAATGTCTCGAGCGCGGAATGACACCACAAAGTATGGTATAATAAATTTTTTCGCGAGATTTTTTTTATTTCGGCTAAAAAATAAAAAATATCGTCGGCGTCGGGCGAATTCGAAATATTGGCTAAATGCCAAAAAATTGTGATTTTCATTGTGCCAAGTAAAGTGTAGATTTACGGACCTAAGAATAAGGATAGGTTAAAGGCGCACACCGTGATCTCTTTGTAGTCATTTAGCCAATTTTCCGAAGTCACGCGACGCCGACAATAATACATATTACGTTCGCAAAAAAAAACGAGCTTCCTCCGCCGATTTACGGTGAGTTTGATTCGCAGGTTATCTAGAATAAGGTTGCCGGATTCCCACTGTTTAAACTCAAATTTGAAAAACCACTGAGAAAAATTGCGGTGGTCCACAATTATTAAAGGCGCTCGTTTTTTTTTGCGATTGTAATGTTGCAAAAAACAGAAATAGACTATATGAAAATTGTAGATATTCGAAGGCATGGAATGAAAAAGTGCAAAGAGGATAGCTCGAATGTTGCAAATGTTGAATTGAAGCATGTGTATTTGGCCGTGAATTGTGCAACTAATGAGAAAACAAAAATAATTGATATGAGTGTTATAACAAGGCGAATATCGAAAATATTTGAAGAAGTAGGTTTTTTGTAAAGAAAAGGAGATTGAAAATAATAGATTGTTGTTGGTCACAGAACGATTTCAGCGTTCAAAATGCAAAACGAAATTTTTTTCCTCTTGTCAAGACCCACAGCTCAAGATTTTCATTCATAACAAAGACTCTCTAGATCAGGGTTGCGCGAAAAACGAATTTCGAATATTCAAAAATTTTTTTTCGAAAATGCGCAGACCTGTTGCGAAAGGTTTCTGTAGAAAATTTAAAATTGGAAATGAGTTTGATGACTTTCTTTTTTGAAATTCGTTAGTACAATTTTAACCGGGACCTGAAAACGGTCAATTTTTGAGCACAATTGCGAAAAATTTTTGTGGAGAATAAAAAAAAATTTCAAATACTTCTTTTTTCGGATTATTGATTCGTAAAACAAAAAATGTGCAGCCTTGCGAATAAAAAAACTCAAAAATTGCTTTATTTTTCAGTTTCATATTCCCGAAGAAGTTCGTTCCTTAAACACTCTTATGAAAATGGAATATGCACTACGATACGTTCGAAAAAATCAATGCACAATCTTAAGGTTTTCATTTTTTCGTTTTTTTCTCGAAAACGATTATTCAAACCCAATGTTTCGTGTTTAGTTCATCCAGAAAATCCCGTTTCATGAATTGTTCCATTCATGGGAGAAGCACATGGATCGTTGCGCGCAATGGCTGTCGTTCTCCGACGAATTTCGAAATCTTCCTGCTCACGAGAAGGTATTGCGAGTAAATTTTTGAAGTGATTTATTGCTTATTCGGCAGATGGCGTTCTTCAAAGCGATTTGGGCGCCATGGCGACGATTTGAGAGCATTGTTAATAACATGCTGGTTAGTATAGATCAAAACGTTGATAGCATGCCAATGCTTTCCATTTCAGGCAATGCAGCTGGAATTCGAGAAAGTTCACACCCTCGCAGATGTCTTCAAAATGTACAAATGCATTCTAACCGATCCAGAATTGTTTCAAAACTAATAATAAGAATTATGTACATATTTATTGGGTTAGTGTTAGCATTCGGAGGCATCATCGTATGCCTCAAAGGCTGGTCGATGACGGATTGGGGCCGTTGGGACCTCTTCACGGCGATAAAGAACGATTTGTTCGTCGACAAACCATTCCTACAAGATTTCTTTGATGGGCAACATTCGGTTTGGACGATATCTTACGTCTACATCGAGAAGGATCAGGGTGTAGGCCAGCAGGAAGATGCAGAGTTGGACGACGAACGCGGAAAGTCCTCGATCAAACGTTGGAGTTGCACCTTCAACATCAATAATGTCTAAAGGCGACATCTTCTTCTCTTCAATCAGTCCAACAAGTCGTGATTCAACGGGCCGATGAGCAGAAAGGTTCTTGTAAATGTCAATGTACACAGCGGGCACTTGAAAAGCGTACGGGCAGACGTCAACAGGCTTCCAAACCGCTGGAAGCGTCTCGTTCGGAAAAGCGTTGACAGCGAGGACGTAAGCGAGCACCAGCAGGATTCCTGAATCCCCCAATCGCCTTATATGGCAATTATTATTATCGATGTACCTTTCATGATGATTAGAGTTAGTGTTTGTTAGTTGATCGGCGAGTCAATTGTCAATTTCGCCGATTTTCCGTCAATTTATATCCATGATTTTATCGCATTCACGCGAATTTGCCCAAATTTATTCAAATGTTTTCGAATTTCTAATTTGCTGACGCGTTTTCGGCGCACACCGCAGCGTTGGCTCAAATTGCTTCCGGACCGCCCGCATTTTAGAGGGGGGGGGCCATTAAGTGCAATTCGTTTGCTTTTCCCGGAAAAAAAGAAGAAAAATTTCATGGGGGGGATCGGACTAAAAAGGCAAACAAGACATAGAAGTAAAAATGAGTGGAGGTTTGCACTTTCGATGAGATCATCAGTGATCAGTGTCTCGTGATCGCTGCCTTCCTCGTTTCATTCCCGCATCAACGCGACATCGACAACAAAAACAACAAGCAACAAACAGAATGAGGAAAATAACAAATTTTTGCCGACGACGCATTGTTCAGCGCTATCTCGCCGACCCGCCCGTCCTGGGGGTGGACTCGATGCGACTGCGCCTCTTCGTCTCCAACGCTCCGTCGCGTCGGGCCGACCCCCAGGGGCCCCGCGGCGCGCGCCCGCGACGGACTGCACGGCATTCGACAAATTTTTTTGTTTGTGCGTTTGTATTGCGAATCGCTCTCTCTTTTTTTGACCATATATTATTATTATTGATTGATTTTTTATTCAGACTAGAAGATCAACGAGAAGAGGGGGGATCGGCTAGAATTTTAGGACTCAACAATGCTCACCTACCTAGAAATCCACCGGTTTGTTGATGATTTTTTTTTCTTGTCGTTGTTGCAATTATTTGTGTCTTTATCGCACAAATCGCGCGCGATCGTATCGAATTGGCGCATTTCGTGTGCGCGGAAGTTTGGCGCAATTGCGGTGCGCCGAAATTGTGGTAAACAAGAAAAAATGCTGACGTGTTTCGTGTGTAAATTGGTTTCAATGCGAAACGTTGTCCGCAGCAAGGAAATAATCAGTCGGCACATTTGCTTTTTTTTTATTACACACTATTCGTCACAGTATGCTTTAGAGCTACTCAACTTTCAAAAAATTTGCCATCTCTTCTTCTTCTTCTTTTTTTTGTTTATCACACTCGGAAGAGTTGAGAAGCAGCAGCAGATGTCAAGTGGAAGTGGAAGGGGGTGGGGGGGGGACTGGCAGAGAGCAAACAAATTGTAGTGGAATCAAAACATCGAATCATGAGATCAAACTAGAGCGATGATGTCGTCGTTGGCGATTTTGTTTACGCCAATCACCATCATCGCGCCACTCCAAAGAAAAACTGGAAGACACCAGGATTTTCGGCGGGGCGGCACGCCGTCGAATAGCGTGTGAGGCGAAGAGACGCCGACGACAGACGGTCGGCCAGAGACCGAGAGGCTTGCAAATCAACTTCGTGTCCCTTAAAAACATGTGACACACTTTGCTTTTTCCTTTTATGAGTTCCATTGCCACTTTGCCATTTTTTTCTGCATTTGAGCCAAACGGTTTGGTTTGCCGCCGAACCGGATGCCGAAAAATGCGCGCTACTCATCATAATGGGAATGAGGCGGAATGGTATTCCACAAGACCGGAGAGTTTCAACAAAAAAAAAGAAGACAATTTAATGTGACTGTTCGGCCGTCTCGCCAAAATGGCGCCTTCGGTTATGAGGGAAAAAAAAGAAGAGTGATTCGGAAAAACGTTCAAGTTCATAGCCATCACCTCCCAATAGATCACACCAAAAACAATCACTCTCGAACAATTTCGATTCCAACGGCGTTGACGTAAGTCGTCCCTCTCATTTTTCGCATAGCTAACCATGCACAAACATCGAGGTTCTCGTCTCGGCTGCTTTCCGTTGTTCGCAGGAATGATTGGCGGCTGGGCGAGAAAGAAATTGAGAGAGAGAGAAAAAAATGTCTGCTCAAATAATGATGGTGAATCGATTCTTTATCTCACGATCGCCAAAAATCAAAATAAAACCGATAAACAAATAAACAACAACGCGTTTCGTTCCTAAATATGTCGACAACAATAGCGATTTTCGCCACCCCCCGGATTATGTATCTCATTTTGTTTGTTTGTTTGTTTGTTTATTAAAAAGCGGCCGCATAAATAAATAGTCGCATAGTTAGATGATATAAACAATTTATGGATCGAATAAATAAATATTTGAAGACTTGCCGCGAAATGGGCCAGCACGATAGTCTTGCTGACGCATTTCTCGCGCACACTTTTGACGACCCAATAAATTTTGAAAGCCCCATTGCGTGGGCTCCGTTGAAGCAAGAACAACAAAAAAGATCAATTTATTTCTTCGAGTTTTTTTTTTGTTGTTCTTCGGCACGTTCTCTAAAAGCGAATTGGTTTTTCCTCTTCGTCTTCTCGAGGGAGAAATAAGAGGAGCCGAACACACTGCAAAACTGGTTATGAGGGCCCAATATTCCTCGTTTTGCTTCGGGGCACGTATGCATTCGTTGTTGTTGTTGTCTTTTTTTTTGTCCATGGATTCTGAAAACGAAATTGATGGGCGATCAAGGTCGTGCGCCGGCGGGAAACAAAAAAAAAGTGGAATCAGAGATCGATTACGGTAGGAATTCTCGGAACTCGTCGACACCGGCGTTCTTATCTACACCATTTTAATATTGCGAATTTTTCACTGAAACCGAAAACCAATTCCAGACAACACCATCATCGATCTGAACAGTTTTGTGTGTGTATGGGTATGAGAGTGTGTGTGTGTGTCGCCAACAAACAAACCCGTTTCCCCTTCTGCGTCTCTCGCGCGACTCTCGTCGTCTGATCCCCGCCTCTCAATGTACAATGAGGAGTTTTTGAGGTGGAAATGTGGGCGTGGCGTTGGTGTCAAAATGGCCGCCGGCAATACGAGACGACCGCCATGCAAATGACTGCGTTTTGAGCAATTTTCGCACCCTCCCCCCCCATTTCCTCACTCTTCCTCCTCCTCCATCTCTTTCTTTAACTATACGAAACGGACCATTACCTATTTTTGGGGTCTCCACTCCAAAAATTTTCGTATAATGTTTTGATTCTCATGAGACGTTGCGCGAATAGATCAAAACTTTTGATATAGCGCGTAACTAATCTCCTCGCGGCTCGCCGGCCCGTTATTTGACGAAACGAGCCCTTGGGGGGGGGGCCATGTTGCCCAAAAATCGAGAATCGATAGGGCCGCGAGCCAGCCGCCGGCTCAACACATCGAACGCCGTTCGCGTTGCGCGTTTTCCACAAAATTTTTTGCGGTGTCAGAGACGCAGACGCGTTTTGGTAATTGGTCGACGGGGGTCCGCATTGCCTCGGTCTCACTCTGTTCAACCTCCCTCTCGACATCCGGAACACACCAGCGCTCGCGAACCGCCTCTCCCTTCCCCCCCCTCCTCGTCAGACCCCCGAAGCGAACACATAATCGCATCCCATTCACAACTTTTTGGTTTTGCTTTATTTAGTCATATTATTATTATTACTATTATTATAGTTTTTATAATTGCCCGAGTGTCCAATAGTCTAGTCGCTGACGCTGTTTCCCGAAAAAACCGTTGGTAGATCAAAAACGAAATTTTATTTTTTTCATTATTCTCATATAAAGGGACGCTTCACATAGAATAATTTTAAATAGGTAGTTCAAAAATGTTTTATTTCATTCTCCATATTTTCTAGTAGATCAAAACTGGAATATGGGTTCGCTAAACCCCCCAATTATCTTTCAATGAATTGGCAATGGAGCGCATTAGCATCGGGGCAGCCTTCTAGAAACTTCTTAATCGAAGCATGCCAAATTTATGGTTAAAGAGAAGGAGGGAACACTTTTTTCTTCTTCCACCATCTACCGTAGTCATTCCTTCCTTCCATATATGTATGTGTATAGCAGGCGAATACGACATTTATTTTTTTTTCCTTCTTCTTCTTCTTCTTCGGCTTGTTCCGTGAAGAAGAAATTGAGGCGAAGACGAGGAAAAACCCACAAATGACAACAACGACAACAACAACAACGTCATTTTTGTTTTTCAACTGGAAAATCAAAAAAAAATTTAGTCCGCCTAGATATATATATATTTTTTTTTCGTATTAGCTCGTCGCCAAATTTTGTTTTTTTTTCTTCTCGGTTGCTCAGCATCTTCACATATTGACACTATTCTTCGTTTTTTTTTCTCATTCCTGGGCACCTCGTGCCTCTTTTTTTGCGGCGACGCCGTCGTGAAAATCGATAGCATGTGACACACGATTTCGTTTCTGGCGACGAGATGCAAAAAAAAATGGAAAACGATGAGTTGAGGCTCGAAATTTCCACAGTAGCGTCGATCTTCTTAATTAGCTACAGTAATCCACCTTATTTCCCACGACTGTAATTAATTAAATCAGATACTATATAATTTTTTGTTGTTGTTGTTTTTCAGTAAGACCCCCCCGAATATCTCTATTCTATATAAGGAAACAGTTGCAGCCAATTTCCAGATCGTAATGCGTCGTCTCCTCGTATTCACATTAAAAAGAAATCCGTCGTCTCTTTCACTTGTCGAAAACCAGCTCGTCCAATTCATGCATAACTGGCGAAGCAGCAAAGCAAACCAGCAAGCTGACAGAAAAAAAATATATGAGAAGGCGGAGGCGCAGAAAAACCGAGGCGGGGGGGGTCTTTCTAACATTACAACAACAACAACAACAACAATTACAAAAGTAGGAAGAGGGGAGAAAAAAAACAGAACACAAAACAAACCTGAATAGCAGTTGGAGTAGTAGTCGTTCGTCTAGAAGAAGAAGAAGAAGAAGGAAAACGCGAAAACAAGCTTTGCCCAGTAGCAGATTGTTATTCGACACAGACCATCAACAACAAAATGTACACAATTTTTTTTTCTTGATTTTATTCCCCCCCCCCAAATGAAACCAACCGGCCACCGCGATTTCGTCGTTGAGCCGGCATTCTCTTTTTTTTTTGCGACAACTGAGATTTGTTGCATCACAATGGAATTTCGTGTGTTCACCAAAGCCAGCGGGAGGTCATCACACCACTCTAATTAGTGGTGGTGGGGGAGCAGCGTATTTTGTGGGCGGTCCTTGAGGATCCCACCGCCCCAATTCCATATATAATTCGGCGCCTTTTGTTTGAACTCGCCAATTCGCATACACAATTGTGTGCACTTTTACGGGACCTCGTGGGGTGCGCTCTTTTGAAACAAATTTTGTGTTCAGAAGAAGAAGAAGAAAAGGCGTTTTTTTTTTCGCCTACCGTAGTTCTTGGTTTATTATTGCCTGTTTTGAACAACACTCGACGACGCTGTTGTTGTTGTTGTTGTTTGTTGTTAGCTCCGCGAAAAAAAAATGAGAACCTCCTATCGCTCGCTGGGTGCTGTTATTTGCTCGTCTGCTTCTGCTGACTGGCTGGGTCTGACATTGAGACTGGCGGAAAGCTCCTGTCACCAATTGCTTCTCATCATTTTTTTTTCTGGACGAGCTTCGGTACTTTTTCAAGATTCCGAACATGCTCGTCCACATTCATAAATTTTCCTCCTCCATCCTTCTTTTTTCATTTTTTTCTTTCAAAAAAAAAAAAACACGTCATGCATTTTCGGTTTTGTGCGCACCCATTGGTGTGTTTGTGCGGCGACCGCCCCTTGTGTGTACGTATCAATTTTCAAAGGTTTCCTCATCATTTGGCTCGCGAAATAATGCACAAAACAGCATCTTGCGAGCGCGTGATGAACTCGTTTCGTCGCGTTTTCCAACAAATCGCATTTATTCGAATCATTCCAGAGAACGCGAAATGAGCGAATCCGAATCATTGGGTGGTAGTAGCGCGTCAACGAATGGCAATGTCGACGACTTTGCGTTCTCGCAACTATTCGCTTCAGTCACTCGGCCAATTCCATTGGCTTGCAACTCGGTGTACTCGTCAAACTCGCCGTGGGGAACTGGTGAGTCAGACGAGCTCAAATTTGAATTCGCGCACTTTGTTAGTTGTGCGCAAAAGTTGACGCGGTGGTCTGCGGACGTTGCATTTTATTTGACGAAATTAGCAATTAAATTTTTTTTTCAAAACAACATTTCTTATGGAATTTTTCGACTTTTGCCTTTTTTTTCCCAAAACGTCTTTTTCCCGCAAATATATTTTTGAAATTTTTCTGTTATTAATTGTGAATTCAGACGCAATATAAGACAATAGACGAAAATCTCGAAAGAACAAGGATTTCATAATTGTTCGTTTTTTGAATATTCGCGCTTCAAAAATCATTTTCGTGCATTGTTTTAGATTCCCAAAAATTAATCGCGCATTTTAAATGGCAGATTAGACGAAAATTCTGCACGAAATCGCACAAATTTTATTAGGCCACATTTAATTCTTTAATTTTTTAAAAAGTACATCTGATTTCAGCAGTGTCCCAGCCTATGCTCGGGGGATCATTCGGCTTGGCACCAACTCCACCACCAATCACAGAGCAGGTTAGTCGGTTATTTCAATTTGTATAAATATTTATGCGTCGACATTTATATATATACACTCACATGTATACATGTGGTGGGATGTATATAAAGCCCAAACCAAACAACACACATTCACGGAGAGATTATGTTTCAACACGTCTCGCATTTTCTTGCCATCATATTTATATTATAAATTAAGATTTGCATCTAATCGATGAATCGACAAGATTCTTTACGGAAAATGTTTGAAATCGCCTCCAACAAATGTGTGCATTAGCCAAAAAAAAAGTTGTTTGCCAATAATTGCGGGCAACTGCGCTCTATGGTCCAACTGAATTCCCATTAGCCGAAAAATTCCCAATAGTGTTGTCGGCGGTCACGTGATGGACGATTTAATAAGTGTTGCCCGTGCTATTTTCGATGCGCCGAAAGAACGAACGATATTTTTAGAGGAGAGCACAGTGAGAGGGGGGGGGGAGAAAAATTGAGCTTTTAGTGTTTGGTTTGTTCATCTCGGTGTGGGTGCTCAACCATCCTAACATTCAAATGTAAAGTTTTCTTTTCAATTTTTTTTGTGTCATGTTATATGTGTGTTTCATCTTGCCACGACTCTCTGACTTTGTTTCGATGGCTCGCCGCCTCTCCGCTCGACACAATGCCGTCGTCGCGAAACTTTTTCGCCTCGCATCCAATGGCTTCTGCTGCCCGTGTTCGTTTTTTTTCCAACCAAGCATGTCCAACGAACAACTTGTTTCTGGAATCGCTTGCGCCGAATGATGTAATGGGGGGTTCGATGCCGAGTGGTCTGACGTGCGATATTCCATTTTTGGTTAGAAAAAAGCTCCCTTCTTGTTCTTATCGGTGGCCTTGTCTCACTCAATACGGTGGTTTTTTTTTTGAAAATAAAACGAAACTGCTGACGTTCGATAAAATGTGCGTGTGTGTTATCAACCGCCTTTTTCATTCATTTCCTAGCAGCTCATCTTCCCACTTTTTTTTTCCTGCTTCGTGGCATTACTGAACGTGTCAAGTGTTGATAAGAGGCGATGTGAATGGCATTAGAAGCGTATCGACGAGAGAATAAAATATATAGCGACACAATTTTTGAGCGATGCGTAAACAGAATTGCTAGTCAAAATATTATTATTATTATTATGACACAGACCAGATTAAAGGAGTTATTCATTGGAATTGGTGATTCACGAATTTTTCGTGTTTCCTCGAAACTATTTTTATGACTTCCTGCTAGACAACTTGCTTCAGTATTTTTTTCATTGTCAAAACTGAGACTGCCATTCAGCAGAATGGTATCAGTAGAAAGATCGGAAGTCGATTAGCTGAATTTTTTGCCTAAATTTAAGTATTCTTTAACCGGTTTCCGGTTCGATGAACGCTTTTTTTTCGCTTCCACGAATCCTCTCGTCTGGTCTACGTGAATATATTCGGATTATAAATAGGGTCAATGACTAAACAAACAATTGTATTGATTAATGCGTTGTGCAGCCACGATCAAACTAGATTTAGGAGCACCCGTTGATCTTTTGCGTGTAGATCGTCGTGTTTTTTTTTGTCACTGCATTATTTCCTCCAACCAGCGCAAAATTGCCGTCCCTATTGTTGTTGTTTTTATTGTTTTTGGTGTTTGACGCCGCCGAAAACCGAAACCGGAACCAATTAGATTCACCTTCACATATATGTCATATAGATTATCGATTCTGGTCGATGGGTCTTGTTGTTTACGCGAAACGAACAAAAAAACTGATAAGCGGCAACGGCACACTGGCGATTGACCGATTGAGCGGCCGGCCTCCGGCGGCGCCGGCTTGGAGTCCAAGAACCCTGGGGGAGGGGGGGCGGTCGTCGCACACAATAAAAAAAATGGCTTAGTTCGATTTTCGCTTCATTCCGCGTGTTTTTTTTTGTTCGACGATTGTGTGCGGTCGTGTCTGCGAGATGTGTTCGCAGAAATGGAAGCGGGAAATGGCCTCTGTGTCACCCGACACGATGTTTTTTTTTCATCTTATGTACGGCCCCGTCGGGCAGCCTCACTCACTCTCCGAATCCTTCTTCCCCATACTAGTATACCCGATTAGTATGAGTTGCGTCGGCCATAAAAGGGCAAATTGATCGCGCGAATAATTGGGTGTCTTTAGTGCTTCTTTCGAATGAACCACCATTCGCGCGTTTACAGTAGGCGAATTGTTGTCGACGTCGTAGTTTCTGCTTAATTGGGTGATAAAACGGTGGAATGGAGGGCCACGTGCCCATCGAACACCTGCAGAAGCGCCACTTGTCTGGGTCAGTCAGCGATTATGCGCGAAACGGTGTTGAATCGATTTTTGAATTTTGCGAACGCGTTGTTTGTCGGATTATTCTTTCGATTTCGTACCATTTTTTATTCTCCAGATGCCCTTGAACGTCTTCTTTTTATTATTATTCTTTGTGTTGAAACAATTTTCCCTCGTTTTTTTCTAAAAAAAAGAAATATAATTATTCTTGTGTGATCTCGTTGTTGTTTGCTCGTTAGAACTCACTTCTCCTTTTTAGACGCTAGAAGTGAGTCAGAAGCATTAGTCATGCGTTGAATTCTCGGCTGCCGGACGAAATCGCACTTTGCGTCGTTACTGTCTCGTTTTTGTGTCGCCTAGTCGGCCATCCTTCTCCGGATGGTGGTGCGTGCTGGTGTAATTGAATTTCGGCGGGGCCATATGCGTATTTGTTATATGTGTTTGACGGTCGTCCAGTGCCAGTCGGGACCAAGCAAGGCCGCCTGCGCGATGGGCCGGTCGGTTTGTGTGCGCGCGCGCGCGCTCGCGCCTCCCATTTCGCCGTCGACACTGGACGAACGAATGCGGGCGGCGAATCGCATCGGGCCGTCCAGACTTGCTTCACCTCTGCGGTTCGTGTTGAATCTCGCCGCGAATTGCGAAACCGCGAATGTTGATATTTCGCGTTTTGATCTCTCTCTGCGCTTCTTTATTTTTTGCCCGGTGCGGCGCGCCGCACGCTTTTATCGATGTTTCTCAGTTTCTCGCATCGCCGCTCTTGGTTTCTCGGGGCGGCCGCGCTCGTCGAATGTGTGTTGTTGTTGCTGGACGTCTCGGCGTCTCCGCGGTTCGCCCTCGACGAGCATTTGTGTCTCGCCCGCCTGGGCAGCAGCAGCAACGGCGGCGGCGACGGCGGCTGCGGCGACGACGACGACGGCGACGGCGGTAGCGCGGGTCTCGTCCTCGACGTTCTCGCGCAAAATGTATAGTCATTGAGTGAGTTGTCCACCATCATCGCCAGCAGCACCACGACGGCTGCTGCGGCGACTCTTGCGACGACCGCCTTCTCGTACGGGGCACGCGCGCTCAATTTTTTTCCTCCTTGCTTAGTTGTACCATCACTTTGCTGTTTTTTTTTCGCTGACAGCCAAAATTTTATCAGCTTGCCTCAATTATTTTAATTGTGGCGAGCACTGTCCATTTCTCGCGTGCGCACACCACAAAAACATGCAGATGGTTTTTGATCACGGAACACTCGACTCCGCCCATCATCCTTCTCCTCCTCCTCCTACTCCTCCTCGTTTCCACCTCCTTGTCGTCCTCTTGGTTGGTGGTGGTGGCACGCCATCTGTCGCCTCACCGCCGCCATGTCGACGTTGGCGGAGAGCGGGTATTGGTACCGGTTCGCACCGCGTTCATTGTTTGCTGTTTGCCTGTCTTGATGTTCATCCTAACTATATAGTGGTTTCGCGATTCGAGCCGCTTAATTTCAAAAATCTCGTCTTGAACCGCCCATCATCGTCGACGGACGGATTCGTTTTTCTTTCATGTTTTGTTCCATCCACTACTACTACTACTACCGGCCTTGACTCGCATTTGTTGGCAGGCTTGCGAAGAGACTGCGCGTGCGTGCGTGTGTATGTGTGTATCTGTCTGCGTGGCGCGCGCCAAATCCCCGACATTTGTTGTCGTTTCGAATTCGCGCCCAATTTTTTTTTGTTTGAGTTGATATCTCATTTATCTTCTTTTTTTGAATTATCGCTCATTGCAGGTTGTCAAGTGCCCGTTGTGCTTGGAACCATACCGTCAACCCAAGGTATTGGCGTGTTTCCACTCATTTTGCAAGTGTTGCCTCGAGAAACATCTAAAGTCGGCGGAACGCATTATTTGTCCGCAGTGCCACATGGAAACGCAATTGAGGTATTCTTTTTTTTTGTTCGTTCTTTTGAAAAAAGTCTCACGTCGAAAATTGCGTATTTTTCTCGCCCAAATGTCGTGCAATAAAAGGGCGAATTTGATAAGCAAAATTGCTATGTCTTTACGATATGTCAATATTTCTCGGCTATAAAATGAGCAATTTCCAACGATTACGTGAATTGTTCAACGATTGTAGAAAAAATTTTTCGATTAATTATTCCACTTGACTATACGAATTTTTATTTCTATCCGTCTTTTTTTCTATTAGAATAGTATCAAATTTCGCAAGTTTTTGCCTGAATATTCCTTCTCGTATAACGTTTTTTTTTTCAAAACGAATATTTTTTTCAGTGTACATCTCGGTCTCGATTCGCTGCTGACCGATTTTGGTCTTGAATCGGTGATGAACCGTCAGTGTCAGCTCATGAGCGGCATGTCGCTCGGTGGCGCGCCGATGCCCATCAACAACGGTTTGAGTTCCGCTGCGGCTGCTGGCAGCCTCGGCGGAAGTGCCGGAAGCGAGAAGCCGTCGTCGGTCGTCGGTTTCGGGTTCGGTTCGCCGTCGTCGACGTCGTCGTCGCCGCCGCTTAGCGATTCGCCGACGTGCGATCAACAGCACATGGTGAATTTGACGGCGGCGGCGGTCGCTGCCGCTGGACACGCCAACGCGACATGTACGGGATGCAAGTCGGGAGAGCAGGTTAGCATATCGGCGATCTCGATTCATTCGTGGTTTCAATCGAACCATTTAAGGCCTCTTCCTATTGCCACGATTGCAATTACAATCTGTGCTCGAACTGCACGATGGCTCATCAGTTTATGCATTGCTTCGAGGGCCATCGCGTCGAGAACCTTCCGCTATCGAACATCTCGTCGGCATCATCGACGGCGTCGAACTCGTCGGCGGCGATGACAGCCGCCAACGGCGGATTCGACTCGTCCGACAAAAGCTGCAAATGCCTTCAGCATCGCAATCAGCAATTGTGCTATTTCTGTCTGACGTGCAACTTGGCGATTTGCCATGAATGCACGAACGTCGATCATTTGGCGCCGGTGCACAATTATGAGCCGATCAGTGACGTAAGTAGACATTTTTTTTTGAAATACAAGTCAAGATTATCTAACGGATGCAGGTGAAGTAGCGAATAAAAAAATCCAGTGTTAAAAATTTTTTTATGGATTTTTGATGATTCATCCCATTTGTCATTTTTTGTTTTATAACGACTCCACAAAAGATGCTCGTATATGAATGATAAAGCCTCAAAGCCATCAGAAACCGCAGCATTTCTCATTGTTATGCAAATGATGTGTCGCAATGCAGCGCGCTCCTCCATTCCCATTTTCGCTTCCTCCATTCCCATTTTTGTATGGCGATTTTTGACCACTAAACAGCGATTCAGTGCGTGACGGCGGTGGTCATCGTTGGAATATTGCCAAGTGTGCACACTTGATGATATTAGTAGTAACGCGAAATTCGTCGAACAGGTGGCCATCGGTTTTTCGAGTCGCTCTCATGACTCTTTATGGTCCCTCCTTCTCATACTCGCCATTTGTGACAGATGGCGGTGTCGAATATCAATTATACGAGTATCAGAGATGGTTTCGACTGATAGATGCGAGCGCGCATTGAATTAATTTCATTATGATTGAAACAGATGCGCTGGTTTTTGCAGGTTGCTGACAAGCAGATTCATAAGATGGAGCAGTTGGTGGCCGAGGCGCGCTCGAAACATGGCGAACTCGTCGAATTGTATAAACAGGTGCGTATTTTCTTGGATTCCAAGAAAAATAAGTAGGCAAAAGGGATTAGCGAAGAAACGACGATGACATGTTTGCGAGATGTGAGAAAAATGTGAACGAACAATTTTCGAGCGAATTGCTTTACAAATAATTTTTAGTTAGTTTTTTTTGCAGGTTGACAACGCTCAGCAGCGCCTTACCGCTTCACTGCACAATGCTCATGCTCAGCTTGACGAGAATGTAGCGAGTCTCGTTCTTCAACTGCAGGATCAGAAGAAGACGATGGCCAAAGATATCGACAACGCGTTCTCGGCGAAACAGGTAACCACATTTGTTTTTTTTTTTCGTTTCTCTTGCGCCTCTTTTGAACAAATGGGGTGTATTATAATATGTGGTATCAGTAAGAACGAGTCGCCGACAATGATGGCGGCGGAAACTTGTTTTGTTCCCTTTTTTGTTCCTCCCCCCCCCTATTCTTTTTGTTTTGGTTTTTAATTAGCTGGGTGGTCAAGGACGCCGCCCCGGTTTTTTTGCTGGGGAGGAGGCTATTTAAAAAAAAAGCACACGTAGACGAATGTATTGTGGGAAATCGATCTATGCGCGTTTTATAAATTGAGTATATTTTGCGGGCAACCGATATTGATGATTATCAGTGAACAAACAAAACACACACACGCATAGACGGCGCGTAGTTGTTTGTCCCATCGGAATACGAGAGATCATTAGATCATGTTTGCTAGGTGACACTTCCTCACGAAGTCATATATGGTTATGATGGTGGTTATCCGGGGGTTAACCTTTGTCCACTTATCCTGTTTAATCAAGCAATGCTTGACAAAAAGTACACACTTGCATTGTGTTAGTTAGTCGTAGTCGTTCGGTGGGGGGTGCTATTGTTACGCGCGGATGATGATGACCTCACCTGACTGGACGTCAATGTGAATGTTATGTTGTATGCGTGCCTGGTTGCCCGCGTACACACACACACACACCACTGTCATCCCGGTGGTTCGATCTCGTAGCCCTAATTTGGCATGTTAATTGTTGCGGAAATGTCGACCTCGTCGTCGATTTTGACGAGGATGAGAACGAGAGGGGGGGGATTTTGAGGAGAAATTATGAAGACTAGTAAAATTTCATTATTTTCCTTTCTTGCAGATTCAACTCACCATGGTTGACAAACGCATTCAGCAGATGGCTGAGAAGCTCAATCAGACGATCGAGTTCACGCAGCGATTGCTCAAGTTCGCCTCGCCGACTGAAGTGATGGTGTTCAAGCAACTTTTGGACACGCGTCTCCAATTGTTTTTAGGATTTAACCCTGATGTGAGTTGCCTCGCAGATTTCATCAGTTGCTTAATTTTGACGTCATCCAGGTGTCGAATGCATTGGGATCATCGTGCGAGATTGAGATTCCGTCGTTGAACGCTCAAATGGGACGTCAGGCGATTTCTCAGCTTCTTGGACAAGTGCGCGGAGCTGCCTCTGAGTGGAATGGTGTTCTGCCATCGTCACAATCCGGCATGCCGCCGACGCCAATCGGACGGCCGCCGAGTCGTCATCAGATCGAGCATCAGATCTCGCGGTCGCCGCCCCAACAGGTTGCTCACAGCCTGCCGTTGGCGCCCAACGCCTTCTCCGACTCGAATCTTCAACGACCCAAAAACGACTTTGGAGGTTCATCGCAGAGTCTTGGACCATTCACGAACACTGCCGATCCGTTCGGGCAATACGAGAAATGGTCGATTGGTCTCGAGCCAAGTCTGGGACTCCTCGACGCGAACAGCGACGACGACAAGTCGTTGTTCCCGCCATCGCGTTCGCAGATCAAGCGTCAGAAGATGATCTATCATTGCAAGTTTGGAGAGTTTGGCGTTCTCGAGGGACAATTCACCGAGCCGTCGGGTGTTGCGGTGAACGCGCAAGGTGAGATTTTTTTGATGTGAGCATTTCTTGAATGGAAATTGAACGTTTTAGGTGACATCGTCGTTGCCGATACCAATAATCATCGCATCCAAGTGTTCGACAAGGAGGGTCATTTTAGATTCCAGTTCGGCGAGTGCGGAAAGCGCGACGGTCAACTGCTGTACCCGAATCGGTAATTCGACACCGCCGAACTACAATTCGATTAGTAGCAATTCAATTATTTCAGTGTCGCAGTGAACAAGACGACCGGCGATTTTGTGGTCACCGAACGCTCGCCGACGCATCAGATTCAAGTCTACAATCAGTACGGTCAATTTTTGCGCAAGTTCGGCGCCAACATTCTGCAGCACCCGCGCGGTGTCTGCGTCGACAACAAGGGCCGAATAGTGGTTGTCGAGTGCAAAGTGATGCGGGTGATCATCTTCGACATGTTCGGCAACATTCTTCAAAAGTTCTCGTGCTCGCGCTATTTGGAGTTCCCGAACGGCGTGTGCACCAACGACAAGAACGAGATTCTCATCTCCGACAACCGCGCGCACTGCATCAAAGTCTTCTCGTACGAGGGACAATTTTTGCGCCAAATTGGTGGCGAAGGTGTCACCAACTATCCGATTGGTGTCGGCATCAATTCGATGGGCGAGATTGTCGTCGCCGATAATCATAACAACTTCAATTTGACCGTCTTCTCGCAGGTAAGAAGAAGAAGATGAAGAAGAATGAGATGGGAATAAATGATTTATGATTGGGAAATTCCTTTCGCCGTGGGTGGAGATTAGGGATCTAAGCCGCTATCTACGGTAGACATGAGATAATTATCGGAAGGAACCGGATATTGTGACTGACTGGGGGTGGCGGGGCTTAGTTGCCGATTCGTAGTTTTGGACAATGGCTGGAGGGGGACGAGAATGCTCCGAACTGAATTCAAATTCACATTTCATTTTCCAGGATGGTCAAATGATCGGCGCGCTGGAATCGCGCGTCAAGCATGCGCAATGCTTCGACGTCGCCCTCGTCGATGATGGCTCGGTGGTTCTTGCTTCGAAGGACTACCGCCTCTACCTTTATCGTTTCCTGTCGGCGAACGCCGCGTCGCTGTCGTCGGCGTCGATCGCGACGGCGAACAACGGCGCCAATCAGCAGGCACCGCAACAGCCGCAGCAACAGCAATAGGAGGAATCGACGAGTTGAATTGTTTTGTTCATTTTTTTTTTCAATTTTCTTTTCTCATTCCGCTGACACCACCACCCATCACCACCACCACCACCACACAAAACCAGTTTTGTTGTTGTTGGTCGCTTCGACCAAAAAATGTGCATATATTTGTGTTTTTTTTTTCTCTTTTTCCTCATTCTTCCCCCCAGTGTTTATTATCATCTTTTTTTATGGCCGCCCATCGATTTCCACCGGTTCGCACCTCCGTACAGTTACTCAATTTTCTTGTTCCATGGAAATCTGATGGTGGTCTTGTTGTTGTCATTATTAAATTGATGTTTCTTCTCTCTTTTTTTTTCTTTGGAGCAGCGCTCCGAACTAGTTGTTTTTATTTTTATTATTATTATTTTATTTTATTATTATTATTGCCTGTTTTCGTTTTCATTTTTTTCTTTTTGAGCCTGGCGCTCGTTCATGTAAAATGTGAGTTTTTCTTTCCCACCACCACCACACCGAAGCAATTGTCTCTATGTATTGTTTTTTTTTCATCTCCAACACAACAAATTGTTTAGTTGTTCAGCTCCTTTCCCCCCCCGTTCCCCCCTTGTCGAAATTATCGATTTTTGGCGCCAGGAAGCGCGTTTCCTTGCTATTTTCGGTTCTCGAAGCGAATAGTGTAGAATATGATTTTCTATGGAAAAGAAGTGTTTTGTTTTACTGGTGCTCTTTCTCCTCCTCTTCCTCTCCCTCTTCCTCTTCCTACCGCCGACGTCGCCTACCCTTCTCGTTCTCTTTAAACGCTGAAACGAAGAAGACTCTTAAAGAAAATTGTATTCGCCCGGCGAATTCTGTTGTTTTTTTTCTACTCGTATAAAGTTTATGCTCATATTATTATTATTATTATTATTGTAGCCCCATGTGTAACTTACAGCCCCCCCCCCATCGATTTTCCCGCTTTTCAATTATTCCTTTAAAAGTGTGTATGTTTATTGTTTTGTTTTCATTTCATTTTCGTTTGCCCGTTCAATTTGTTTGACGCCCCCACCCCCCTCCACCCCGCGGCCCCCAGTCTCCGAAGAAAAATTTGCTGAAAATGCAGATCAGGCAGGTTCCTGTGTTGCGACAAAAAATAAACAGACGTGTTTGAGTGCCCTTATCCTTCCCCCCCACCCCGCCCCCAATCTTCAATAAGAAAAAATTCGTGTATATTTTTTATTTATGAAAGAAGACCCCGGCCATCCCCCAGAGTACAGTAAATTGTTCTTGTAAACTACGTGATCTTTCGCAATATTATTATTATTTTTTGTTTTTCTTTTCCTGCCCCCACCGTTTAAAGAACACTACAATCATCGCTCTTATTGCTCTCTTTTTTTTTAATCAAGTTCTTGTCCTTTGTTTTTTGCACCCCGACTCCCCCCCCCCTCTCTCTCATCGTCTTCTTCGGTATTCGCGAGTTTTTTTAAGCCACTAGACACTTTGTTGGTTGTTAAACGCAATTTTTTTATTTTCATGAATAAATGGAACTATAGTTGAAAATATCGACACCAATTTTGGCAATTACTCGTGCGATTTTTTTTATAGGAGCATGAGAGTCGAGAAGCTGAGAATCATGGAGCTCTGTAGGCACACGCGAATCCCATTATGCTTCTGGCGTCATTGATTTTAGAATTGTAAACGTAGTCGCATCTGAAATTATCGTAATAAGCGCCATTTTCGGGGGTCGTCGATATTACGCGGCATCGTCCATCTCAGTGGGACTGTTTAGCTGAAATTGATCGGTCGCCGGTTCGCCGGCATACACGTAGACGCAATTTTGATTGTTTCTGAAAATGCTGGAATAAATTCAATGGGGGATGAGAAAGGCGGAGTCGGAAATGTGCAACGCGGCGGCGCAGTTTCATCTATGATTTTTGGATTAACTAATTTGGTTTTAAAAAAAGTTTCGAAATGAACGATTTATTAAAAAAGCTGATGAGAAACAATAAGAAAATCCGATTTAGAAGTATTTTACACTTGAAATTTCTGTTTTTCTTCACGTTTTCTTAAGAAACCATCCTCTGGCACCTCAAAACCAATCGGATCCGATAAACTTCGGCTCCGGAATCAATCAGATTGATTATTCTACGAATAAGATTGGTTTTTGGTTATTTTCAGATCCGATTTGTTTTAATTTTTCAAATAAAATCAGATAGCCAACGGAAATTTTCTAATGTTTTTTTTTTGCAATATTCATTTTTAGCCAAATTTCGAGCAAATTCAAAATCTATTCGATTCTCTAAACATTGCGGTTTGAAGGAAATTCGTGTCGCAATTTATTTGAGTCGAACACATGGCCGAACTTTTTTTTTAAATGCGGTCTTACCCGATGTTATCCGGCTGGTTCCTGGGGAAATTGAATCCTGCGATTCCTGTTGTCATCAGGTCAGTCCAGTAGAACGATGCCGTCTTATATGGCTTGCAAGCATCGAGAGTTGCGTTGTTGCCAATGCAAAATTCTTTCCGTTTCGCTCCGAGCCAGATGCCGCCATTCTTTCGGCCCAATGATTGTATCGCCTTCGCAGCCAGCTCTGAATATCAACTTCTTTTCAGAATACATACCCAATTTGTGATCTACCTGACACAATTTGAAGCTCATTCAAACTATCAATCCCCATTAAAGCTCCATAGTTCATCTTGCACTCGGATTGTGCGTCATTCCATGTTAGACTGCCAGCGAAAACCTGAAATGGTCTCGTAGCGGAAATATGATCCGTTCGCCAACTTTAACACATATCGAATGAGATTTTCGCTCAATTTTGGTCCATCCGGGAAAACAGTCAAAGTAGAAGGCCTGCATTGCGGAATCATTAGAATCGAGTGAATGCGTTAGAAGGAATAGCGAGAAAAGGACCGTGTGTCTCATAATGGAATCAGTGTAGGCCGAGTTTGACCAAGTTTGGAACATTTACAATCAAATCATTCGGCTATTATTCGTGAGATTGTGGTGTATTCGTGGGATAACATAAGACCTACGCATTTTGAGGTCATCGAACAAGAATGGCTCATGGAAGTCAATTGATGGTAATTTTAGAAAAAAGGGACTCGTAATAATATTTTACGAGCAGCTTCCGGTTGAATTGATGACGTGGCTCGAGCAAGTTTGAATGGGTCTCACAACGAATTGACAAAAATAATTCAGGGGATTTCATATAAGAAGAATGCAATTTGAAAAGCTGGTAAGGTTGAACGGAATTGCAGCGAAGCATTAAATACATATTGTTGAAATCAAACGACTTGACGAAATTTGAAAAAATATTGGCAATGTGCCAATGTGTCTCGAGGCAGAGAGAAGTACGCGAGATTACGTACAATGCACTATAGCGTACGCGCATTTAATAATCAGAATTATGGTGTATCAAAGTCCAAGAAGGCTCATCGCCACACAATTAAAACAAGCCCGAGGAATAAAATGGAAGCGATTCGTATTTTTCGAATCCGTTTATGAAATGTGTTCAATTCGGATCCGATTGATTGAATGTGGCCTAGAATTCGAAGAAACCACGAGTTCGTAAATTTACCCGCGCACAGTATACGCCACAGTTAAAATCAAATTTGAATGACCGTCTCAAAAAAAAATACGATGTTCCACTATTGTTCATTGTTCTCGTTTTTTTTGCGATGGTAATATTAATCAACGTCATGGCCGTGGCCGTGAGTAAAACTAGTCCACGAAGAACAAATTTATGAAAAATATGAAATATAAAACATGGTTTTTTTTAATTATGAATGGATTCATTTCATCAATTTTAAATGAAATTTTCAAAAATTCAGATCGTTTCCGCATTATTATCCACTTGAAGCTTCTCCTTGAGCAATTCGCATGGGGTTATTAGGATCTTCAACTTGTCTGTTGGAAAGAAATTAAGATATTCTGGATTTGGAATCTTGTAATCCGCTTTTGATCCAATTAAAACATCCACCTTAATATGGCTATTATTGTATTATATTTAAATTCCAAAAAACGGTTACATTATGCTTTTCAATGATTTGCGCAAGCCGCGAAGAGTCCGGATAATCCAAGGGACCTTCATAGATGGTCAACGATTTCGACAACGCCCATGGAAGTAAAAAATTGGCGAGATTGTCCAAACAATCCAATGGATCAAGGATCATGAGATTCTCGATGTTGAGATCGACTCGCAATAGGTTTTCGAAGTTGCTCAACTTACGATCAAGTGCTTCGACGAGCTCCGAATGACGAACCTTTGTCGAGCTGCTGAAATTCGGGTGCTTCCACAAAATACACTCAGATCTCTCTCTCTCTCTCTCTCTCTATCTCTCGCACTCATTCGCTCACTTCATCACGATTTATTTAAGCGTTTTTTTTTATTTCGACAAACATCCTCGAGGTGTGTTTGCACACCGTTTTCGCGTCGTGTGTGGGCCGTTGAATTTACCGGGGATTGAGCAGAATCGCCACCGTCTCGTCGTCCGACCATCTGTGATCGGCGAGCTTCACGTTTCGATCGATTGCTGACATCACGTCGGTCCATTCGAAGTCGAACACGTCGCGCATTTCGAGCTGCAATTCGATTCGCTTGAAAGAAAATTGATGCATCGACTCATGGGCTTACCGTCGTTTTATAGTAGGGCCTTCTTGCCGGAAGATGTTTTTTCGGCGGCGGAACGCCAGGGTTCGGTGCCACGTGGCGAAGCACCAAGAATGGAATATTCTCAAAAATCGCTTCGAGACCTTTCTTGACTATTATCAGGTCTTGAGCTTGCCAAAATGCGTCGACGGTGATGACCAAGGAGACGGGAATCTCCATCGGAAAGCGTTTTATAGTAGGATCCTGAAAAATAGTAATATGGTCTCAACACGAAACGACGCGCATGTGTACTTCAAACGGACAACGCGAGACCCGGCTTACCACAATAACTGGGACCATTCCGATTTTATAGCACGCCATAATTATCAGTGGAAGCTGCATTATTTTCGGAACCGCCACCACAATATTCTTACCATGTTCGTCATTCTAAATATTATTTTTGAAAAAATATATACATAGTTAATTAATCAAAAACTAACAATAATGCAATTTTCGATAGCTTTTCCAATTTTTCGAACCAAAATCTCGATGGTCTCCCAATCGATTTCACAGCAATCATGAACGTCATGATCATCCCAATAATTGCCTTCCCTGTTTAAAAAAATTTTTTTTTTGATAATATTCAACATAGTTACCATATAAGGCCGATATCATCGGGTTTTCGAAAATTTTCGTCAATTTTCAAACATGTTTCAATAAGATTTTTTGGCTAAAATTTGAGTATTCTAGGGGAAATATTTGATGGAAATTGAAACCAACCATATTCGGAATCGAGAACGGCGAAGAATGGACGCCAACAACAAATTATACGATATGAGCCAGTTTCACTAATTATGGTAATTTGCTCGACCCCCTACCCCCCGCCAAATTTGGGCAAATTAGAGGTTTTGAGAATACATAGTTTATAAAACAACATTGGAATGGAAATTGGTGTTTAGCTGACGGCGGGTCGTCCGCAAACGAATCCCTGAATCGCGCGAATCTTGTTCTGGAAGTCGTTATTGAACGAGTAGGTGCATCTGAAAATCATTGGAGAATTGTTGACTGAAAGCGCGCCTACGCTGAATCGTCCATCTCTCCCGGATTGTTGGGTCCCCATCGATCGGGGGTGTTCGGCTCTCCAACGAACATGTACAGGCAATTCTGATTGAGTCTGCAAAAATGTTCGCTTGGCGGCTGGAAAAAAAAACCTACTGCGAGTTGTCCGGCTGTCCCGGTCGGAAGTAGAATCCGCGGACGCCTTCCGTCTCGCCATCGGTCCATTCGAATTGGTTGTAGATGCAATCACCTGATCGATAGTTCGTGCCCATACAATTGTCCTTGCGTTTGGCGCCAAGCCAAAACGCGCCATTCGGCTGATTGATACTCTGAAGGGACGCCTTCGCCATCTGAACCACTTGCCGACGCTCGGCGGCACTTTCGATTCCGCTGAGCGTCGCGCCTCGTCCCTGGCATTCCTCTTCAGCGGCGTCGCGCGTCACCGTACCACTGAACACCTAGAAGGTTCGCGACGATCAAAAGGCATGTGACATTTGTGATCATACACCAATGCACCATCCGCCGCTTTTTCTGTCGAATAGGTTCCAACCGCGCGGGCACGGCGAACATCGAACAACGACAACCAAAAGCGCCAATGAGGCGACAAGGGTTTTCATGAAAATTGCGCAACACAGAACAATGAACTATCCGAGATAAATTGGCGATATTTTTATATGGTTTACATTTGGATTTAATGGCCCTCATAATTCATGAGACCGCGCTTTTTGGATTTTGTATGCACCATAAAAAATTGCAGAATGAGTGGGTGGGAATCGTGAGCACATCAAAAAAGAAAATTCATTTCTTCTCGGCAAAATAAATCTCGCGAATCTTCTTATGAATCGCGTCCATTGTGCTCCGCTTCTCCGGATTCCGCTGCCAACACGTGCCGGTGACGATGTCGGCAATTTGCGGATGCGTGCCGTCCGGCATTTTCATTCGATAATCGTTCACGATGATTTTGGCGCGCGTTTGGAGTTTCGTCAAACCCGGATACGGCTCGGCGCCGTCGGCGTAAATCTCCCAGACGAGCACGCCGAACGACCAGATGTCGGTTTTATGCGAATAGACCTTCTCTTGCATCGTCTCCGGCGCCAGCCATTTCACCGGCACCTAACAGTTATCAACGATTGACACAACTCGCGACGGGACCCAACCTTCTCGAGTGTCTCGTCTTTGATGGGAACGTCGTTGTCCTGCGACATTCCAAAGTCCGAAATTTTCAGCTCATTTTTGGCGGCCAACAAACAATTTCGAGCGGCGATGTCTCGATGAATACACTTGGTTCGTTCGAGATAGGCGATGCCGTCAGCAGCTTCTGTTGTGAATCTGAGCTTCTCCAACGCTGCCACCTTGTTCTTTTTCAGATGTGCCAATAATGAGCCGTCTGGAATTCAATTCGTCTTTTTTTCTTGTCATCCACCAATTTCTTTTTCTACTTGGACAATACTCCATGACGATCATGAGTGGATGCTCATGAATAGCGACACCTGCAAAATTTGGCTTAATTGTCGCTTCTCAAAAAAAAAAAAATGGAATCCACCAAGAAGCTTGACAACATGCTTGTGCTGATACTTCCTCATTAGTCGCGCCTCCTTCATAAATCTGAGGCGAGCTTCTCGCGAGGCTTCAGCTCGCATCGTCTTCACGGCCACTTCCTGTTTGCTGCCGCCCGAATCGCACTCGGCCAGAAACACCTAGGCGTCATTCAGCGTTGTCGATTACGTCGACGACTACCTCGCCGAACGCGCCCTCGCCGAGCTTTTTCACCGCCACTATCGAATCGTGATTGATGAGCCACGCGGATCGCTCCATCGGACGCCGCAATTTCGCGCCCGACGCCTGCGAGAGAGGCGTTTTCGAGGTCCTGCAACGAAATTTCCAAAAATTCCACAGATTATGTGATATAATCGCACATGTGCCAGTTGATGAGGTCCGATATTGTGTTCTCCTGATGGCTTTCAAAATAAAATTTATTCGTTGTCGGATCCATATTGAGCATGAAATGACGGCAGAGATCGTCATTTACGCGAACAGACAATGCCAGAACCACTTTGCCTGTAATAAAAGGGTCTCGAAGCGAATTCAATTTTTAATTAATCTTTTTTCGCTAGCTTTTATTTCGTTCATTAAAAAACAACATATCGAATTTTGACGAGCAAAAATTTTCGCTTTCTAGAATTTTCTTAGATTTCTGAAATCAGTACCTGGCGTTTGTTCGGTTTTTCTCAATAGAAAATCGCCTTCTCGTTTTAGAATCGCCTCTGCGTCTTGTCTTGGCACGAGGCCATGATAATATTCGGCGCCGCGTATATCGTCAGTTACCGACGGCGCCTCGTCGCGCTTCGAATCCGACACTTTCTTTTGAACCGAGCCCATTTGCGATGAGTCCTTCTTCTTCTACAATTTATTTTTTCTCCGTTTCATTTTCGTGTCAAGATCATTTTGTGCCATTATTTCAATTACCTTCTCCACTGAACCCATTTTTGAAGCTTCTTTGACCATAGTTGCCAGTTTTATCGAATTATTTTAACCGCTATTTGACTTGAATAGGAATTTATGCAATAACTCATTCGTCATTGTTTCACGCGCCAATTTTTTTTTTCGCGCAATAATTTAATTAAATGTTACTTACTGTATGCGATTTGTGTGCAAACACCGGCGCGTCTTCTCGCACACCGGCCTGCTTTGCCTAAAAATCGTTCGCGCCTAGCTGTTAGAGGTGAACCGGTATTTTTTTGGTGCAGAACCCATCTGAATGAATTCTCATTGTTATCTTTGGGTCTCCATGGCAGTCGACAATCTCTACGTCACCGTTTTCTCATCGCACAGCCGTCCGTTCATCGGCCTACCACTTTTTTCCTCTGCGCCTCCGCATTCGCCGTGTTGCCTCGTCAATGGCACCGAGGCGACGAGACATGCAATCTTCGGGCACCCAGGCAGCTGCATCGGTTCATCGTCGCAATACGGGTGTGAAATGGCGACGGCGTGTTTGCACCAAAAACGATTATGGCGCATCGTCGACTTTTTTTGAAAATTTCGTGATTCTTTTCAGTGAAATTAATTCATTTTAGGGAACCGATTTATAAAATGTGAGACACATCGAAAAGATTGTTGACTTTAGGTCCCTTCTCAACCACTGAATTCCTTGTTGTCGATAGAGCGCGTTTGCCCACCACTAGTAGAACGGGAGACGGGCAATTTCTCGCATCGCACCCTCCGCGAAGTGTGTCGAGGGTCATGAAGAAGAGTGAGCGCGACGCGACCGCTTCGCGCTGCCTGCTCGCCTGCGTCTCGTCACGTTCGCACCTCTCGCAGAACATTTCGCCGACGCCTTTTTTCGCTTTGCAGCGCCTTTGTGGCCGTTGTGTTACGGTTTCATGTTATAGTTGCTTTTCAATCAAATTAACTTAATTTTTATCAATATTTTATGAAAAAGAAAAAATTAATTAATTTTTCCAAAAATTTTCAATCAGTTTCGCTCACAAAAAGTCGTGGTTTTGCCATAGAATTTTTTTTTTTCAAAAATTTTCAACCAGCTCCGCCCATGTGAATTTTTCAAAAAAATTTTTTTTTGCAATTGAAAATCGTTTTTAGGCCGTTGTAGAAATATTTAATTCACATCTCTTTCTAAAAACTTTTCAACGTCTCGTCGAGACCCATTAGTACTAATTGTATGCGCTCCTTTGAAGCTTCTTGCCTTACGCAATTTTCCATGACAATATTTTTGAGACTACATGATATCAGAAACTAAAAAATCACAGAAATCTCTGAAAATATGATATTCCTCAAACTTCCTACTCAAAACCTTTGTCCGTGGGGTGTCTTCTCGAAGCGGGTAGGTTTTGGGGCGCATTGCGGACGCAACGCGTGCGCGCGTCGCGGTTCTCTCATTTCCCAAGCGCAGTGTTCGTCACATTTCCGCAATTGTTTCTATTTGCGCATAAAAAACTATGTGATATTTCTCATCGAATTTATTTTTCAGAAGCTGTCTCTTCTCTATGGTATAACCTGCAGACCGAGAAATGAGCGAAACCGCAAGGCAGCCGGTTGAAGTCAAGCAGGAGGTGGTCGACGATGACAATGATCTATTGGTAATGAGAATAATTTTGAAAATTGAGCGAAAATATTGTTTGAATGTTTTTTTGCAGGCTGGAATGGACACTGGAACGAGTTTGGATATGGCGGTGAACGTCGTCGCCGAATCCGAACAACGAAATCTGGAGAAACGAACGAGAAGCTCCGAGGAGAAGTCGGCAACGCCGGAGCCAGAAGAGCCGAAGCCAAAGAAGCGCGGAAGGAAGCCGAAAATGTATCGCGAAAAAATTCATCCCTTTTTTTGAACCATGAAATTTTTAGTTCGGCAAATGATGATGCTGACTGGCAGCCCGGCAAAAAGAAGCCGGAACTTAAGACATTCGGAATGTCTTCAAGACCGCGAAGATCTGTACGAGACCTGGCAATCATACATTTTTAAAAAATTCAAATTTTAGGTGAATTATGCTAGTCTTGCGGATGATCCGATTCCAGAAGAGTTAGAGGAAGCCGAAGGGCCGAAGAGAAAGCGAAAGATTAAAGATGAGGATTTGGACTTTTCGAAAATTCTCGCGGCTCCCTATCCGCCGAAAACTCGAAAGTTCCGCGCGTTTCCCGACGAGGATCTCACTTTTGATGTAGATCAAAAAATACCTAAAACGAATTTTTTTTTCAATATTTTTGCATTTTTAGATCGAATCGCGCATTTTGCAAGCAATCCCTTCGCCTTCTGTGGAGCGGCCGGTACCCGAGCAGCGAAAATTGCTTGCTGATGTCGACAACTATCATGCGGTTCGACGAGGTTCGGCTGGATACCGACGATTCGTCGCTTATATCAATGATTCTCAATTCGACGGACTTAAGTAATATCCCGCAAACATTTTCGAAAATAACGCGACAAATTTTTTTGCAGTAATGCTGTTGTTAATTATTTTGAGGCGAAACCAGAGCCTCTTATTGCAATGAAGGCAAAAGTTTTGAGACATCTGGTAGGCGTTCAAATGGAGTTTTAATAATAAAGGATTAAACGGTTTTCAGTGGAATATGATGCCAATAATGCAACGAAAAGAATGGGAGAAAAAGGCAAGAGACGACGCGTTCCAATCATTCAAATTGAGTAAGTTGAATTTTCACAAAAAAAAATCACTTGTATTAATTTAAAAATTTCAGTTGGACTTCTCGTTCTTCCGCCATGCGAATTTCCTCTTGAATCCACATTGGAAAAAGTGCAATCAAATCGGTTTTTTAAAGCACAAAAATTTATTACAGAAAATTCGCCATCCAAGAAATCTACAAACTTCGATAGCAAATTGCGATTGCTGCGAATTGAGGCCAACATTTTACAATGTGCGCGATATGGTTTCTCATTTCACCCGATATCACGATGCGGTGCACTTCTACGGTTGCCATTTGTGCCTTCGAATGTTCCCAACTCAAACGCAATGGATCAATCATTCGTGTCAAGCGTTCAGCTCGTATCTTCTTGAAAATGCGATCAATTCGAGTCTCACCGAGATGAAGTTCGCGCTAGTTTATTTGTCGTGCAGCGATTGCGGAATTTGGATTCCGTTGAGAGTTTCGTCGCACGCTGAAAAATTCTGGACGTTTTTGAACGCTGTTGTGGTAGGTCATTTTCGTTTCAATCAGACCCCCCTCCTCCCGAAGAAAAAAACGAAACAAGCCTAATAATTTCAGTATGCGCATAATTGTGGAACATTGGTGCCGGTGATCATTTATTTGGCGCGTGAAATTCCCGGTGAAGGTGTTAATAAGAAAATGACATTTCCAGTATATCCAAGAATCAATTGGTTTGCTATTTTTTTTTCGTTTTCCATGGAATTATTCCAATATTTTCCAGTGAAATCCCACTGTGTTGCAATGAATGCAATATAGCCGATTTTCCGAATGTCGCTGCTATCGAAGCTCATTTTAAGAACGAACATCCGGAAAATCTGAAACGATGCACAAGATGTGATGAGAAATTTGGCACTGATTTGGCGTTCCGGTAATTTACTCCCCGATTTGTTTGTATTTTTCGAATTTTCTATAATCATGTGTTCTAGATTCCATTTGACTCATCATTTTGGTGAATCATTGATGATCGCGAATTACTTGAAGTACTCGGCGACTTATCACCCGCCTCCAACATCCGAACGACTTCTTCATTATGGATTCAAAAAGGAGAACGTGCTCGTCGGCGGTGTCACCGAATTGCCGAAAGTGCCGAAAAACATCACGGCCGATTATGTTCAGCCGGACGAGAACACGATTCGAGCAAAATTCAAAAATAGTTTGAATGATGAGCAACGAGATGCCGGAATGGCTTCGAATTCGCAAAATCGTAATAAGCGAACAGATCGCGGCTACGAGTTTTTCGACTATTCTGAATTTAATATGGATGATGATGAGATTGAAGCGGCGAAGAGAATTGAGGAAATTATTCAGAAAACGGTAATTCATTCGAAGAAATGCATAATTGACTGCAAATTCTTATTAACAGGGTGATGTGGAATTGATTGAAACTGGCGATAAAATATTGGAGCCAAAGAAAATAATAGAATTATTGAAAGACGGCAAGGCGCGAGAAGAATGGTCATTGGAGAATTGTACGGATGTTATGGCTGAAGACATTGCCCGATCGTTTACCAAAGAAGTTCATGTGCCGGTTTCGGGTTGCACGGACCCGCTCAAAGATTTTCTTTTGGTGAACAGAATGTAAGAATTTCGGAGGTCCGAATAATGTATTTCAATCGAATTTTAGATACGAGTATTGTGGAAAATGTGAAACCCTCTTTTATACGGATCGAGCTGATCATGTTAAACAATGCGACTGCGATAATGCGAGTTATTGAATCAACGAACCCACTTTGATGGTAGTCATTTCAGAATTCTATTATAACCTTGTTCCATCCTGCCATGCCTCCATCTAGAGGCATTCGATGCATTGATCTCGATTGTGAAGAACGCCTATGCTCTGTCATCGCTCTTCGCGCTCACGTGGCTCTGTTTCATGGAAAATTCCTGAATTATAATGTGGCGATGAGCAATCGATATGGTTGGTGTTCCCAATATTATTTACATTTATGTAATATTTTAGATGTTTCGATATCTACCCTTGGTGCTTGCATGGACTTGCTGAAAAAAGATACGAGAAGTCGAATGGCGAGATTTGTTGATATCGAGCATGGTTTGCCGTTTGATGGAAAACTACCCAGAGTGGTATGATTTATTATTTTTTAAAGATTAATCAGATCAAAATATTTTTTTTTGTAGAAAAGACCAATAACGCCAATGAATCGAAAACCTCATTTGATTGCACAAAAACCGCAAATCCTTCCAATTTATGTCGACAAACGAGTTGACAAAAATATGTTCGATTGCGGAATTTGCCATATGAAATCGTATGGTGAAGCGACATTTAAGGTTTGATTTTGAAATTTTTGCATTATTTTTTTTTGATTTTCACAATTTTAGACGCATTTCATTCGAACCCACATTTTTCCATGTTTGGCGTGTTGTCGATGCTTTGCGACAAAAATTGACAAATCTCGACACTTTTGCTCGAGCATTTTCGATCGTGAGTTCCTCGCGACGATGCTGAGCGATTCATTAACGCCAATCACATTTTCAGCATATATTTTGAGTAATGGAACGGTTCCGTCGGTCGAATGCGAGAATTGTCGTGTACGATTGCGTCTGACTGAGATGTATTCGCATTTTCTCAACGCCCACTTCCATCTTCTTCGTTACATCGTTGAGAGTGGCGAGATTTTGCCGCACGGCGTCAACGCGAGAATTGACAACGTGCGTATGAGCAATGGAGCGATTGCGGAAGCGGTCGACATCAATTTGGACAAAAACGAGGATTTCCAAACGGAACGTTGTCGAATGGTGCGCGGACGCGAGGATTTGAGGGCGTCGGTGATGAATGTGGCGGATTATAATGGAAAATTGCTCGTCACGCCGCCCATCGGAACCTATTTGTACACGAAAGCGGCGAAAAAAGTAAGCGACGAAAAATCGAGTGCAATTGATATTTGTGTGTTTCAGTACCAGGCCGACATTCGACTAACGTGCTATCTTTGCGAAATGCCGTTTGACACCACCGCTGATCTCGACGAACATCTCGAAAGACATCCTGAAAAATGGAAGAATTGCCCGTTCTGTATGGAAATTTCTTTGAAAATTCTCCCCCTTCAATTCTAACTTTTCTTTTTTAGGCAAAGTAAAAATCACAGGGCATTATGATATGCAAAAACATCTTCTGCATTTCCACACGACTCGCCAATTTGGTTCAATGGTAAGAAAAAAAAAATAAGATATTTGAACAATATGAGATTTGCTTCAGTTTTGCAATTTCTGTGGTACTAGCGTGACAAAAGCGGCTTGCTCGCACATGATCTACCATTGTCGCGAATCGAACGCGTGCGGAATTTGCGGAGCGAAACAGGCGAGCTATGACACGTTGATTGCTCACATGAAGAAGGCGCATCTTGATTTGTTGAGAAGGTAGATCAACTCAAATTGGCGAACATTCCTCATTGTTCTTCAGATATCAATGCAATATGTGCGGACAATACTTTATTACGCTCAACGAGTTTCGCGAGCACGTTTGCCGAATGGCGGCGACGATATATTGTTGCGTTTGCAGCAATGGAAACGTATGATTCCGATTTGACGTATTCCGGATCAATCATTTGTTTTTTTTTTAGCGTGTCTTCACTTCTGCTGCTGATTATTGCGATCACTTTGATTTCTTCCATGTTGAGAGGAATTTGGTTTGCTCGTTGTGCAAACAGCCGCAGAACACGGAAGCGAACATGGCGAGACATCGAATTGTGCACATGCATCGTGTGACGCCGTATCTCAGCCGTAGACCCTACGTGTTGCCGAGATGGATGAATGTGGTATGAGATTGTTTCCGACATATTCGATTTCTCATTTTCTCTTTTTTTAAAGAATAATCGCGATCTTGTTCCGGCCTGGCAGCGATCGACAAATGGAACGGCGGTTTGCTTTTAGAAACACATTATCGAAATTGATTTTTGCGATTTTTAGCTGCACGGTTCACGCGCTGCAAATATGACGGCTCGGTCTCGTGGACCACCACAACCCGGAACGATTGCCGCTTCTTTAGAGAAAATTATCAATGTATGTATTTGTTTGTTCTCATGGAGATTTTCAATATTGTTGCTGGTTGTGTTCAGAGCGCTACTCCATCACCGCCATCAATGGATGAGCCGCCAGGCCTTGTTGACATTAATGACGATGCCGATGACATTGTTGTGGTGACGGTTCCCGCACGAAATGGATCGCAAAATGGCCCGAATGCGATTCAAAATCGATCGGTTACTGTGAAATATCGATCGGTTCCGTTTCAAAACGGTTCGTCTGCGATTCAAAATCGAACAGCTGCGATTCATAATGGGCCGGCTTCAATTAAAACTCGATCGGTCCCTTCTCAAAATGGCTCGTCATGTATTCAAAATGGTCTCCTTCCCGTGCGAACTGCTCGTCATTCCCAGAATTCTCATTCCGCTCAAAATGCTCCGCCAAGGCTTCAGCCGTCTGTTGCTAACGGCGCATCGTTGTCGTCGCAGAGCTCGGTAACAGCGAACGTTCGAAGCGAGCGTGTCGAAAAGGATTCTGCTGGCGCCAACGTGCCGGGATATGTTCCGGATGCTGATGATGATGATATTGATGAGATTGATTCATCGAAGGCGATTGAGATTGAAGCGGTTGCGCCGAAAGTAATCGAAGTTGTTGATGAGAATGGGGACGACGAGCTGGCGGTGATTGCCGAAGTTGAAAAGTAAGTTGAATTATTGAGTTATTTCAAGTTCTGAGCAATTTTAATTTTCAGATCGTCTGGTGTTGCGATTACGTCAGTAAGCACGAGAGAGAAGAAATTCAAATGCACGAGATGCTCAATGGCGTTCATGACAAAAAAGTCGCTTACTGCTCACATGTCGTCGCATGCGCATGATTTGCCGTCAAGCACGTGCTCGGAAATTTTCGGATTGCCAAAAGAGTGCAACGGCTACGTGTGCAGAAACTGCTCGTTGGTATTTGAGAGCAAGCCGAAGTATGACGAGCATATGGTAAGATCGCATCATTTTTCTTTCCGCTTTAGATTTGTTAATTTTGATGGTTATTTTCAGAGATATCATGGTCCAAGTACGGGACTGTCTTGCCAGAAATGCTCGGGAATCGCGTTCAATAATGGAATGTTGGGTCAGCATATTCATGCGCATAATCTTAATTCGATTGTCTTTTCGTGTGGAATTTGTCTTCTCAAGTATCCGAATGTAAGATTTATATCAAATTGAATGATAACAAATTTCAATTAATTTCTTTGCAGGATCATTATCTTATGGAGCATCTCTACACTGTACACAAAGTTCCCTATTTTGCATTCTGCAAGATTTGTGGAAGAGGTTCGACGCGTCTTGATTCGGTTTATAGACATGTCACGGAACACATGGTCACGGATATGGTACGATTCGGTGTTTTGTCTATAGCTCAAATTGATGGTTTAGAGTGTCATACAGCGAATTGGAACATCGCCAGCGGCTCTTTTCAACTATGAGCCTCTCGATGTGGCCAAGCATAAATTAATTTTGGCATCTGGAAGGCTTCAAGTGATCGAGCCTTCGGATTGCACTCATCGAAGCTCGTTGCTGTCGACGGATGGAATGCTTGTTGCTTGCAAAAAGTGCTTCTGCATGGTAATGTGTTTTCGTTTTAATTCAAATTCCTCTTATACATTCGATTTTTTTAGACAACCTTTTTGAATTATTTGACGTCTCTAACTGATGCGGAGAAAGAAAATGTTTCTTGGACGTTTGGAGAATTGGAAAAACCGCAGTCCCCGCTTTTCAGCGTCTTCCCGCTTTATTCGCATTTGTCGACGGAGAACCAGTCGCATTTGCAGACGCTCGTAGCGCCCACTCAGCAACAAATCAATCCAATGCAAGGGACCACTGTTCGGCATGCGTGAGTTGCACGTTTGAATCGATTTGCCAATTGTCTTCTCGCATTTTTTTAGAGTTATGGAATCGCTCGGCGTCTCTGGCAGATCATATATTCGGCGTCCGGCTTCGACAATGATAGGCGGCGCATTTCCATCGCTTCACCAAGGTAGGGGCGCTCGGATTTTGCGTAAGCGCAATTTTATGTTTTTTTCGAGTTTATCAAATTTTCGATTTTCGGTTTAGTTCCACGACATCGCGCCGTCATTACGAATCAGCCGCCTCAGCTTACGCAGGCTTTCCAATCGTCCGTCACCGACGGTCATCAAACTCATCGAGTCGTAATGAGACCGGCATGGCAGTCACAGTCGGCTGTCGCTCGAGCCACTGCCAGCGCATCAAACTCGACAAACTCAATCGTATGGCTATTATTGATTTTTTTATAGCTTCATTTTTTGTTTGCGTTCAGATGGAGCAGGTGAATGGAAATCGGCCGGATGCTTGTATTGTGTGTCAGGCGACTCTTTCGACGGAATATGATAAGCTGAAGCATTTGATGCATACGAAGACCGAACATAAATGGTTCTGCACGAATTGCGCGTTTTCGGCTGTTGATGAGATGTCGATTGTTACGCATTATTATCGATTGCACATTGAGCCGTTATATATGCAGAAAAAGTTGGAAAGTGAGTGAGACGAGTGGAGATTATTGAATATCGCAAATAATGTTCAGAAGGGCCCGATTGCGGATTCAAACCGATCGTGTTCGATTTGCGATGTCCGAAATGCCGAGGAATCACATTCAATACGCTGAAATTGTTCGAGAGACATCTTGCCTCGCACACCGACATTTTGCCGTACGTTGCTGAATGTGGAACAGCGTTCGCCACCGAGGCCAAGAAGTTTGAGCATGATCAGAAGCATCAGGAATGCAATGAGTACGTTTTGTTTGCAATACTTTTATATCGACTTTAATCACCATTTTTCTTAGATGCTGTATATTGTGCGGAACAACTGACCTATGGGCGGTGCCGAAGTCCGCTTCGACTCCATTCGTCCTTTCTCATGTGATCCGACATGGTCTTGATTATCATTCGTCTTGTCGAGTATGCTTTGTTCGATTCTCGGATGACACGACGGTACGATTATTGCGTATATCGTTCTCACGCAATGTCTTATTCGAAATTTGCAGTACGCGAAACTGTTTGATCATTATAAGAACATGCACGCGACGGTTTATTCGGCGAAGGATAAATCGCTAATGTGCAAGGCTTGTGGGGTGATTGTGAGCAGCATGTTCGAGTTGCTGACACATATGAAAACGAAGCACACGGTAGGATATTCGAAAAATGAGAAATCGAGAAAATTGTCTGAATTTTGAAGATGAACGTTATTTCGCGATCGTCAGCTTCGAAGGAAGGAGAGTTCTATGTTCGAGCTAACACGCAAATGTTCAGTTATTTGGGTCTCAATAGGAAAATGCAAATTTGCACTGAAAAGGATGAGGTCCGATTTTTGAGTTTGTCGTTTATTGAAAATGATTTTATACTGAATTTGCAGACTAGCGAGTCTCCCTCGTCACCAGCATCTTCAAATCAGCCATAAATCAAAAAAAAATCTGTAAAATAATAGCATTTTTCCCAAAATAATCCGGTTTTTAGAGGGTATTTCCGATTTTATAGCTCTCTTGTCCCACCTGTTTCCGTTTTTTTCGGGTACCATTTCCAAACTGCGGGCATTGATTCGATTAGTAAAGCTTTTTAGCTTGTCATTTCTTTTTTGTTAATCTTTTGTATGTTTTGATTTCTTAAAACTTTGTACCCCCAACACCCGTAAATTATTTTGTTACTATCATTTCTTTTTTTCTATAACGGCAGTTTTCTTCCGAAATTGCTCTGCCACTAAAAGTTTTCTCTTTTTTTTGTCAATTTATTTAATTATTTTTTAAAATTTTAATGAGAATAAAGCGGCGTTTTGTAATTGAGAAGATGCCAATTTTTCCATCCTGAATTATTATTTCCTTTTTTCTTCCAAATAGGTTTAATTCAAGCTGTTGTATTTTTAATGAAATAATAAATTGCATCGTTGGAAATATTTAATGATTTTCGGATAATTATTTTTCACGTTTTCATTTTTCGGAGGGGAACGGACGAAACCAATCAATTTTAGTTCTAAATTACATTTTTTAATTTAGATTATTGATTTCTATTTTTTTAATACTCGAAAATCTCTGAGTAATAGCAATTTTTCGAAACATTTTCTTTAAAAGTGAAGTTATGAAGCGGTAAAAACCAAAATTGTTCCGCTTTTATTATGATTATTTAAATAATAATAATAATAATAATAACGACGCGAAGAAGGAATAAATAAGGAAAAGTGTGATTAGCGCATACTTGCAAAATTACGGATCGACCTACGAAATCCCCGATCCGCCGACCCGCAACGACACTCCAAATTTACGGATTAGACCCCTTTTAGCGTAATAAATTCTTCGAGTTGAATTTTTTAAATGTTGTTTCTTCATTTCAAATCACATCATTTTTAGCCTATTACGACGACCATCCCGGAGTTGAAAATTGAAAAAAAAATAATTGTTGGCAAGTTCAAAGAGGGTCGAGCGGGACGGGTCCGTCAAAATTTCAAAAGTCTCACTCCGCTGCAAGTATGGTTTAGCGAAACCCGGCGTACATCGAGTCCAGAAAAAAAACGAAGAGCGTACATAAAATTAATTAATACATATTGCGAATTACAAGAAATAGGGTGCCACGACGCGTTCCGGCTTCTCGCGATTCTCCTCCGGAACCGCGGCGAAGTACTTCACATCATGATGAGCGCCGTCGATTGCGAACACCGCCGCAGCATTTCCACACCGATAGCAGTAATTTGGTGCTAAATTATTTCATTTTATCCCATTTTTTTTTGAGAAATTGCCAAATTACCTGACCAAACCGTGGCCACCTTCTCGTTGAACATAAACTTGAACCCTTCATCAACGAGCTGATGCGACCGGCAAAGAAGCAACAAGTCATTATTATGCAAAAATTGGTGAGTCACTTTGGCACCGAAGAGCTACAACTAATAAGGGTTATAAATTTATAAAATTGATAAAGGTTTACCCATCCAGCTCCTCGTTGACTCATCATCCATTCTTCAGCTTCATCGTCTGGATCGGACCACATTATATCACATAGAGGTCCCTAAAATCATCAAATTAACGTTTACCATATTATAGAACATTAATCATTTCAAATAATTAATATATTACCCTATTTGGAACTTCTTGAGCTCGATCCAATGACAATAAACTGTCGATTGTTCGCACATCCGGCGACAATCCTCCGTGAACACAAAGGGTCTGATCGTCGACAAGAGCACCAATTGGCAGAAGGTCGAACACCTGAAATCAAAATCATTAGCCAAATTCGAGCATTGCTCAATGATTCACCTTGCAGAACCATTTGTGCACATTTCCATGCCCGTATTTGTTCTGACATTCATCATAGAACCCATAAACGCTCGAGATTCGCCGCGATTCGTGATTGCCGCGCAACAGCGTGATTTGATCCGGATATTTAAGCAATAAGCAAAACAATAGAGTGACTGTCTCGAGACTATAATGCCCGCGATCGACATAATCGCCCATGAATATATATTTCGTCTCGGGAACCGTTCCGCCGGTTTTGAAAAGCTCGAGTAGATCATAGAATTGGCCGTGAATATCGCCGCAAATTGTGACAGGCGACGAGATTGGCACGACGTTCGGCTCCATTACCAGCCGGTCGATTAGTCTGAAAACCACGGGATTTTCATGAGAGGGGTGTTTCCTAAAACAACGGTTGTCTTACGCGGCGCATAGCGAAATTGCATCGGATTCGGGAAGATATTTGCATTCGCTTGCCCACGCGATCCATTGTTCAGGATCCAAACGGCGAGTTCTACAATACGAATTTCGTTATTTCAAATAATTACATCGAATTAGAATTACCCGAAATATCCGGCGGTGCTCTTTTCCAGCTCGCCTTTACTGCAAATCGGTACCCTCAATAATTGATCCTCGTTCAAATCGAGCATCTGAAACAGTAGAAAACATTTGATAAATGATGAAACGCCATGGGAGATGATATATTATTGGTTGAAAACCAAAATAAAGTTAATTGAGAAATTATATTGAGCAAAATCGTCTTATTTATAAAACGCATTGGATTCCAATAGAAAAACAAAGAACGACATGAAGTGATATGGAAAACAAACAAAACAAAACAAGAGAATCTAATCTATACTAAAACCAAAAAAAAAATAGGGCAATTATGAATTAATCGGTGACGACTCCAACTTGTGCTGGTCTAACTGGTCGATCCTTGAGAGTGAATCCAATCTTTGTGCAAACCTCGATGAATCCTGGCTTCTGCTTGGCCTGAAATTCGACAAATTATGAAGAAATCCAAGCATTTTTATTTACGTTAGCTGCAGGAATCTGGAAAACTGCCTCATGCATGTTTGGATCGAATTTCTCGTTAGTTGGATCGACAGCGACCAAACCATGCTTCTCGAATGTCTTGAGGAGGACGGTTCGAGTCATTGAGACCCCTTCGAACAGATCCTTCAATGGTTTGCCACCTGCGGACAAATCCTCGTCTTTCACTGATTTCACGGCGATGTCAAGAATGTCGGCGACTTCCAAAAGATCCTTGCAGAATCCTTGGATCGCGAACACTTTCGCGTCTTCGGTTTGTTTGATTCCACGTCGGCGAACATTCTCCGTCTCGGCGAGCGATCTCTTGTACTTATCGGTGGCTTCAAAAGCTTCATCGAGCAGCGTATCATACTCTTTCAGAAGAACATCAAACGCTGGCTTTGGAATTAGCGATTTGTCTTCGCCCTGAATCACAGAGAGCACGGCTTCCTCATATTCAGCACCTTTCAGCCGCTTTCCATCTCTTTTTATCTCGAATTTGATATCTTCGTTGGCATTTGGTGCTGTCGCACTGAAACATTGCGCGCTGATGCTAGCGCATCGTTGCGCTTTCCTAAAAATGAAAATCAATATCGATAGAATAATAAATATGGAATACTTACAATGTGTGTTGTGAGCTTTTCACGATATCTCCAAGGAGTATCACACTTCTTCGAAACATTATTCACCTGAAAATAGTTAAATTTCGGATTTAAATTTTAAAATGCAAAAAAAATTATGAAAATCGATTTCCTCAGGCAAAAAATGATGAAAGCTGGAAAATTAAAAATTTTCCATATATTGCGTCATGCACGCGAAAAACGTCAATACATTTTCGTTTGCGCAAATCTCGCAACTTCTCGACGTCTCTCATTTCCCACGCTATTTCACTAACAAATCGAGCGCTAATTTCAAACGAGCCATTTCTGATTTATAAATATTTTCAAACACAACGATCAAATATGGATGAAAAAGAAATAGCGCAAGTGGCCTGTTAATAATTGAAAATGGAGATTAAATAGCCTTCAGGCAGCTGAAAGAAAATGTCGGAGCGTTTAAACTGCCAGAAATTGGAGAACGCGAAGAAGGCTATGAAGGCCATTATGAATGGAATCCGAATGATCCAAATTTTAAGGAATTGGTCACCGCGTTTTACAAAGCTGCAAAAAATGGCGATGATCAAATAGTCGAAATAATTGTCTCAGGTTTAGTGCCAGGAGGAGAAGTACGTCAAAAATCATTGATTGAAATTGAAAATGAGAAATATAGGATGGCCGATTATCAGCTCTTTTAAGGCTTATCAAATCAACTGAGAATCTGGAAGACTTAAAAGTATTTTCGTTATAATTTCGTCTTTTTTTGAATGGGAAAATAATAATATTCAGGAAGCTCTATTGATAGCGGTTTCTCTTGGAAGTCGGCCATTGGTCGAGATTGTTTTAGTGCTTTTCAACAGTTTTCCTTATATGGAGAGATCTGGTAGAGGCCTTTCAAACTCAATTTTCAATCATTTTTTTCTCTCAGGATGCTCAAATTCGCCCAATTTTCCGCCACATATGACCCCTCTCATGCTGGCCTGCATTATGAATAATTTTGCAATCACCCAATGCTTATTACTCAGAGGACACACAATTCAAATCCCTCATTTTCCCCAATGCGAATGCAATATTTGCACAAGAATGACAGTGGGCTCAAGGAATAATACAAGATTGGTATTGAGTGGTTGATCTTCTCGACTCTGACGATATTCCAGGTCGACGTCATGCGGGCAGTGTCTTCTGAAGCATTTCTATGGCTCGCCACTGACGACGTGTTCGCCGCGAGTTGCTCGATCGCCAAAGATTTGCAAAAGCTGATCGATGATGATGATTTGGAGTTTGTCGCCACTTATCGAGCCCTCGAAGCCAATGTTCAGCGATTTTTGGCGAAACTTGCCGATATGGCGTGGAGAACCGACGAATTCAACACGATCATCTCAAATGTTCATTCTCTTCGCTCTCATTTTTTTTTCTTTGTCACATTTCGAATTTTCAGCCTTCGCACTGCGCTCGACGAAACGTCGAACTATCAGCGCCGCGACTTCAAATGGCCCTCGATTCGCATATGCGCTATTTCACGTGCTCCGCCAATGCTCAAACCGCCTTCAAAAGCATTTGGAGAGCTGGTGGGGTCTTAAGAAATATAGATAAGAACTCATTTGAAAACAAAAAAGTCAAATGGCAGATTGGTTCAATTTTGGGAACAAGCCGCTGCGAGATATGAGCCGACTCGCCAGACACACAATTCTTCTCGTTCCACTGGCAATTCTTCATAGTTTGATTCCGAACAAAGCGGCATCCTATTCGATTCCAATGTCAAGGTGAATTTTCCACTGAGGTTGTAGATTTACGGGCGCTCTGATTGAAATCTTTGATTTCCATTATTTTTACTTTATATATTTTTTTTCGATGTAAATAATTTACAAATTGGCAAAGCAATTATGGACCTATTCATGAAATGAAAATTTAAAAAAATCAATTTTTTTCATTTGAATTCCCTAAAATTACAAAAAAAAATTGACGCGATATATCGTAATTCTTCGCTATTGATTTTTAAAGGCGCATGCGGAAAATTGCGCGGGTCACGTCGCAAAGTCGGTACTGTATTTTTTTAATGGCTGTTATTTTTCAAATTTTTGATTTTTTGAGCGTTTAAAACGTTTTCTTTGGAAATCTGTAAAAGTATATTGTTTAATAAAAGCTGAAGGTTCATCAGAAGCGTCATCGAGCAAAGTATGCATCAAATTAACACAAATATCACAATTTTTCTTAAAAATTGGCATCTAAATGACGAAAAATAGACTTATATTGTCGAATTTGGAGTAATTATACCAATAATAAGTGTTTTTACTCGTTCTTAAATCTGTTACTCATTTTCTCTTCAACTCTGATAACGCAAAACCAATCGGATCCGAAAAATTACAAATCGGATCCGACAAAATTCGGCTCCGCAATCAACCCCATCCGATTGGTAATTCTACGGATAAGATTTGTATTTTTTCGGATCCGATTGGTAATTGTTCTGATCAGATTTGTTTAGATAATTCGGATCCGATTCGAAATTCCTCGGATCCGATTCGATTTTTGTATTATTTCAGATCCGATTGGTAATTTCTCGGATCCGATTGGTAAAATTTTCCAATTCGGATCCGATTGGTATTGAGTTACCAGAGAATGTTTTCAAAAAATACGGAAAAATAGCCTATAGAATGAAAAATAAAAAATTACAGTACCGACTTCGCGACGAGACCCGCGCAACTTTTCGCGTGCGCCTTTGAAAATCAATAGCGGAGAATTACGATATATCGCGTCAATTTTTTGTAATTTTCGACGTGCGTGCATAGGGAATTCAAATGAAAAAAAAAATTTTTTTTTCATTGCATGAATAGGTCCATTAGGACCAGTTTGCGTGAAAATAACAAAATAAGGATTCACGCGTGGCGAGACCATGGCCCGTAAATCTACAACCATTAAATTGAGACGCCAATTAAATGCGTTTCTTTTTGAAGGTATATCTCGCATTGCACATCGTATCTAACATTTCTGCTCATCGCCACTCTTCATCCATTATTCACTGATTTCGGCGTCCATATAAGCAAGAAAAAATCGGATACCGGTGAGGAATTGAGGTGGCGGCATTGCTAATTTTTTTGAGGGCAAAAAATTCAGTGGCATTCTGGTGTGAGGTTTATCTTTATATCTATGTGCTCGGATTATATGTTGAACGATTGATTCTTTATTATCGCGTCGGCTCGTCGATATTCTTCTCATTCTGGTGGCGATGGTGCTCTTTTGGTGGTTGTATGATCGATTCGCGAACTCATATTTTCTAGGTTCGATGTCATTCTCATCTCATCGTTCGCATTCGCATTTTTGTTTTTCGTTGGCGTCAACACCGAACACACTTCTTGCAGTATCAACGGTGTGTCGAGGAATCATTGGGTACGATTTGAGCACCATTCTGAATTGCTCTATTTCTCGTTTTGCAGCCCTCCACCGATTTTGCACTACTCCATGAGATATGCCTCTCGGTGGCCTGCATAATAGCAATCTCGAAAATATTTTACTATATGCAATTGCTCAAAGGAATCGGCGGCTCTGTGGTAACGGGGGAAGACGTCGAAGCTTCGAAATCATCATTTATTTTTTATTGAAGATTTCTGTGGGAAAGTGCATTGGAAAAGTGTACACTTATTTGATAATTATGATAATTGTGATATTCTCGTTCTCGGTTTGCCATTTCCGAAATGAATTGCCACCAAATATGGGCTGTGTGTGGGTTTCAGGTGGGATTGAACCTTCTCGTTGGTCCCTATGTCAATCGCGTTTCTGTCGATTCGAATGGCGCTGTTGAAGCGAGAACAAATGATGAATACAGCACGTAAGCGTCGAACGTATTTATTGATTCCCATCTGCGGACAATTTGGCAGACTCGGCACATCAACGAAAAACTTGTTCTGGTCCATATTCGGCTATTTGGGCCCGTCGACGTACACCACTGTCGCCGGCAACGCGGGTCCCGAGCAAGAGCCCGTCAACCATCCATTCAACACAGCTGCCGTCGAAGTTGGTCCCTCCCCCTATTCATGAGTCTTTAAACACTCCAGATGCTTGGCGCGTTGTACCATGGAATCATAATCATTACACTCATGAATTTGATGACGTCGCTTCTCGTCAAAAAAGCCGATGAAGTGTTGGTGAGTGCTGGATGTCGCATTGAACAATGAAACCATCTGCGGACATTGTTGCAGGACAATGAAGAGCTCGAGTTCAAGTACACACGCGCGGCGATCTACTCGGAATTTTTGTCGTGGGAAATGGCGGCGCCGCCGCCGCTCAACCTCATCCTCATTCCCGCCCATTTGATCTACCGCAAATTGCGCGGACAATTGGCGTGCGCGTCGCCCGGTTGGGGCTCGAAGCCGAGCGCCGACGAACACGAGGAGAAGATTCTTCAAGACAAATGCAATGTGAGACTCGTCGCCATTCGAAAATCATTGAGATGTCTGACGAATTGTAGCGCGTCTGGGCGACGATCTTCCATCGATTCTGCGCCGCGAAAGAAGTGAAATTCAAATCGATCTGGAGATCCGAGTTTGATGTAAACCGCGCGGTGATCGTGTCGCCATCTGATTGTCGGATTTTCAGAAGGAAGAGAAGCAACCATCGCGTGTCGCCTATCTCACAAAACTCTCGCCGGTTCAACAAATCGCGTTGAAGTATGTCGAGCCGGAGAAGACCTATGAGAAGTGTCGAACGCGAAAAGCGGCCCTAATCGAGAAGCTGAGCAAAAGAGCCAATTGATTTCTACTCGGTTTATTGTTGATGATACACTTTTTTTTTGATTTTTCGGCAGGAACGGGGTGTGGCTTCGAAATTGTTCCTTTTTTTTGAAAAGAATTGTGAATGAGTGGGTTTCTTGAAACAAAACAAACGGCCTATCAATTGATTTTTCGGCGTCGCCGCCGCCGCCGCGTGCACGCTATAATTATTGATTAACGATTCGAAAAGCGACCAATTCGCAAATCAATAATTATGGTCGTAAAATGGCGGTGAGACGATGAAAGATTTTTGAGATATTGTTGTTGTTGCGATCGCCGCTGAAGAGAGACGACGCAAAATTGGGGGCGGAGCTCGCAATTGGAAAGTGATAAGGGCGACAAGATAATGTGATAACGAGTGGAAGATCTTCCCCCCCCATCCCCTCTTCCTCTGCCTCCTCTCATCACCATTCCAAATTGGGGTCTTCAATTCGGTGGGCCCTGTTCTTTCACGCCAATTAGGTTTTCCCAATTTGTTCAAAGCTCGAAGACTGATTTGAAGTGACACTTTGGGTGGTGTTCGTTCACCCTAATTTTTTAGGGACCATTTCGAAATTTTAGTCATCAAACTCAAATTATTGCTTGTTTTTTCTTTGTTCTCAATTTATAAATGATTATATGAGAATTCCAAACAACAATCTTTTTTTTTTCCCATTTTGAAATGGAAGTAAAAATGGGTTTAAAAGATAAGATTGAATGCCGAAAACGCCCTCCCATTTATTTACTCGTCGTTCGTTTCTTTTCATAAATATCGCCTTTCCTCGATTTTCTCAATAAAGATCAAATTCCAATTCGTTCTTTTTCTGCCCAAATTTTGACCTTGACGAACAATACTGTTTCGAGAATTTTCTTTAAAAATTGAAAAAAAAAAAGAAACAGTGCTACCCTAAATATTCTATGCCGTCAAACGCGTTGCGTGTCTAAAAATCAACTACAAGGTCTTGCAGCGAACAATTTTGGTATTCATTGTTTTTGTGAAAAAACTCAATAGGGATGTTTTTTTTTTTTCATTTTTTATTCTTGACGTCAAAGAAATTTTTAAAAAATGGATTTGCGCGTGTTTGCGTACCCGGCATTTTAACGTACGCGCAGTTAGTATTTAGCCCCGCCCCCTCCCTCCCCATTCCAAATTTCCAATTTTGTAGATCAACACCGATTTTGAGAAATTGAATTTCGCGCCATCGATAGGCTGTTTGACGCGGACAACATTCACGAGAGAGTACACGATTTTCAGAGAGTGCAGACAGGCGGCGAGATAGTGCGAGAGATGAGAGAGCGCAGACATGGCTACGGTTTGGCACAAAATTGGCGCGAATATTCGCGATTTCGCTGAAAAACCCGCGCCCACCAATTTCTTTACTATTGATTCTTGATCCCCCCAATTCCATATTAGTTCATTTCGGCATATTTGTTGCTGCCACAGATTCTGACGGCCCCCCAAATCGAAGGGCTTTAAGCCCCGCGTTAAGCCGACGGTCACATCTATCTCAATGGTCCCAAACGGACCACAAAAAAAAAGAGAATGGGTGGACGCAATAAAATCTGTCAACTTCCAATTTATTCGATTGCACTTCTTCTTTGTTTTTTTTTTAGCGAACCAAACAGTTGATGGGCGGAGTCGTGGCGGGTGCGCTCGCAATCAAATAATCCCCCATTGGGAATTCGACGTCGGGCTTTCTCGCCACCCTCCACCATCCGCCATTTCAATTCGCCATCTGCACCGCGTCGAGACCCCAAAACCAAAAAACACCATCAATGCGTTGCGTGAATTATATAAACAACGCAAAAACGAATCGCATAGTGCATATAATTGGATTAGAATGATCGAATTAGTCGAGATTTGTTTTGGCTTTGTTTATTTTGGCAACACGCCAACCATGGGGGGGAGGGTCCCGACGCGAATGTGCCGTTGGCCGACGCATCTGCAACTGGAAATTTTTTTGAAACAAAACCGATTTCGAACCCCCCCCCTCCGGCTATGCCAATTTCATCTGCGGACACGTTCCGGGTCACGGATTATGTCCCTTCTCTTGTCGATTCGTTTTCTTCAAGAAAACTCCCTCTCCTCGCTGCCCCCGACTTTATCGCCCCACATGTGAAAATCGAATATAATTGGCTGTTGTTGATTTTTTTTTTCTTCTTCCAGCGTCATTTCAAATCCCGTTCATGTAGATCAACTAGACAAATATGCATTAAACGCCAATTCCACAAAGCTTCCGCTCAATGTTCTATGAAGCTCTTCCATCGACGCCTCATTCTATTATTAATGCTCATCACCACCGCAGTCGCCTATCCAATTAGTAAGTTTTAGCATGCCAATTTTTCGTGGAATCTTGCTGAGTCACTATACATACATTTGAATTTTTCCATCTGCTGACAATTTTCGAGAATTGCGTTTTGAGCGAAACTTGTTTTTTTTTGACAATTTCAAATTATTGCGATTAATTTGAAGAAACCGCACCCTTCAGAAAACTGTACTTCGATCCTTGTCGTTTGATGTCGCCTACATTCCATTCCATTAATCATCTCTTCTCTCAAATGTTTTGTGGAATTTTGGAAATTCCGATGAACATTATACACAACGTCCCAAGATAGTTGAGAAACAAAAATTCGTGTTGGGACATTCGCAACATTTTTGTCCCATTGGGACCTCGTCGATCGACGAACACCAATCTGTTTTGCCATTTTTTTGCGGAATCTTCAGCCATTTGTCATGTTCGTGATTTGCGTTATAGCAAAACGCATCTGCGGACATTTTCTTCCAATGACTTGCGATTTGTCCGCATTGGGTTGTTTCGAATTTGAAACTATGAAGATGTAGTGCGTTGGGTGGTTCAATGGTCGAATATCGATGAAGATGAACACCATTCTATAATTGAAGCGAAAACGAGTTTATTATCAAATAATCGTATTTATTGAGTGTTGGCGAGAAACATAATTTTTGAGACGTTAAAATATTGAAATTGGCAAAAAATAAATCGCTTGTGTCGCACACTCGACGCACAATTGCGGACTTTATGAATTACAGTACACGCAACGCAAAATTCGATGATTGCCATCTCAACACAATTAAAAAAAATTGAAATTGGACGAATTAAATTAAAATCTCAAAATGCGATTTTTCAGAACGAGCATCGGGTTTCGAGAGACTCCGCGATCGCCTCCATCACAAGCGTCATCGTCAACATCTGGTACGTCGAAATTGAATGGAATTTACGAATGAAAAAAACCCGGAGATGACCTCCACGATTGGCATATATGCTAATTTTTGTGTTAATTTATGCAAATTGAATGATTGCGTCTTCCAATTTTCAAGATGAACGAAAAAAAAAAAGCGAAATGATGTTTTGATTGTTTTATTGCAGTCATCGATTGCTCAGGAGCCCGACGAGACGTTCGAGATGCTCACTGACGAGATGCATCGGGTGCGGTTGGAGAAGTCGATCGCGCCCGTTGCGCCAACCACACCATCACCACGCCACCATCACCACCATCATCGGCACAAGCATTCGAAAAAGGTGAATCGTTGTTGTACAACAAATTCATTTTCATATTCTTGTAACACAACCGGTTTGTTTCATTTCTCTCTCTCTCTCTCTCCCTCGATTTTCTTCAATTTTGCCTTCGAAGAACAATTGATAAATACTACGTCAGAACCGACTGTGATTTGTGTTTTTATTGTAGAATCGAAGGGAGCGAAATGAGGAGCTCTGCCAGAGCCATCGAAACACAATCGAATTGAATACGCATAGGTAAGCGCGAAAACTGTACGGCCGCGGAATCCCTAAAATATTTCCACTTTTCTGCTTTTTTTTTGCGCCCGTTTCTCGCAGCCACGAAAAATGTGTCGAAAATGCGTCATAAATATCCAGAAGTTCGGTTTTTTTTTTGTTCGTCTCCTTCTCCTGCGACTTTCGCATTTTGATTGATTGCCTGTGACGAATAAACGGATAGAAATCGAATCACAATACGCTATTATACAGATTTCCTGTAAGCAAACCAGTTGCGAAACGAAGGAAAAAAATTCAAATTTCACAATTTGTTTTTCGAGATGGGTGAACGCGCTACAAGTTTGGTTAGAAAATTTTAAAAAGAAAAAGCTTTAAAAAATTTAATATTACACGAATCACCGCAGTGTGGCCGTGACCTAGAAAACATTTCTTAAAAATTAAGTTCGGCCACGGCCGTGCTGGATACATTAATTAATTTAATTAAGTATAACTTAATGAATACGTACATATATATTGAATGTGTTAACGTACAAAATGTGATCTCAAAAACCGAATATTAAAATGAAATTTCCAACTTCGTGGAAATAAAAGAAATTCGTGATAAGTATTTTAAAAATTAGCCTGCGGTTGTGTGCATTTTTGATTTTTCAAAGTGTCGACCAATTTTTCTAGGCCACACCAGTGCTGCGGAAAAAAATTTAAAAAAAAAAGCCCATTAAATCTATTTTTGAATTTCAAAAATGCTGACTTCCGATGGGCGGAGCTTAACAATTCGAACTGTTCGAATTTGTCTCGCAATCGTTTATAAATTGAATGCGTATCAAACAAGTATATGCGAAAAATACAGTCTACATTAAAGGTACATACAAAAAATGTTAATTTCGTGTCAAGAAATAAAATTATATTTGACCAAAAATTTCAAATATTATCCTCCATATCCTGTAAGCGATAATATTTAAAATTGAGTTAGGTCTCGCCACGATTATTCGAATTTCACGCAATTCCAGCCACGAATTCGATCCGCCGTTCATCGTCGAAGTGCGCTGCCTCAATTCTCCAGCTTCTTCCCTGTTCGGAACCGAGCAGAAATGCGTCAAAGGAATGCTGCGATGCGTTCAACAGTTCTCCGATGTAGGGACCACTCGACTCGTAGTGAAAAATAATTTTTCGTTTTTTTTTCGCAGGTGCACGTCTCGCGCCGCGCCGTCGGCTCAATGCACTGGCATCCCTACACAATAAAGGACCATCCAATCGGCTGCCAATGTATGTGGCCCGTCGATAAGTACGGTCATCAGGAATTCTAGTTCAAAGTACAAAAACACTGCAACCAAACCTAACAACAACAACAACAATCGACACCAACGCGGGTCCCAGCACGAATTTCCCAGTACACAATTGTTTCTTGTCATTTCTCTTCTCGATTGTTTTCTTTATAAAGAGAAAAAAAACACACACAAATAACAAATTGAACCAAAGAAAAAATAGAAAATCACAATTTCCTTTTCAATTCGACAATTCGTCGCGGGACCGATGCATCGATCACTTTGATTTCTTTGGCTGTCAGGGTCCCATGCCGATTGACAAAATCGCAAAAGCTTGGCACACTACCGCCAACACCGAAATAGAAAAATTTGGCGGCAATCCAACTGAAAAAAAATAAATAACGATTAAAAAGTGGGCGGAGCTAATTTGCATAATTAGTGTGTTCGATTTAGTAATAATTCACGTTAATCGTTTGATTTCATTGAATTTCAAATTATATCGAGTCTCCTCGCCCATCACTTTAGACTACGGTACTCGTAATTTGTTGGTCTTTGTATTTCGGACCACCCAAATCGCATTATGTGTGTCCGACTTACGCGACTCCGTTTTCGGCCAATGTCGCCGCAATTGCATTGTGCAAATGCATATAATCGGCCTCGTTGTAAATCGTCTCCGACGACAAAATCACATCGAAACTAAAAACCACCGTAATCTACAGTAATCCAATAACGAGATGAGGTGCTTACTGGCGATTCGCGACTTTCTCGGCAACCTCGTCCCACGCAATCGCGAAACTCGACAATTTCGCGTGATGCTCGTTCGACGCCAAATTCGGCATTGTGAAGAACTCGATGACCGACGCGTTCTGTAAATCGAGGCGCAATGTTTTGGGTGGGGGGGGGGAGTGGGTCTCGACGAGAAACTTACAAAATCCTGCACGACAACCTCGTTTGCGCCGTGAATCGCCGCCAATATCGACGGAAGAGCAGCACCACAGCCCAACTGAAATTTCGAGATTCTAGGCGAGTCAAAATGAGATCACCAACTTCAAGCACATTTTTGCCTTGGAAAAATTCGGAATTCTCTTCGATGTATTCGCATAGATCGATCGTGCATTCCCAGATCTGCAATTCGAGAAAATCGCGTTTATAAAAAACTATTGTCGGCGTCCGGCGACTTCTGAACGCGGGTAGATTTACGCGCATGCGCCTTGAAAAGGTCTCGTCACGTGTGAATGCTTATTTTGCTGTTTTCACGTAAACTGCTTCATTTTTCTTGATGAGTTTCGAATTTCCTCGAATCTCCAGTCATTCGATTAAGAAATTATCGAATCGGTCCATTAAAATTGAAATAACCTGCTAGTCCTTGTGAGACCATTTCGAAAGACGCATGCGCGTAAATCTACCCGTGTACAGCAGTAGCCAGACGAAAACTATATATCATTTTCTATTGGACCTATTCATGCAATAAAAAATGATTTATAAAAATTTGCTGCATTTCGCGTCTAGATTTACGTGCATGTGCCTTCGCTATGGTAACGCACCGACAAAAAGAGAGATCATTCCATTCATTATTAATTTCAATGATATGAGGTATTCAAGGAAATGATATACTCATCAAGAACAATGAAACGATTCTCGCGAAATTCTCAAAATTGGTGTTCACGCGTGGCGAGACCGGAGCACCGCGTAAATCTACCCGCGTACAGCTGTCGTCGGTCGCCGATTATACACAATTTTCCATTTATATGGTTGCAAAAAATACAAATTTAATGTATTTTTTTTTTCAATTTTCTTATAAAACCATAAATTTCGTGAATAGCTCGAAAGAAATGATAAAAATGAAAGGCTGGAACATTTTAAAATCGTAAATCGTGCTAGTTCGAAGGTATCTTCTTGATTTGACAAGTTTTATTTTTTGCACTTTTTTTTGTTTTTATTTCATTTCTGGTATTTCTAGGATTTTTTTTACCTCTTTAGTTCAATTTCTCAATATTTTTTTCGCGTTATCAATTTTTTATTGCCCTCTCATATTTTCTTTTTACTCGTATATCTAATGTTCGGAATCAAGCCGATCCGATCGGTTTTGAGTTACCAGAGGATTTTTCTAAAATTCGGGTCGATTTACGCGCTTGAAAGGATCTCAAAATTTCACTTTTTTTAAAGAATAATTTACTTCTAACAAAATACGCATTTCAACCTTGAATCCTCCTTCATATTTATGCGTCGTGATATCCGAAGCTTCGACCCCATCGAGCTCATCCGCATATTTTGTCTAAATTTCACAATTCCATTCCGATATTCAAATAATTCTCACCTTGCCGCCATTCTCATCCATCAAAATCTGAACTTCGACCTCATTCAGATAATTCACCTCCCTTCCATTCGCCAATTTCAAAACATTCATTCTAGAATCATTTTAAAAAATAATAAAATCAATTTCAAAATACTCCGATGTAACCTTTTTGTAGAACTACAAATATTTTTTCATTTTTTCTCCAAAAACAAAATTATAAATCGATATAAATTAAATATTTTATCTACAACAGCATACAATATAATTTATAATACATACATATAATTAATATCACATTTCTTTTTGAACATATAATAAATATGTATAATATCGAGTTAAGGGCAATAAAATTGGTTAAAATCACAGTTGCTTCTAAGAAAAAAAAATAACGTCTGGGGGTAAAGCAAAACCGGTAAGCATATCACCTATTCTAAGGCACTTTTTGAAAGTCATCGATTGAGGGCGTGGCTTACGGTGCCGCCAACAGCCGCCGCCCAACTCGCCTGTCGGGCTTCTTCTGTCTGAATCACCTGCTTCATCTGGCCTTCGTCGAACCTGGCAACCGTTCCGATGACACGAGCAAGGGTCTTAACCAAATTCAAATAAGCCATTTCAAAAAAAAAATGAGAATTTGACCTACCACTGACTCTTTTCCTAGTTCTTCTCGACTTGTCATATATCGATAAAGAACATTCCGCAGGTACTGAAATTATTTTTTAATCAAAATGCTCCCAAAATAGAGATATTATTTCCAACCTCAGCTTCTGCAGGATTCGCAATTCCGTGACTGTCTTCATGCTTCATTGAGCTCTTCGCGTTGCTCGTCTTCTTGGCCATCTCCTCCCCTCGATTTATCTGCAGGCGTAAGGTATCAGCTTCGTTCAAGCTTGCGTCAAGCTTTTGCTTCAACGATTGAATCTCTTCCTTATACTGAAATTATTCAAATCGTGAAAAACGTCAGATATTGCCAAATCAAACCGAAAACTCGCTCCTCCTATCCTCCTCTTCCACTTTTCCATTCTCCGTCGCCGTCGTCGTCGCCTTCATTCGATTCAACTCTTCCTGAAGCGCATCAAACTGCTGGTTCTTCTCGTTCAACTCCACATAGAGCTGTTTGACCTCCTTTTGCAGCTCTCGCACAACCTTCCTCGAGTCCGTCTCATTTTTGGCGGCTTTGCTCTGATTAGCTGCTTTGAGCTGCTTCACCTCATCCTCGAGCTCTCCAATCGTCTTCTTCTGCAGCTCATTCTCCCCCTCAAGCTTCTCGCGGAGGTGTTCGCCATCTCTCACATCATCTTGCATATTCTCAAGTTGCGATTTCAGCTCCTGCTCATTCTTTTCGGCCGCTTCAAGCTTCTTATTCAGCTCCGCGTTAGCCGTCTTAACATTCTGAAGCTCCTTCTGAATGCTCTCAACCTTCGTCATTGTGTGCTCGAGGGTCGCCTTCTCCACAACAACACTTTCCATTTTCCTCTCGGTTTCTCGCAATTTCTCATTCGCTTCTTCAATCTTCATCTTCGCTTCTTCATTAATCTTCTGCAGCTTCTCTTCAAACTGCGCCTTCATTTTTGTCAATCGCTTCTCTGCTTTTGCCTTCAGCTCAGCATGAGCAGCATCTTTCTCCTAAAAATGTGATTTTTAATTTAAATTGAAGGAATTGGTCTCCTTGCCTCGATTGTCTTTCGCATACTATCCAGTTCGGCGGCAAACGTTTCTCTCAATTTCAGATCCTCCCTCCTCTCGTTCTCGCGATCAGCCTGAGCTCGCTTCTCCCGCCCTTCAATTTCTTTAAGCTCCTTCCGAATCGCTTCAACCTCTTCCGCTTGTTTCGCCACAACATCCTTCTGCTCTTCAATCGACTTTCGCTCCGCCTCGAACTCGCTCCTCGTCGCATTCAGCTCATCGCGAAGGTCCGATATAATTTTCTCCTAAAACGCATTGTTTTCTAATGCATTTTCAGACAAATCAAAACGCAAATTTGTTATGAGAAACATGAAAATCAACACAAAATGCACCTTCTGAATGAACTCGACGCGAAGTTTTTCATTCAATTCTTCGAGTTGCCCGATTTTCGAATCTTGCGCGCCTCGAATCTACAAGCGATGCACATTTTGGCAAGACGATTAACAAATTGTAATTGGACAACAAAATTGGGAAAATCAATGGGACGGGACGACGACGACACACAAAGCATTGAATGAAAAACTATCAAGCGCAAACCACTCGCACATACCTTTTGCTCAATGCTCTTGCTCAATTCATCAATCTTCTTCTGGCACTCCATCCGCACCTTCTCCCGCTCCACAATCAATTCCGACTTTTGCTCTTCGAGTTGTGTCGCTTTCGCGCGCGCCGCTTCCAATTCACCACTGAGCTTCTGCTTCAGCTCATCTTTTTCCTGCTCCAGCTCTTTGATCTTCTCTGTCACATGTCGAAGTTCTCCTTCTGTCGTTGCGGTCGCCTCATTCGCCTTGACGATTTGAACTCTCGCGATTTCCGACTCCTCTTCAATCTTCTTCTCTGCCTCACGCACGTGTTCACGCAAATTGTCAAGCTCGTGTCGAGTTGCCTCGAATTCCGTGCGCGTCTTATTCAAGGTCTCTTCATGTTCGCAAATCTGCTGCTTCAGTTGTTCGCGTTCCTGCTGGACACTCTCAAATTCTTTCTGACACTGGCTCAACCGCTCTTCTAGTTCGGCTTTCTGCTGTTTGACTTGCTCCAGCTCTCCACTTATTCCCTCCACGAGTTTGCCATCTTCCGAAATCTGACTTTCAAGCTCTTTTATTCGTTGCTCGGCATTCTCCAATTGATCGCCAATTTGCGTGGTTCGAGACCCCTCTTGTCGAGCATTTTCCAAATCATGCTCAACGGTCTTCAGTTTCTCATTCGACTCAGAAACTAGCTTCTCCAGCTCTAATACCCTTTCGTGAGACTTCTTCCGTCCTTCCTCAGCGTCAGAATTCTGCTGCTTCAGTTGTTCAAGCTCTTTCTGTGCTTCTTCCAATTGGCGAGACTTCTCCTGTTCAAGTTCCTGCGATTTCTTGAGAATTTCCTCAACATCGGTTTTTTGTTGTCTGAGTTGTTGAAGCTCATCAGTTGTCGAATTTCCAGCACACACTTGCTCGTTGAGCTCAGCGTTCTAAAGTAGAAATTCAGAATTTTTGCAATAAACTTCGACTTTTACAATTTTCTCGAGCTCGTCAATCCGTAGTTTTGCTCTTTCCTCAGCAGCACGAAGATCAGCTTCAAATTCTGTTCGCGTCTCGTCAACTTTCTGCTGAAGAGAATCAATCTGAAGGGCAGAAATCATGAATAAAGTATTATCATTGTTCAAATCTACCTCATTTTTCATTGATTCGCGAACCTCCTCAAATTCGGCGTTCTTCGCCTCAAGAGTCGATCCAAGCACATGTAGCTCCTCAGTCATCGCATTCTCAGTTTGCGTTCTCGCGAGCACCTCATTCCTACTCTTCTCGAGTTCTGCTTTCAACTCGGTGATCGTCACATCCATATTCTGCTCAAGAGTTGTCAATTGTACCGTTTTCTGTGCCACTAGCTCCTCTCGTTCTTTCGCCGAAGCTTCTAAACTCTTCACAAGCTCCTCCTTTTGCATTTTCAGATTTTCCAGTTGCGATTTGAGCTCCGCAATCGCCTCGGTGTCATTTTTCTCCTTCAAACTCTTCTCTGTCTCCAATTCAACTTTGACGTCTTCAATTTGTCGAGCGAGACTCGCCTTTTCAGCGTTTACCGCTTCCAGCTTTTTCGCCTATAAAAAATTGAATTATTCCAAATCCATGTCGAGCTTCCCACAAGTTCCTCTTTCTCCGCTTCCGCCGTCTTCAAAGCTCCATCTTTGAATTCTTCGAGTTGCTTCTCCATCGCCTTCACCATTCCAATGTGATTCTCCTTCTCCGAACTCGCCACTTCCAGAATCTTTTTGATCTGCTGCTCCTGAAATCAAGCAGACTTCAAGCATTTCCGCAATGATTTCCTACACATTCAGCCAATTTCTGCTTCAATTCCTCATTTTCAGCTCTCTGCTCTTCCAGTTTCTTGTGAAGCTCTTCAACAACACTTGATTCCTGCTCAGCCTTCTCCTTCTCAAACGATTTCCTGCTTTCCTCGAGTTCAATCTTCATCTTCTCCGCATTCTCCGTCACCTCAGCGTATCGCTTCTCAACGTCATCGCGAATTTGCTTAACCTCGTCAAGCTCCGCCTTGAATTTCTCGCATTGCTCCAACATTTGCGCGTTCAAACTTTCAATTTTCTTCTAAAATATAATCAAATTTCTCTAGCAATAAGTGAATTATTGTTTTTTTCCGTAGAAAGAATAAAAACCCAACCTCCATCTCATTTTTCAATTTCTCAGACTCTTCGAATTTCGCCGTCAGCTCATCACATTTTTCGAGAAGACCTTTACGCTCGGCGTCGAAACTGCAATATTATTTCCAATAAATAATTGGCGACAAGAAAAAAATAATGAGAAACTAGTAAGAAAATCAATGTGCGAATTTGCTACGTTATTAATAATGAATATTTCATGCAATAGAGAAAAAAAAGAAGAAATCCCGTGGAAGTGTGCAATTTTCTAAAAAACATAATTCATCTGTTTAAAGGCGCATGCTAGTAAATATTCCGAAGAGCGCATAATTGTTTGAAATTTCACAATTACTCTGTTCTAAGGACCTATTCATGAAATAAAAAATGATTTACAAACTATCGCACAATTTTTCAAGGTGGGGCTGTAAAAAAAAAAATTCGTTTCACGAATAGGTCCATTAAAGTAAACATGGCAATTATCAACATAGAAAATTTGAAAAAAAATGAATATAAATTTTGAAACAGTGGAATTCCCCAAAGAGTCGCTTAAAAAACAATTCAAAATTAGCATAAATCATGCAAATGCAACAAGACGCCTCGGAAAAAAAAGGGAATGTGGACGATTCGAATCTCTCGCTTCTCTCAATTTTCGGTGCACACAAACACATCACCATAAAACATTGCCGCTAGTCGGTCTATTCAGACTGGGCTCCATCAGCGAAGAGAAATGACACAACAAAAACACTACTACTCGCCAAAAATTAGATGCGCTTGCGACACTTCCATATGTGGCCACAACGGCATATGGACATGATGACGAACAAATACAGATATGAAATTGAAATCAGCAAGGATTGGGTGTCACTTCAATTATCAACGCAAACATATCAAATGTCGGGGGTATTGCGTTCCGCAAAGAATATGAGATATATGTATATTCTATTTAAGGCAGTCGAAAATAGAATATTGGGAGTTAGAAAGCGTTTTAAGCATTTTTCATTAAAAAAAAAGGTGTTTCCAAAAACACCTATGATACGAACCTATGCAGTATTCTCTAAACAAAAAACTAGTTTAAAAACCATTAATGGTTTTTAGTACCAAAATTATTAAAGCGCAAAGTTCGAATTATTTTATTAATCGCGGGTCGCACGTGTTATTGACACATTTTAATAATTCTAATTATTTTTCATTTGGCCATTTTAGCATAAGAATTTTCGCGGAAAATTTTTTTTAATTTTCAGCCTCTAATCGAAACTTCTACAAGTCGCGTATAAAACCTAAATTCTACAGTCTCACTTCTACAAGAAATTTTCCGGCATTCAAAAATTGAGCAATTTCTTAGATATAAAATGACATGCTCATTTTTGTTACAAAAACAAATTCAGCAATATTTGAAAAAAAAAGAAACAACTAAAAGAAAGAAACTAAAAGCTGACACCTTTAATATCTATATTCTCATCTTTTAGCAGGCTTTTAGGAAATACATACTAACAGAGTTAAAATGCAGCTAAAATGTTAACATTTCGTCGAATTTTCCCAATTTCCAGTAAACAACTAGGTTTTCTCTTATTGAATAACATCCGAAAACGCAATTTCGTATTGTGTGACCCCCATTTCAATAACGCGCTTCCTCAAGTGCTGCGAGCACAAAACTTGAGCATCAGAGTTGAAACCTAATAAGTGAAGAATTTTTTATGAATTTCAAATTTGTTCCACTTCACCAAAGAGAATTGTATATTTCATAAATTTCATTAAAAAAAAGCCTCGCCCTCTTCAAAATAAACAGTTTTTTCGTCAAGATTCCGTCAAAACAACAACTGCGAACAAGCGCAAGTCACTTTTAAACATCATTCTGCATCTGCTCTAGATGACTACTAATATCTACCACAAATACTAAATATCTTATAAAATCATACAAAAAAATGTTGGTTTTTTTTCAAATAAATTTCAACCAAGCGATAAGAAGCACACAACCACTGGATTAGTCGGAGAAAATGAGCATGCAAGCATTAGGAATTGAAAAATGAAAGAAAAAGAAGCTGCATTCACCCGGCGGTTTCGTCAAATATATTTAGAATGTACCCACGCGATTTTCTGATCGTCGATCATCCGTTGGTAGTGCTCGATTTGCTCGCGCTTCTCCGATTCCTGTTCAGCGGTCTCGAACTCCACTATCGAGATTCGATCCATGTCGCATGCGCGTTGCTCGTATTTCTCTCGCCATTGCTCGCACTCATCGTGCAACAAATCGTATCTGAACCAGCACGAGAAATTCGATGGCAACGAGGCGGAATATTGGGTGGGAGAGAACGGTTGGTACGGGTGGTAGTGGATCGCGTTGGAAATCACATGTACAACAGCCACCTCGAAGCCATTAATCTGGCGGTTTTGAATAAATGGTTTCAGATTCGATTCTCAAATTTTCAGTGAAAATCCTTGAAATCAAACAGGAGATTCGAATGTTCTCTACTCAAAACCACCAGTTACACGAAAAAAACGAAAGCATTTACAACATCGAGAACATACAACTTAAAAAATGAAGAATTTTCGCGAGATGGGAAAATTGAATCGAGTTTATTAATCATGCAGTTCGCTTCACCATTATTACCCAGTGTTCGATTTTCTTTAACCCAGTAACATGAAGTTCAACTCACTTTTCTCGCGCGGCCATTAAAGAACGCTGAGCTTCCTGCTGGTAATACTCAAAGTTCGTCGATTGCTCCGAATATTTCACTTCAAGGGCATCCTTTTCGGCCAGAATTCTCGTCAAATCATCTTTCAACTGAAATTCAAATAGTCTGATTCATCAAAAACTTCAAAATTCCAAATTACCGTTTCAATTTCTTCATTCGTCTCGTTAAATTCTTTAGTCTCAAGTTGAACTTTCTGAATTTGAAAAAAAAAATAAATCAAAAATTAATACTTTTTTTTAAAGTTTAATTCTCTCACATATTTGTGCATTTCGAGCCGCAACTTCTCATTTTCCTCTTTGAGCTGCTCCATCTCCTCAATGAGCTGCATTTCCTTCTCGTTCAAGCTCGTCTCGAGTTCCTTCCGCCGTCGTTCTTCTTCTTCAAGAATTGCTTTGACTCCTTGCTGTTTCGCTTCGGACAATTTCTCGATCATCTCATTTTTTTCAGCTTCAAGTGCCTAAAGTCAAACATTTTCTGTCTAAAAATGGACACAATGGAAAAAGCAACCTTATTCGCATTTTGGAGTTGCTCAACCTTCTGGCTCCATCGTTGATTTGCATCAGCATCCGCCTGCTCCAACACAGAGCATTTTCGACGCCATTGTTCAATCTTAAACAATCTTCGATAAGGAACATTTGAATTTTTAATCCAACCTCTCCATCTTTGCTCTCAAGAGCTGCATGCATTTCAGCTTTCGTTGTCGCAAGAGTGATTGCATGCTGTTGATCACTCTAAAAGTTTTAAAAATCCGGATTTTTCAAACTCTCAGAACCAATTACATCATTCACCCTCTTCGTCCATTCGTCTTCAATCTTCTGAATTCTTTCGTTAAGCTCATCAACATTTCCACTAGGTTCTTTTTCATCCAATTTTTCTTGCATCCCTTTTATTTTAACTCTACATTGCTCCAGGAGCTTTCGATAATCATCACACTTCTTCTCAACCTATAATTAAGTCTCAAAATTGATGGAGAAAAAAAAAATGTCAAACCTCTGCGAGTTTCTCGCTGTTGCCTCCAGTTTCGGTCGAATTTCTCAGCTTCTCACTCAAAATTCGCTTCTCCTCGCGTAGTTTTTCCAATTTTTGTAGATATTCGTCTTGGGTCTTTTCCAAAATTTTCTAAATTCGAAATTTACATCCAAACATGTCTAGAGGGAGTCTTACCTTTGTATTATTCACATCATCAACAAGACGGTTATGACGTTGAACAGCATCGCGATATTTTGCTTTATATGTCGATAATTTTTGCTTCAAACGTGCATTGTTGGTCTGAAATTAACAAAAGTTCATCACCATTGAAAAAATCTAATTTCCCAAAAATTGGGACAATATAAAACCACAAAAATGTATTTTTAAGTCTTTCTTACCGATTCGGATTTCACCGAAAATGCTTCGCTTGCAACACTTTCGGAATCGGATGGAATCGTTTCCAACGCACTTGAAAGCATATTCGGCAGCGAATTCAAAATCGAATTGAACGTGCTGAACGAGAAAATGACACAATTTTTGGGGACAATTCGCCTACCTCTCTGTACTTTTCGTCGAATCACCGGAAAGAGTTCGTTCTCGTTTGCCAGATGGGCTCGGAATGTCGCTGATTCCAAGGCCGAGAAGATCGGCTTCGGGAATTTCGCTCATTATTGCACTTCCGCTGCTCGCCTGACACCCATTTTTTGAATTCCGTTAATTGAAACGTTAAAAATTTACCATTGAATCGTTCGCATTCTGATTAGTCTCGTTTGAGCCATTATTTTCGGGATTTGGCGAGCTCCCTGTCACTGTATTCAGGAATTTTCTCGATATTGACGTTCCCGTTTCACTTCCCGCTTCATTCTAAACAAAATTCGACATGATTTATATTGTTTTTTAGTTGAAATTTACCATTGCCTGCCGATACTGGCCAACTTGCGCGGCTACCTGAGCTCCATATTGCTGGGCGGATTGCTTGATTTTTTCCGCTTCACTGTCTAACCGGTTTTTAAGGTTTTTAAACATCTAGAAATTAAATTAGTGTTCTATGAAAGAATGAAAAGGTATTTAAAGGGTAAAGTCCCAGAAAAAAAAACAATTAAAAGTTTTTAAAAATTAACAAATTTATCAACAACGTAACAAAATACCCATATTTTTTTAATTTAAGCTTCAGAATTTGGTCGTTTCACTCCGCGATTCAGCCATGGCTTATTTTTCGTTAGTTTTAACGTTGATAATGACAACTCGGCCATTTCCACAGTGTTTGCGATGGATTTGTGCAGCGATTTTCGGTCTTTGCTCTTCACCTCTCTAAAACTTGATAATTCTTTTGGAATAAAAAAAAAGATAAATTACAATACGAGAAATCTGCCATCTTGAGTGATTGTCCGAACAGCGCCACTTCGGCTAGGTTCCTTATCAACCGAGACTGCGTTAACCACGATTTTCGCACTTTCTTCATCATCCATATCTAATCGGACGCTTCTAAATAAATACTTTTGTTTTAAATGATTTTAATATAATTATGACTTACGCGGTGTGAACATATTCATCTAAAGCAATTTCATCTTCGGAAGATGAGCAAGAGCCGGAATCGATTTCCATTTTCTACAAACAAAAATTAATTAAGACGATCGAGAGGCGTAAAATTTAGAAATGAGATGTGCGATAAACCACGTGTCATCATAGCTACGCACGGAGAAAAAAATTAATGAAAAAAATGGCGAAAATCAAGCTTTCATGACAGAATGGACCGGTTTTGTTGCGCATTTGGACACTCGCCAACTCGATGGTTAAAGGCGCATGCATTTTTCGGTGAGCGATATCGCGCCGCGAATTCGTTTTTCGAAATTTTCGGTTCAAAATTTCTTTCGCGGCTTAATCTCGCTAGCCGAACTTTTCAAATTTTTTGTACTTTTCGTATTTTTGGTATTCTTCTGACGAAATGAATAGGTATGCAGTAAACAGAATCATGTTCCATACTAATGCATTTAAATTACTTAAGAAACGATTTTATTGAAAACGTTTCATGTGTTGTTTTGTTTTTCTAATAAATGTTTAGCTATAACCACAAATTAAAATTAAATATAAATAATATGCTATTTATTGGTTCTGCAAGTAGATTTCATCATTTTATGTACTGGAAATCATTCTAAAAGTATTAAGTAAATTAAGTTTTGAAGAGAAAATTATATTGAAGACATATTTTGCATAAATTTAAATAGCTAAATAAATACAATTTATATAAGTGTTTTTGTTTATTAAGTGATTTTCTTCAAAGTAAAAAAGAAATAAGTAAGTATTTTCATTATCTTCAAAACAATCAACGGTGGTTGCTAGGATACTTCTTTTCATAAATGCTATATTTTCCAATTCATTCATAAATAATTTTTTCAGCCTGAAAATGGTCGGTGTTCAAGATAATTCCAATCCCGTAAGTAATCTTTTGTTTGCGTTTGAAACATATTTAATTGTTTTAGAATCTGAACAGAATCATCGCTAATATAGTGGATGTTCAACAAACAATTATTCTACAGTTTGATTCATTAACCAAAAGCATCGACTCTCTTCGCACCGAACATACAAATTCAATTAATCAGCTTCGGGAAGATTTTCGTCGAATTGATGACCGTTCTCAAAAACAGACAGATGAGCTTCGTCGCGCACACGAAAAGGAAGTGGAACGTTTAATGGATTGCCTGAAAACGCTAATTGCTAGGGACACGGCTCCTTCAGGGGTAATGACTGGTCAAGTCGGCAATCCAGCAGCCGCGGCAGCTGCTATGCAACAGGTATACTTATTGAAAATGCACAAAATTCTGTTTTTGTTTCAGATGCAGCTTCAACAAGCCATGATGATACAACAAGATCAACTGCAAAGAATGGCTCAAGCTCATGCTCAAGCACAAGCGGCAGCTATTGCGAACAACCTTGCGAAGCCTATTATTCCGCCTGTTTCTACGCCACAAACTAAACCAGTTATTCAACCTCCAATTATTCCACCACCAGTTGTTCCTAAACCCCCATTTAGTCAAACGAATTTTGGAGGAAATACGGCTTTTAGTGGGACGGTAAATTAAATCAGCCGATATTTTTTTTTATTTGTGTGTGGAAACTTTCAGACGACTCCAAAAGTTGAAACAAAACCACTTTTCCCGACAACTGAATCGAAATCTACTCCAGTCACCACCGCTCCTGCTTCTATCAACACAAGCTCCCCGGGAGGTTTCACATTCGGACAAGGAAGTTCCAGCATTTTTGGCAAAAAGCCTGAAAGCAGCCCAGCTAAACCTGCTGCACAAGCTACGCCAAAAGCTGAGAAGGAGGAAGATGATGCTGTTGATGAATACGAACCTGAAACTGAATTCAAACCCGTTGTTCCGCTTCCTGATTTGGTTGAAGTAAAAACTGGTGAAGAAGGGGAAAAGGTTTAGAATTCTTTTGAATTTAGTAATGATTTTTTAAAAGTTTAGGTCTTGTTCAACAATCGCTGCAAACTCTACATCTACAGCAATGAGCTGAAAGAATTCAAGGAGCGCGGTATCGGAGAACTTAAAGTTCTTCAAAACACCGACACCAAGAAATATCGTGTCGTAATGCGTCGCGAACAAGTCCTCAAAGTTTGTGCTAACTTTGCAATTGTTGATTCGATGACAATTCAACAAATGGCGAAGAACGAAAAGGCATACACATGGTTCTGCAAGGACTATTCTGATGAAGAGCCTGCTGATGTGAAATTGGCGGCACGATTTGCAAGCGTCGAAATTGCTACCGAATTTAAGGAGCTTTTCGAAAAAGCTGTCGCCGAGTACAAATCAACTGGTAAATTAATACATAGTATTGCCATTCATGATTTCAAAATTTGTTCAGGGTCAACCCCGGCTAAACCAAAGCAGGAGAAAACAATTGACAAAGAAATCAAGCCAGCTGATAAGGAAATTAAGAAAGAGGCCAAAGAAGTCGTTATTCCACCCAACGAGGATGGATTTGGTGACAAGTTCAAGCCTGTTCCTGGAAGCTGGGAATGCCCCTCTTGCTACACGAGATGTGATGAAAACGCTTCGAAATGTCCATGCTGTGGTGCTGGAAAAGACGGAGAAGTCGACAAGACTGCCTCAATCTTCCAGAAAACTACTATTCAACCACCACCAGGAGCTTCGAAATTCTCGTTCGGTTTGAGTGCTGCCTCTGTTGCTGCCAAAGAACCACAACAAGCTGCGTCTCCAAAGTTTGGTGCTTCATTGAGTAATGGAACTTCGGGAACCTCTGTGTTTGGTGGAAATACACCAAAAAGCACGCTATTTGGTGGCGGAGCATCGTCGACGACAACAACCACGCCACAATTCTCTTTCAATAAGCAGTCAACAGCTACCAATGCCAGCACTCCCAGTTTTAACTTCATGAAAGCCGCTCAGCAGGCTTCTACAACTAGCTCTCCAGTTACCACAACTACTAATACTTCTATTTTCGGCAGTGGAGCTACTGCAAAACCGGTAACCTTCTCATTCACCAAAAAAGGTTTGAAAAAAAGGAAATAATAAAGCAAAAGTGAAATCTTTAGATGATACGCCTGCGTCAACTGGAAACGCTCCGTTGTTCTCATTCAACAAGCAAAACTCTACACCGGCTGAAGGAAATAAGTCAACCGAAACACCAAAAAATGTATAGATAAAAAAATATGTGTTTATCCAACTAATTGTTTCGAAATTTAGGTTTTCGGAGGATTCGCTAGTGGAGAGACATTTGCGACGTTAGCAGCGAAAGCAAAGCAAAACAACATTTTTGAAGGTGAAGCTGCCAAGAAAGCACAAGAAGAATTCAAGGCCCTGAAAAAGAACACGGTAAATTTATGCCATCACTATTTTTAAGTTCTGTCGTTTTATAGCCACTTGTAAAGACAACGGAAAATGCTGACGAGGAAGGCGGGGATGAGAATGCTGAAGAATATGAACCACAAGTCGACTTTAAGCCTGTCGTTCCTCTGCCAGATTTGGTTGAACTTGTGACTGGAGAGGAGAATGAAGAGGTGATATTCAAAGGACGCTGCAAACTCTACCGCTATTACCAAGATGAAGGAAACAAAGAACGCGGAGTGGGAGATATCAAGGTTTTTTAATTTAAATATTAATCGAATTAATATGAATATTTAGATTCTTTTTGACAAAGAGACAAATAAGTATCGAGTGGTTATGAGGCGCGAACAGGTTCACAAACTCTGCGCTAGCTTCAGAATCGAAAAGCAGTTCAAACTAACCATGAGAGAAAATACGAACAATGTATTCTCTCTATTCTGCTTAGTGAGTTATTCAAAATTGACGTTTTTTTTTTAATTAAAAATCTTTAAGGACTTTTCCGAGGATCCAGAGAACGGTGAAAAAACCGTTTTCAACATACGATTCAAAGATGATAAAATTGCCAATCAGTTCCGCCAGAAATATGAAGAGGCTCAGGAGAAGAGCAGTTAAATAATGTCGATGTTGTGTTTGAAAACATTTTATCCAACCTCATAGTTTCTTTTATTGAGTTGAACGCCCCCTACTAGAACACTGAATTCCGGTCATTTTTTCCCGTTTTTTTTGTTAAACTGGTAAACTCGAATACGATGGTCTTATAGAGCGTTTATTTTGAAATTTCGTCGTATTTGCGTAAACCAGTTGTTCATCTTTTCCTGCCCGTCATGGCCCCCCTATCATTTTATTATTATTATCGTCAATATTGTTAATATCTCGTTTTCTTTATTTATTATTGATTAATTCGCGTGAAGCTGTTGTAAATTAATTCTCTCACCCATTCAAACATCCCTTATTCCCGATGACCCCGGAGAAGTTTTTTTGTTGAATTGCGCCATATGTTTAACCATCCCAAAAAAAGTGTTGTTTCGCAAATGGATTTGTTCGAAGAGCAGGAAACAGCTATTAATCAAATCGGAATGATTAATTTTTATGGATAATAATAGTGGAATGAGTCATTATTAACGTGATATCTGATCATCATCGACGTGCGTCACTTCCATGTAAACGAGAACCTTTGACGGCAGAGAATTTTGCGGACACAACACCGACAGTGTCCTTTTCTCCACGTCGACCTCAAATAAGCAAATAGAACATCGAACTTGAATGTCAATTCGACTCACCCCGTTGACGAGCACGAATCCCATCGACGCCGTCGTGATCACTTCGTTGCCAATATTCGTGCATGGCGAAATCGAGAAGAGATGATGATTGATTTCCGCACTTGGCTCGAGCTCAACAACCTGAAACATGTCCGTCGTAAGAATTATTCTGTCACTAATTAATTCACTCACCTGCGTCTCATGATTCTCAATCTCCATTCCAAATGGAAGGCATGAATCTGGAAGCTGAACACAAAAAATGAGATATGTTTCGATTTGCTCACAAATCAAACCTTTTCCGCTCCAATTTTGCACAATTTGACGTCATCGAATGAGACTTCAAATGTGAACGGGTAGAGATTGCACGAGCGTGTTCCGTAAAAATACTAAAACAATACATTTTGGAACTTAAAAGCAATTTCAGCATTTTTTTTGGTTGAGTACCCGATGAATTGCGGCTGCTCGCGATTTCGCTCGAACTTCTTTCGATCTCGGCTCGACACCTCCCGATTTCGGCTGATGGAGAAGCTGAAATGTTAAAAAATCGCGCTATTGGCCCAACCTTTTTTTAGGCTAACCTTGACGAACTCCGGCAAATCTTTGCTCAAATCACTGTAGAGCCGCTCATGATCGAGAACGACGACGACATCGACCTCAAATGCAGAAGCAGCGGTTATTAAACATTGATAACTGCAATAGGAAGTTTTCAAGTGAATTGAACGACGCGTTATTGATACCCCTCATTGTTGACCCATCCGCAAGAATTGATAATTATTCCACCAATTCGAGCTTCGTCGTTTTCATCAATCTATAATTTAAAAAATTAATTAGGATTTTATTTAAAAAATTTGCGATTTTGAGGAAAATTCGCAAAATTCGCTGGTTAAAAAAACCTTTGTTCTGACAACTTTCATACTTCCGGAAAAATGTACATTTTTTTTACAAAATTCTTTAAAATAAGGATTTTTTTAATATTCAGTTTCCAGAAGTATTGAATTCGAAAAAAACGAACACCCTGTGTGAATTTACAGTAATTTTGATTCGCAGATTTTCCGTAATACGGTATCCTTTTTAGAATTATTTCAAAAAAATTCTACGAGAATTAAGCAAATAACCTGATTATTAATTGCAGTTGCCATTTCCTTAACAAGTGTTTCATAAAGCGACAAATTAGCATTAGGTGCAAGATGGCCAAACTGTAGAAAAAAAATCGTCAAATAAAAAAATATTCGAGAATTTACATTATATACAAGCGGCGACGATTTCTCAAATCCGTCGACAACATCCGCAGTCTTCTGAATATGCAACGCTCCAATTGTTCCCGGTGGCCCAACGCTTGTCTAAAACATTTTGAATAATCTCGTATTTACGACACTTGGTACCTGTCCGACGTCAATATCGACAAATATTGGCGTTCGACCCTGTCTAACCGCATAATTGCAAAGAATTCGAGACACGGTGCTCTTTCCAACATCAGTTGGACCAACTGAATTAAAAATTTAATTGTCGATGATAGATAATCACGGTATACCTAATAAAAGCCGCGGGCCTTTCGGTTTACTGTCCGAAATTTGATTGGCTTCTTCTTCGCGATGTTGTCGAACCTGCTCCATTGCAGCATGCGTGTTGAGGTAAATTACCTAAAAAATTTATTATATTAGGTTTAGTAAGTATTTGATACCATTGGTGTATGTTGTGCAACATAGGCGTTCGCTGTGGGACCAACCAGCTCGATAACAGCACTTTTCCACGTGAAAACCGCCACTCGCGATTCTGCAAATTTTCGTTCTTTGGTTTTCTACATTGTCCTATTAAGGCCTACTCGGTGGAAATGTGTACTTCTTGTTTTCTAATAAATCGGTTCCAAAAATTTCTGCGTATCCGCTGACGAGCTCCAGAATCACATCTTCATCTCCAACCTGAAATGGCTCAATCTGAAGAATTTAACCACAATTCGAAAAATTACAACAAATCGCAATTCGCTGTCCTCGCCGAGCTTGAACTCTTGCACTTGAGCCTCTTCTGCCATCTAAAACCTTCCATGAGACGCTAATGAAAAAAAGACAAATCAAAGTATTGTTAATGCTTTTAACATATTTTGTTAGGTAAATGATCTATCATAATATTCTAGTCAGAACTGCAAAAAAATTTATTCACCGAAATAACGAAATTTTCAAATTTCATTCAATAAAATTGAAAAAAAAATGACAAAAGATTTTCACATTGAAAATCAAGAAACATATTTTACAGAATTAAACTAACACAATTCAAAATTTTTATTTAAGCGGACTAATTTTTTTACATCCAAACACGTGGCCGACGGCCGCGTCCATAGAGCACACTAGGGACGCCAAATAAGCATTGTACATGGGAAATCCGAATCTAGATAGATTCCTTGAATTATTTTGAAGTCACAAATGCTTCGTGCAGATCTTCAAGCGTTTCCCCAGACTTCTGACTTCAACTCCGGAAGATCGTGCGCTAAAATAATTGTGAATTTTCCATAATTAAAAAAAAAACGATAATTAGCAATATGAACTGCAGTTTTTACGTCGGCGAATAAAAAAAAAAACAGCAACAAATTTTAATTCAGAGAAAATGCTTTTAAAATAGAAGAAAACCCACTTTTCCTTTCTCTGGCTCAAAAATTCAGTTTATTGATTTGATAATCATGAAAGATTTGAATCGTGTTAACATCTGAAAACAAATAATATAATCAAAAATTAATTGGTCATATGAATTGGAGCTAGAAAAGTAAGAGAGGAATCTCTGGTAATTCATTTCGAATCGAATACGAATTGAACGCGTATTACAAACGTATACGGAAAATTTCGAATCGTATACGATTGACAGTAAAACCGAACCGAATACGATAGAATTACAATCGTATACGTTCGAAAAAACACTGGTAACTCGATTCGAATCGAATACGAATTGAACGCGTATTACAAACGTATACGCAAAATTTCGAATCGAATACGAATTGGCAGTAAAACCGAAACGAATACGAATTACAATCGAACGCAAATTAATTAACCGGATTCGGCGACATATTTATCCTAAATTTTCTATTTAAAAAATATTTTGTCGGTTTCGAAAAGTTAACGATATCGTATGATATCCGAGCTGACGAGCTGAGTATATTTAATACTAATGAATGCCCAGTAGTGTTGCTTACTCCTTGTTGCCGCGAGACACCGAAATGCAGCTATTTACAAGATTATTTCGCGTTCGGGCGCGTGCGGTTCGCGTGCGCGCACGTTTATATTTATCAATTTTCCACAGTATGATTCAATGTAAATATATTTTTAATAGTTTCAACAAATTCGATGATATCAATTGCAACAGAAGTTGGCACCTGTTTCTCTATCATATATTTAGCAACATCATTTTCAGAAATCATTGTCATCGGTTGGAAAATAACCCAAAAAGAATTTCGAAAAACAATAAACGAGATCGCACGCGAACCGCCATATGGCGACATAAAATAATTACCTGAGCCGCTTTTTTTTCGGGAACATCCGATAGCCGATAATTTTTCTTTAAATTTTATTTAATCGTTTAAAATCGTATTCGCATCGTATTTCTTAATATTGTGCGCAATTTTAGATGAAGCGGATCAACACGAGAGACGTATTGAGCGATTTGCGGAAATCTTCGAAAAAATTCAAGGATGATGTTGAGCATGGTAATTATCGATTTTGTCAAAATGATATTTTACTGTTAAAGAAATGGAAGTGGACATGACAAGTGTTCAAGATCAAGAATATGAAAGTGATAATGATGAAGATGAAGATGATGAGAACCAGCGAATAGGACGTCGTATAGCGGGAATTTGGTGATTTAATTGCATCAAACAGATAAATTGCCTACTATTTTTAGGACAAGGTATTTGCAATGTTCGACCCGCTGAAGCTTGCTTCTTATGACGACACCCTTGTGCCGGCCATTGAAGGAAATGGTAAAAAGAAATTCGTTACAGTAAATAACTTTTTTTAAAGATTTGGTTAACTTCTCACTTATCATTCAGTCGATGCGTCCCTGTAAGCGTCATCTGCGAACAATAGTGCACGAGGCAGTTATGATTTGGATGAACGGGGTAAAAAATAATTTTCGATGTTTTTACTATTTTCATAGTTACAGGTGATTCCTCAAAACATTCGATGCAAGTATACGCCACGCCGAAATCCTCAAAAAGGTAATATTGCAATTGAAGCGCACATAATCAATACGTTTATTGGTCAGTTTTCTATAATTCTATAATATTTCAATAATTTAATTTTTACAGAATTACTTTTACATTGTATATCAATCCCGGACACCGAAGAGAAGATGATGCGAATTGCCGTTACAGTAATCACGGAAAATTATATCGAATACTTATGGTTAGTCAATATTTCATTTTTATAGTTTTTTTACCGGAAAATTTTTAGTAATCGCGCAAGGAGGCTGCGAATTGAGGAGGAGCTCTCGAACTCGCGCCATAGTTAATTTTCTGTATATCAGTTTATCAGGTTTGCGTTGGCTTGGAATTTCCGTAGTTAAATGAAAATCAAAAAAACAAAATATAAATTAATCTGATTCGATAGAAAAAGAAATGAAATTCGATTGAGAAATTGTTTAGATTCGCTTTGAAAACTTGTTTCGATTCAAAAATCTTCGAAATCGATTGGTTCATTCTTCATTCTCAATTTTGAAATCGTATTCGATTTAATTTTGAAATAATTCGAAACAGATTAATGTATTATCGATTTCGATTGAAAAGAAAATTATTTTCGAACTCGATCGATTTTCATTTACCAGAAAAGGAAATGTCGAAATTGAAGCAAGTTATAAATTTTTCGTCAAAAAATGGCGAAAACAAATAATCGAAATAGTATTTCCGAAGAAATAAATTGAAAAAATCGCACATCCTGCTATACATATTTTTTGTTTCATTCCTGCTGTTGGTTGTTATTGTGTTTATTGCAATAAATAATTTTGTTTGTCTAATCGATTTTCTTTTTCTTCCATAATTGATTCAAATCGAATTCAATTCAAAACCGAATACGATTACATTTGAAAAATATACGACTACATTCAAAACGAATACCGCTGCATTCAAAACGAATTCGGCTGCATTCAAAACGAATACGGCTGCATTCGAAACGTATTCCAAAGATAATCGAATACGATAATTTCACAACCTAATACGAGAAATTTCGAACCTAATTAGGTCACGTTCGGAGCCGAAATTTGTCGTATTCGGTTTCAAATGTGTCGTATTCGATTCGAAATGAATTACCAGAGATAATAGGAAAATTTCACCAGCAATGACTTTATTGATTCAGTATATTGCTTAAATGAATGAAACTACACGCAAATCAAAATTTCTGCAATTGACGATCACCGGATAGAAGCAATTGTCAGGAATGAGGACATTCCCGAGTGTCCAACCAAGCCCCAGGGAAACGCTGATAAAATATTGGCTGCTCAACCTAGAACTTGGGTTTAACCCACATCTAATAATTTAATTCAAAAACATTTATTGAAAAAAAAACTTTAAAATATGAAGCCGAACAAAAAAGTAACAATTAACATTCTATTATCCTATTAACATGAGCTAAACTCTAATAATTTAGTTGAATTCAACAGTTAACAATGGAGGTCGAATTGTCGTCGGCTTACTTGGAGACGAACTTCTTGATTTTGTCCAAAAGGCTGACGTATTGTGAGTGCTCGTAGTGAGTCGCGTATTGAACCAAAGTCTTGCAGAAACGCGCGTCAAGACCGCGTTCCTCCAAATAACGAACGAAGAGAAGATCATGAAGATCCTGAAAAAATATTAAATTATTTAGATCCGGAATTTTAATCTCATACAGGGTCGATGTATTTTCCGCTGCTCGCGTACACCTCCGACGGAACGTCTTCGTTTCCTCCCTTCGCTGCGGGAGCGACATAGAATTCTTCAACACGGAAATCATCTTAAAAAATCGAAAATTTTGTGGAAATTTAAAAGTTTATACGTACACTCGTCTGGTTGATCATCAACTGGAACGAGTTCTAGATGGAAGCAAAGACGTTGATCGCCTTTGGTGATTTCCACAGTGAATGGTGGCATAGCGACTGGAACAGGAGCAGCCTGTAAAAATGTTTATATTGCAACCCATTTTGATGAAATTTACATTTTGCGATGGCTCCTCGTCATATCCTTCGTCCATATCAACAGAATGGTTTACATTGAACACAACCAAGATGCTAAACTCATTTGAATTCATATAATTTTATCACTAAAGAAACATACTCTTCATTTCCATTTTTCTTGGTCAATCGGACTTCAGCTTCCTTCGTGGTGATGGCGAATCCGGGGAAGTTTGGTGCAGCGGATCCTTGTAAGTTTTCGCGGCTCAGCTCTTGCTCAGCTTCGATTTCGCGATTCAAAGCTTGTTGCAATTCGGGCGTAACCGAGAGAACTGAAAAAATATTAGTTCGTCTTGAAACCGGGATATAGAAAATACCTTTCGCGGATTGCGAAAATGTTCTTGGAGCACTAGCTCGAAGAACAGTAGATGAGCGAAGAGCAACACGCGAGAGCGAACGAACGAAGGCTGCAGTGTTCATGTTTTACCTGAATATTAAAATAGAAATCGAACAATAAATTTCCACAACATTAAAATAGAGAGAGTAATAATTCTACCAATAAAATAAGAAGTATAGGCAATTTTAGAAATGATGCAAATTTCCAAACATTAAATTAATACAAAATGATTTCCAGCACAAAATGACATCTCAATTGCAGAAATTGGTTGAGTGTAAAATAAATTTGCAAAATTCTTAAGCTTGTGAAGCAAAAGAACTAGAAAATTCGACGAACTCTGCGTACTTTTGAAAGAAAAATTCAAATAAATGTGTTCGCTACGAGATATCACGTGCAATATGAATCGTGCGCCTTTAACCCACTCTTTTTCTATTGTTTGTTTTCATCGTTTAAACGTTGTCTTGTTCGTATTTGCGCCAATTCCCGTCTTCCCATTATTTTTTTATTATTTTTATTTTATAAGCTTTATATACTATCATTATCAACCTTCTTTGTCATTACTATAACAGAATTCTTACAAATGCAAGATTTTATAATATTTTTTGTTCGTAATTAAACTTTTTCATTATTAAAAATCCCAATTTCTTATACATATATTTCGTTTTTGGAAAAAAACTGATTTGAAGCAATATGAAAACACAAAAATGTTGGGGCGAATTGGGATGATTCACAATACAAACGCCCATGATGAGTCATCGCGGTGACGGCTTGTGCGGCCAAAAACATTTGCTTCTTTTTCATCATCATCAAAAGAAACCCCAACATTTTTAATAAAAAAAATGATGCTTTTTGTAAAGGAAAACCCATTTAATAAAAAATAAATTGATTAAATTACCTAATATCAACCAAGATAATATGAAACCAGTTAATAAATCCTTAACTGTTCAAGTTGCATAATAATATTCCTATCTATTGCAACCAATTATATCTATCGGAATAGGTGTATTACACATTCATCCTTGTACAAACCGTCGCAACCAGCCAGCCAGTCGCCACCTTTCCTCCTTTTGGGCCAGCTGGTGTTCATTCCCGCGCGCGCGCGAGCGACAAACACTCAATTTATTGATTTTCTGTTTGAATTCGAATGTTCTCATGTTTTGAGTGTTTTGTAAGCTGTTTTTTTCACGATCGCTTTATTGACTTTCTCTTTTCCTTTCGATCAGTTATTTATTGATAAGTGAGAATGATGGATTTCAGAAAGAAAATCTGCAAAAAATACTATTTAGAATGTTTTTCTATCAAGAAATTTTTGATTGTAACGATTTTTCTTGGATTAATTTAGTTTTTGTAAAATTTATCGAATTTACCGTTACTATTTCGACTATTGCATGTCGCTAAATAAGTTCAGTATTTTTGGTTGAATTTTCCTAAAAATTAATAAATTGATAATTAATAGCTCAAAATCTTCACCGTCATTCTTTCCAACCTATATTGCTATTAATAATTCGGTTTCTCAATTTTATCGACCAATTATATCTTGTCCTTTTTATCTAACGTATCGATCGACTATCCTTTCATCATGTTTCATTCAATTCTTCCAGAGAACTATGGCCTCGAGAAAAACCGTTAATCGCCGTCAACGGCCACAACGTGCCACTTCCAATGTCTTCGCCATGTTCGATCAGGCTCAAATCCAAGAGTTCAAGGTTTGCAATTGGAGATTTTGTAATAAGCTCGAATTCGGGTTTTAGGAAGCCTTTAACATGATCGACCAGAATCGTGATGGATTCATTGATCAGGACGACTTGAAGGACATGTTCGCTTCCCTTGGTAATATTGAACAGCATAAAATTCATTCTGAACGCGCAATTTTTAGGAAAGGAAGTTAGCGAGCAGTTTATCGACGCGATGATCAATGAGGCTCCCGGCGCGCAGCCTATCAATTTCACCATGTTTCTCACACTCTTTGGTGAAAAACTAACGGGAACGGATCCCGAAGACGTCATACGAAATGCGTTCCAATGCTTCGACGAAGATAACAACGGAAAATTGAACGAGGATCATTTGCGCGAGCTTCTCACCACTATGGGCGATCGTTACACTCACGAGCAGGTCGACGAGCTTTTCCGCGACGCTCCGATCAAGAACGGACAATTCGACTATGTCGAGTTCACTCGCATGCTCAAGCACGGAACCAAGGACAAGGATGAGCAATAAACATTGATTTACTCGTCGGCTTTGCTTGTATTAAGTGCTATTTATTATTACTTCACTTTATTCAATGCTTCCATTCCTTTCTCCATGTAAAAATTACGAACAATCGCGAATGAATGTAATCTTTATGTGTTGAATGACGAGAATCGGAATCACAGTAATTGTTTGATGAGCACATCGTTGTTCGGCTCGAGCAATCTGAGCAGTGATGTTGGCGATTTTTCGAGCAACGCGTCGATATCATTGATAATCGTTTGGCAAGCGGCCAACGAGGCGTTTTGCGATTTATATTTTCCGCAGAACTGGGCGAGACAGGCGGCATGGAGCGACGAAATTGTCGAGTAGAGGCCATTTAATGGATTTGCGAGTCTGAAAATTTGAATGAATTAAAAAAATGGCGAAATTGAAGTCTACTGGTCAAGGGAATCCTTTTTGAGTTTTGCCAATATGAGACCCGTCATGTTAATCGAGACAACCGCAAGAGGAAAATCCTGTCAATTAATTGTTTTCGAGTTTTCCAAATTGTTTTGTTCGCAAAATTCTTACATTTGGCTCGGTGCGCGATAATTGAACAATACTTTGAAGAATGTTATGCGGCAACTTTTGCGTGAATGAATGAAGTTGAAGAAGTGCCAGAATGCCGCAACCGCGGAAATCCGTCGCCGGATTGTTGCCTTGAAATCCGACGATCTGCCAATGTGAGCCAACTCGTGGGCACGGCGTATTCGGGGTGTCTAGAGCGATTTGCGAGATTATTTTGAAATAATCCGACAGCAGAAGCCAATGAGTCCCGTTATTATCGTCATAAGGAACTGAACGATTTTTTAAAATAGAAATTTCTGAAAAAGAATTGAAAATAAAAATAGACCAACCATGACTCAATTTGAGTAAAAGCGATTTATGAGTATAGCCAAGAGGCGGCATTTGGGTCCGTGATGGCCGGCAAAGACATATTTGAATAATTTTGTCTAGGGCTGAAATTGCTTCAACCGGCTTTTGAAGCTCCTAAAAGAAAAGAAAAAAATCATTTACAAACTGAATTAAATAGATCTTGTGTGTTTATAAAAAAAGATAAGAAATGTTTCAATTTTTTGAAATATTCTATTTTTAGCAAAGAAATATAATGGCCAATTCTGAAAAAATCGAGAAAATTTCTGAAAAAAAATTATTTCTTCACGCACTGAAATTTTCTCAATTAAATTTTTTTTTCTCCATAAAAAAGAAAATTTTGAACATTTTCAATGTGCCCATTTAGAACAAAACAGTTTAAAATTTAGTCAATACAATCGATTTTAAAAATTTGAGAAAATCACCGAGTTTTCAACTGTTATGTTCGGCCCAACCAGCAATGGATATAATTCTTCTAACGTTGCTTCAGAAGCCACTAAGCCTTCGGAACTTCCCGGCTCATGAGTCACATCAGCCGTCAAAGCTTCTCGTCCTTTAAGCTCAATCTGAAATCATTGGTCCGATAAGTTCCATTCTATCTAAAAAGAAAAGTAATCACCAACCTCGCTCCACTCATCGAGCACCTTTTCGCGCTCTTTGGTCCATTTCTCGTGTTCGTCCTCCTCGTCGTCCATAATCAATAATTTTCGACGGAAATCTGCATGAATCGAATGACTTGAAGAACTGCTGCCATTGGGAACCGCGTGTCAAATATTGCACAATTCGCGGAGGGGCAAGAATGCTCGACAATGCGTGATTGTCAAGAGACGCAGGTGATTAAAGATTTTTGCCAAGGGGGTGACTTTGTGATTGACATCGTCAGTAAAAGCTTGAAAATGGAAAAGAATTTAATTCAACAATTTTGAACCATTTAAACTTTCATATTCAACAAAAAAGTCAACAAAATGAAAAAAAAAAATAACAAATCAACAACAATTATCGGATCTACAAGCTCTTCTTTTTCTTTCCACCGGCGATCTTCTTAGGTACGGCGGTAGCACGAGCTGACGCGGCGATAGTCTTCTGAATCGCCTGCGAGATTGTCGATTTTGGAGCTGGTGTGAGCAATTTGGCGGGAGCTGGCGTATTCGCCGCCGATGCTGCCGCTCTTTTAGCAGCGCGTGTCTTTGGCGAAAAGGCTGGAGTCTTTTGGACAGCCATCACTCGAGCCTCTTTTGGAGTTTTAGGAGTCTTCGGCGATTTCGACTAAAATTTAATGTTAACTTAAAAATTCTCAGCGCAATTTACCTCGACAATCTTCACCTTCTTTGGAGTTTTCGTTTCAACGATTTGAGTTTTGGGAGTTTTGATTTCAATGTTTTTAGTTTTTGGAGTTTTCGTTTCAATGTTTGAAGTTTTTGGAGTTTTCGCTTGAATCATATGAGTTTTGGGAGTCTTGATTTCAATGTTTTTAGTTTTTGGAGTTTTCGTTTCAATGTTTGAAGTTTTTGGGGTTTTCTCTTGAATGATTTGAGTTTTTGTAGTTTTCACTGGCATCGTTTGAGGTTTTGGAGTATTCGTTTGAATGATTTGAATATCAGAATTGTTCTCTTCTGTCTTGATACTTTTTGGTGATTTTCCATTGACTGAAAAATCGTAATCAATTCCCTTGTTCTTGAGCTTATTCAAATTGTTTTGTAGATTCCAAAAACGAGCCTGAAACGGAGGTCCATTGTTGATAGCATAGAAAATCGCCTCACCTTTCTTAGCTTTTCATCTTTTTTACCGTCGACCATATTTCTAGCAAGTGCATCTTTCTTGGCATTTCCGCGGAAAGATGGTCGTAATGGAATAACCCTTCCTTTTAGCATACATTTCGGAATCTCTTCCGGCTTCAATACCCTAACAACGAGCTGTTGTCGGAACATCAAATAGCCATTCATTGATTCAGCTGCGATTTCAGCGACTTCCTTGTTATCGAATCCGACAAACGCCCATCCTTTATGATTGCCAGTCTGTAAATTAATTTTAGAAAATAGAAAATAAATAATATTCTGACGATACCTTTTTACTTCTGGCAACTCTTACACGAATTACAGTTCCGAACTGACGAAAGTACCCGAGAAGTTCCCGTTCAAAAAATCCGAAAGGAATACGGCTTAGTTTGATTACCCAAAGGTATCTCTTCTTTCCTGCTTTCTTCTTTCTTCCGCCTTGACTAATTCGATTCAATTTTTGCATAGCGCTTGTAGGTTTACGAGAAGTAGCAGTAACCATCCTGAAATGCCCTGAATATAGACTGTATTGGGAAGTCGGAGAACAGTGCAAAGTTCTGGTCGTATGAAAATAATACAGGGCTCAAAAGAGTTTAAAAATGCCCATTTTTCAAAATTTTTGTAAAACCGATTTATGAATAAGTCCATTGAATTTAATAAATATATTTATAGGATCATGTACAAACATGTTTCCTAAATTAGAAATTTTAACATGATACAAAAAATTAAACAAAATTTTAATAGTCAAAAGCGATTTTTAAATTTTCTTTTATTAAATTAGTTTTATAATTTTCAATGAAAATGAATAAATTTGCAAGAAATTTTGAAAAATTGAAAAGCAAGAAAAAAATTTGAAAGTCATACTGGCGCATTTTCGGTGCTGGCGCAATTGCCGTTTATTTTGTGTTCGTGATTTTTTAAATTTTTTTCAAGTTTTCTCTATCTCTCATATTTACGATCTTGTTTATCTAACAATTTTGCTAGTTGATCGAAATTCAACCGCGTAATTTGTCTTATCATTTTACTTCTCTGTTTAAACATTGATAAATAGCCATGAGTGAAAGCGACTCAGATGGCTATGGTGGAGATATTTTGAAGAATCGCCGCAAGACACTAGCAAAGCAAAAACGCAAACAACAACAACAACAACAATTGGCCACTTTTACGGACAGCGACGACGATGAAGGTCAGTTATCTCTTTTATCTATTTCAACCCATTGAGTTGCCCATGTTCAGACGATTCTCCACAATTGCCGAAAAAGCCTTGCGTTCTTTCCGATGACGATGATGATATCTCATTCATAGAAGGGGTAAAATTTTTTTATAACATTTTCTAGATTTTAATGAATTGTTTTCAGCCGAGTATGCCTAAAACTCATCAAGAGTACCTTCAAGAGAAGAAACAAAAAGAAATGAGAAACTATGACCGCAAAATTGAAGCCACTGTTGCTGCTGAGATGTCAAAATCGCGAGGTAGAGCCGTCAAAACGGTTGGGCTTATTGATAGAGCCTACGAGGCGTTAAAGTAAAAAATATTCCGAAATATTTTTTGAAAATAATTGAGTATTTAGTGTAAATACGGATGATGACGACGACGAAGTACTGCAAATTCCTGATAAATCTGCAAATGATAGTGATATTAACACGGTACCCGAACGCCAATCAATACTGGTCTTATAAAATGATTTAGAGTATTCAATTCACAAATGTTGAAATTGAAGTGTTTGATATGGAATCGGGAAAAGGTCGTTTCGATCGCTATAATATTGAACTGGTAGGGCGAAATCGTAATAATAATTATGTATTTTAATATTTAGAACGACAATTTCAACATTATCAATAAGGAGTTAGCGGAGCGTTGGAACTCTCCTCTGGATCACGTCCAGCTTCGATGCAAAGGCAGAATTATCGATTCGAACTCAACCCCGGAGACTCTTGGCTTTACTCCATTGATGGTCCCTCCGCCAAGATTCGATGCGTTCAAAGTTCAAGCACCGGTTATCACAATTGGCGATGGGCTACCGACAGCTTCAAAAGAAAAAGAAAATGAGGAAAAAGAGGAGTCTGTTATCAAATTCCAAATTGCCGGCCATCGTCGGCCGATCACAGTGCCATTCGAGAATGTAAAAAATTCAAAAATCCAGGAAATTGAGCAACTTTCAAAATTTGCAGAATTATACCATTGGAAAACTCAAAAGTCTACTCATGGACGAATTGGAGAAAATCAACGATGATATACTGCCTGATGTGAACGAGGTAATTTTTTAAAGCCATCAATAGTCGGTTTCTAAGAAACAAAATCTATGATAATCGGTTTTCACACGACTTTGCTTCAAATGTTACATGCGCTTTTAATTACAGTATTCAAAGAAACCGCCGATTTCGGACACTTTGTTTCCAATTTTCAATTCATTTTATTTTTGATCTTCGATTATTAGTAGATTTTAATGAAATTGTGAAGAAACACATTTAATTCGCAGAATAAAATGAGCTGCGTCTCGCGAACCCATAGAAATTGACTATGCCGACTCATTTGCAGATAAAACTAATATTTGACGATCAGTACTTGACCCAAGACGAGCTAACTTGTGAAGGTTTGGGCATTGAAGATGGAGATTGTATAGACGTCTACTAAGTATCGATCTCACTTAATCTTGTTTCATGATTCCCTTCCTTTTTTCTATCGTTTTATATATTTTTGGTTTTTGCTATTGATTTGTGAAATGAAACAATTTGGTTTTTTTATAATCACCGATCTTTGCACCTTCATGCTATCGTTGAAATATCTATGTGAAAATTGACTAGTTAATCATCAAATTGGGTTGTTTAGAATGTCTCCGCCACCAAAGATTGACGAGTTGATGAAAATCGACCCGTATTTGAACGATTTTCGAGGAGAGATATCGCGTAGATATGGGGTATTTGAAGAGTATCACAAGAAAATAGAAGAGGTAGTTTTCAATTCTCTTCAAATATTGTCGTATGTTTGGAATATTTCATACTTAAAAAATGATTGACAACTTGCCAACGATTTAATTATTCAAGGTCGCGAACCACGAAAACTTATTTTTTTTTCAAAAGTGAAATTTATCACATTTCTTTTATTTTCTTCAGTGTGGTGGCATTGAGCAATTCACAACGGCTTATCGCGAGTTTGGAATCAATGTACAGCCAGACAACTCGATCAAATGTTTGGAGTGGGCGCCAGCTGCTGAGAAGCTCGCCCTTGTCGGAGACTTCAGTACGTAATTCATTTTATTTGTGAATTCTAATTAGTGATTTCAAGACAATTGGGACCAGAATGCCCATGTTTATAAAAGGGAAGAGCACGGAAAATGGAGTTTGACGATTCCCGCGAAATCGGATGGATCGTGCGCCATAGATCATCTGTCAGTTATCAAAATCGCTGTGACTCATCATGGCGAGACGAAGCTGAAACTCAGCCCGTGGGCGACGTATGTGACATGTCCAAGACCAAAAGAGACGGTCATTTATCACCAGGTTTGCAACTATTTTGTTGAATTCACCTTTTCTATACTGTCATTTCAGGAATTCTACAACCCACCAACTCGTTATCAACTCACTCAACCACGCCCAAAAAAGCCTGAATCGTTGAGAATTTACGAGGCTCATGTAGGAATCTCGAGTCCTGAAGGGAAAATCAATTCGTACCGCTCGTTTGCCGATGATGTGCTGCCGAGAATCCACAAACAAGGCTACAATACAATTCAGCTTATGGCCGTTATGGAGCATGTTTACTACGCTTCGTTTGGATATCAGGTTACCAGCTTCTTTGCGACGTCCAGGTAATTTCAAAAGCGTATTCTATTTTTCATACTTGTTTTTAAAAATAGTCGTTGCGGAACACCGGACGATGTGAAATACATGGTCGATAAAGCGCACTCGTTGGGAATCACAATGCTTCTTGATGTGGTTCATTCGCATGCTTCGAAAAATGTCGAGGATGGTTTGAACCAATGGGATGGATCAAATGGAGGGTATTTCCATGACAACGCGAGAGGATACCATAATTTGTGGGATTCGCGCCTCTTTGATTATACCCAGTTTGTAGATTCTCACGTATATAGATAATATGTGAATTTGGTTTCAGAATTGAGACGCTTCGCTTCCTTCTATCAAACTTGCGCTGGTGGATTGAAGAGTTTGGGTTTGACGGCTTCCGATTCGACGGTGTCACTTCAATGGTCTATCATTCGCACGGAATGAGTAGGAATTTTGGCAAACGATTTCTACTGAAAAACGTTTGTTTTAGACGACTCATTTGCTGGAGGATATCCAATGTATTTTGGATTGAACGCCGACACCGATTCACTCGTCTATTTGATGCTTGCCAATGATTTTCTTCACAAGAAATTCCCGAACATGATCACAATTGCCGAAGAAGTTTCGGGAATGCCGGGAATGTGTCGTCCTGTTGAGGAAGGCGGTCAGGGATTCGACTATCGTCTTGCCATGGCCATTCCGGATATGTGGATAAAAATTTTGAAGCACACCCAAGACGAGAATTGGAAGATTGGAGATATTGTGTTCACGTTGGAAAATCGCAGATATGCGGAGAAGCATGTCGCGTATGCTGAATCGCACGATCAGGCGCTTGTTGGTGACAAGACGATCGCGTTTTGGCTCATGGACAAAGGTGTCGACGTTTTGGCCAATGCCTTCATTTCTCTTGATTTTCTTGCAGAGATGTACGACTTCATGTCAGTTGATTCGCCATTGACTCCGATCATTGATCGTGGAATCGCACTTCATAAGCTCATTCGTCTTATCACGATGGGACTTGGTGGCGAAGCGTGGCTCAACTTTATTGGAAATGAGTTTGGTCATCCGGAATGGCTCGATTTCCCAAGAATCGGAAACAATGAGTCGTTCCACTACGCCCGTCGTCAGTTCAATCTTGTCGATGCCGACTATTTGAGATACAAGTTTTTGAACAATTGGGATCGCGAAATGAACAAGTTGGAAGAGAAATCTGGATTCTTGCACAAGGGATATGTAAGAATAATTAATATGTTCTTGATTTTGAATCGAATCTTTCAGGCTTACACTTCTTGGAAGCACGATGGTGATAAGATTGTCGTGTTCGAAAGAGGAGGTCTTCTCTTCATTCTCAACTTCCATCCAACGCAGAGCTTCCCGGATTATTCGGTTGGAGTTCATGAGCCAGGAGTGTAAGCAATAGACAATGAAAATTTGACAAGTTTGGTTTGTTTAAGATACCATGTTGCTCTGAATAGCGACGATGAACAGTTTGGTGGACATAAGCGTGTCGATTCGAACTCGAAGTATCACACATTCAATGAAGGATATGCTGGAAGGCGTCATCGTCTTCAAGTCTACATCCCGTGCAGGACCGCTCTCGTCCTTGAATTGGATTAATCCTTCGTTTTTTTTCTTTTTTATAGAACTTTTTGCTTAATTTGGAAGAAACCCGGTGCCATTTATTCTATTGCATGCATGATTGTTATAATCACATAGTTATGATAGAGATTTTATAAAGAAATGTAGAGATTCACGTGTTCACGCAATAATGGGTTGTTTGTCCGAATTTGGAATTATTTTTGTCTCGCGCGAGAACCAGTATGATTTAAATGATGAATGAACAGGATGCTTCGACGGATTGCTCCTTCGCGACTTGGGGGTGGCCAAAGATGGATATCGCTGAGTCCGGCGTGCTCGAGCAGCTCGGCTGAGCCCGATCATTACAAGGTTTTGGGATTGCAGCCGGGAGCGGACGCAAAAGTTTGAGACTGGAAGCAGATTTTGGTCAAATAAAAATTGAATGCAGGACATCAAATCGGCTTATTACAAATTGTCGAAGCAATTTCATCCTGACACGAATCCGGATAAGAAGGAGGAGGCGGCGAAGAAATTCCACCAGGTGAAAATGATTTAATTTCGAATTTTACGTGATTTTCAGGTCGCTCAAGCTTATGAAATTCTTGGTTCAGAAGATAGACGAAAAGCTTATGATATGACTCGAATACGAACCTCTCCGATGGCGTCAGGGTAACATTTTTGGTTTTTTTTGCGATTGCTTCATTTGATTTTTTTTGTTCAGACCGGAAATGAGTAATAGGTATCGCCGAAGGTCGTCTGGAAGGCAATACACCGATATTGACATTGATTATAAGGATTTCGAACACTTCCAAAGAAGTACTAGGCAAGAAAACTGAAAGAATTCTCATTTAACGAGTAGATTCATTTTTCTAGAAGGAGACCACAATTTCATTCACATTTCGATATGCCAAATGAGTTTTATGCGGAATTTGGCGGCTTTAAACGAAGAGTTTATAAAAGCGAGTTTGATGAGACGGAAAGGGTAGAATTTTATATGAAAACGAATGAATTGTTGAATGAGATTATTTGAAGAATTCGACAATGTATAAAGACAGTCGCGCGGTGCAGAGGGAAATGGAGGAATTGAGGCGACAAATGGAACGGGAGAAGGTTGGCTTGATTTGATTTCAAAAACTACAGTACGCATTAAAGGCGCATGCAATTTATTTGTTCGTTCCGCGCAAAGATCAATAAACGACACATTTCGAATTTTTTTCGTTTTGAATAATAGGCAATTTAGAAAATTACAGGCTGAACAACAGGCGCGATATCCGATACCAACATTCGAGCAGATGATTCGTGAGCGAAGAGCAAAAGAAGCGAAAGAAGCTCGCCAATATATGGCTGGACTGTTTCTGGCAGCGATTCTCGCCGGATTTCTGACAACGATGCTAACTCGCTAATTGTTCTACTGCAATTCATTATTAGAGCTTTTTTTATTTTAGATAAATAATTTAGAATTTTATTATTCATAAAGTTCAGAATTTTTGGGTTTTCCCCCCGGAGATTTTCTATTTGAAAAAAAAATTGATTTCATTGAATTTTTCAACATTTTTTTTGTAGATGGCCAATACTGATTACGTAAAGATTCGGAGTATTGAGAAAGGAAGATCTTCAAGTGTTGTTAAACTGTATGGACGAATTATCAAAATTGAGCCGCTTTCTGGATCAGTCCTTCTTACATTAACGGTAAATTTTTATTGATTTGAAAGAACATTTCGATTTTTTTTTCACTCCAGGACGACGTAAAAAATATTAGAGCACATATTGAGTTTGAACAGGATCACAGTTTCGAGTTTCAGCTGAACCAGGTGGTTCGACTTCACAGGGCCTACGTAAAATATTTGGGAACATTGAAATTAAGAAATTAGCGATTTACAGATTAAAAGTTGGCACGGGGAAACCCAAATTGGGGCCAAAATTGGAAAGCAAGGTTCGGTGATGGAGATGGCTTTTTTTGGCATTTAATGAATTTGTGAATTATTTAGGATGTCATATTGTTGTTTGGAATGCAGGCGAGAGGGATCCGAAAAATATTGCTTTCAAATCTTCGAAAAATTGGACCATGCATGATTTCGATACGATAATGGTCCGTTTTTCTCAATGCTGATTATGATCTCTTTTAATATTTACAGTTGGAGAAGCTCAGCCGAGATTCTGAAAATGATGCGACTGACGAAGAGTTTGAAGCATCAGAAGAAGTGGATGAGACATTAGAGAAATTCAAATACCAATTAGTACGTAACATCAATACCCATTTTCAATATATGATTGAAAATTTCAGACGAAAATTTTTGTGAAAAATGTGATGAGCGACAAAATGATGGGGATGATAAATGATTTCCGTGAAAAACTCTCGGCTCATGATTTGAAATCCGATTTTCGGAAAATCTTACAACTTGGAGCACTTTCGTCGGTTATTTTCAACAGGTTGTCCATTCTACCGCTGCCAAATAATTAGTAATATTGTTCGCAGGGCTATTTGGGTGACACCGTGTTGTATGCCGACCAAAGAACTTCGTTGGGCCCTCGAGTGTCCATTGTGCATTGATGCGAATTTGGTCACATACACAATGAAATCGGGTCCTCGAAAATGTAGATATTGTCTTGAAGTAGACCTCCCGATTCCAAGCCTTTGCATTCCGCTTCGTTTCAATATTATTACTGATAGTCCAGGAGTATTGAGTATTATCATTCCAATAAAGACATTGGTAAAATGTTGATAATTTCACGCTGAAATATTTTTTTTTGGTTTAGACGACGTTTCACGTGCCGGATAAATATGTTGGCGATATGGCGTGGAATACACCTGACGAAAATAATGGCGATATGGTAGAAGAAATATTCGGAAGGCTGGAGGTAACCGATTTAGTATAAATTATTAAACATGGGATGTTCATTAAAAGATGTTTTGATTTTTTTAAAGTTTCATTTTAAATCTGTCATTTTTTTTTAAATATAATGTCACTCAATTACGATATAACCGCTCCTATTTTTCTCGATTGATTGAAATTATAATATGAGTATTTATTTTCAGGAATGGTTCAAATGCAATCGAATTTTGATTAAAAAAGCGGCGATCATATCGACATCCGTGCGCCGTTCAACCGCCGAAGTGTATGCGAGAGAAGTTGATGTATTCCCGATAATGAACGATTCTGATATTACCTCGAAAATCTTCTAAATTTCTCCCATTTTTGATCTCAACCTTACATGAAAACGTGTTGCTAAACAATTAATATTCACAGAAATTTATACATTTTGAATAAACTTTTGAAATAGTTTATCGCGCAAACTTAAAGGCTACTACGAAATATATATACTAACAGACCTGCAATGATTTGCCGCGTAAATTTTGCCAGCCGCTTTTTTTGGGAACTAACATCAAGAATAAGGCCAAAAATAAAATACATTTGCGAGAAAATCTAGTGTACCAATTCATGAAATGTATTTTTTTACAAAAAAAAAAAACATTAAATTTGCTTTTTTAAAACCATGTAATGGAAATATGCGAATTTTTTGCATTTTATATTGTATGAAAAATGAATAGGTCCAAGCAACGCAATCGAAACGAAGCGGGTCGCATGTGTCACAATAGAGAAATTTGAATTTATGAACAATTTAATGTTAAAATCGAAAAAAAAGAAGTCCGTGATTTGAGAACCTTTTTTGGGCAGGATTTGAGGATTTTTTCGAGACCGTAATTAAAAAATCGATTGAAACAGTGGGAAAATTTATACTTACTCTGGTAACTCAACACCAATCGGATCCGACAAAATTCGGCTCCGGAATCAAGCTTATCCGATTTGTAATTCTACGGATAAGGTTGGTAATTTGTCGAATCCGATTCGAATTGAAAAATTAAAACAAAACAGATTCGAATAATTACTAATCGGATACGACAATTTTACAATCTTATCCGTAGAATTACCAATCGGATAAGGTTGATTCCGGAGCCGAAATTTGTCGGATCCGATTGGTTTTGAGTTTCCAGAGTACTACGAATAAAGTCACCGTAAATCGGTGCAGGATGCTGATTTTTGTATTTTTTTTTAAGATGAAAAGAGAATTTAAATCGATCCTACTGATTTTGTTCACCTCCCACCACACTCACAACATAAATGATGTTCCATACAAGTCAAATTTTGTACGGAAATTTATTGAAACACAACAATTTGAACTACATTTAATGATTGGCATCCGCACAAAATCAACCGGCGATTCTGATATACGTTAACGGAGTCGTAGCCTCAAGTTTTAAAATATTCTATAAGAATTCAGCGTCTCAGAAAACCTTATAATGAGCAAATTAAAAAGAAATGTGGAAACTCAAATTTTTTAGAAAAAATTTATAATTCCGCGAAATAATTCTGATTTGAGAATATTGTTTTTGGACAGACTTCTGCTTCGATCTTACAAGCTTTCGAAACATCCGGCGGGCAGGATCTCGTGTTCTGCTGATTCAATCAATTGCGAATATTTCGGGAAGATTTTTTGCTGATTCTTCTACTCCAGAAGAATTTTTGATCGATTTCCTCATTCAATTGATTACCAAATTAATTTGATCGTTTCAACTTCAGCAAAAAGATATCCGTTTTTTAAAAATTTTATTGAGAATGAAAAAGTCGATGTCGGAAAATAGAAATTTTTTAAGCAAAATGCATTTGGTTATTTAAAATTGAATATAAAATAAAAAAATAAATAATTGAATGAAAGGAATATTTTGGTGAAATCTGGGAAGAATGCCTGCGGTTGTTGATTTGGCGCTGATCCTTTCGATTTCGGTGATTTGGCGAAACCAAAAAATTCGAATTCGGTTGAAAACATTTTCAATTGAACTCTGAAATGATTTAAAATTAATAAAATATAATTTACTTAAAATTACAATTGAAAAAAAATTATTAAAAGAGAATTCACGTGAACCATTACGCTAATTTATAATTATATGAATAAAGGATGGGTGAAAATAATTTCGAATTCAACGAAAATAAATATTAAATTCACGTAAAAAATTAATTTACCACAATTTGAAACTGAGAGAGCCAAAAAAAATTTCAAAAATTAAATTAATTATTGGAAACGTCTGGGAAAAACCACTCGAAATATGAAATAAAACGAACAAAACAGTCAAAATGGCTTTAAAAAAGCTAGAAATAATGAATCTCGGAATTTGATTACATATAAACTTTCTAAAAATCGATTTCTTCAATTTTAGAGCTCAAAAAAAAAATTAGTGCAAAAAAAGATGAAAAAAATTGGAACGTGACCTAGTTAACACGTCGACGCGTGACATTTAGGTCAACTGAAATTCAGTTCAAGTTTTTTGACGCACGAAGAGATGTCGATGAATCAAAGAAGTGTTTTGAAGAGGAAGAGCGCTGAAGACGCCGGAGAGACTGAATATCCTAAGCGGCTTCGCTTCAGCGAGGCCGTGAAGGAGATTCACGTCGAAATCGTGGAAGGTGCGTGGTTGTTTTTTTCAATTTCAATTTTAATTTTTCATTTTTAAAAACCACTTTGATCGCTAAAATAAGCTAAATTAATTAGAAAATAATTTTCTTAATTTTATTAGATAAAAATTTTAAGATTTCGATCGCAAAATGTTGAAAAATTTAAAATAATGGCTTTGTTTTAATTTTTGGCCTAAAATTCAATTTTAGTGACGTTCACCAATTAATCCAGAATTTCAAGCATTCTTAAATTTTTTAATTATTAAATATTTATGAATTCCACTCATTTTATCGTTGCTTATTTTCTATTTCCGAACATTCTATCAGTTGTCATATTCCGGCGTCTTGTTAGGCGTGGCCTAGTTTGTGTGGCCGCAAAATTACCGGCCATTTCAGTCACGGCCCTTTTTTATTGCCGGTCGAATGTTGAGTTAATCGAATTAAAATAAGACGACAAATGAATAATCGGGAATATTTTTATTTGTAAATTCACATACATTAAGACAGCAAAAATTTGTTTTCAATCGTTTTCGAAAAAACGATCGAAAAACTGTTTGTCACATCATCTGAAACAGATTCAATTATTTCATTTTATTTTCGGAATGCAAACAAACCTCGACAATCGTTTCAATATATCCAAAATTGTCAGATTTTATCAATTTATTATTGAAATTCTCTACATTTCGCACTTTTGACTGCACACTCGTCCCTCAAAGAGAAAATTTTTAAAAGAAGAAAATTTTTGAGAATTTTTTTTAAATTAATTGAATAATTTGATTTGACGAATTGTTTAAAATAAAAATAAAAATTTTTGAATTTTCACATTTTTTATATTGAAATTGTATTACATCAAACAGCGAACTAATATTTTTAAATTGGGATCATTATCAATTAATTTAGAAGCGAAAGTTTCTAGCAACAAATCAATCAAAAAATTAGCGTATTTACGGCAGAAACGTTTAAAGAAAATTAGAAAAATAAAATTTTTTGTCATCAAGGTGGTTTTTAAAGATTCTATTGATATTTTTTCAAATAACAGTTTGTTGAAAGAACGCGTTCATTTAAAATAGGGTATCCCTGCGGCCGAAAATTCGTCCGTCCGTCCGAGTCCATGTGTCCGTTTGAGTCCGTAAAAAATATACATATTTTTCGGAAAATTTTTTATTATAAACTTTAATTACAAAGCAAAAAGTAAAGCTTATTATCTATTGCATCAAAATTAGGGAAATTTAGTTTTCTAACAGTTTTTTCGCATTTCAAACTTTTTCGAAAATTTCCTTTTCTACGCATCTTGCAATATAATTCTTAATTTACCGTGAAATATGTAATAATCGTACTCTTTGCTTTCCCTTTTCTGCCAAATCATGTGCGATGAGCAATTTTTCGCTAATATTATAGATCATTTCCGATCTTATCCGTTATGACCATGAAATTATCATCAAAATCAATCTGTAAGATTCACCTGTAGTCACCAAAAATTTTTTCGCATAATACCCAGGTTCAAAATTGCTCCGTCATTGCTTTTTTTAATTGCGGAATACGAGCTTTTCTCTCGTGCATCACTCTTTTACCCCTTTGACAGTTTCCTACTTCCTTTGTCAACATTATACACTAACGTTCACATTTTTTAAAACAATTATAGACGAAAACGTGCAAAGAAAAATTAAATAATTTAACAATCAGCTGGAATAAATATTAAATATCAATTTAAAAAAAAAATGAAAAATTTAATAGCCGTGGACTCATTTTTCTCGGCCGCGGACGTCCGAATGGATGCCCTAGTTAGTTATTATTATTGAGCAGTTAAAAACGAATCGAGTAGCAAAAATGACCGAAAAAACAAAGACATGAAAATTTTAAAACGAATATCATAATATGGCTAATTATTCCTAAAATAAGAGAATTTTTAAAAAATATTCGAGCAAGGGAATGACAAGCATAAATGGGAAAAGTGCTTTTTTGGAGCGCTGCGCAGCTTTTTCAAGAATATATCTATTTATGGTGGAAAAAAAGATCATTTGAGGTGGTCCCTGGGTAAAAAATTGTTGAAAAATATCACGATGTTTTCATGCGAAATTGGTCTAAAATTGTTTGTTTTCGTTTAAACGGTAAAAAAATATTTAGAGCGTATATAAAAATACAAAAAAATTTCTAATACGAATAACGAATTCTTTTCCAATTTTAATTTTATCTTCGACAATTTTTTGATAGTCAAAAAAATTTTTTATATTGTTTTTTTTTCTTACTGTAACAAAAATGCCTTTGAAAATCTTAAAATACAAAAAAAATTCGTGAGCTCTACGAATCGGTGCTGAATTCAAGAAAATCAATTGGAAAGATTATTTTTTGTTTAATTTACCAATACGAAAAAAAACAATAAAATATGGAAGGAGTTGCAATAAATAGGAAAAATTGGAAAAGAATAGTAAAAAAATGTGAATAAAAAGTAAGAGCTAGACACTAAAAAAAAAGAATAGCAAAGTAAAGAGATTAAACTGATTATACAATAATAATAATAGTGATAATACAGAAATGAAGGGTTCTCATTTAAACCTTGGCAAGAGTGTGTTTGTGGGTATTTTAAAATCAAACAATAGCTCAGGGATTCGATCGGGACGAAAATTTTTGGTTTGGGATAACCGAACATTTTGATATAAGCAGGGGAATCAATTCAATCAGTCGAAAAAAAAGTCGCCCACGGGTTAGCCCGGCACCCTAAAATTAAGGGCGATGTCAAATTGGAGTGTCGTATTCGTAGGGTTAAAAATTTTTGGGACACAACCGCGGAAATTTTGGGAACCCCCCGTGGAACCCCAATGTTTAAACCAAAAGCAACTATAGTTCGTCCTTTTCGAATCGCTGAGAGAGTTTAAAAATAGTAAAAAAAATTTTCTCGACTTTAAAAGGAAATTTTGATAATTCGTTTGAAAGATATTTTTAAAGAATTGTGTGGGTGATCATCAAATCAGTGATCAGCGGCATCAACATTTTCTTTGAATCACAGCATTTTTTTGTTGGGTTATAGGCATAAGTGGCTTTAAAGATGGAGACGTAGACTGAGAAGTTTAAAGTTTGACGATGTTGGAAGTTGTTGTTGACTTGCACGAGTTTTCGGCTGTGTTGTTTCCGTGTTTTCTCTCCTGCGTATGCACCTTTAAAGCAATTTATGAATAAGAGCTGTTAAAAATGGAGTTTAACTTTGTTCCTCGGATAATTTTTGGGGTTTAGGGCCGCTCCTCAACAGAAAGAGGACGCGAACGACGGGGGAGCTGGTCGAGGTCCGAATTTCCAAGCTGAAGGACGTGCCTAGAAGTCCGAAGACACCGCGGATCCTAAGCCAAGAAGAAATCGAGGCGGAGTTCGGGCCTTTAGCGAAGCGTTGGTCGAAGAGGAGAGCCTGGCAGCCTTCTGCTGGAGCCACTGCACCGAAGCGGGATGTTCGGACACGTGTCCCTGCTTGCTGGACGAGGTGCGGTGTGACGGCACCTGTCCCTGTGTGCCCAGTAACTGCTCGAATCACGATTCGAAGCGACTGCTGGCGGAGTACCGCGCGCGCAGGGACAGGAAGGAAAGGCTGACCATGGCGAACGCAGAATGGAACGGAATCCCGGCCGCGGAAGATCGGGCGCCAATGGTCGTGCAGGAAGCCGTTGAAGAGGAGGATGCCGAGGCCACGCGAGAAGTCGGATCGGTTGAGGAGCAAGACGCGCCGGAATTGAAGGAAGCGATTGAAGAGATGGTCGTCACTGTCGAGATTATCGAAGACATGCTGAAGAAGATAGAGGATATCCCATTAGTGGACTGGATGAAGATGAACGAAGAAGACGATTTGGACCGAGTGGAAGCGGCGGAAGTGAAGGAAGTGATTGAGGAGATGATTGTCGCTGTCGAGGTTGTCGAAGACATGCTTGAGAAGATGGAAACGTTCCCATTGGTGGACTGGATGGAAGCCGACGAAGACGTTTTGAACGAAGTGGAGCAGCCGGAAGTGGTTCATCTGGAGCTAGAGCAGTTCCATCCAGCGATTCGAGAAGCATTAGGAGGCATTGTGTCGTTGGAAGATCGGCCCGAGCGATGTGAGACGTTCTTGACGTCAGGAGCTGTTGTGGCCGGTCTTCTCAATTTGGCCCAGTCGGCGGTCACGAAGGTCGCCGTCCTATTGCCATCGGCCGTGAAGATGATGGTGGAAGAGAAGGAGGAGGACGATGCCGAAGAAGTCCTGAGGCGGTGCACAGTAGGCGTGCGGGAGGAATGCGAGGTGCTCTTAATGCCAGTGCACCAAGACCAGCACTGGCTTCTCGCTTCCTATCGTCCAGCGAGCGGCAAGTGCTGTATTTATGACTCACTTGTCGCTGACCGCACGCCGAAGCAGAGAGCAGCCGTCTCGAAGGGAGTGAGAAGGATCCTTGCCGCAATGTACCCAAACACCATCTCCAAAGTCCGCTGGGTGCCCAAACGCCATCAGGAAACCCAGCGTGACGGGTACAGTTGCGGCCTTCACGTGATCGCCAACGCCGAAAGGATCCTCATTGCACCCAACAGCAATTTGGCACGATTCGTGGATACCGATGTGATTGTGGAGCGCCGAAATCTCCGATTGATCATCGAAGGAATTGTTCCACAGATTAGTGAGTATTTTTTTAATACTGTTGTTAAAAAATAATATGCAAAAATGTTGAAAGTTGATTAAAATGAATATATCGACTTCGAATTACAGAATTTGCACATTATTTTTATTCATCACGTCCACTTTTTTTCTCAAAAAAATTTTATAGATGGAATTGCTGCTGAAGCCATCGCGAATCCGCCACCAATGCCACAATTTCGTCAACAAGTCCGACGACACAAACGAATCGCAGCTGTTCAAGCTCGAAGAAACATTCGCACAATGTACGAAATGGACCTTTTGTGAAGATATCAATGAAAATGTGAATTTGTGCGTCGTGTCATAATGCACAATTTGAAGGTAACAGTAATCATTAAAAAAATTTCTTTTTACGGGAACTTCTTTTCAGCAATCGTTTTTTGTTCAACTTCTGATGAAAATTCAGAAAATTTGTTTGATTCCTAAAGATTTTGCTTCTGATCTTTATGATGGTATGAATCACTTCTCGTTTTCTCTTAAAATGTTCAATTCAGATTTCGTTTGGATTTGCGTAATTCATTCAAAGAAGCCAAGACATGTATCATCAGAATTGTGCGATACATTTTATTGAAGAAAGATGTACAAGTAAAATTTGGATTCGAGTTTTCTTGTAAAAATGAATTGTTTTCAGTTGAAAATGTAAAATAACGTGATTGAAAAGGCTGGCACATCGCAAATCATGATGGAAAACGCCAGGAATGCCGAGTTTGATCATCAACACACGAAGTAAGTGTTTACTTTTTCTTATTAAAAATACTCTAAATTTCAGTGAAAAATGAACATTATTGGAATGTTCATTAATGTTTAATTACTTTTTTAATGGAAAAAAAGAAAAAAAAAAAAAAAAAAAAAAACAAAAAAAAAAAAAAATAAAATAAAATAAAAAAATATATATATAAAAAATACAAAAAAAAATTTAAAAAGAAATAAACATTTAAATTAAAAAAAATTAAGAAAAAGAAAATAAAAAAAATGTTTTCTATTATAGTAATTTTAGTTGTTATTAGTATCAATATTTAATTTTAAATATATTGTATTATGTTCAATTTGTAACTTATATGTTCTTTTTTTTTCTAATTTTTATTTGATTTGTTTGTTTGTTTATTATTATCCCTTTGTTTGTATTACACCCCAATTCAAGCTGCTTCTCAAATGCATCAAGAAAGGTGAGGTTTCAAGCACTTCAAGCAAAAGATCAAAGAAAGCAATGATTTTCAGACTTATTCAATTCGGAATCTCGGCTGTTCATATCGAAAAATGTTGAAATTAAACGGAGACCATCTAAAATGCTGAGGATAAGCTTACGAAGGTCGTCTTGAAACAAGGAAACAACGGGAACCAGTTGGCTTCATATATTCCCAACACGCTAGTGGATGCAATAAATTTTCTATGGTATGAGTTTTCACATTTCTGCTTCATCAATTCATAATTAATTCAATTTCAACAGATGCAATTTCATCGATATCCACATCGGTTTTACTATGAATGCGCATAGATGCTTGTGATCGATTCCAATTTTACCTCTGATGCTGCAATTCTCAATTCGATTGATTTTATTCGAATAGATATATCCAAATGACGACTTGCTAATGTCATTAGAGTACGTTTTTCTTGAAAATTCGAAAAAATATTTAATTGCATTTAGATATTTTGCGATTTGTTCAGTATTATTATCTGGTAACTCTCCAAACCAATTGTCTCCCGCTTTCGAAAAATTTTTTGACAAATGTGGTGAAGAACCCAAGGGATCATCCCACAAATTATTATCAAGTTTGAGTGATTTGCAAAGTAATTTCGAACTTCTTTGCTAACTAGCATATTTTTGCAAATTTCAGACACTTCGAATGTGATCAAACACTCGATAATAGTTCAACACAAGAATACATCCAGTTAATTTTGGCAAAAATTTCCAGAAATTTCAAAAAAGGTAAGAAATTCATGAAGTTTTCGCATTTTTTATGATAATTCCAGGAAACCAAGAAATTATCGTGAAGATTTTTATATGAAATCAAAACGAAGACGAATAAGATTCGTCTGTGCTACAACCTCTTTCAACTCTTAAAAATTGCGATTCTGCCACGTATCCTCTTCAGCAAAACGTGGCTTCATCGGGAATATCGCAATTAGGTAATGAAAACATTCAAATGTTTTATTAAGTACCTTTTTTCAGAAGTTTCAACAATCATCAAGAAAAACTCAACCTAGAAGATTTGCGAACTGAAATATTTACTCAACGCCAATTCAGAAAAAAAATGATTTCAAAACGTGAGACTTTTATGTTTTCCCTATTTTAGTTTGAAATGTATTAGATATCCTTTCCCCAATAATTCACGTTTTGAATTTTACAAAAGACGAGAAAAACATATAAAAAAGACAAGAAATATATTTAAAAAAAAATAAGAAAAAAATAGAAAAAAATGTAAGAAAAAGAAAAATGAATAGAAAAGATGGCAAAAAAAAAACAAAATTAATGAAAATAATAGTGCCACAAAAAGACCGTTGTATTTTCAATTTTCAATTTTTTTATTGTTCTTCTTACACTAATATTATTATGGCCAAAATCAAATTTCCATTCGATTGTTCAACTGTCATTCATATCCTAAACATTGATTCTGTTAGGTTCCATTCTTTATGGCATTTATTTTTCCATCAATCAGACTATTACTCTTATCCTCTTTGTTTTACTCTCATTATTCCTCTAGTGTTGTTTTTGCTTCTTTCAATTGGTCCCCTTGCTTCCCAAACGAAGAGATTATCTCATTGCGTTTTTATTTGTTTTGATCCCTCAAAATTTTCCAGTTGTTTTCCTTTGTTCTTCTGATTCAAGAACTAAATAGGATGAATCCATCCATTCTATTCATGTTCATTTTATCGTATTCTTTTCTTTTCAAATGATGGATGGGTGGGTGGGAGACAGAAGCAATTCTTGCGAATTGATTTATGCTTGTATTTTTCAGTTACAACACAGTTTAATTGTTTTTAAGCTATAATTTTTGAATATTTTTTGTATGCGATCGCATAGAGTGAATCCATCCGCTCTATACGATCAAATTCGAAATTGATGGATGGGTGGGCGGGCGGGAGGAGAGATTTTTTCAAATAACTCCTCTTTTTTTTAAATTTTTTTTTTATCGGTCTACTGCCGAAAAGCCATTTATTGTTTGGTGACCCATCAAATGAAGAATTTCGATTTCGAAAACTATGCGGATTTGGATGCGATTGAATTCATGACCAATATTGGATCATTCTAATTGAGAATGACTGCTGACGAATCCATAAGGACTCAAAATGCGTGGGTTTATATTCTTTGATTAAGCTTATATTTTAAAATGGCTAATTTTCTACTTAATTAAATAAGCCAACCAAAGTTTTTCGTGATGTTTTTTCCTTAAAATCTTAATTCAATTCTATGCTATGAACTCTTCTTAGCAAAAATCGGTTCATTCGTCAGCACTTAATAATGTTTTACTTTTTAAAGAAGTTAATAGAGTGAATCCATCCTTTCTATTTATATACCAATCTTCTTTCACGATCTAATGATGGATGGGTGGGTGGGAGGCAGACGGAATCAGTTCTAGAGACTTGATCCAAGCTTGTATTTCAAATTGAAATCAACGAATTTAATGATATCCGTGAGTTTTATTCAGAATTATTCTGAAACCGAGTCGGGCCGGCCGAAAAAAATATATAGTAAAAGAATTTTCTTGCAATGAATGTTATTAAAGAGTTTGAATATGGAAATTTGATTAAACTTGACAATTTCGGCTTACTCGGTCGAATATGAGAAAAATAGTTTGGCTCAACTTCGGCCGAGAAGCTATTTTTCATTATTCCTTCATTTTTCATTTCAAACCCGGAAAAATAATCTATAGGAGGAGCTTCTCCTTATTGTCTTTCAGTCTAAAAAACGTGTGTGAGTTCCAATTCCAATTGGCTGTACTCGGATTGAGAAAATACTTCTACTCTTTCGATGAAATTTCTGATTGATGGAAGCAGAATCGTCGAATCGATTTGAATGTGCCGTGTCGCGGCGACACACATGGCGCCGCTAATGGCGACGTCGCGAACGATGATAAATGACGTCACACCGTTTTTGTTTCCCTAGACATCATAACGATTTTTTTCTGTTCTCCCATGACATCATAACAGATTTTTTCCTTTTGCCCAATTAAGCTGTCTGGCACATTAAAACGGCAGCATATATAAAGAGGTCGCTCGGGGTTTGGTTGGCTGTTACTGTTATTGTTATCGAACATATTCTTCTTCTTCTGTTATTCTATTCAATAAACTACTAAGAAACGGCCGTTTTCTTACATGGTGACCCAGGCAGAGGCAAGAAAACGTTCGTTTCTTAGTAGAAATTTGAATTTGTTGAAAGAATTTGTTTCATTCATTTCGATTCCAAAATTCGTAGTGTATTCATGTTTTGCGGGTGTGGGTGGGAGGCAAATAAAACATGTCGGGTCGATTATTAATCGATCCGCGCGTAATCATCAAGTGTGTTTGAAGTAGTCGTCAAGCTGTTTCGTTAATCAGTTCAGAATCGAAATCGACACCAAAAAATCTAGTCAAGTTTCGAGAATAATTTGAAATATGTGAAAATGAGAACGACAAACCTTTCGAAAAAAAAAACGTTGGCCGTCATCCGAGGTAAGCTCGTTTTATAATACTCAATTAATTTAAATTTGAATTATTTCTAGAGTTGTTTTTGACTCCAGCCATTCATGCAGTCGTTTACGTCCACTCTCAGAAGAATCAGGATTTGACGGTTCGAAAGAAAGCGAGTAGGAACATCCATCGTCGTCTATTTATTGTGATGACACTTTAAAGGTACATCTCGTTGAAATGGACATGTAAACATATTTCACGTTTCAGAATGAGAATCAAATTTTTGTGGTCGATAGATGAGCATGAAGCGAATGGGTTGATTCTTCGATTGAATTCACCGATTTTCTACGGAATTGGTTTTGGTTTTGGAAAAAAATGTTTGTTTTTGTTTAGGACCATTTTCTTGGTTGGGAGCTTCCGTGTTCCATTAATTTCAGTGGAAAAATTTTGGGCCTATATTGAACATAATTTATGATGGAATGTAAACAAGAAATTTATGATCAATTTAAGTTCTTAATCGATCAGTAGGTAATGGAATGTTTTTGAAGTAGTTATAACCATCGCTCGGTTGCCTGAATTCATTCTTTCATCAATTCAGTCCAATATTTCAAAAATGAATCTGAAAAATGGGCAAATCAAGAAATGTCTTTTTTATTTCCATCGGTGTTGGCCGATCGCCCAAATTGCCGAAAGCAGGGTTGTTAAATTTTGGGCCCGGCCGGCTTTCGGCCGGCTTTTTTCGCTGTCAAATTTTCGGCCCGCGATTCGGCCCCCGACTCCGTTGTTTACGGTCGCACGGCCGAAGCGGGAATTCAACAAAAAGCCGAAAGCCGGGCCGGCCGGCCGGCTTTCGGCCCCGGCTTCAATTTACCAACCCTGGCCGATAGTGAAAATTTTTAACAATTCGGCAATTTTTCAGTTAAAATGTTTCAATTTCAATTCTTTGCTGCACGAGTTGAAATTTCTTTGTTATTTTCAAGTTTTGCGGACTTTTTTCGCGTTGTTTGTGATCCGTATTTTTTTTCGAATACATTGCTTTGTAAGTGTCCAGACTTCCGAGCCATAGGTTCTGGGACATGTTAGAGCTGTCTGTAGTATTCTTGATGTTGTTAAACGACGCCCAGACTGTCATTTCTCTTGTATGAACTTCTGATTGTAGAACTTCTGACTCGTTTTGTATTAGTCCAAGAGGGACGTGTAATGCATCTTGTGAGGAACCTATCTGCAGGATCGCCTGGAATGGAAGATCAGCTACCCACTCCATTGAAAAATAGTGCAGATAAGATTAAAGTCCCCAATGAAGAAGATATCCCCAATTTCAGTGTAAGTGGGGACGTCTGCTGTAATTGCGGGGGTTTTTTGTGGGTTTTTTTTCTTAAGAAACATTCATCCTGATTCTATCATTTGGTGTGACGATTGGAGCGGTTGCAAAAAGCTTAAATACCATTTCCGCCAGCACCAAGTCGTAGTTCATTCGAGGGAGTTTAAGAAGTACGATCACTCCTTACTTCTAAACATAAAGAACTCTTGCAGCGCCGACGGTGTTCACACCAATCGCATCGAGGGTTTTTGGGCTCTTTTAAAAGAGCCCATTAAACGAGCGCGTCGTCGGAACGTCGGCTGCTTTACTTCAACGTTTTATCGATAAAGTCGTCATGAGGCAGAAGACGGGAAAACGCTTCGCCCAGAAGCTACTCGAAACATTGAAAATTAACATGTAATTTTCTCTCTGATTATCCCAATTTACAGCTTTGTTTGTTCTTTATTTTAAAATGACCAATAATTAAAAATTATGAAAAAAATATATTTGTTACTTACGAAATGAAATAATATTGTCGAACCCTCATTGTGCCGATGAGATCCATGCAGGGTACCGAATTCATTTTGAGAGGGCGGGGGACCTATACTGCAATATATGGGTCCCTTAAATGCAATTTTCCCGCGCGGCTGTATAATATATCACCGTGTGGTGTTTATCGACATGTTAGCCTCAATATAAGTCCCCACAATTGCAGCAGAAGTCCCCACTTACACTGAAAGTGGGAACGACTTTAACTTCACTGACCTTATTTGGACCTTATTTGTCCTCACATCGATATACGTCGCCATAGTGAAGTTAAAGTCCCTAGTGAAGAAGATGTTCCCACTTTTAGTGTAAGTGGGGACTTCTGCTGCAATTGTGGGGACCTTTCCCCCACTGTAGGGTCCTCACCTGCATGATCGCCCAATTTTGAATGCGATAACACAACGAATTCAATTATTAGTATTTGGGCCTTTTCAAGGAATAGTTAGGACATCCTCTATGGTTTCGAATCGAATACGACAAATTGGTTTTGAAATTGATCTGTTAAGGTTCAAAATACTTCATATTCGATCGTAAAACAAAAAATTGACATTTCACAAAAAGAGCAATCGAAGAGGACAATTTCACTAACCGAAAGTTGGTGCATTCGATTCGAAATGAATTTCTGGTATTTTTTGTGCGAAAAGAACTTTGCAAGTGGGTAAGTATAAAGGTTATTTAATAGTATAAGCTAGCAACCTAAGACCGACTAATTTTAGTGCTTATTGTCATCCGGAACGATATTTTTTGCATCTTTCGGCGACCGACGGTGTTTTTGCGGCAACGATGCGCGGTGAGCAAACAGATTATGGGTGTTTTGACACATATTTCCGTTTTACGTGTGTGTGTGTGTGTGTGCGGCAGCGGCAGTGGCAGCGGCTTCGTTTTTCCCCTTTCAAAAAATCATCTCGAATTTTTTTCAGTGTCAAATTTTGTTTCAGACAGTCTAACATGAGCGGCTTTTTCTCGAATCGAATGTAGACGCACTCAAACGAGAAATTACGAAAGAAAAAAACGAATTGACTGGCCTGTTTCCACCACCGGTAACTCACTAGTGTGAATGAATTGTGCTCATGTAAATTTGCGCTGCAAACATTCACAATTCGATACTTGAAAATTGCCTAGGCAAACAGTTGCCGAACATTCTTCAATATTTCGGTGTGATGAGCGTTTTTCTGTCGTCGACATGGTCCAAGTGTAAGAGGCTCTCGATCGCCGAGTTCTTGAATCATTTTGCCGATGAGGACGACGACGACGACGGAGGCTTCAAAACAGGTACTCTTGATTTTATTTTCAATTTTTGCTCATTGCATTTTTCAAACAGTCGTGTTTCTATTTTTCCATAATTCAGATTTTCATTGAATTCATATACATGAATATTGTCATTTTGGGAGAATCGATAAATGAATTTTGGAGTTTACGAGGATTTTTTTAAACATCACGTTGGAAAATGAGTGAGAAGGGTTTCGTACTACTATTGGACTCAGAATTGATGCCGTAGAAGCAGATTAAACGGTACATCGAGTTTGGGGGCGGACCTTCGTTAATCTGAATTGTCGGTGTCGCGCGACTGCTGAAAATTGGCTAAATGCCAAAAACTAATTAGGTAAATGAAAATCAATTGGATTCGAAAAAAATAAATGAAATATAAATTAACCTGACTGAAAAAGAATATAAATTCGATTTGAAAATTTGGTTTTCGATTCAAAAGTCTTCGAAATCGCGATTGGTTCATTTTTCATTCTCAATTTTGAAATCGAAATTCGATTGAAATTTTGGAATAATTCGAAACAGAATAATTTATATTCGATTCCAATAGAAAACGAAATTATTTTCGAATCCGATTAATTTTCATTTATAGTCGGCGTCCGGCGACTGCTGTACACGGGTAGATTTACGCGCATGCGTCTTTCGAAATGGTCTCACAAGGACTAGCAGGTTATTTCAAATTTTATTGGTCGGTTCAATAATTTTTTAATCGAGTGACATTGGAAATTCAAGGAAATGCGAAACTCATCAAGAAAAATGAAGCAGTTCACGTAAAAACAGCAAAATAAGCGCTCACGCGTGGCGAGACCTTTTCAAGGCGCATGCGCGTAAATCGACCCGCGTACAGCAGATAACCGACGGAATATTTTTGGTCAAAAAAGAGGAAAAATTGGATTGATCAGAAAAAAAACCGCCCACGCACTAAATTGAGGGCGATGTGAAATTGGAGTGTCGTAATGGTAGCATCAAAATTTTTTCGTTTTCGAATCTCTGAGCATCCTAGGTTAAAGAGCACACTGCGTGCTGAAACCTTTGACTTGGCATTTTGCCAATTTTTTGAATATTTTCACGGGATTTGCCTTTTTTTGAATTTTTGACGAAAAAATTCTGTCACAATTTCAAAAGTTTCGATTTTGAATAAAAACTCAAAAAATGGAGTTTATTTTTTTTCAATTAAGGGTCACAAAAATATAAGAAATTTTAATTTTGAAAAAAAAAATTAAAAAGAAATCAAATGATAATTTTTCCCCATTTTTCTGCATTCAAATTTCCTCTTTTTTTTTCTGCAGGTAAAAACCTTTCAAAATATGCGCCTTTAAAACGTCCTTGGTATTTCAACACGAATTAAACGCAAATAATGAAATGCAACCATTGAACAAATTTGTGTTGCAAAATCTCGAAATAAAAATAAACCGTTGATATTTAAAAATATTTTATACACAAATGTGACCCCCCTGAAACAGTAAAACGCGTGGATTTTGTTTGTTCGCGACGCCATTTCCGTCGTCGTCGGTTTCGTCGTGTGCCCTCCGAGACGACACATGCAATCATGTTTGATGTGTCGAGTCAATGTATGCACAGTTCTTGATGTGGTACTGATAACACACATACACATACATATCGCTCAAACGGTCCCGATTTTCATAATTCGGTCATCAATCGATCGAATGTTTGGGGTTTACGACTTTCCCGCCGTCATATCATTGTTATAATCATTATTATGTGTATCCTAGTCCTTTTTTTCTGTTTTATTGCTTCCATTATCGACACCTTCTTCTTCCTCAACTTCCTCTTATCTTCCTCCAATAATTTAGTCAAGAAATTGTTGACAATTGCACAATTTCGAGAATCGATAATATCTGATTTTCAGACCCGCTGTTATTTTTTTCGACTGACATTCCAACGATTTCAACGCGTGTACCTCGGCCGTCGATGCGATCATTCACGTAAATTTTTGCAATGGGGTTTTTCGTTTTTCTTCGAAAATTTCATTCATTTTTCTTGAAGAATTTCTTCGACCATTGAGCTGAGTCGACATTTAAATGATGATGAGCGAAAAAGTGTGTTGACCGCGATAAACGAGAAAGAGAAAATTGTTGCGTCGGGCATTGTGCAGCTTCTGACCACGAACGGCGCACGGTGGAGTGCCGACAGAGAGCCGGGAGTTGCGGTTTTTCTGAAAGTTTCAGCTCTCTCTCTTTATAAATTCATCATTTTTATTGTTTTTAGAACAGCTCACTGCGTTATTATAAATTAATAGTGGTTAAACCAATTGATGGGCGTGGCCGGATTATTTTTGAAGTTCTTGTTGAGTAAGAAAAATGTTTTTAAATGAATAATGAAATTTCGAATTTTAGAGGCAGCGAATTTCAGACGATTAAGAATCATCCGCATTTAATTACATTGGAGCATAACCAAATGATATTTGGATTAAATTTTTATGATGAGAAGGAAGCGGAGAGTTTTCAAAATGCTGTTGAGAACCGAAAAAGTGATTTTTACTTTTTTTAAACTTGAATTTGTTGCCAATTTTTGTACTGTAACTTGCATTCGATTTGACGTAATATTGCACTAAATTTGTTTTTTTGACCGTTCCCAAATTTTGAATGGAAGTTCTCGGTGGAATTCGTTACTAATAATGTTTTCTTTAGCAAAATCAAACAGCGGCAAGAAAGAGACATCGCAAAAGCCGAAAAAGGGGATATTTGCCAATGTTTTCACATTTGGGAAGAGAGATGTAAAAAAGAAGCAAAATATATTGGAAATTGGACCGCCGACTAATTTTCGGTAAGTTTTTTTAAATTAAAGCAAGAACTTTTGCATTTTTTTGCAGACATATTTCTCATAATGATGATAATTTGACACCTGATCAACTTAAAATGTATAATGATATTCTAGGAGAACTAGTTGTATGTAAATTGTTGAAAAAATAAATTCTACGATGTTAAATTTAATATGTTTAGATTAAAACTGACGAGGAAAAGGAGATTGTGAAACAAATTGTGGTGAAAAACGAAGACAAATTTCGGCAATCAATGATGAGCAAGAGAAAAGAGAAGACACCAAAAAGTGTGAAAAAGGTAAATCGATTTTTCTCGGGGCTACATTTTCGATAGCTTGATATTTAGAGCAACAAGGGAAAAAAAGAAACGCCTCAAGTGTCAGCGCCAATCGATGAAATGCCTGAGGACCCTCTCAACCCGAACTGGGGCACATCAACAGACCCAAAGCCGGCGATGTTAATAACAGCGTCGGCTCCGATCCGCCTCACTCACACGTTGGGATCTTCATCGGTTTCTCATAAACCTACAGAAAATTCATGGCAATCTGAAAGAATCACGAGCGCGATGGTTTCGCCTTCCAGCTCGGATAATAGTCGTCAAGCTAGTCGCGAGGCGCACAATTTGTATAGATTTGAGGTTGTTTCTCGATTATTCAATATAAATTAATATTTTTTGTTGTGCGCTCAGGACACCCCTCCTCCAACACCCGAGATCGCGCCACCGGTGCCATGTCGGTCGATATCTCGTCCCGTCGAAACTCCGCCACCACGTCTACCCAGCCATCGAATGTCTTATCGTTGGGCGACGTCTCCCGTCGAAGCTCCTCCACCCGAAAAGATCAAACCGCAACCAGCCCCAATTCGTCACGCGCCGCCACCGCCGATGTCGTCATCGGTTGTTCAGCGCGCTAGTGTTCCTCCGCCGCCTCCGCCACCGCTTCCAGCAAGCTTTCCGAATATTTCGGCAAAGAATTCTGAAGAGGTTGACGAGGAGGATGTTGAAGTCGAGGAGGTTGAAACCAAGAAGGTTTTGAAGAGTCTGCCGGTTATTAACACTGACCGCAAAAGTCTACTTGAGGTTTGTTTTTTTTTTCTTCATATGCCAAATAAATGAAATTATAACCAAATATTATTGAAGGAAATCCAGAATGTGGACCGCTCGAAAGTGCTTCGAAAAGTGTCCGATGTTGCAACAATTGAATCGCCGACTTCTCAAAACACGATGATCGATGAGATCCAGCAGTTTCTTGATGCTCGCCGTTTCGGCATTAACCCAAGCGATTCAGAGGATTCGGATTCGGACTCGGATACTGGAAGTTGGACAGATTAGAATAATAATAATAATAAGAAATAAATAAATTCAACAATTTATTTTGAAAATGAATGAATGATACAGACTAGATTTGGCTACAGTGAATTGAAAAGGAATGCTCATAATTTTCACAACTTTCGATTTTTTTTTGAAAAGTGAACCAATATTGGTGGAATGCTTCACTGCGGCTGTTTCTTGGGATTATTAATCTCTTTGACGCTTCCGTCACTGTATGCGAAGAAGACGGCGTCGACGACATCGATGAACAAGCCGGTCTCGACGATTCCCGGCGTGTTGGCGAGTTGCAGTTGAATCTCGTGCCAATTGCGCGGCGTCTTCTTCTCGAAATTCCAATCGATGATGAAATTTCCGTTGTCGGTCACCACTGGTCCGCATTTGCGGACCGCCATTCGGAGTTGAGCACTTCCGCCATATTTTTGTGGAATCGAGCGTAGCAGCGGTTGGGCGGCGATCGGCAACACTTCGATCGGAATGTTCTGATAGCGATCTCCGAGGTTTACAGAATCCTTGAGATAGTCAGCAATCACCTAAATTTGATTTCAGAACGAAAATTCTAAATGTTCAAGAATTGAATTATTACATAGAAGTGACTCGCTGCGTTTTGGACAATCTTCTCTTGAGCGAGACAACCGCCGCCACCTTTGATGCAAGTGAATTGCGAATCCACCTCGTCGGCTCCGTCGATGCACACATCAAGCACAGGAGTCGAGTCAAGATCGGAAACATTGAGTCCGGACTCAATGAGCCATTGCTTTGTCTGAAATTTTCAAAAATCTTTAAATTCTCTTTTGAAGGGTTTACCTGGAAGCTCGTCGGAACACATATGAGATTTGTGATGGCGCCGACGATCGTTTTTTGCTTCAAATACTCGACAAGATATTTTACTGTGCTCCCCGAGCCGACTCCGAGCCGACAATTGCTGTGAACGTATTTTTCTGCGCAAGCATAGGCGGCCTAAAATTGAGCAAATGGTAGAGGACGAGGCTTGGCGGTTACCTTCTTTTTGGCCTGCTCGATTGGTGACGATTCCGGCTCAGGAGCGGCCGTGACGCCCATTCTGCCAATATTTCTAACGAATCGACGGAGAATCGTTGAGGGATACTTAAAAATGAAATAATTTTTGAGATCGGAAACGATGAGGGCCGTGGCCGAGGAGAATGATATTTTTAGGCCATCTTGATTTTGGCACTTTTTATTTTTGCTTTTTCGATGGCTAATTCACCCGAATCTTTTTAGTTTTTTTTTTATATTGTTTATTATATTTTCATTAATATTTTTGAATAAATGTAATCACATTTATTTTAGTCCTCATTCGGTATTTAAATCATTAATTCTTCAATATTTGCTTTTAATATAAATGTATTTTGTTTCAGATATTATTAAATAAAATGTCAAAGAGGCGGGCGGAATTGGAAGAAGAATCACAGAAGGTAATGATAGATTTATGATTCGCTAAAATGTTTTAAAATTTAGGAAACTGCCGTTTGGAAAGATGAAGACGATGATGATTTGACTATCGCTGTGCCACAGAAAGTCAAGAAAACATTTAAAGTTGATTTGAAAAGGATAACAGATGAAGATGATAAAGAATTGGATTCGAAAGTATCGAATTTTTAAAATTAAATTGAAATATTCCTAAATTCAGCAATATATTGGTCGCCTTCAAGAGGCATTCAGAAGAAGACACGGAGGAGTTCCCAAGTGGGCGCAGAAAATCGAAGAAAACCATGACGAAGATTCGTTATTAACAAGTGCTGCTGGATATATCGAGAAGGATGCGAAATTGCCGAAAACCACTATCAAAACGACACTTTTAAAGGATTTCAATATCGGAAGAAGGAAAAAAGTGCGGAATTAATTCATTTCAAAATCGAATTTTGATTTTTAGCATTCAATTAATGCTTTAAAATTTCACAAGATGCGTCCAGTCCTCATAACAGCAGATAGCAGCGGAACTGTTCAACTGTACAAGGTAATGCGGAGTTTATTGAAATTTTTGAAATGTTGTGTGTTAGGTCGGCTTGGAAGCCCGTCAGGACCATTTCCTGCAAAGCGCGCAATTCGGGAAATTCCCAATCGACTGTATGGAGATTGCCCAAACGGGGCATGCTGTGATTTGCTCATCGAGCTTGCAAGAATATCTGATGCAATATAATATGGAAACAACGAAAGTCACCCAATTGAGATTGCCGAAATGTAACAAAAAAGCACATTCATAATTATTTCAAATTTTATTTGGTGAATTTTTAGCTGTTCCGAAAGGCGGAATTTCGAAATTCAATATATCGTATGACTCGGAGTTTTTGGCGATTGCTGGCCAAAATAGTCATGTGTATATTCTTCAGGCGACGGTATATTTATTATCGATTTCCTATTTTATTTTGAAGTTTAAATCATAATCGAGTTCAGACTATGGAGCATATCAAGACGATCTCATTGCCCTCCAATGCCAAAACCATCAAATTTTTTCCAGGAGTAACGCGCGAGATTTGGATTCAGTGTGGTATGTTTTGAAATGTCCGCAGATGAGAAAAACGTTATTTTTTTTTTTAATATTTCTGATTCAAACAAGAAAAAATTGCAAATTTTACTAAAATTGAATGATTTTTGTAGCAAATACAGAACCCTGATATTTGTTCGATTGGGTCCAAAAAATATCAAATTGAAATGGATATTTTTAAAAAAATGGTTTTAAAGAGAAATTATTACCCTTTTTATTGAATTGCTGAGAATGAGAAAAATTGCGAGGCTTGATTCGAAAATTTGCAGAGAACGGCCAAATCGTGATGGCCGACATTCTCGCGACGAGCCAGCACACATTCGCCGACGAGGGAACGATTCACGGCACTTGTATGGCAATCAGCAATTCAGGAGATTATTTCGCCACCGGGTAAACTCGCGTTTTCTACAATATCTATTTTCGCCGTCGGAAATGTTGAAAAAAGCGGTGTCGAATGAATTTGCGTGCGTTCAAATTTCGTTCAACATTAATTCTTGTCCGTACATGCGAATTTAAGAAGTGCTTTTAGTTGAATGCATTGATTGCAGAAATGACACTGGAATTGTGAATGTCTATGATGGGGCGACATGTCGAAACACCGAAAATCCGGCGCCACTGTTTCATGTCGATAATTTGGTGACAGCGATTTCTTCGATTGCGATCAGCTCAGATGCCCAATATATGGCGATTGCCAGCGATGTTAAGGTAATTTTCGCGATAGCCGCGGTTTGTTGAATGTACCTTTAATATTGGTCTCGCGTGGATTTCCGATTTGTAAATTTTATTATACTCGGCGTGAATGGCTCAGAGTTGCACGGAATTCCGTATCCATGGAAAAAAAGAAGTTACGCTCCAAAACATTTTGCTCCCGTTGTTTGAGACAATCCTGGTCTTGCTGTACGCGGGTAGATTTACGAGCATTTGCTTTCCCTATGGTCTCGCACGGAATAACTGGTTAATATAATTTATATGCTGTTGAAATTGCGCGATTGCGAATTTTTCTATTGTAGAGTTGGGTCTCGCAACAGGAGTGTCGATTTACGCGCTGGGGATTTTTATACCACGCTGTTAAACGGTGCATTCTCAGTGTGCGCATCATTTCGCCTCGAGACCGTTTTTGGCAATTAGCCGATTTTTGTCGCAATCGCACCATGAGATTTCTTATGTCAAAAAGAAGTCCCGTCTGGACTAGACTATGATTTTTTTTCTAAATCATGACACCGTCAATTATACGAACAGAAATGACATTCGCTATATGCTGCGGTTGTTTGTGTGAAAATCAAAAATCGCTGAATTTAGGATAATCAAATTCGTCTTGTCCACATGCAAAGTCAGACAACGTTCAAGAATTTTCCGGATCGATTCGGAAAGGTGCCTCGAACGCTCGATTAATTTTGCAGTCCAAAAATGATTTTTTTTTGCAGGTCTCCAAGGCGAAATGCGTTGATATTTCGCCGCGCGGCGGATTTGTTGCGGTTGGAAATGGTGATGGAAAATTGCATTTGTTCAATATTCACCATTTTTCCGATTATTAGAAAAAAAAAATCGAAAAATCATTGTTGTTTTATTTTTTGTTGATTTTGTTGTTTGTTATCCAACCGACTCGTTCTTGATGCATTAGTTGTTGAAGTAAATTCATTTTTTTTATTTAGAATAATCGCATTACCACCGAATTTGCATTATTTTTATCATGATGGGTTTGAAAATTTTCGACAAACTTGTTTGCTCAATTTTCACGAATTTTATACGGTGTCCGCGAAATGGCGTCAATGTGATTGCGGACTTTTTTTGAGGCTAGCCATTTATCCAATGCTTTTGAATTTTCCCCGTACACTTAAACTAGAAATACGAGATATTATTTATTCCAGCCGCCATCGTTGTTGTCAAAATATTAAATGTCCGCAGATGAGATATTACTTGACCTGAAAGAATTGAGTTCCGATTGTTTTGCTGCAAAAGATTTGTTGCATCGATGAAATTAGTGGAAATTTCGGCGAATTCATTCATTCAACTGCTTTTTTTTGCGAAATCCTATCATATTGATATTTGGTCAATACAATCAGCATGTGTGATTGTACATATGTTATCAGTCGATGTCTCCAAATACGTCTCAGTAACGAAGGCATCCGCGTTTCAAAATTGACCTTCGCTCTGCGTCTCCTCACCGCCGTCGTACTCTCGTCGCCTCGCACCTGAGCGCGACGGCGACTCCTCGATTCGCGCGCTCTCTCGTCGTTTAGTCGTTTGAGGCGCCGAGTTAGTTTTCCATCATTTACACACAAATCACCGTGTCTGTTTCATGTCTCCTCTTCATTTTTTTTGTCGCGTTTCCCCTCCCTCTAGTTTGGGACCCCTTTTATTTAGCGGGTCGTTTGCCGAATAATTTTGCACCGTTCGGTTTTAGCTAGTTTTCGCCTGTCCCCCCAAAAAGTGGCCATCGAGATCTCATTCCTCAAACACCATTATTATCTGTCGGCTTAGAAGTCCGATTAGTTTTAAGTCGCGCTGGAATACGGTAGGATTATCAGCTCTTCTTATTTTTTCTAGCGGATTTCCGAATTCTTAAATTGTACGGCACAAATTGTGTATTTCACCGGAAATCGGCGAAAAATGAGGATTTTTGGGTGAATTCTGAGAATTGTCGTAGAATATGGCGCAATCTGTGCAATCACCAAATTTCGATTTGCAAGCCTAAATTATCGAACAATGATAGTTTTTTTTTTGTTGCAAAATTGACTATTGTTCATTGTAACATTGAAAAAATGACGTTTCGCCGCAACGGCATGAAACAGACTACAAAATAGTTCTGAAATAAATCGTCTCACGTGAAATTCAATGAAATTAAAAAAAAACCAAGTTGTGATTTTGGAAATTGAAAATTGGAAAATCAAAACAGCCAGCGACCAGAAGTGATCTCTGAAGATTCTCTCGAATTCGAGTTCAATTCGTGTATCTCTTTCGGGCGACCAAACAACACAAAGCTATCAAAAAAAAAGCAAACCACTTTTCATATATTTTTGTGATTTTCGTTGCAAGACACAATTCGAAGAAGAACAAGATCACACCACCATTTTGTAATTTGTATTGATTCTTTTCAAGACGCTCGACGTTTTCAGCGTACCGACGATGTCGGTGGGCAGCGGCGGCGGCGGCGGCGGCTCGACGAGCAACAGCTCACAGCCCGAGGAGCTGTGCCTCGTGTGCCAGGACATATCGACAGGTTATCACTATGGAGTGCCGTCGTGCAATGGATGGTGAGTAGGAAATTTTGACCAACCCCCCCCGCCCTATCTGCGGACATTTTGGGTACCGCGAATTGTCCGCAGATGCGATTCCACATTTTGCCACAATCGAGTCGCGCCTATCAATGCTGCTTCTTGCTAATGAAGTTTGCCCTTGAAATAGTTTATTTGCGTTTGCCTGTGGTCAAAAATCGTGCAAATTCTTAAACAAGCATACCTGTCAGAAAGTTTAAAGGCGCATAGTGAAACACGGTGAATGGCATGAGAGATATTAGTGCAAAATGAAAAACGAAACATAATTATGAAAAAATTTGCGAATCCGTCATACGATAGCTAATCAGGGATGAATCAGTCGATTTGCGTCATCTAAAAATCCGGTCTTAAATTTTTTTTTGCCAGCAAAACTTTCTTTCGTCGCACGATTATGAAGAATCAAACGTTTGTGTGCCAATTCGAAGGCAAATGCCCCGTTGATAAAAGTGAGTCGATGAGCTTCTTCTTCTTTTTTTTTGGTTCGTTCAATTTTTTTTCGCTTTTAGGCATTCGATGCGCGTGTCGACATTGTAGATTCGAGAAGTGCCTCAAAGTGGGAATGGATCGCAACGGTAACCATCATATAATCGGGACCATTTAACGTGTGGCGCGTTCAGCAATTCAACAGAATCGCGATCCGATCGGTTACACGAAGCGAACGCGAAGGTATCCGCCCATCAAGAAGGTTGAGTCGAGCGAGGAGTGCTCGCCGGGCGGCGCGGTCTTCAACGAGTCCGACGCCACCGATGACATGTTCCTGAATCAGCTAGCTACAATTGAGACGAAGTATTCTCTCTCTCTCTTTTCCCTTATTTGGTGGTACCTCGGAGTGGAACTCGCTACAATAGAACTTTTTTGGAATAGAACTCGCCCGAATTGAATTGGGTCGCAATCGAACTCGGTTCTCAGTAGAGCGCAATTGCATCATTGTTTTGTTTGAATTATTTTTTTTGACATTTTTTCTTCGCAATTTTGTATAGTCAGTGTTCGGAATGACATTGGAAATTCAATAAAAATGAAGCATTTCATGGGAAAACAGCAAAATAAACATTCACGAGTGGCGAGATCTTTTCAAGGCGCATGCGCGTAAATCTACCCGCGTACGGCAGTCGCCGGACGTCGAATATATATTTTACAGTTGTTTTGGAAAAATATGCCGCGTGGGCCAGAAAGAGAACTTAGAAATTGATGGCTACTGCATGCGATTTAAGAAAATTGAACGGTTTTCAATCAAGCAAATCAATGATGCAATTGCGCTCTATTGAGAACCGAATTCCGTTCTAGCGGAGTTTTATTACGGAAAAATTTGATTCCAGCGAGTTCTATTATAGTGTAAGTTCTATTACAGAAGAATTCTATGACGGCGAGTTCCACTCCGTGGTTCCACCGATTATTTCAAAGTTTTATTCATTTTTCTTTATATATATTTTTTTTTCAGATGTTGCGCTCTTCGATTAGCCGATTACATGCCTACGCAGAATCTGATTGAAGCGGTTGCTTCTCCTTGCCTCTTGCTCGATGATCAATTTATGGCTGAAAATTCGATTCCGGTAGGTGGTCGCTTTCGTTATACGTTTGAGTTTTCCAGTAAATTTATGAGAGGAGCTGTGTTTTATGGGCGATGCTCATTGAATTTCATAATTTTAAGACTAGTTTTGAGTTTGAATTGCAAATGTTGTGCGGTCTCGCAATGAAATAGAATTTCAAAAATATTTAGAGAAAATTTGAATTACAAGTTGTTAATAATAAACGCCTCTAACCGAAAGATTTCATTTTTTTTAAATCCAAGTTTTTCGATTATTGTCGCTAATTTTATAATATAATTAAAGGAGCATATGATAAAATTGTATGATTCTTGCAGCGATATTATAAAAACTGTGGTACTGTAGACGGAAAAAAATGGGCGCGGTCGTGATTTTTTACGTTTTCTCGCAATCTGCATAAAACTATTAATAATCACGATAAAAAATATCAATAAAAATCGTTTAGTACTATTCTTGGAATTTTCCATCGAAAAATTGTTGAATAAAGGGATCGATCTAGTCACGAGCGGTTTATGTTCGAATATTTTTAGACCCCTTCTAATCGTTGGCTGAAAGTTTTGACAGAATGTAAAACGAAAGAACTTGAATTTCTGCAATTTGATTTTCTATCATTCCGATTTCATCTCTCAGGCGTCTCGTCATCAATTCGGCGCACTGCGTTTCGCCACTCAGCAGGATTATCACTATTGGCATGAGCGCGACTGGTTCGTGATGATCGAGTGGGCGAAAACGATACCGGCGTTCGAAGCGTTGCCCTTCAATGATAAGGTTGGTTTAATTTTTGACGAACTCGGACGATCAATTGAACCAACCACTTTCAGTTGGCACTTCTTCGTCATTCTGCTATCACTTATCCGAGTTTGGTGCATGTCTACAATTCACCGGACCATGGTCCCGATACGATAGTGTTTCCCGATGGCGCTTATTTTGATAGGACGCCGGAGCCGAGCAGGCCATTGGGATTCAACAAGAAAAAGTATCAGATGCTCGATCAGCTGCTTAAACCGATTCGAAGTATGCAAATCGATATGACGGAATTCGCCGCATTTAAGACGATATTTTTCTTGAATCCCGGTGGGTATTTTCAGAAATTCGCATTGAGAGTATTTTTTTCGAAAATGATTGTTTGTTTTCTTTAAATTTTCATCGAAAATTGAAGTTGTTTGAATATTTGAAAGGAACCACATGAATATCGATATAAAAAATTATTAAACTCCGCAATTTTGCGGAAGATGAGACAATTGGCGTAGAATATGGTGTATTTTGTGCAGTCTCCGATTTTTTTTATTTATTTGGAAATTTTGAAACTTTTAGATGCCGATGATGTGGACGCGGAATCGAAAAAGATGCTTAGCGACGGCAGAAGCGCTATCACCAATGCCTTATACAGGTATATGGTGAAGAAGAAGGGCCCCGAAGAAGCGGGAGATAGGTAACTACTCTAAATTTCTCTCGCGATTCTGAAATTAGATCTTACAGATTTGGACGCCTCCTACTTTTGGGAACCGTGCTGGCGACGATGGCTGTTGAAATGAAGGAAGCGGTCTTAGTAGCAGATTTTTTCGACCAAATCCAATATTCAACATTCGCTAAGCAACTACTATTCGGGATTTAACAAGAAGTCTAATTACTCTCACCTCAATTTTTCAAATTATATATCATTTTCGAACGGGTACAATTTGAAACTTTCATTTTACACGAAGATACCAACCGATTACAATTATGCAGCAACAATTATCCAGAAAACAAATATGCGTGTTTATATTGTGATTTTGACAACTCTCATGGTGAACCTTTTTGTGTTTTATTAGAATGCTTTCCATCTCGAATTAGCATTATTGTTATTTTGCGTGAGAGAGAGAAAAAAATGAATAATTAATCATCAAAATAATAATAAAAGCTGTCCAAATAGTACAATTGAAAACCAACATGGAACAGTGTATAAATATACAAGGCTTGAGGGGGATTTCTGACCATTAATGGACATGCCCTCCACTAGTGTTTTTCTATTACTGGCTGCTGTACACACGGCTGCAGCGATTGCTCCCGGAGCAATTTTTGACAGAAATTTTACGAAACCTTATGTTCTCAAGAAAACTTGGGTGCAGAATTTCATCAAGTTTCAATATATTTTTGAGGGCAAACACGGTAAAGCGAAGATTGTCCCGTTAGGCGAGTTATTTCCATATTTGAAACGACTGATCGCTTCAACATTTCAGGTTGTGTACCGACGAATGTCGACGACGGCGAGATGCTCAAAGCTGGCGAGCAACACCAGGAGCACGACTTTGTATTTTCTTGCGAGCAGGGTGCTGATGGGGTTCTCAATTATGAAGCGATCGGTAGAATCAATTTCTTGAAAATTGTCGGCAGAGATCAATTTTAGCATGCGTCGATGCATTCGGTACGATAATGTATCCAGGCGAGACGCGTCGTCTCAGCAACGGCACCGTCGTGTTGCACTGCAATATATTCGGCGGCGCTTTAAAGAAGGTTGTCGAACGCGCCGCCGGCTGCTATTTCAATGAAACAATATTTGGCGAAGAAGAGAAATGGGTGGAGAGGGTGAAGAACACCAACGACACCAATGGAATGGATGGGCGTCTCATGCAATGCTTCAGGCCGCATTACAGCTATTTTGAGAGCCATGTGGTCGGATGTGTGATCGGAAGACTCGGCATTCTCATCGGCGAATTCGGATTGAAGCCGGATGGCACCTACGCGAAATGTGTGGAAAATGAGCTTGGCAATGTGCGGCTCGTGCCGGCGAGCATTGACGATCTCGCGTGCAAGCTGGACAATGTCACTCATGCTCATGACACTCAATGGACCGATGAGAGAAGGAGCGCAATCATGCGATGCACTTATGGGCATATCGTGAAAACGCGTATGAATTCAAAAATTGCATTTTGATTTATGAACGCAATCCGAAATTCAGAATGCGTGATTGATGGAGAAATTGTGCCGATTGGTCAGGAGATTCCGATTAGTCGCGGATGCGTATTTCTATGTCATCCTCAAACCAACGTCTACATTTGTGACGACAAACTCAAAGAGTTCAAAATCGTCGACAAGAGCTCGCTGAGCGAAATGAAGACAAAAGCCAAATCGAAATTGCGAATTTAATTCAGGGTTTCTCAATTGGGGGAATTATTTGTAAAAATTGGATTTGATAAATCACCTGTTTTTAAACTTTTGAACGATGTTTGACGCAATCTTTCGGGAAAAAAAGTGACGAAATTGGGTCAAAACTCGATAATTTTCGGCGATTGATTTTTTGGACATTCAAGTGTCGAAGAAGAATCGGAGGGGAAAATCGAGAATGAAAAAATTATTCAAATTTGGGGGGCTTCAAAGAAAAATCGATAAAGCGTTTTAAGTTCTAAGTTTCACACAAAATGATTTTAAAAATATAGAAAATACGAAAACTATTCTGTCTTCCGAAAATATTGATTATTTTAAAATAGGCAAAGAATACAATTTTCCTTCGAGAGCCTCTTCCGAAATTTTTTAGGCATTCAGCCAATTTTCAGCAGCTATTTTTTTTTCAAATGAAATATTCCCGCTTCATTTCGCATTTGTTTTCACTCACAAAAAATCAATTGTTGTCGACAAATTGGCTGAATGCCAAAAAAAAAATTTAAAAGGCTTTAACCTATCCTTCTACATAGGCCCGTAAATCTACACCTTTAGTTTTGTGCAATTGATTGTTGGCATTTTGCCAATTTTCCGCGCTAGTGATTCATCAATACTATTGTCGGGGTCAAACGACTCGATGAAATTGTTAAAAAAAAATATTGGCTATGTGCCAATGCGTCTCGAGGCAGCGAGAAATACGCGAAACTGCGTACATTACATTTAAGCGTACGCGCATTTAATATTCAGTCAACGAAAAATTTAATTCTACACTGATTTCGCGAATTTGAAGGCACCGCTTCACTTCTGTCGTTTGACGCCGACAATAAATAATGGTTACGAAATTGATTTTTAGATTGAAATGAGAAATAACTCATGATATGAAGCGTGTTTTTTTAATCGAATTCAAAACTCTTTCTCTCGCTATCGAATCAGGTTAGTTTATGTTTTAATTTTTTTCAGAACCGATTGATTTATATCTGCCTGAGCGAATGAAGTCCCAATTGTTATTAGAAAAGGTAAATTGATAATCAAAATTCTGAAAAAAAATCTTAAAATGCAAACATAAATTGATAAGCTTTGCCATTTTAAAAGAATTTCCTATTCTTTAAAAATTCATCATTCTTGCTATTCGATTTTTTCACTCAACCCATCTCTCGACGATTGATAATTTCAAATCACACAAATTTTTGTCTTGTCCTGATAACGCTCATAAGCCAAATGTTTCCTCGATTTTTATTGGCGCTCCTTATTTGGTCGCCACTCGTTTCTGCCCATCCAACGTCGGTGACCGTCAAGGCCACGTATAATCAGCAAATTGTGAATCTCATCGGTAATTGGCGATAATTACTCGAAATTGTGATTCGGACATGTTTCAGTATGGATATGTCCCGATCCAACATTATTCGGAATGATCCAAACGGCGTTGCAAAACTATCGAACCGTCGATGATATTAACAAATCAGTGCAGGATCAGGTGCAAGGGTAATTAAGCTTCTGATAATCAACGACTCATTGGTGCGAGCAATTTTCAGATATAAAAATGGGATTTGGCTGGTGAACACAGTGAACTACAGTCGAACAACAGCCGACACTGATCCGAAGCCGAACACCATGTCGAAGAAGATTTGCTTCGTGCAAGCTCCCGACGAGGAAATCATTGTATTTGTTGCTGGTGTAATGGTGTAATTTCATAATCGCATTCAAACAACATCTTCAATCATAAATGTATATACACTTATCAATTATATTAATCCGAATCCGATCCATAATCGGCTAATAGAGCGAGACCCGTCGAAACCGGCTTCTCTTCTTTTACTGGCTCCGCAGCTTTTTCTGGTTTCACTTCTGCATCTTCCTTCTGAAATTCAAAAATCTAGATTACTGTCTCACAATGGCATAAATGAGATTTCTTTTTTTAAAATTAATACTGCTTATTGGAATCTCAAATAAAATAAAAAGTGAGAAAATTGGAATGCAGCAAAAGGGAAAAGAAAATTATTTTTCTAAATCAAAATTCACCTATTTTGCTATTTTTCTTTTATTTTTTCTGAATCCCCGCCCCCTCATAAGGAATAGAAAGTGTACCTTCTGCTTTTTAACAACAACCAATTTCGATAGCAACTCCTTCTGATCTAATTTCTTTTTCCTCGAAGCTTCTGGCGGAGCCCAATCTGTTGAAACTTTTAGCGCCTGAAATCAACACGATTCTTCAAATTTTCTCGATTTCGTTTTTTTTTTACTAACACTGATGGGACCCGGTTTATTGTCGTCGTCGTCGTCGTCTTCCACCACCTCGTCGTCATCATTTGTTCTTCGCTCAACTCGTCGATTCGCCATCTGGCTAAAGAGCTCTCTGTAAAAAATAGAAAACATTGAATTTCGCTTCAAGACCAGCCAACAAACTTTGCAATTCGATCGTCCTCTTCCTCTTGCTGTTTGATGCGCATTGCTTGCGCCAAATGAGGATCGGTTTTTTGGAGGAATTCGATTGTGTCGATTACTTCCTTCTGTCGACTCACTTCTTGCAGATCTTCCAAATTACCTGAACAAATGTTGTAAAGAATATAACAGAAATGTTCAATGCCTACCGAGTTCTTCCATCTCCTGCCTACTCATCATCGTGCGCTTTTCAAGCATTTTCATCGGATCCTTCGCGTCTTCCGCTTCTTTCTCTTCCGCCTGCTTCTGTTGGTCTTGATATAATTTGACGGCTTCGAATAGCCGAGTTGCTCCGTGCTCATTTTGATAATCGCAATTCTCCAAATCGGTTTTGAATGTGATTTCGGCGAGACAATTGGGACACCTTAAAAACGAATTTTCCAAAAGAAATATTTCACGTGTTGATTACCTGAAATAGAATCGAAAAATTTTCAAGCCCAGATACGTTTCTCCTTCAGCTGTTTCTCTTTTCATATTAAATTTTTTGCCTGAAATATAAATTTCGTTTTACTGATAACTTTTTAACGCAAAACAAACCTTTGTAAATATATTCATGGCACGTGTTACACTGCATATTGAACGGTGTCATAACACGCTGCACAAATTGCCGATTTTTACTCCCTTTGGCTCTTGGGATTTTCGAAGGATCGAAATCCGGTGGGTAGTATTTCTAGAAAAAAAAGAAAGATTCATTGAAATCCATTTTAAAAACCATCAAAGCATACCTGAAAGACTTTGCGCTCGGTTCCAGTCATTTTTCAATTCTTCTGAAACTCTGAAAATCGAGAATTTATGTCATTCACCAAGCGCAACAGGAAAAACGCGAATTGCGAAGAAACTTGGTGGCCGAACACGAAACAGTGTGGCCTAGAAAATAATTCGGCCGTGACATGCATTCCACATAAATAGACCTCGTGAAAATTGGAGAATTAGAGACATTTGGAAAAAAATGTCTTCAGATGGGTAAAAAATAAATATAAACGAACGAAATATATGAATTTATTATAAAATTTCCCATAGAGAAGGGGTTTTTCGGGAATATCGGTGAGACAAAAGACGAATTTCGTGTTAAATTTAAAAAAAAAACTGAAGAAAGTCAAAGCTTCTAAGAAACCTATTCTTCTCACTTTCTATCTCTTTTTTTTTTAATTTAAAAGCAAATTTTAATTAAAGATTATTAATACTACTTTCGAAGCCTAAATCTAGTTTAAAAACATTTCGCAATTCATTATAGTAATTTTCTGTTTCATATGTTCGGTTAAAAAAGAAAACCCAATCAATTTTATGTATTTATGAAAAGTGTATTCAATATATATTATCAATACCTTCATTTTCGAGTTGAATCTAATTTATAACTATTAAAACAGAGAAAAACGAATAATTGTATCATCATTAAGACTAAAACGAAGCAAATCTACAATTATCTACTCGAATACGTCTTCGCGCTCGCAGATGTACTTGAAAGCGTCACGAATGGTCTGAAAAAATGAATAACCAATTAAGGATTGTTGCAATTTCTCACCTGGAACTTATCCGAATCTTGAAGTGGGATTTCAAAACCGAACTCATCCTCAAGAGCCATCACGATTTCGACCTGCAAGTAGCCAATGATTCAAAAATTGCTTACAGATTTTATTAATCAATTCAAATAATTATCAGATATCGAATATTTCATCATCTCATTGTATTTTTACCTGGTCAAGAGAATCGAACCCGAAATCTTTGCTGAAACTAGCATCAAGTTTAAGAAGGGATTCTTTGTCCGCTGGGAAACGATCCCATGAGCGGACTGCCTTCAAAACCCGCTCTTCGACCTGAAATTGTAATAAAAATTAATTATTTTCCTTCTCAACTTTCAATATCAACAATTTACCTGTTTCGAAAGCAAATAAGTGTTGGCTTAAAGGGCTTGATTATTTTTATTTTATTCATATGGAAATCTACGGTTTTGAAATAGTTTTTCCAAGAAAAACTGAAAAGGGAGATCCGTTCCTATCATTCTACAATTACTGGAAACTTTTCTGAATTATTTCTGGTTATTTTTCGAAGCTTTTGCCAGAAAATTGAGACGATTTATTATTCTTGAATTGCTAGTAACTTCAAAATCACCTCTTTGAAAGTAAGCTGCTTTGGTGGATCGAATGGTCCGAAAACTTCGATTTTGCTTCCCCTAAAACACGATATTTCTTTATTTTAACGTTTTAATTCTTGCCTAGTTTGAACGAAGCTGACGGACGGGGCAGCTAGGTTTATGCGCTTCACAGCCGAGGTAGTATTGATTCTGCGAACAGAGTTGGCAGTTACCGCAAGAACGCGACCAATTTGTCGAGCGAACATGACACGCTAAATACGTCAAGTTGGAATTACTTTTTGCGCGTAAAATGAAAATAATAAGAGCACGTCAACACTGGTCGTTTTATGTACGCAAAGCCAGCGACGCAAAAATGCAGACGCTTTCGTTCATTCTTTGTTTGCTTATCACGTTTTCTTCATCTAAACGAGCGATAAAGTTCAGGAAAACATTCTACCCCGTGATTTAATGTATGAGAACGATGTTTCATTCTTTTGACGATACTTTGCGAAATAAATATCCATCGTTCCTAACGTTCCTTTCATTAATTATCGCAAGAATACACATAGAATAACAATTTATGAAAAAAACAACAAATTTATTTGTGGGCTTTGCGCTGAGCGATGATGACTCCTTGGAGCTCCTCACGCTTTCTCTTGGCACGGAGGTGGGTTCCGATGCGTCTCTTCAAGAACTTCAAAGCGCGCTTGTCCTTGGAAATGCGAAGCATTTCAATAACACGACGCTCGTATGGGGCAAATCCGGTGATTTCACGGACAAGCTCGCGAACGACCTGAAATTATTACTAAAGAAATATTTATACGCGCATCAATACCTTGGTCTTCTTTGAGGCAACTCCCTTGCGTCTGTTTTGACGTGGCTTAGTCTCAAGCTTTGTGGCAGCACGTCCCTTGTTAAGGCCAACGGCCAGTCCTTCAACTCCCGGTCGACTCATCTGAAAAAGCAAATTAGCAAGAAAAGTAAGCAATAAAATCAATAGATAGAATATTGGATATTTACAACCAATAAACAGGAATAAACTGTAGAAACAAAAACCCATATATTTTATTATTGTTCAGTGAATGGGAAATTTGAGCAAAATTGGATAGAAGATTAATCTTATTTACAGAAAATACACTATGCACAAAGTATATACAATTGTACATTACTAGCGAAATCGAAAGACTAGCTAGAAACTAATCACTCTTTGGCATGGCATTGTCAGATGGCAGAACTAGACTCTTGAATAGTCTTGAAAAGAAATCTGTTATAATGACAGAAGGAAGGAATATTCTAATTTTCGGAATTGTCGCTCCGCGATAATCGCGCTTCCAGTCAGCCTGAAAATCAATAGTGATAAACTAAATGAGTAATGTAAAAAACCTTATAGCTGCTAATGATGAAGAATGGAAACAACATGGCAAAAACGCATCCATTAACTACAACACTTCCAGACAACGAAGAGGCGAGAGATATTGGAGTTCCGAAACCGACGAAATACGTCCAGCGTGATTCAATAGAATTTATGCGACTTTTGAATTTGACGCTGCGAGATGACCAAAAATACTCGAAGCTGAAAATAGGTAATATAGATTATTCTCTTCAATTAAATTATCATACCAATACATAGAATTCAGAAGGCAGACGTGCACAAAGGATGCGACTGTTGAGAGTAATGGGACTGGTATCCATTCCATTAATAATCCTTGAATGAGGAAAACGAATCCCAGAATGACGCTAACTACAGAATCGGCAGCGGAAACTCTGGAAAAAAATCGTTAAGATATTAGTTTATTTGTCATCATGTTATTGAGACCCAATTTAAATAAAAACTGGACCTCACCCAAAAACAAGATTTTCTCTATTGCTCTATTTGACGGCTGGCAAGGTAGATTAACTATCCAAAACCAGTGCTTTTAAAGAGCTAATATAGTAATATAGTTGATTTTGAAAGAACGAACCTAATATCCAAAGGTTGCGGAGGTGGATAATTAAGTCGACGAAGACATGCGTTCGATACATCCGAAAACCATAATGCCATGAGAATACGCGTGATCAGAAAAATTGGTAAACAAAACGAGTTTGTTAGGTAAATTTCGTAGGTCGCATCAGTAAATAAACTGAACAAAAACGAAAATAGTACCGAAAGCGTTTTGAGAACTAATATTATTGCAAAATTTACACCCGCAATATGAAGTACTCTGAAAGAAGTAAATTCAACCAGTTGCAAATTTTAATCCAATACCGCTTCCAGACGCGCTCTCTGTGTCTAACAACAATTTTTGGAGGTGGTAAATTAATTCCTTCCTTTTCACGTCTATATTGTAGAACTGTTCGTGCTGCAGGTGGAGGTGCGGCTTGTTGTTCATATTCCGCTTCTTTATCTAATTCGCGAATAAACTGGAAAACAACATTTAAGAAAGCGATTGCTGATTATGATCATACCGCGAGACATTTTATGGAATCGGTAAAACCGTTGAAGTAATCCGTTAGCAAGGTCCATATAATATCACTCATGTTCAACGACACATCTGAAATGGTAAGAAAATTAAAAAAATTAGGAGAACGATTTTTCACAACATATGACATTGAGACGAAAGATTCTAGAACCAATACTTTCAAGCTTATAGAACGAGTCAAGAATCGGAATAAAACTGATAAGAATTTATAGTGTAAGAAATCCGACTTGATTTACGCAAAAACATCTGAAAAAACCAAAAAAGAAAAGAAAAACGCGAAGTCCTAAATGCAGACTCCCTTGAATTACATGTGAAAACCAGTCGCGTTGTGAGACCACTCGCTGCGCGTCGGTTTTCTGCACTAGAGCGATACGCAGCCAAATGCGCCACTAGTATATTTTTAATTTTTCAAAGTTTTTCGCGGTTTTTTTCCGCACAATATCGGAATTTTCTTTAAGCATTTCGATTAAAAGAATATACACACTTTTGGAAGATAATTAATTATCGTGATTTCACTTTGGGTCTTTTGTTAACGCGTTGTATTTATGTTTAGCTCAAAAAATTTTTTTATTTATCGGTTTTCAGTCTTGGATAATGGCTCCCGCTCGTAAGGGAAAGGCTAAGGAGGAACAAGCTGTGGTTTCCCTCGGACCACAAGCTAAAGAAGGAGAGCTCATCTTTGGAGTTGCGCATATCTTCGCCTCTTTCAATGACACTTTCGTTCACATCACCGATATCTCCGGTAACTTAAAACAAATTTTAAAAATAGTTTCAAGTGAAAAATAATCTGCAGGACGTGAAACCATCGTTCGAGTAACCGGAGGTATGAAGGTTAAGGCTGATCGTGATGAATCTTCTCCGTACGCCGCTATGCTTGCCGCTCAGGATGTTGCTGACCGTTGCAAGCAGGTAAATAAATAAAAATTGTTATTAGATGTTAAATAAGTATTATTAAGTCATGGTGATAGTGCATTGATTGATGTTATTTTAGCTCGGAATCAACGCTCTCCACATCAAGCTTCGCGCTACCGGTGGAACCCGAACAAAGACCCCAGGACCAGGAGCTCAATCTGCTCTTCGTGCTTTGGCTCGCGCTGGAATGAAAATTGGAAGAATCGAGGATGTTACCCCAATTCCATCTGATTCCACCAGAAGAAAGGGAGGTCGCCGTGGACGTCGTCTTTAAATTGTTATTTGTTATTCAAAAGAATACACTGTTTACAAGAATTCATGTGTTCATTTAAATCGAAAAATCGTGAGTTGGGTACCAGTAATAATTATAGAATTAGTGTAGGTTATTTCTTCTTCGTCTCGGAGTCCTCAATTCAGAACTAGACGGCGATGAGTATAATGAGAATCCGTTTAAGGTGCTTGCTAGGCTTTCCACCGAAGAATGACGATGTGTTGCAAGGGCTGTTAAGCCAAGTTTCTTGAGCTTCTTCCAATATTGAGCGACGTCTACTCCTTCCCAACCCGCATTTTCTAGTCGATCAAGATATCTGAACTACTTTAAATGCGCCAAGCAAATGGTTTCACTTTATTTACCTGCGCATAATTCGATCCCTAACTCGCTGTTCTACTTCGGTTATTCTTCCACAAACGCAGAGCTCGACATTTTCACGAACCTTGACAAAAGAAATGCGAGGGCTTACAATTGTGTGGTTACCTGCTGTATACTGTCCATTCCTACGAGGCAGGTACTGATACCCGGAAAGTTCAAAGCATAATCTAATGCAATTTTTGAAATATTCAAATTTTTCGACTAAAATAGATGTGTTATGTACAGTACCGTGCAGTAAGATATACAATTTCACTTTTTAAATCATAACTTTCTGAAAATTTGACCAATCGATCTGAAATTTTTGGACAAAACAGATAGTGTGTTCCCAAACATAATTTATTCATTTTGGGGTATTATAGACGCAATTTTTGTGTTTTGGACCTTTTTTTGCGTATTTTCAAAAATGCGATTTTTTTTTAAATTTTTAAGTTTTTTCGATTTTTTTTAGATTTTCAATGTTAACATCAGTTTTTTTTTATTTGTTTTAGCAGAAGACGATCAAAATGATCAAAAAACATTCTATCAGACGTTTTAAAGCAATCAAGAATGACCGAGCACTAGGTCTTTTCATCCAATGTCTATCACACCAGTTGAACTCATCAACTTGGACCATTCGTGTATGTTTGAAACCTCGATCGGATTCCAAACCACTTGGAAATCCTTCCAAAACATCCCCGGCAATCAATCGAACAATTGTAAGAATCAGCAAGAGCAACCCGCGTCTATCCGCTTCCGAGATTAATCGGCAACTGAGTCAGCTCTATGATCTCAACGTCGATTTTTCCGAAAAACCATGACTTTTTTTCACCAAAAGTCACATACATATCAGTGTTGATACTGTCAAGCGTCGTCTACGTGGTTCTGGATTATTTGGACGTCGGTCTGTCAAAAAATCTCTCCTTTCGGAGAAGAAACGCCGCGCCTGTTTGAAGTGGGATGAGGAGCTTTTGAATTGGAGGTTTCGACAATAGTCAAATGTCGTATGGAGTGATGAATCGAAGTATATCTTGCTCGGAACGGATGGTATTACCTTTGTGAGGCGTTCGGACGACAAAAGATTCGATCCAAAGCATCAATTACCAACGGTGAAACATGGAAGAGGAAGCGTGATAGTTTGGGGATGTTTTACTGCTTCTGGAGCTGGCCCACTTCATCGAATCGAAGGAAATATGGATCGATTTGCGTATAAAGACATTCTCGAGAACCATATGCTTCCGTTTGCAAAGTCTTTGCTCGGTGTGGATACTTATTTCAGCAGAATAATGATCCTAAACTTTTCTCTCGCTACATCAAAGAGTGGTTCTAGCAGCGTAGGGTGGCCGTCAGGGTCTGACCAAGCCACTCACCTGTCTTGAACCCCATTGAACATTTGCAGGATGATCTTGGTAGACGTCTTGGTGGTCAAACTGTACAAAATGTGTCGAAATGATCGAGCAGCTGAGAAGATCATGGATGGATATTCCAATTTCAACCCTCCCGAAGTTAACGAGGCCATGGGTCTCCGATATCAAACTGTGATCGATGCAAATGACATGTCAACAAGATATTGAGTTGTTTTAAGCATCCTGACAGATAATTGTGGTTTTCCATTTCATTTCAAGTCGTACCGGTATCAAAATTATTAAAGTCGGTTTTTCGCTATTATGGATTTTCTGATTTTTTGCCAATAAAAATTTTCCTAATGTGTTGTACATCTTCTAATTTTGTTACATAATCACTCTATCGATGCTTAAAGTTGTCCAAAAATTTCAGATCGATTGGTTAACTTTTCAGAAAGTTATGATAAAAAAGTGAAATTGTATATCTTACTGCACGGTACTGTATATTAAAGTTGTTATACCGAAGTGTATGTCACTGCTGCCAAGCAAGCTTCACGAATCTCGTCGTTCGCCGGATGCCATGGTGGCGGGCCTTTGTCAGTGAGTAGTCCCCAGCTTAATGCTCCAGAATTCACAACAGCGATGCTACGCGCTTGAAACCAAGGTACGAATTGTCCCAAGGAATTGTTATTGAGTGTTCCCTTACAATAAGTCATTACAAAATCAATCCGTGTAGAAGCGCAATCAACGACTTGTCTGAAAATCTAGAAAATTGAAAATGAAAGCAAAGTTCGAGTGTAGTACACTAGCTTGTCAAGCGGATACCCAGTGAGACCAATATGTCGAATCTTGCCGGATGCCTTCGCCATCTCTAACGCTTGTAGGGTCTCGTAGAGAACAATACTTTCATTCGGGGCGATGTCAGCATCGTGAATCTAAAAATGGGAGTCGTCTATAAGGAAACGTTTCAAACTCAAACCTGCACATAGCAAATATCAATATAAGTCAATTGGAGCCGTTTTAAGCTATTCGTCAGCGACTCTAGAATTTTGTCAGCTCGAAAATCGAATGTTCGCGCATAATCGAGCTCAAATCGTCCAACTTTCGTGCTAATATAGTACGATTTGCGGGGAATTTTTGAAAGCGCCTTTAATACCAAAAATATGTAGTTTTGTGATTTTTAGAATTCTCACCTTCCCTAATATGGATTCACTTCGACTCTGACTATACCAATATCCAGTGTCGATATAATTGATTCCTTGTCGAATGGCAGTTTCGATTATTTGAGTAATCGAGTCCTCAACGTTGCCAAACATTCCGCCAATTGGTGCAGCACCTGAAAAGGAAGTTGATTGAAGCGTCGGGACCACTGAAGCCACACCAAATGATATCTTTGATATCTTCATGTCAGTTCCAGGAATCTTGCGGTAGATCATTCGCCGAACAGCAGCCTCTTCATGGAATCTTGGCACGAAGGTTGGTGGAAGGTTTGGCTGAAAATTTCACGTCTCGGTTGTTTTTTTCCCGATTAATTCATATCAAAATACATCTTGATGTTGATTTGAATGATTTCGCAAATTCGGAGCCAGCGATATCGATCTCGGGATTTGGCGGGATGTCGATGGCTGAAAAGAATTTCAGAGATTTTGTCATTTTTTTTTCAATTTCAGACTCAAATATCGTTTCGAAATTCGACTTGTTCTCAATTATTCGCCAACAATTAGAGCAAACTTCTCAATGCATATAATATGAGAAAAGAGTGCATATATATATGGATATTGTGTGGCTCGTCGACATCGCGTTACGTCGATGTCGGACCGACAACAAACCTCGGAGACGCGTCCGGCGAGTCGCTGCTGCGAAACGCTGCCATTCATGTAGATCGGGACCCCGCGGCTCCGTGAAAACGTATGCGACTGCATTTTATATGTGCATCGTCTATAATTGAAATTCAATTTTAATAATTAATTATGATAAAAATAGACAGAAAATATTTTTCCCTAAAACTGATATCAAATCTAGAAAGTATGGGAATTAGCTTTAACTTCCAACAATATATTATTTTCTGGTAGACTTTCAAGCTTCTCGAAGACTTTATATGCATTTTTTTTTCTCGAAAAACATTTCTAACTTTTGCTCAAAATTTGAAATATTTAGGCGTTTTTTAAAATACAAGTCCGCAAAGTTAGTGGGGCGTGATTGCACAATTTCTATATTGAATGTCTAATTTTGTGCAATCACACCACATAAACTCTGCGGACTTGTATTTCAATCAAATACTCAGCGATTCAATCGGGATGAACAGCGGTTGTTTTTGGGTTTGGGATAACCCGCGGAACAATTTGGGGCAAACACGGGAAACATTGAACTCGGTCAAAACAAAAGTCGTCCACGGTTTAGCCCAAACTCTAAACGGAGGGCAGTTTGTAATTGGAGTGTCGTACTGGAATTATTGAAAATTTTTTAACGTTTACTCAATTTCTATATAATTTTCATCATTATGTAAAGAAAAATTAATTTTAGTTCTAGCGCAGTCATCCACGGTAACGCAACAATTGGAATGAAAAGAAGAAGGCCAACATTTGAAGAAAATGGTATGTCAAATAATGTTAAATACTCACTGGCAGAAGTGAAAACGATGATTGCGGAACAAAAAATGAATGGTTTTTCGTCAATCAAACAGTAAAAAACCATTTATTTACCATAAAATAATAAAAAACCATTCATTAACCATCGAAAATCGTTCATTCGCGAATTAAAAACCATTCGTTAATGAGACGATTCATTTTCTAAATAATCATTTTTCATTCATTAATAATGTTTTTGCTGTTCATTCATTAACCATTCGACTTCGATCGTTCCACTTCTTCCAGTGTGCCGTAAAATATGAGACTGAAGATATAGCCTAGCAAGCATGGAATAATAAACACATTTTTCTAGAGACAATGCTGAGAAATCTTGGCATACGTGTCACAAGACCAGCGTTCTTCATGGATATGAAGGAAGAATTTTGCAATGAAAACAATCATAATTTCGAAAAGTCGCTGCTAATTCAGCCGCCGTTTATGAAAGACGATTCGAATTGTTCACTGCCAGACTCGGTCAACTACTCAATGAATGATTTGGGGTTCAACACTCAGAATGATGAGATATCGCAACGATATGACGCCATTGCAAAGGTTAATCAATTGCTCAATCCATTTTGTTTATCGAAGTCGTGCATTGAAGCCGTGCTGCTAGCGGCACATTTTATTTGTAGCTATAACTTAACGGTAAAACTAAGCTAAGAGAAAAACTCACGATGCATGATTTTAGATTAATGATTTAAATGAGACAAATGAAAATGTTTTCTTATCGAAGTATAAACCTAGAGTTTCTGTTTTCTGCAACGAATGTCTGGTGTCAATTGGAGCTTCAAATTCTTGTCAAAACAATATCTGTGTAAATTTCAGGTATGAATATAGCACTCCACGAATATAAAATACTTTCAGAAAACATATGAAAAAAGGAACGAAGACAGAAGCTTTAAAAATTGTTTCATACAGTGTTCGCCCACAATTAGAACGAGTTACGAGTAATCAATTTGGTGAATTACTATCAACCCACAGCTACCATCACAGAAATACAGTGGTAATATTTTATTGCAACATTATAATCGTGATATTTTTAATCGAATTTGTTTTATTTTCTTAAGGAAACAATTCGAGATTATTCTTCATTTCACCGATCGCGGTGTTATCATGATAATATCGAAAGTTTCGAGTTTTTTGAGAATAGTCATTTGACTATTCCTATTTCGTTGGCGGTAGACGGGTTTCGACCAGTTAACCATAATAGGTATTCCCCTAAATGTTCTTGTTCCTTTTTGCAATTACTTGAAAATTTTAGAAACGAAATAACACCAATATACGTTCGTTTAGAAGGAGTTGGAAGAAAATCAAAAGAAAAGGTCGATTCTGTTATTCTTGCAGCCTTAATAACAGGACCAAACAGCTTAAATCACACGAATTGTGATATTATCATGAGCAGGTATTAAACTAGTCCGACCAAATGAAGAATGAATATTTTCATATTATATAATTCATATTTAGGCTAATAAATGAACTTGATGAGATTCGATTTGAACCCATTCGTATTGACAATAATAATGAAATCTACTACATCGATTTTCAACCAGCTAAAATGTATTGCGATTTGAAAGTTTGAAATGTACTGCGATTTGAAGCAAACTGAAATATTATTTTAGGCTGCTCGTTTGATGTATACACTTCCGAATTGGCAGAAGCTCGAAGGATGTGCATTATGCACAATTACAGGTACTAGAGTTGGGCGATCAGCGGTTGCTTTTTATTCGAGCGAGAGGTCAGAACCACGTACAAAAGAAGATATTCACCGTCTAATGGAGAGAAACGGCGCTCAATGTAAGTTATACGTTTTTTTTTTAACGCCGAACATTATAGGTTTTTTGTCTCGTATGGTTGGTCCTCAAGACATGGCATTCGATGAATTACACCTGCTTAGTGAAGGTGTTGTTAAAAATACAATAGTAAATCTATTATGTAGCAACCAAATAACATCAACGTCATCTCTGCCAAAGTTAAGAATTCTGCCGAGAAACGTCGTAAAAATTCAAGAATCGATTTTCAACGCAAAGCTACCACCGGGAATTAATTGTGAGATGGCAGATATCCGAAAACACTCTTCAGCCACAGGAGCTCAGATTAGACAGGTACTATTTTTTCGCTTCTTTATATGCCTTTAAAAAATTGTTGTGCGGAGAGCTCAGGTGTATTTACTTTATGTATCAAGCGGATCTGCTAAAAACAATTATGTTAATTTATCCAAGCTCTAGAGAGACCACACAGAAATTAAATTATGCGTTATAGACATCAAGGATTCTCTTCAATATATTGTCGCTGTTACCCGTTTACACCGTCGACACCCGCATTTTCTTTTCTGCATTTATCAATTACGTCGAACTCTGTTTGGAGGCCAAAACGGAGATTGACTTACAAAATATGGATGATCTCAGCACTTTCCTTAAAACAGCAATGGGAACTCTAAATAAGGAGAAATATACGCTTAAAATGCATGTAGGTTACATTCATACCGGAAGGTGGGAAAAAATTTTATAACGCTATCAAGGAAAAATGTGGATATAGTAGTTTTTAGAAAGATATATGTGTTAAATTTGTCTTAAAATGATTTTTTCCGAATACGATTATGATTTTATTATAACTTCAACCATTCTCCTTCAATTTCAGTTGCTCTTTGAACACATGGTTGAAAACATCAGAAGAAATGGAAATTTATCTTCTACTTCTACTTCATATTTCGAAAAATGCCACAATTTAATATCAAAAAATCTTTCGCAATCCAATACATAAATACAAGAACTCGGGAAGCGCTTCCTGTTGAATATTGATACAAGAATAAATAAGAGGTAGGTGCAATTTGATTTTACTCTCATACAATAAATTGTTTAGCGAGGAAAATTTAATTCAATTAGATAATTCTACGACTGCGCTCGAACTGTATAGAATCAGAAATGGCGATGAGAAAGAAGCTCGGATAAAAAAAATGTTTCCTGGATTGATATATATCAACTTATGGTATTAAGCTATGATTAAAGAATTTCACATATATTCAAATTACAGGTCTCGAGTGGTATTTCATCAAGATCTCTTATCCTCAAACAGCTGGAGAAATAACAACAAGAGCACTGTAATTTGCTACGAATCGGAATTCGGAATCGAATATGGAACATTAGAAGCTGTAGCACAAACATCAGATCGAATTTTTTTTCTTTTTTCAGGTTGGCAGCAAGATTGGGAGACAATAAAGCGGAAATAAGTCAACATTATGAGAAGCTGATTATGGATGTGGCAAATATGGTGGACTTTATTTATTTCAAAGCTCACCGAGTTTTGTAAGTTTTTTGTAATACTTTATATATAGAAATAAGCTATATATATTCAGTAATGATCTTCGGAACAAAAAAATTGTGGAAACCCAAGGCCAAAATGGAGTTGTGCGCAAACGATTCGAACAGGATCCAAACGCATTAAAAAGGAAAGAAAAGGTAATAGAAATCACAGTTTTCTAGAGTCATGAAATAACTAAAACTTTTTTTTATTAAGAAAACATCGAACGACTTCCGCCATTCGCCGACACCGATTTCGGATGAAGAAGACGTCGATGAGGATGAAGCCAACAACGACATTGAACATAACGGTGATTTGCTTTAATCCCAATTTTTTTTGCTCTGCTCATTCGTCGAATCGAATAGAATTCATCTGTTTCGATTCAACGCAATATCTTAAATGATCAATCGATTTCCATTAGAAGTCAATTGGAATGTAGTTCGATTGTGAAACGAGCAATACGAATTTGATTCTAATTTTTTTACATTCGATCATTCATTAGTATTCGACGAATTAGCAGAGTGTCCTTGTTTTTTTTTGTTATCCTAAATGTTAAATTATTCATGTTTTATTGTAATCTTTCCTCTTTTTTTGTCAACGTTTTTATTTTAAATATCGATATTTGCATTATTTGTTACCTATTGATTTTGGAAAGGTTCGAATAAATATGTTATTTAAATAAAACGCGCATTACCCAATAAAATTCATGAGCTGCTAAAACAAGGGTGATTACAACACTCCGCGCGTACACCCGTCGTTTGGGTTAACCCGCGGAACATTTTGGGACGACCAGTGTGACCCCGAGGGAAGGCCGTTCATCGTTTTTGGGTTCGCCCAAAAACAACCGCTGTTCGTTCCGATTGAATCGCTGAGTATTTGTTTCAATGGCTGCTTGAATAACTGAAATTCAATCGGATTCGACGAAATCAGCTCAGGAATCAACACGAAATTCTGCGGATCGGGCAATTGAAAAAATTTCTCATAGATTCGATTGGGTTTGAGTTATCAGAGTGGACAAAATTTTGAAGTTTTTTTTTGCGAATGGAATTCTCTCAATAGTGAATTTCAAAAATTCGTGAAAAGCAATCTTTGATCATCGTGTCGAGACATAAAACCGTATTATTCATCAATGCTACACCCAATGCGAAAAGTGAAGGCTTATTCGGATAAGCAGGCGAAAAGCCTAGGCAATTATTGGATTCAATTCGTTCTCACGGCGGGATTATTAGAGAACTACGCCAAAGCCCACGTTTAAATTTTCGGTTATTTTATTATATCGACTCCTAATTAAGATCGCATCTAATAACGATAATTAAGCGATTGGCGGGGGGGGGTTTGATTGAAACATGAATTTGACCACATAATTCTCATGGCAACACCCAACAATTCTTTTGGAATTGGACCGGTTCAATGGCATTCGTGATCAAGTTCTGAGAACCGACGCCATTAAATCATTATTGACATTGAAGCAAATAATAATAGAAATGAAACGAGAAAAAAAGGAATCAATAAAAATTGCACTATTCTGGCAGCGAGCCAACAGCGGACGCAAAGCGCGATGATTGGCGATGGTTGGGGGTGTCGTCTTATTCTCTTCTTTTCAACTTACCGTAATCAGAAATGCATGAGCTGCGAAAACAAAAGCACGCGGGCGTCGTCGTCGTCGTTGAGCCTGAAATGAAGCGTCGAGGGACGACACATTGAAACAACGACGAACACAGCACAGCAAAAAAAACAACAAAGACAACAATGAGACAATCAAAGTAATTGATGTAATGACGCTTCCGACATTCTCCCCCCAGTTTTTCGTCAATCCGTCATCATTTGTCCGCGAAATCAATCCATCTCAAGTGTTGTATGTCGGTTCTTCTTTCTTTTTTTTTTCTTCTCCACGAATGACCCCATTCAGCTAACCAATTCCGCAAGACCGTCTAAACAATTGCAAAAGCTCAATTGAATCGATGAGAGCTTATATAGATTGCTGGGAAATCCATGGAATTGAAGCATTATGCTCTTTATAGAAATCACATTCGGCGAATTGAAATAATTTTTGTGGTTGCGAATTGTGGATTCAATTTGGAAGGGAAACATGAGACTAGTGTGTTTCGAAAAGAAAAAGCTTATGAAAAAAAAAAGCAACATGAGACTAATTCTATATGAGAAGCTATTTAATTGAAATGCTTCCATTCTGGTGCTATGCAGATTTTCGGAAGAAATAACTATTTTTGCGCAATTTTCAAACGGTTTTAGAGCTTTTTTTTGCATTTTTAAAACTGGATTCTGATGTTTTTTTTGCACAATCTGCATAGTACCATTATAAATCCATATAGCATATAAATCCATAGTTTAGAAAATAAAATAAAATATTTTGAGAACCAAATATCCAATAATTAATTCTTGGTATAATTAATAATTTTTTTCAAATTCAATAAAACTTATTAAGGCATTGAAATTGTTCATTCTACTTTTAAAAATCTCATAGTCAGCAATTTCAAAAATAAATATCTCACTACATTTTAAAATCTTATAATACTTTCTAAAGTTTATTGAGAAAAATTTAAAGCAATTTAGAAGCGTCATTCTCGAATTTTTTTATTATTTGAAGTTGGAATGGGCTTTATTCCAAGTTTCCTTGTAAATATGAAATCATGAAATATTTAATTTCACATGACAATTTCGATTTTCTCGAGCGAACCATGGCCGATCCAAAAATCCAATTTGTTTCCTAGTCCGCGTTTTATCTGTGTAGCCACTAGAGTAAATCATTTCGAGCCGATTGCGATCGACAAAATGAATCTCGGCCAATTTCGAATCCTCCTCAAAATCGCGCCCCCCGACAATTCAACCGACCGCAACGGTTCCGGCTAATAATCGCTGTCACAAACCGCCAAAAACCTAATCCACCAGCAACTCCGCCCACCACGATCACCACGGCGGAACGTCCGCCCTCGATCGCCATTTTCATTTTCGCACAAGTCTCGCGCTCAGTCGATCACACCATGATCCGTTTGCTTATATTATTCTTGATGTTATCGAGTTTGGGTTCGTTCGTTTCATTATCACCGCCGCTTATCGATATTCCTGTTGCAGCGTTGTGCCAACTGGCCGCCGTCTATTCGGAAGCGGCGAGGAATCAAGAGTGCAGCAATTGGAGTAGCTGGGGCAAGTGCGTCTGGCCGGATCGCGTCAACAATGTTCGATTCAACTGACCTCTATTAATTCAAAATCGGTTTTTTTAGAAGCCCTACCTCAAGCAAGTGTCGGGAATCTGTCAGCAGCACTGGTTCTACAGCTTCATCAAACGATGGGAGCCGGTAGACCGAAAAGAAAAAATCCATGAAAGAAAATCATGAGATTGGTTTAGGCTCTTAACAACTTCTACGATTATATGGGCAGTGTGCTCAAATCGAAGAAGCCTTGCGGCTTGTGCTCGTATAAGCAAAGTTGCGGATTCGGAGGAGCCGTCAAGTGCAATCAGAGCCCATTCACGTATGTTTCAATAATTTCTAGATATGGAGGAATGTTGTCTGTTTTAATTGACACTATTAACATTTTATGGAGGTAGATCAAAGAGCGGCAAGATGTCCGCAGCACTATCTTTCTGCATCTCATCGACACTCGAAGCTTCTCCAATCGCAGACTTCCGTTTTTCGATTATAATATTATTTGTCATGTTTGGCGTTCAAGTGTCATCTGAACGACATTCGCTTATTATTAAACTGTCGATTGACCTCCGCGCGGGCTTGCAGAGTCGAAGGCGGCCGTCCGTTGATCCCGTTCTACGTCGCCGAGCGTCTCTGCTCGGCCAACGATCTCGGCAAAACGCAGACCGATTCGTGCGTCGTCGACTATGAGATGCTAATGGAGAATGGAAGTGAATGCCAATTATGGCCGTCGCCAAAAGTCGATTTGTCGACGGTCGAGGAGCAATTCAGAGAGCACGTCAACACCCTTAAATGGTACACATGTATTCCACAAAACCGGTAGGTCAAAATGCCAATCGGTACAGTAATCGAATCGGAAATTACAGTAAACTTCGTCGTGGTCGCGGCAAGACGGCCAAATATCGCCACGAGAAGGTTTGCCGATGCTGCTGCTTCCCATTCCGACCAAATCCTAAGACGTTCAAAGTAGGATTCAACAAAAAATGGTTCTACTAAACTAATATCGCATTTTCAGTGCGAGCATGTGCCAGGAAATCCAGTTGCTCCTGGAATGGAACTTCTCTCCAATGAGCTCTAATCGAAAATCAATTACGGGAACCGCAAAGCTTTATTAATTATGCGTTTGATATAAATACTTTCTATTCGATTTAGTTTGAAGCGATGTCTTCTCCTTCGTCGGCGCTACGTGAATGAAAAAATGACATCTAGTATTGTTACACCAGCAGACGAACCCTTATGCTTTTCGTAGCAGTCGTACCCCCACCAGAGGTGGGCGGAATTCCGAATTCCGCAAAAAGTGTCATTCCGACTTTTCAAATTATCAATTAACGCAGGTTCTGAAAATTTGCTTCGGTGTTTGGCACACATTTCCAAATTTTTTCGTTCTATAGGGTACAGAGTTGGCCGGAATTCCGCATTCCGCAAAACAAAAAAATGATTCCGTCCAACTCTGACCTCCACCATCCTCCCGACAAATTTCGCCTCCGGAATCCATCAGATTCGATTGGTAATTCTACAGCAGCAATCAAATATATATTTAATCGATAGAAATTTAATCGCACCACTGTGGGTTCGCCGTCCACTTCAATTCGCTCTTGTAAAATGCGAAATGCTTCCTTCCTCAGTAAATTCTTCTCGCGTTTTGATCGTCTTCGCGAATATTTCTGACATGAAGCTCCTCCCAGATTGGGCGTAAAGTTTCGGATTCCTAGTTCGCCAAGAATGTGTCACAATAGTTTATTGAAAACTCAAACTTGATAAACGATTTCAATATAAATGAAACAAAATATATCATTGTGACATCGTTGTAGTTACTGATCGCTAAATACACAATGAGGCACAAACAAAACTTTAAAAAAAAGAGATCCGCGCGAAAAAATTTAAATTTCATCGCGCCGCGGGATGGATTTCTCGCCGGCTCGAATCGGCCACGGCCACGGCCACTGCTAACTCGGCTAGCCGCCTTTGCCAAACGATTGGGAGGGTATCTCAACATTAATACCACTTTCGTTATGTACTTATGTAAAATCAGTCACATTTGCCGAACGCTCCTCAAAATTGATTTGCTCCTGGAATGGATCTTCTTTTCAATGAGCTCTAATTCAAAATAAATTAAAGATGCGCAAAGTTTCAATTATCCATTTTATATAAACACTTTCTTCATATATAATTAATAAGTGAAATAAAACTCTATTATGCTTCAAAGTGAATGCTGAAGTGAGGAATGTCGTCTATATACTCTAAATATTAATACATCTCTAATTACATATGGCACTGTTAGAATTGGTCGGACTAGAATGACAAGAATGAAAGATTAAATACGACTAGACAGAGAAGCGCTGCTCCCTTCCTTCGGGCAACATTAGGCTGAGCTGTTTGGCGTTGATCCAAACGAGTCTCGGATGGAATGCGGTGTTATTAGGCGTTGTTGGAATCGATACGGTCGGCGCGGGTTGCGATTTAGTGAGCTTCATTTGAGTCTGTCCCATTCCCTACAACAATTTTCAATAATCATCAAAAATATCTTCAGAATCCTACCAAAAATGATTGGCTTGTCTGGAAGAAGTTGATCTTCCCATCTTGGGCTCCATACGTTGCCAAAAATTTGCCGTCCTCATTAAATGAGACACTAGTAACGGGACCATTATGACCGGCAAGACTCTGAAACCGAGAAAAAATTTGAAAATTTTTCGTTTCAAAATCATGATTACATGAGTTTTCGTTGCTCTCAGCTCATGAACCACACATGTCCCATTGACGCCGCCAAATGCGATTTTTCGAGTGGCCGAACAATAGGCGACCATGTTGAATCTTGAACCAAAAATCAAACCAACCACGTTTAACAATCTTACTTTGTAATGGCCTTGAAGATATCAGCCAGCGATTTATTCTTGAGCATCGAGATATCAAGACAATGCACGAGAACATCTCCAAGGGGCAACATCATGTTCACCACATCCTGACTTCGCTTCTCGCACAACTCCTCAACTATCCGGAGTACTTCGTCTCGCGACTTTAATAGCGGCGAGACCACCGTATGCTGAATCGTCTGGTGTTGGGCGGCTGCGTTGTACCTGGCGACTTCCATGCTCATCGCTGTAATCAGTGCTGGAGGCCTGGCAAGTGCAATCTGAGACAGCGCTTGCTTCGAAGTGCGAGCAGCATCTTCGATGGCACTGAGTGGAGCTCCAACAATGAATTTATCATTTCTAAACATTTTCGTTTCGTTCAATTCTCATTAAATTTCTTTTTTTTACTTGTTGCGATCCGTATTTCCCGCCAAATCCAATAATCCCAACACAACTTTCGATATTTCAAGATGCGGTTCCCAATGAACAAATCCGCGTCCAAGCAGATCGATCGCAGCTCGTCGAAGCGGTGAATGAACCGGAATAAGATTTGAAGGCGCCGCAACTAGTAGCTCAAGCAGAGAAACCGCCGTGGCTCGCGTCAAATCAGCTCTGTTCAATTCATCACCAAACTCTGCGCCAATCACACCAAGAAGGATAATGGCAGTCGCTTGATTACGTCGAACTTGCTGTACACCGGCTTCACCTCCTTCGGCAGTTGGGGGTTCTAATTTAAGACAAAAAAACCAATTAAAATTTTAATGTGACCACTAACCCGATACGGTGACGGGCGACACACTCGGTGGCGAATTACGCGTTCTTGGTGGAATGGGTGGTGCAGACACCACAGATTGAGCACTAGGTATCGAGCTTTGAAGTTTTGAACCGAAAATCGACAACGAGTCATCGAGGAGTGGCGGCAAGAACGGAGCCCACGACTCAATGAGCTTTCTCCGGCCTTCAGGACCCAATCGTGTCAGCTCGCGAATTAGCAAAGCTTGTGCAGCTTCTCGAATTTCCAGACACGAGTCCTGCCATCTTCTCGCCAACAATTCAATACTCGGCGCCGCATACGAGCTTCTCGGCCTCACATGGTCCGGCAAAAGAGCACAATGCAGGGCAGCGATTAAACTCCAACCGCGTTTAACTTGTTGTCGATCGAGAGCCGCCGACGAATCGCTGCGCACATCCGGTGGATGCGGTGCAGCGATGCTCTTCCTCGACCTCGTCAATTGCAGTGTCGCGTGTTTCATCGCCATCAACGTGTTCGCAGTGGCAATGATCGCAAGCAAGTGATTTGTGTTCAACGAATGGCTAGCCTGCCATCGAGCTTGTTTCGCGAACGTCTCGAAATCGGTGGTGAACCTCGATGGTAAGCTCACAGAGAGTTCACCTAAATCATTCTCGCGTTGAAAAAAACAAAAACAAAAAATGACCCAAGACGAACCCTGTCGTGAAACGTTCCCAAAATAAACTTCATGTCTCGGCCGATGCAATGAAAGCTTCTTCTCACAAACTTCGTCAAGAGTCTCGTCAAGTCCCCAAGCATGCAACATTGAGAGCATCAATCGGGCGACATCGAGATATAGATTGGCCTCAAATTGCCACGTGAGTTTTCTAAACGTTGCAATTATTATTTGGCGCATTGATACACACGAAAATACTTTGACAATCCCGCAATCGCATTCGCGTCGTGCATATCCGTTTTGCTAACATTACTAATTCCCATATCATTTCCTTCCGAAGCCGCGTCGATGTGCAAAATTCCAGCTATCAAGGCGCTCACCTAAACATATAAAAAATTGCCTATCGTATTGAGGTAAATGTGATACACCTCGAATTGCACCATGTGGGCACCTTGCACACACCCTGGCAATGGTGTAATTGCCATTGGCGATCCAAGTTGCATTGCAGTTCCAGCGTTCGATAATGGGTCATGCCCTTCAAAATTTTAATAATTAATTGCCTATTAAAAATAATGAGGAACAACCTTGAATTGGAGTGTTTCCTCCAGAAACCGCACTACTAACTTTCTGCTTGACTGCTTCAATATTCTTATGCTTCAACGCGCGAATCAATTGGACGGCATGGTGTGCAGATGTCTCATCAGTTCCTTCCTCAATTCCTGAAAATCACATGTTTAAAGGGCAAAACGCAAAAAGTATTGTGGGCTTATTCGTGCAATAAAAAAGTTTAAAAATTTTTTTTCAACACAGGATTGTAAAAAATTGCATATAAATGTAAAGTTTTGCATTTTTTTGTAAAAAAAAATCCATTTAATGAATTAGGTACATTAGAAAAATATGTAAAAACTTTATAGAAAAATAAAAGTACCAATTTGTTCATCGCAAGCCACCATAACATCCTCAGCTAATAATCCAGTAACTATCCTATCCAAATTTGCCGTTTCCATTTGCCAAACGTAAACTGATCCGTCAGTAAGCTTCACAAGCATAAAATCATCAAGAGGTCTCCATTTAATCTAGAAAAATTCTTTGTTTTTTAACGAATAGAAATATATTCAAAATCCTACATGAGCAACTGGATGAGGGTGTTTCGATGCTAATAATATGCACTTATTATCTCTTAAATTCAGAAGAGCAACTGAGTTATCTTTGGAGATTCCTGCGATGCATTTTGTGACTATTTTCTGCAAAACAAAATGATTGACAATTTTCTTCATACAATTTGAAAATTCTTACACTACAATTGGGCGGAGTGATTTGAAAACTGATGACTGGTCCGCCATGAACGCAAAACCGATGCAATTTCGTACCATTATTGATATTCCACACAATTGTCTAAAATTTTTGTGTCAAATGCAAGCAAATGCAAATTTTATACCGAAAAATCATCAGATCCGGAAACGAAGATTTGTGAATCGTATCGAGTATCATGTTCAAATGGGTAAAACATCGATCTGGAATTAGAATTATTTCTTAATTACTAAAATATTTGACGTAAAGGTCTAAATAATGATTTCTACCAATTTATATCATAATCCCATCGCTGTATTATTAAATAACGAACCTAACCGCTCCAGTATGTCCAATAAGCTTCCTGGAATTTGGACGTTCTGCGGGAACCTTCAACCATTGACGAGAAAGCGTCTCACATGCATAGGTCATAACAATAATTCCATCTGAACGGCCAAGAAACAATTTGCCCTGGCTTGGCACGAACAATGAACAGCACACCGTATCAGAGTTCTTTAAAAACTCGATTAATCACGAAAAAAAATTTAATTTATTACCATAATTGGCATTGAGATATCCTCCGCGTCATTCAATGTCTTCCAAATGCTTTTCAGACTTTCGCTGTGGGTTCCTTTGAATTCTAGAAAAACGAGATTTTGAGGATTTTCAATTTGATGGCCGACTTACTAAAAGGCAAATTTTTAATATTGGGCACGGCTTTCATGAATTGCTGATTGAACACGGGCATTTTCCATACAAGGATGCTACCTTCAGTTCTCACAGTTCGCACAATCGTCACTTCTCGTCGAGGTTCAAAAGGATCTTCTGAATATATTTAAATAATTTCCAACGCCTTATTAATAATCACAATTTACCATTTCCTTCCAAATCTTTGGAAAAATCGGTAATATGGCACACAAATTTCGCATCATTCATCCACTAAAACATCAACTTTGAGAATAAAACGAGAATTTCAAAATCTTACGGTTTTGCTCAAATCGTCAACTCCAGGGACCATTCCGATTGCAAAAGGCTCGGCCGAATTGAAATAATCCTGTTCCGGCTTATGCCCTTTGAAATAATCGAGAACCTGTTTTCCTTGTAATTTTCTAAAATGAAAATTTTATTTTAACAAACCGTGCAATTTTAAATCTTACGTAATTGGTAATTGGAAGACTTTGATTGATTCGTCGCTGAATCCAATGACAACCTTATCAACGCCAACAATGAAGCCGGAAATGAATCGAATATTGCTATTCTGATTTTTGACTTCAACAATTGTTGAAGAATCCTCCAAATCCACAATCATCCATGTATTCGACGCGACAATCAAAATTATTCGCTCGTTATCCGAGTTGAACGAGACATTTTTCACATGTTGAATCTCTAATCGTTTCGATTCGTCTTCGTATAGAGAATTTGCAGGATCCTGAGGATTATCATTGTTTCAGGGAAACAAATTAAGTTTCAAACCTTCTTTTCAAGCTCATTTAGCGTCCAGATTTTCATCATTCCGCTCATTGTTAAGCCTACCAATTGATCAGTTCGATTACTCCTCGCTAATAAAGCATAGCTTATTACCCAATCGGGTTCAACCCTGCAAAATAATTTGCTTTCGCGCAATTTAATATTAAAATTTACCTAGAAGCTATTGTGAACACTATAGTAAGATCTTGGGGATCCATCACTTGAATATCGCAATAATCACCTATGCACAATAATCTGGTTGCTCTAGTATGTCGCGAGGATTTATAAGTCTGATATAAATTAATTAATAGAAAAAATAAATAAAAAATCATTCTTACATATGGCTGAATATAGTTATGAATTTGTACAGAAGTAATTGAATCTATGCATCGTCCATCTTGAATTTCCCAGAGACACACGTGACCATCGGCGGAAGCAGACACAAATCTTCTAAAATTTTAGACAATTTTTAAATATTTATTTTTCTCATACGTAATATTTCTAGAATTAATTGTTTGCGAAATTGCAGTGATTCTTTCGCAATGACCAATCATCAACTGTTTTGGAGCAAGGCCTTCTGCTGCCTTCCAAACTATTAAGTGTCCATTTTCGGCACCTTAATCGAACATTTGAAAAATTGTTCAATGCAAATTGATACCTGTTACAATTGTTTCACCATCTGGAAATATTCGAACGGCACATATTTTATTTTCGGGTGGTTTTGGCCCCCATATTACAATTGGGACGGATAAACCAGGCGATTTTACGCCTGGCGCAATTGGTGGTTGTTCCACCATTTTTCTATAAAAGAAAAAATTCGCATCAAACTATTTCACTTTGGTAGAAAAAATAATCTAATTTTAATCGAATCGGAAGAAAAAACAAATAAAAACAAATAAAAATAAAAATAACGATCGCCGTAAATATTGCCGATAGGAGACGAAATGGTGGTCTCTTGCCGCGATACGCCGCTTGCTGGCTGCGCCTTTAATCGCGGTGTCGAAATACGAGCTATGAACTTCTCATTTTTCTGTTTTTTTCGTGGAAATTTGTGAATTTTTCGTTTAATTGGTAATTAAAACAATATTTATATATAACGATATTTTATAATAGATATGTATATTCGTTTATTTTCAAATTCATGATCACTTTTACGCTTTATGGCTGTGTGTCTAATTTTCCGTTATCTCATTAGAATTACTTCAATTCTTTCTTTCATTTCTTACAGGGGAAATCATCTCAAACTATGGCGTTGACCAAAGATCTACATCTTCCCAGTGACAATGAATTGACTGTTGAGCAGGAAATCAATCTGTCTACGCCATGGCTCAAAGCTGTTGCTCCATATATGGCCAAGCATTGCGAAAAAGAAGCTAATGTGCGTACAAAGCATATTTAAAATTTTAGAAACCTTATTGGTTTTTAGGAATTCATGCTTCGTCGCAAGGAATTGGAAGATCCACGTGCCGTATTGAAGGAAGGAGCCGCTTTAACCGCCTGTGGCGTTAGCTTCCTTCAATCGCTCAAGCGAACCTGCCTTCCACAAACTCAAAAGCTCGCCGAATGCATTGATCAAAGCAGCTCGAAACTTTATCTTGCTAAGTAGATAATTTTTAATTTATAAAATATTAATAAAAATATTTCAGGTGCCATCCAGAGCAAAAAGAGCTCGATGCCTGCGTTGAAGCCAATTTGAATTTGACCCGACCAAAGTTGGGATATTTCAGCAAATTGCATGTTCACGAATCCGCCGAGCCAGCTCCACGTAAGATTATTTTTCTTTAATTTTGATAGGGAAATTAAAATCAATTACAGAGGCACGTTTCCGTGACTACAAGGCCGAAGCCGCTAAAGTTCTCTCTGAGCTCCCAGCCGATTATCATTATCGCAAGGACTACAGAAAGTACAACGACTGGCGATACAATATTTCTGAGAGCTAAATTTGGGGGAATTGCGATTTATCAGTGTTCTAGTGAAATGTAGTTTACTCTCTATTTCATCGTCTTTTCTTTTCAATGTAATTTTCGTCGTCGTTTATATTTTTAATAGATAAAAATTCACTATGAGCTATCAAATGTTTTTGCTTGTTGTGCTGTGAAGTGGTCCGATTCCTAACGCTGTTGCTTATTTCTGTTGTGTCGTTCGTTTTCATCCTCAGTTTCTTAATTGTGACGCGTTTTTAAGATGGAGGCTGTTGCCAACGCATGGGAAACCGTCGATTGGGACAGATTACAGGTAGTTATTTTTTTTCCACTTGTGTTCCAATAACAATGTCCGCAGATGGAAATTTTTTGCGATATTCCGAATTCTCAAAAAAGGTTCCTTATATTCTAATATCGAAATTCTAAAAAAAATTGAAAATTTAGCAGAAAAATTCGAAAATCTGTAGTTTTGAACGCTTTGAGGAGTTCTATATTACCATTACAAGAAATTTACTTTAAATAATTGTTGGCCATCATAATATTTTGCGGCGGTTATTCAAATTTCGATTAAAACCGTTAAAATTTGGATATCGTACTACGGATAACCTGCAAATCAAACTCACCACAAATCTTCGCAGGGTGCTTGTTGTTTTTGCGTCTAAAATAATTTTTGAATTCATTCGATCCTATTTGAGCTCGATTGATCTCACATCAGTCGATCTTTTCGACCATTCGATCGATATTCGCTTTGAGCCTGGATTTTCCGAAACGTGTTAAAGCTGGTCAAAATTTTAAATTTGGTCTCAAAATATTACAATACGGCAATTTTAAGCGTGTGTTTTCTTAAAATTTCGCTTCGCATTGCCAGAATTGAAAATGAAGTACTGACACGTTTAAGTATCATTTTCTAAGATACCAAGCGGCTAGAAATATTTTCTGAAAACTAAATAATCCGAATTTGGACCGCTAGGACCCCCCTATGACATTTTTTTGTAATATTTTCTGTTTTCGAAGAGCCTTCAAGATCGATCTCAATCTATCGTGATCGATCTTCATTCGCGATCGATTGCGCTCGATCGATTGATCTCTAGCGCTCCACAAAGATCGATCGATCTTCTGCCAATTTTGAGCCGCTTCCTTTTTTTCGGAATAAGATTCTACTCTATTGTCTTGTATTTATGGCTTGATTAAATTTGCGAATTATTCCAGACACGAATCGAAGCCGAGATTTCCGCATTGGGTGCCCGACAAGACGACAGCGAGGAGCGTCGAAAGCGTCTCGTCGAGGAGAGCAACGCCTATCGCGAAAGGACCGACAAAGTAACGTTGTTGTTTTGCGCGTAGGCCGACATACCCGAATCAAGTTAATTAAACGCTCCGCTTGAGCGTTCATCGTTCACGCGCGCTGGTCCCTTTCCTTCCTTCCTCGTTCGCCTCGGTTCTCCCTCCCCCCCCCCCTTACAACATGCACACAACTCGGCTCGAGGGCTCCCCCATAAACATATATGGATTATTATCGCATGAGATTCGATGGTGGTCTCGTGCAGCTGTCACATTCGAGTACTAATCGAGTCCCGCATAACCTCATCTAATTGGTGGGCACCGTCTGCCGCAGTGTGCGGCGCGTATGGGCCGTGTTGATCCGAAACAAGCATGTATTGATCGCAGCATCTGTCGAATTGTCCTGAATAATTAGTTGGGCACATGTTTGAGGAAATGAAATCGGCTGCAATTAAAGGGAAATTGATCTTTTCCCCACACCAACTGATTGCCATTTATCCTCTCAAATCAAAAACAAAAATTCACATCGTATAATTGATGGTTTCGAAAGTTGTAATTGAATCCTGCTTGTTGAATGAGTAACAGGTGTTGAAAATGAAGCTGCAATCGAAATTTTACTTGGTTTCTTTCAAATTTGTAGATCGCAGAAAACAATTTGACCTCTCTGAACTTTTGTAATTTCCAAAAAAATCAAATTATTTAAATTATTAAATTTTAAATAATCAAAAAATTTCATTCAGACAACCGATCACGACATTTTGGAAATTTTTAAATTTGTATTTGCTTATTTGCACGGGTCTTGGTGCGAAGGGTATAATATGGAATCGCTCCATACACCAATTATACAAATAATATTCAAACCTAAATTAGTAGGATTTTGAATTTTGGAAATTTTTGACGTATCGCATTATTTTGCGAAATTCCCACAACGAAATAATTAGCAGCCATTTGTATATAAATATGATTTTATTGAAGTTTGGGCAATTTCTATTTTTTTTTCTACCCAATCATGTGTGAAATTGATAAGCGATTTTTTGAATGGGTCCCTAAACGCACCCCCCCCTCTCCTCTTCTTTCTCCATTTTCCCCATACGCTCCCTTTGGCGATTCGTAGATATTTCCGAAGTGCCTTGTTTGGGGTGGCGTGTGTGTGTGTGTGTGTGTGTGTGTTAGCATGAACGACGGGGACGAACGAAAATCGATATATTCGACGGGACGCCGCCGGGCGGAGTGAGCTCTCGTATTCGAAAAAGGGGCAGGAAAATAGGCGAGCCGGCGATGTGTTCGATCGATCTCGGAGGCGGAAAAGAAGTGAAAATAGGGGAGGCCCCTCACTCGGACGATGGCGATGGGAGGAGAACGACACATTCTTGAAAAACGACAAGCGGCCGCCGCCGCCGACGGCGATGATGATGATGATGATGATGATGGCGATGGCGAGAATGTGCAAGTCACTAGTCGATCGACAATGAATGATGCTAATCGCCATATATGGAGGGGGAGACGCATGTGCACCTATTATGATTTCTGTAGTGAATGAATGAGCAATTGGTGTTAATTATTGATGATGAAATTTGGCGAATGTGAATGCAATCAATCAGCCATCAATTTTAGGAATTTGAGAGTTTCGTGTTTTCTAATTAGGCTCGAGAAAAAATGCTGAAATTTTGAAATTTGAGCTCTTTAAATTTTTTATTGCCAAAAACGACGAAATTCAATTGGGGTTGGGTTTTAAAACAATTTTTTCTAATAAACAAATTGTGCCATTAATTAATTGGGCCTTGACATTTTGCGAGATCATGAATGTATTAATTTTCAGGAGACCCGCAAACCCGCCATCCCATTGATCAAAGCGTTCCAACAAGAGTTTGATGGATTAATTGCGCGGAGTCAAGCGGCCGAGTCGGCTCTCATCGATATATGCTCGCAAATCACGAATCTGCCAGGTGGGTCGACGGACTACTCGGCACGTTTTTTTCCCCTGACCAAAAAAAAACCCCCTCGCCGATTCCGTTGGCCATAAACACTCTCAAACTCTCGAAAGACATGCGAAATGAAGGGAGAAGAGCGCGCCGAGCGCGAACCAGAAAAAATCGATGACCGATGGCGAGACTGACTTGACTTGTTTTGTGAGAAGGGGGGCGCGTCGGGCCGCCTTGTTGCGCGCATACGCTTATACGAGGCATTGCATCGTGCTCCAAACAACGAACGACGAATTTATGGAATTGGTGACCATGAGGGATGAGGAGCGCGGCGGAAGGGCGACGAGTTGACACGGCGTCAACCGAGTCGTCCGCGACCGATCGAGCGCACGCATCGTCAATGTTCCGGAAAAGAACGTCAATTTTGAGTTGTGAATGACAGATCATGTCAAATTTGGCGGTGACACCCAATTCGGTGTAATGATAATGCCAGGATTCTTGCCAGCGCGCATATCATTTTTTTTTCAGCCTTCTCCAATTACTAGTTGTCACAAGCTCCGCCCATTTGCATGTCTGCCTCGATTTTCTTCTTCGTCTTCTTTTTGTGGTATTTTAATCAGCGTCATGCGATCTTTACTGAAATTGCTTTAATGCTCTCGAAATCCCAGAATAAAAGGGTTTAGTATAGTCGAATGCCCTTTTGATCTGTTTTTTCGAAGATTATGCAATTGTGATTTTTCAGTGGCCCCCCCCCCGGGTCTCGTATCGAGCAATTGCTGCTGATACCGTAATCATTTTTTTTATTGTGGAAGTTGTAGATTCCATATTTCGACTACAGTAATCGTTGATCAATTCTTGTTTCGATTGGGCGACGGAGAAATTGAACAACACGACAAAAAAAAATCTGTCTCGTTAAATATTGAAAACGTCGTGAATTTTGAACGACTTTTATGAAATGCTCATTCGTTTCTCATTCCTATCCTAATCTTCCGGCTGGTTTTTTGTTGCGGCGATTTTCGAGTCAACGTGACTATCTTGATTTTTCTCTGCCCCATTCCGACCGCCCCCCCCTTCCCCTTCCCGATTTTGGAATATCGCTGTCTGATCTGTTGGCATTTCGTTATGGCAACTCTAATCCGTTGATGATTTTGCAAATCCGCGATCCCAAGATTGTTTCTTTCCATCATTCGCATTAGCATCGGATCAGTTGGGGCGCTCGCGCGCGCGCCCTCAAGAGAATGACGACGACAGCGTTCGATGATATCCCCAAGAGCTTTCATTCAGGCTCCTTCAATTTATCTGTCCGTCCTTATATGTGATGTGCTGGGTGGGTGGCGGGGAAGCTGGTGCTTGAGCTCGCTCGTAAAATCGATACATATTGGAGCAGACGGGTGCTCGGCGCGCGCGCTCGACACAAACACACCACGCATTCACAGGCAGACGACGCATGCACGCAGTGCCAGCCAGATGCGCAAACGCTTCTTCTTCTTCTTCTTCTTCTTCTAGCTGACTTGCTTCTCATCCATCTATGGTTGGTGCATTGGCCACGCCCACTCGTCTATTTTTTCGTTGGCTGTGCACGCGCGGCCCTCTCCGCGGTCTTGCGCACTATTTCGGTGTTTTGCCTGACCACACATGGCTTGTCGTTGTCGTCGTCGTCGTCGTCGCCGCTAGCAGGAGGACTTGTATTCAATTCCGACTTCTCGGCGAGAGCCGCGTTCGATTGATCGCGCGTGCGCTCATCACTCGGCTCATATTTTGGTTTTTCAACTCGTTTCCATTTAATTGATTCCAATCATCAGTTTTTCATTGTTGTTATTGTAAACAGACTTTATTAGGTGTTTGGAATTTTTGCTCTTGAAGTTGATGGATGCAATTCGCCGGAAATGTTTGAAATGGGATTGGTTGACGTCATACGAAATCGGCTATCTAGTATTTCTAGTCTATCGGTTAGAGCATATTTCATCGATCATCTGCCGAATTCGCGGGTTTCCATTAATGCTCCTCTTATTATTCTTTTCGAACATTTGTTGATAATAATGGAATTTCTTTGAGAAACCGTTTGATACGTGTAATCCGATGTCCTTATTAGTTCATCGTTGTGAGATATTATTGAATATATAATAACAATTCATTTTTAATATAGATATGTTTATAATTAATGCGTTGACCCTTGCGATAAACAGCGTGTTTGTAGTTCTTGAAAGATTCGTTCAATGATTTTTGAGATGAATTGAATTTTTGCAGATCCGAAAAGCGTTCTGAAAGGCGCCGAAGCGTGGAAATCGGACGCTGAGAAGACGATCAAAGCGGTTGAAGAACGCGAACAACTTCGACGACAGCTTGAAGAAACGAGAAGTGAACTAGCCGAGCTGCAGAATCACGGTGGGAAAATTTTGATTGGTGTTTCGTCTTCTTTTAATTTTTTTGGGTCGTCCGAGTTTTATTATTTGATGCAAGCCGATTTGCATAATTCATTTCAGCGAGCATTTTGCGAATTGATTATGTCATGTTCTTTTTTTTTCTAGATGTTGAACTGCGCAAACTGAAATCGATAGCATTGAAACGTGAGACGGAACACGAGAAGCTCATCGAATCGGCGATCGACGAGGTTGAGCGGCGAACGCGCGACGAGTTCGAGAAGCAGCTCGAGGAGATGAATTTGAAAAACGAGAAAATGCGCATCGAGTCTGAAATCCTTGAGAAGAAGGTCAATGATCTTGAGGCGAGAAATCGCGACACGCAGAGGAAGCTTGATGTCGCCAAATTGGCGGTCAGTCAAAATGAGACATTTGAGAGCGAGCAGCTCTCGATAGCCGTCAAAGATCTTGCCGACGCAAATTTGAGAATTGTACGAGTTGATTCGATTGGTTTGATTATAATTCGAAACTGACATCAATTCCAGGTATGTCTTGAAGAGAAGCTTGCGGAGATGACCGCTGAGCTGAACAAATCAAACGAGCAGCACACGCATAATGGGATTGCCGATATTGCGGCTCTCGGCGGTTTGATGATCGAGAAAGATGAGCAGATTAGCCGATTGCAAGAGGAGAAGAAGGAGATGCAAAAGAGATATGATGAAGAGGTGGGCGCGACGCGTGCCGAATGTGAACATTTTTTTTTATGGTTTAGATCAAAAGATGGCGGGAGAAGGTGGTGAAAATCGAGAAAGAGCAAGCGCGACAGAAAACGATAATTGAGGAATTGAAGACGAGACTCGAATCGCAAGGCGACTATGATGCGATTAAAAAAGAATTGAGGTATTCAATTATTGGAATGTTTATTTTTGAGAGAAATGATGCCAAGATTATAAATTTATATTTTTTTGTCAGATTACTCCGCGAAATCGAATTCGGCACCGCCGACACGAATTCGGAGACGTCGGAGCACGTCGGCGAACCCGTTGAAACGCTCGACAAACTCCTTTCCGATAAGAATCGACGATTGCAAAATGAGAATGCGAGCCTTCGGGTGCTTAATGAGAATCTCAAAGGTTAGTCGAGATGAATGATTGAATGAGTGTGAGAAAGAGCGGTCTCGAGCTTGTGCATTGTCGTCGTCGTTGTTGTTGTCGCATGCGTATTATTACGGTTGTTGATTATCATTATTATTATTATTATTATTATTATTATTGATGTTGTTGTTGTTGTTTATTTATTTTGATTTCATTCATTTTTGCATCGTTCATGTTGTAAATATGCATTATTGGTTGTTGATATTGTGTCGTCGTATTCATATAATTTTCATTCTTCGCCGTTCCAATTCCTATTAACATTGTATAGGCGAGCCTGTCACCGTCACATTGGCTGAGGAGCCGGAAATCAAGGAATCAGCTTTGCCCAAGGTTTGTAGACAATTGATTGTGATCGTTTGAATCAAGATTCTTTAGGTGAAAGCCGCTCCTGTTAAGGAAGATGAGAAAAGCTTGGATCTTCTATCGCTTCTGAGGGTTTGTGAGATGATAGAGATTCCAATTATAGTCGTTTTTTAGAAGATCAAATCTACTACTACTACTACTACAACTCCTACTAGTCAAGATATTAATAAGACTGTGAAGACTCCGACCCATACCATCACCACATGCGCACTTCCTCCCCCTGTTGTTAGGGTACGTCCCTTCAAATGAGCCCATTTCATTTTTCAAGGCATTTTTAGAAGAATGTGATGGTTGCTGAAACGGATTCGGATGAGACTGATTTGAAATTGGCTTCGTCGAGCATCAACGTTGATCCGAGCGAAATTGTGGAATCGAAAAAGATCGCCAAAATGCAGGTATGAGAATATTGATTCTCCGATCAATATTAATCGCGAGATTTGCTTTTAGGCTCGAATTGCTGAAAATGTGCGCAATTTGGGATTGCGACCGTTGAATACGACGGAGATTGCGAAACAATGCAAACGACTCATGTTAGCTTATAACATTGGTCAGCGATTATTCGCGAAGCATGTGATGAATCAGGTAGTCAAGGTGTGTTCGCTTTTTCATTTCTTTTTGCTTGATGTGTTAGCCACCGATTTTCACGACGTTTTGGCTGAAAATATTCTATATTTTGCAGTCGCAAGGATCTCTTTCCGAATTGCTATCGAAACCGAGACATTGGAGCAAATTGACGGATAAAGGTCGCGAGGCGTTCCGACGAATCTATGGATGGCTTTCCGATGAAGTCGCCATCAATTTGCTTTGCTCATTGAGCCCGAGACGCAATTGGCCAGCGACTGAAACGGTGCCGCATCCATTACCCGAATCGATGTGGGAATCGAGCATCGGATTCCTTGAAGCGTCGCCGCCCGTCGAGGAGCTGAAGGAGAATCCATTGAAGGCGCAGAGCGCACGCGAGGATCAATATCGAAACGCGGAACGAGCTCGTCCGACCGTTGTTACGAATGGCGGTGTTCATCCGAATCGATCGAGTCGATGGAGACATGATGATATTCCGAAAGAGAAAATCATGAGCATTTTTCAAAACGAACTAGCCAAGCTTAAAGAGCAGGTACCCGAGAATGCGAAAACCATTTCATTCCGCGTGGTTCAGGAATCGAATATTGAGAAGACGGTTACCAAGAGCTCGGGATCTTCATCAAGCTCGCCTAGAAAATTCACTGGACCGACGGAATTTACGAATTTGAGCGCCGTGGATCGCGTAATGCGCCAGCGGATCAACACGGGATTGGTGCCGATCACCCAAGCGCAATTCGACGAATTCGCCCATATTGACACCGAGCAGCTTGTTCGACAAGTCAAAGAGTTTTTGATGGTCCATTCGATATCGCAACGCCAGTTTGGAGAATATGTTCTCGGATTGTCGCAAGGCTCGGTGTCGGATTTATTGGCGCGACCGAAATCGTGGAATCTGCTAACGCAAAAGGGACGAGAGCCGTTCATTCGAATGAAATTGTTCATGGATGAGGTGAACGATTGCGTCGATGACAAACAGCCGCAGGTGCGCGTTCTCAGCGATGATTCGGAATTGGCGATCGCATTGGCGTCGATTTTGAAAGGAGCGAACGGCGCGATTTCGCCTGAGAAGGAGCAAGTGGCGACCATTTTTGAGAATATTGAAGTCAAAAAGGAGCCGATATCCGAAATTGATATGGTAGGACAATTTCTGACCTATTATGATTTGTTTTAAATATGATTTCTGATTGTAGATCATGGAAATGGAAAGTGGAAGCAATTTGGAAGGGCTTGTCAAGTATGTTGATAATACTGGCGAAGAGATTCTGGACACCATTGAGCTTGTTAGAAGGGTTCGCAAGATTCTTGACGATAACGGTGTCTCCTATAGGGTGAGAATTTGAATTGCTCGAAGCCGTTTTCTGATAATCGCTGTTCTTCAGGTATTCGGTGATTTTTATCTAAAATGCTCGCCAAATTTGTGCGCCGAGCTACTGATCCGTACGAGACCTTACGAGCAACTCAAACCGTTTGAGCGATTAATCGCGATGAAGATGAAAATGTTTTTGACTGATCGTGATGCAATCCTATTGTTGATCGAGAAGGAGGCGGCGCGTGAAGGGACGAAAGATCGCCTCGACGCATTGTTCCGAGAGAATCGGCCGGTTAAACGCAAAGTCGAGCCGGAGCCGGTCGACGATGATTGGGAGCCGAATGCAAAGAAGCCAATCGTAAGTGGTTCGGATGGCGAAACGTTTAAAAATATGATGGTGTTTAGCAGCGTACCGTCATTTCCGATGTGCAAAAGGATATCCTGCGATTCGTTTTTGTGAATGAGCCGCACCCGGGACAGGATATTTGCGAAATGGTGAGAATCGCTCCAACAAAGACTCGATCATAACCGGAAATGAATTCAGCTTGCCAATCGTCTTGATATGAATGTTCGGACTGTGCAGAATTGGTTCCATAATCATCGAACTCGCACGAAAGCCCGCGAACGCGAAGGAAAGGTGTATTCCGATGCGATCCCTACTAATAATGCTGTGATCAGTCCAACATGGAGGAGTGAGCTTCAGACAATGCTCAATAACTTTAGACCTGGCGATGCTTCAAGCAGTATGATTTGATTGGTTTTTTTTTTTTCAATTTGGATTCAAAATTTCAGGTCAACGAGCTTCATTCTCTCGATCGCCTTCATCGACAGTATCGGGACCATTGGATCAGTCGGATATTGTTTCATCGATTATCTCGAATATCAAGAGAGACACCAAGGCGAAAATGGGTGTCATCTCGCAAGCGCCGCCGAAAACACTTGCTGACATCATCGCGGCGACGCCGAAATCGAAGCTCGCTATCAAAAAGCCGGCCACTAGCGGCCAATTGGACAAATTGGTGGCGAAAATGCGCCAAATGGCGGAATGCAAAGCGTCATCGGCCAATTCGGCATAATTGGGCCTCTCGAAATATTAACATATTGATATATATATATACATTTATTTTTTTAAATTATTTTATATTTGGTTTCCCTCCAAATTTATAACCTCCTTAACATTTCTTTCAATATTTGTCAATTTGATCTCGTCGAACGCTTTTTTTTCTCAATTCTGGTCTCGAAACGCATACTTATCTCATACTTTGTTCATTGTTCTGTTTCAACTCACCGGTTTCGCATAATTAATTCGATGCTTAATTAATTATCTAATCAACTGCAAATTTGCTATGTTTTATAAAATATAACTGCACGCTGGAAGTGTGAGAGTGAGAGAGATTAATTGAAAATCAACGAGGCTAATAAAAATGCTTATATAATTAACTAATAATGAATATGGAAATTATAATAAGAATTTATTTAATGCAGAGAAAATTTAAAAATATGAATTTGTTCCTTTCTTTTTTTAATGAAAAAAACCATTTCTCTGCATTGGGCCTTAATATAGTGGTCCGTTTGGGCGGCGTAGAATTTGGTCCGTTAAAAAACAAATCGAAAATTAATTTTTAATGGAAAATTAATCATTAATTTTTCTTTTAAAATCATGATTTGTTTCAGCTTCATTGGAGGAAAACCAAAGAGAAGTTGTCGGATTGCGTTCGCGATGCGATATTGCTGAAAATCTTGTCGCGAAGCTCGAAAACGATCTCGCGAGCGCTATTGGATGTAATACGGTATCGTTTTTTTTTAATTTGTTCCAATTTTTGTGATTACTGTCGTTGCACAGAATACGGAGACTCTCGGAACGCTCGACATGCTTCGTTCGTCCGACACCGCGCCATCGGCGTCGCTGGTGCCGATTCTCACCTCGCAACGAAATCGGCTGCATGAGAAGGTGAGCCAGTTGGAGGAGATGCTTGCCGCTGAGAAGACACGCCAAATGGCGGTTCAGTCGGAAATTGAAAAGGTCCGAAGCGACAATGTCAAATTGAATGAGAAGATTCGATTCCTTCAAGGAGGTTTCTCGTCTCAATTTTGTGCATAATTGTCGAAAATGCCGATTTTAGGAAGCTACAATCCAAGCCAATCCGTAGTTATCGAAGATGATGCTTATGAGACGCCGTTCCGCAAGTTTTCATCGCAGGAGAGGAATAATCGCCTACAATTGCATGATCGAGCTACACTGCAATTGGTAAACGTCAAAAAATAATTAAAATCAATTGTTATTATGATCTCAGGGCCGCGCGATTTTGGCGTCATCGAAATCTCGAATGATCTTCTTCTTCTACTTGCTTTTCCTTCATTTACTAATAATGATGGTAAGAATCGCTTAAAATTGATTCAAATCCATTTGTCCTTTTCAGGTTCTTTACAAATTCGCGTTCGATCAAGCGTCGCTTCGCGATCAGGAAACCGAATGCGAATACAAATTCCATCAGCATATGGCCGAAAGTCATAAGGGAAATTAATAACGGCGAACATTGTATTTTTATTAATTTACTACTACTGGGTATGGGTTCAAACGGATTAACGCTTTTAACATTCCTCTCCTCAATAAATAAACCGCATGACTTTATTCTATACAGCGTACTGCGATTTTTGATTTAGATCTTGCGCAACCATTTCTTTTGAACCGTTCTCTTTAGGTGCCATTTCGTTGGAAACCATCTCTTTGGACGGGGGTTCCTTGGCTCCATTCTCCTTCGAAACATTTTCATTGGCTCCATTCTCCTTCGAAACATTGTCTTTGGCTCCATTCTCCTTCGAAACATTGTCCTTGGATTCATTCTCCTGCGAAATAGATGCCTTGGATTCTTTGGATAGTGCGACTCGAGTGCCAGATCCTTTCACTGCAGTGCCAGATCTTTTCACTGGAGTGCCAGATCCTTTCACTGGAGTTCCAGATCCTTTCAGTGGAGTACCAGATCCTTTCACTGGAGTACCAGATCCTGAACCTGGAGTACCAGATCCTGAACCTGGAGTACCAGACCCTGTACCTGGAGGAACGCCACCTTCCTCCAAAATCATCTCAATCTCCGACAACGCGTCATACCTGATGAAGAAGGCTGAGTGTGTAAATTCAAGAGACGACTACAAACCAAACGGAGTAGAACGTTCTGCGCATCACGAACAAAATCAATCCGCCGAAAACGACGACGAGCAATGTGCCGATCACAAATCCAAGTGGAATTGCAACCAGAAGCCAATCAGTTGTTGTTTCTGAAACACAATTTCGTAAATGTTGTTAGAATTCATTATGAACCGCTAAACCTTCCGCTTCCAACGCCGCCTCTTCGATTTTCTTTAGCCCATCCGGTGAGCCGGCAAAATCCGCAACATGATCACTAACGATGGCGGCAACGACGGGAGCCATCGTTGTGGTCGTCGTTTCGGTCGTCATATCGGTCGTAGTCGTTTCGATTGTCGTCGACTCAGTGGTCGTTGGGCCCTCCGTTGATGATAGATTTTCATCGTAGATCTTAGTTTGCACTAAATAGCCGGATTTGATGTCCTGAAGCAGATGATGAAATTCGACAACTTCTTGAATCAAACCTTTGAGACGATGCCAAACTTTGAAGCGAGCGCGTCATCGGCGGAGAACTTGACGAGCAACTTATGAGCTAGTGTGAAGTTGAATTCGCCCGTTTCGCTTTCCGTATATTCGTAGAAGGCATTCTCAATGACGAATCGATATTTCGTGCCTGGATTCGACGGATCCGTGTCAATAAGCGCAAATGTGAACGGAACTGCGTGCGCCATATCGTCATAGCTCTCCATTTCGTAATCTTCCGGACGCATTCCGAATCGGAGGGTCGCCGGCCGCACGCGATACGGCCAAATGATGAGATTCGATCGCGGGACGATCGTGACGGCGTTGTACAGATCGCATGTCGGCAATAATTCGGGATTGTCAAAATTTTCCGGCGAGAAGCAAATCGTGATATACGTGAACACTTTTGGGTTCATGTAGAAGTGTATCGCGTAGGGACCATCATTCATCACAAACTTGAATATCTGCCCCGAATCGCACGTGCTTCCGCATTCCGTCATTGTGATTTTTCGATTAAAATTTATCTGGTTGTCGAAGACATGCCAATTAAAAGACAAACTATCGCGTTTGGGACGCACCTGGAATTAAGCATTCAAATCAGCTTTATAAATATTTGTCTTTACCACACGACCAGAGTTCAACTGTGGAATTCGTAAAAGACCATTTTCCATAGGATATCTGATAATATATTCATCATCATCCAACATCTTGAAATTAACAGGCTCGTTGAAAAAGATGAACTGAAAAAATAAATGAGAAAAGCGTCTTTCAGAAACCCCCAAACTCATTACCGTTCCATTCAAATCTTCTGTGGTAATTTCGAAACCCTGATTATCGTTACAGATTGTATCATTCTCGTAATATATGGTTTCATTTATCTGAAACAATTATTTCAAAAAGAAAAATGAAAAGACGATAAAAAATTACCGTGCTGCACGTGAAAACGTTGAATAGTGGCGAAACCTTTCTGGGCGTCTGGGCTTTCAAATATCTTGAAGGAACTGGCGGGCATGGTACAGTGATATCAATCGATTCATCGGGCTGAAAATAGGAAAAACACTAAAATTTTCAAATTTGGCAACCAATTTTTTGAAAATGTGTGCACGTTTACGTACGGTGCGCCACAGACACATTTTTCTATTTCGCTTGTCAAACTCATCGCGTGAAACAGTGCTTTTGTTTTTTTCATTTTTGGTATTGTTGAGAAATGACAAATGTATACAGGTGTCGTGGGATCCTGCGTTTTGTACGCAATGCGATGAGCCAGTTACCGTAATCCACCAAGCGATTTACGGGGACTTTAAAATATCATATTAATATTTTTTAAATTTCTGCTATATTTACCAAAAAATATTGTTTAAGATTACATATTCTGCTAAATAAATAATAAAAATCGGTTTCTACAGATTTTAAATAAAAAGTTTCGAAACAAAACACAAAAATTAAGCGAAAAAAGTGAAAATACAAAAATTAAAATGTCCACGTAAATTGCTGCGAGGATTACGGTAACTGTTTTATCGCATTGCGTACAAAACGCAGGATTCCACGACATTTGTCATTTCTCAAGAGTAGTCGTTTTTCCCAAAAAAAAACTGCTACCCGAATTTTTTCGCTACAAGACCTTGTACAGAATTTCGAAAAAACTGCAAAGCGTCAGGCGAAATAAAAAAAAATACGGTAGACGTTATTTTAGGAGGGAGAGAGATTATAGATCCGCCTGGAAAACAGCCAATAATTTTTTGAAATTTCTATGACTCGTTTGACGCCGTCAATCAATTTTGTAGTTTCTCGCAACTGTCAATTGTACGTACATAAGCGGGATTCGTCGACTTCACCTTCTGAGCGCCGCATTTGTGCCATTCATCGGGCAGGGGATAAAACGATTTCGGCTTAATTTCTGGATAGATGCCAGTGCTGAGCGGAAATTCAAACTGCATTTTGTATACCATGGTAGCCCGACTGAAAACCCAAAAAAATGGTTGGCTGAGCTATTAGCTAAGAGGATTGTTCGCTTCAAGACCAAAACCCCTGAGGTTTCAAGAGATCGAGAGAGAGAGAGAGAGAAAGAGGAGCGTGTCTTGAAGTGAATCATTTCTTTCTTACGTTCGCCTGAACACCCTACGATCTTCCGGTTCACCACAAATCAACGGTATCGCAATGAGACCTAAAAACACGAGGGTCGCTCTAAATTCATTACCGAAATATCATTACCGAACAAATTTTGAATGCTCAATTTTTTATGCATTAATATTCCATTCGATTCTCGTCCGAATCGATGTGATAAATGGAATGCGGTCAGCCATCGGCGACCACGTTTCGAAACACATATTTAAATTCCGTATAATTTATATCATATATCTGGCAATGAAACGAAAATCAAGTGAACGTCATGCTTCTTTCAGAATCATCGAGCCGAGCAATGAGCATTTTCAGGTAGTGACGGGGCAAAATTTTTGCAAAAAAAAATAACCATGTAACAAATTATCATCAATTATATATGTGGTTGTTGGCTGATTTGAACCGGGTCCAAGGCAAATTTAAAAAAAAGAAGGAAAGTGAAAATATTGAAATGATTATCATAATAAATATATGGAAAGATAGCACCTCGAATATGGAAATGACGAATCAAACTGAAAAGTATTGAGCGGGGGTGGGAATGGTAGATCAGATTTTGGTCTCCGGTCCATTTGAATATTCGGATTGAAACGTGTCGCGTAGGCGAATCACCTGCCGGCACATGATCGTCCCATAGATTTTGTTGTACCATTGATATGTGCGACCCCTGGAATGAATATCGCATTTTTGAGATGGTCCCCACACAACGAGCTTATTACTTCAAGTCGACGCGCGCGATATAAGTGACACGCGATTGGCCGCCGCTTCTCGGCTCGATGAGGAATCGCTGATCGAAAACCGTCGCCGGAATGCCGCCGAGCATTTGCGGCTCGCCGCACTGCACACTGCGTTCGGCGATCGCGCACGCGCCGCGAATCTCGGCGAGACCCGACGAGTGGAATCGAACGAGATGGCAGTCCTTCGTCGGATGCCCGATCGTCTCATTGATCACGTATTGATGGATGTCGGTGTCGGCGGGATTCACGCGCTCCACGTGACGCCAATTGATGATCGACGCGTCCCACACGTGGCGCTCTTTCATTATTCGGCTCATCACCACCTTCGGCGGGGCTTCGACGTCGCTCCACACTCGGAATGTCTTCAGCGGGTGTGAGTCGTTGGCCTTCTTTGACGAGATCTCGATGCCACAGAATGTTCCCTCCGGATTCCATGACTTCCAGCGATCAGAATGATCCTGAAATTGAATTTAGGAACTTTTGAATCAACTTCGCCTCCCCCTTCTCTACCTTGATCATATCCATAACGCGATCCACTAGGAACGATCTCGGACCCTTCAATCCAAGATCCTTCAACGGCGGAATGTCGTCCTCGAACTCGGGCCTCTCATCGACACAATCGGGCACCATGAATACGGTCTTCGCATACTCGATGAGCATTGTGAGGCAATTCTGACAGGCGCGCGTCTCCTTCATCTCCTTCTCCGTCGGCATTCCGGCGGCGCCGATCGTCTTGTGGCGACGGCTTCCGCTCGAGATCTTGTCGAGACGCGAAGCGCTCAATTGGAATAGCGATGGTGTGAAGCAGACAGCGAGATTCTGAGCGGTCATCTGGAATCGTTACGATGAATTCGGATGAGGGGATGGAAGAAATGAAATTACATTATTGACTTGCGATTTTCGGGCGACATCCTTGAGGAACATCATCAGCGTCTGAAGGGCTTCGCGATTCTCGTCGGGAAGGAGTAGAAGGGCGAATTTGACGGCGGTGAGACGCTCGACTTCCGGCACGTACGTGAAAATGTTGGCGAACACTTCCGACATTCGCACCGTCATCAATGGCTCGGGCAACTCGCGAAGGTACTGCTTCAACAGATCGGCGGCGTCGTGCACCTGTCCCGACTCGAGGCTGTTCGCGCCGACGAACACGTCGCCGGATGGCGACGTTTCGCGATCGGCGATCGCGCGCAATTCGGCGATTCGCGATTTGACGCCGTTCTTGCGGAATATCCCCAACGTGTCGGGAGCCATCTGGCGAAGGAATCGCAAGATCTATGAAGAGGCGTTGTCGTGTTTCGATGGAATTGATATTGAATTACCTCGAGAATCGGTCGTGGAAGGCAGAAGCCGCTGCGTTTATAGATCACGTCGAGTCCGACGCCGAACACACCCGTCTCTTCGCCATCTGAAGAATAATAAACAAATGTCAACGGTCCATTGGATTGATGATTGATCCATAAACTGATCCACCAAGAACTCACCTTTAGCAAGTTTTACATCGCTAATCTTCATCTTCCTGATCAGCTTCTGAACACTCCAATTGTTCGGCTTAGCCGCAGCCGCCGTCTCGTCCATTTCGATTCCGCCGATGCACATTTTCGACATCGGCGTTCCCATCGACTTCTCAAGACACGCGGTGATGCGAAGATAGGCCAATTTGCGGATTCGCGCCTAAGGTGGATTAGGGATGGTTGATCGGATTGATTCGGATCGCTCACCATTTCAATGATGTTCAACGAGTCCATTGATCTCTGCAATTCGATGTCGTCGAAGCACGTCTCATCGGTGCACGTGCTCGACGTCAACGAGTGGTCCATCAGCGCGACACCGCCGCGCTTCTTGAAGATCTTCCACGAGCCGCTCGACGACAACGACGTCGTGTTCGTCGATATCATCGAACTCGAAATGAGCGTCGACGCGTTGGGCAATATCGAGTGCGCGATTCGCTGATTCGACGGCCCGCTGGGACTTCGCGATAGGCTCGAGCCGACGCCCGAATCGCGGCGACGATGCAACGGATTCTCCTCGTCGGTGTGCTCGACGCTCGACTCGCTCTTTTGCGTGTCGACTTTGAGGTGCGACGAGTGCGACGTCGACGGCGAATCCTCGATGCGTCGATGGACGACCTCCGGCGACATGTCTAGAATAGGCACAAAGTAAAAACGAGAACGATGGGGGATTCGAGGAAATCCAATGTTAGTGATGGAAATCAAACCATGCATATAATATCCGTCGGGTTGAATGACGAGGTTGTGAGCTCGATCAGTTCGCTGCAGAAGGCCTCGATAGTCCCTCTCTGGCACCGGCGGACCATCATATCTCGCAAGTCCGTTGTTTCGTTGAATCGATCTAGATGGATGGGCAAAAAAATGACGTTATTCCATTGAAGGAAAAGAAAAAAGAAACCACGATATACCTATTAAGGGAGCTAGTATTAGACGTTGGGTAGAGGTAAGCGTCAAACGGGGTTCGTTCTCGTCGCGGCGGCACCATCGGCGGCGCATAGTCATAATTGGTGCGTCGCGGCGGCGGCATCGAGAAGTCGCGTCGTCGCGGCGTCGCACCGATGAGACTCGACGACGTGAGGCCGGAAGAAGCGGTGGTGCCGAACGAGTCGTCGGACGAGTCGGGCGACGACGGCGTCGACAGCACGATGCCCTGACGACGCGCCGATTTGCTTCGCGGCGCGACACTTCCGCCGAACGCGGCGGCCGCACCATGACGATCCGAATAGAGAGCGCGTCCGCGATCTGGATTATGCATATGGTTGGTGGTTAAGCACGGCAGAGCAAAGGCAAGATGGTACATGGGCAACGGAAGGCAAATTACCTGGCAGATGATTCGGCCGCGCCGTGCTCATCATTCGCATCGAGTCGGCCGATCCGGTCTCATACGAGACAAGCACCGGATCGCTGATGATCATGTTGTGAATGTTGGGATTCGGCTCGGCACGCTGTCGCGATTCTTTGCGTCGGCGACTCGTCGAGCGCAAATCCATTTTTTTCATGATGGCGCGCGCGCGTTCGCGTATCCGCTCGCTTTGCGATCGCTGAAGTTTGTTGGCGTTGGCGTTGGCGACGGCCGATGATGGCGGTGCGTCGAGAGTGGTGTGACCGTTGGTGATTGGCGCACGCGACGGCGCCTCGTACCAATCGGTTCGAGACACTTGACGGTCGGTTTGTCTGCAAAAAAACAATTGCGGCGTTCGTTTTCAGAAGAGCAATGCTCCTTTAAATTTTATTTTGAAAAAACAACGAGCACCGTGGAGTAATTGTGGACCATCGCACTTTAAAATTTGCGCAGTGCTATCAAGCTCAAGCTCGTTGGTTTTCTTGCGACTGGAAACATGAGGAAGGCTGAATCTGATAGGGTCATCCCCTCCTATATATTGGACCTTGTTATTCGGTGAAAGTCATGAAAAGCGAAAATTGGCTAATTGGCGATTCGAAACTGGTCGGTCGCTAAATCAAAACCAAACCAAAACCACACAACAAATAATCGAATAAAACACACACACACAAACTGACACATCGAATAGATAGATTGTGATAAAATGATGAAGAAGGCAAAATCTGGGGGGAAATGATAGCGGTCATGTACAGTCAAGTATGGAATTCACCGAGAGGTGAGGTCATCTCGCTTTTCATTTCTTCGACGTCAAACATTTTTCTTCTTCTTTTTTTTTCCTTGGGTTGCGATAATCGACCGGGGGCGAAAGAAATGTGTGCCTTTTGGTCGCGAGAAAAAAAAACAACAACAACACCAATTTTCACGGCACCCGCAAAAATTATTGCCAATTTCGGTTCAGCGATGTTCAACGCCCAAATTTTTCTTCTACACACACGGGTGGGGATGATAATAAATATCATCTGCGGACATGAATTCAGACAACGATTTCATGTCCGCAGATGCGATTGCCTATCTATCATCGCGCGGCGAACTCACTTCTCCATGTATGGCTGCCAATTGGGTTTGGTGGAGACGAGGCGACTGTGCGCGCCGCCGGCGTAAATCGGCTCGTTCGGCGGCACACGGCTCCACGTTTGCGAATGTCGCTGATATTGCCAATTTCCAGCGAGGGCCACCTTTAAAATCGAATTATCAAAATTGGAGAAGGGGGGGTCTGGGGGTGATGAATAGAAATGAAGAACAAGCCACCCAATTCCTCTCCTTCCGACACTCCATCAAATTTGACATATAGCTAATTAAGTGGCCTCGTTCAACAATTTATCTGTTGCTGATGGGAAACTGTCATCAAGTTTTTTTTTGTCCAGCGCCCCCACCCTTATTGGTCGAAATTTTAAACGAACATGCCAGTTTCAATTAGTCGAATTGGTCATTTCAATCGAATTTATGCCTTTTTTTTGCAAAATTCTCGTCTCAAAAAAAAAATTGAATGCGTTCAACTCACATTATCGTCCTCGTCGTAACCAGCGTACAAATAATCGTTATTCTGCAAAAAAATGGTACGGTTATTCGATGGTCCGCAAACACCGAGACGCAAGTTTGCGTCTACAATATTTCATTGGCGCATTTTTAAAAGTAGAGAAAACAATCTTCTACGGACAAAAGAAACGTGGGAAAAACGTCCGCAGCAACAAAAATTTGAATTTCGATTTCAAGCGCCACATTGTGAACTCACCAATCTTCGCCTCATCACGACGTTGTCAACTTTCATAATTGCGCACCGATTCAGCGTGTCGATTCGGCGGAAAAGCGCGTGAAGCGAGTCGGTGCCGAGAAAGCCGTGATCGCGTTCGACGCTCGACGTCTCGATTGGAAATTTGCCGTCTGAAATGTAAATGAGCGAAATAATTTCGGCGCACGGGAAAAAAAATGTCACAAAAATTCGGTGTTCTCGAAATCTCGTTCGTTCGGTTGTGTTTGCACAAACGCACGCGAGTTCCGCTAGCACTTGAGCCCACCGGCACTAATTTATTTGTTTTATGTCAATTATTTTTTTTTTTTAACAAAAAATGCTCAACACGTGATTTTGATAATTTGGTGGGCATGCTGATGCACAGGACACACATCAACGCCAATCGATGGGGGCCCTGTCGAGGCCCCGGTGGCGCAGGCGGTAAGCATTCCGCTTGTGCCGCGTTTTGCATGGCGGGTTCGAAACCGCATAACAACAAAAAATGAAAATTGCGAAAACGCTGAAAATCGCATTCGCTGTCGGATAATTTCAAACGCGCAAGAAGAAGACGAAGAGAGGGGGAAAAAAACGAGAAGCCATTCACATAATTTTTTTCGTCATTCACTCATTTCCTTTCGCCCACCCACAGGTGAAAGCGCCCGCCCGCCCGCCCGCCCGTCGGCCCGATCGCTCGTTTCTATCCAAATTAGGCGCCCATCGCGGGAGACGACGGTGTGGAGACGACATATCCGTCGTCATCTATTTTTTCGCCATCTCTTTCTCATTTTTCGTGTTCATGACGCGCGCGCGCGCGCCCCGCACGGTGTAAAATTATATGTATGCATACAAATTTATACAAAAATGTTTGGGTGTGGCCGGTAGGTCGCAAAATTTGTGTGTTGCGAATTGATATAATCCCATTTAGATGAGGGGTTCGACTGATGAACTCGGCGAGTTTTCGGTTTTCTGAAATTTCGCGTCGGAAAAATGAAATCCTCGTGTTTGAATTTAGTTAGAAAATTTGGGATTTGAAAAAAAATGTTTTCAAAATTTCCAAAATTGGAAATTTTTGCCAGAATCTTGAAATCAAAAAAAAATTTTTTTGCCAAAATCTTGAAATCCAAAAAAATGCGCTCAAAATTCCAAAAAAAGAAAACCTCAATATTCATCAAGTTGCGATGGCAAAATTTGCATTGGTAGATCAAAAATAGATAATGGGTCATAAGGTGTGACGAAACGCTATGATAGCGATCTCAAGAATCGCAAAAGGGGCAGAAGTGGAAGAAGAAAAAAAATGGTTGAAAGTGTCACTCATCTTCATGGCCGATCCAAATTGCTGATTAAGTTTTCTCTCGGTTTTGTGAAAAAAAAAATATTGAGCAAATTCGAAAAAACTGCCTTTAATTTGACATCCTCTGCCTATAAAGTTACCCATTTTTTAAATTATACAAATATGGAATGAGGAGGGCAAATTTGTTGAATAAAAAAAAGCAAAAAATATTTCATTGGAAACATCTGCGGACATTTGCCACACCGCGAATTGTCCGCAGCACACCAACTACATATAAATTCGCGCCAACGACATTTCATTTTTCTAAGATGTTATTTAAGAATGTGCGCGTGGCCAAAAAAAAAGGGACGCAATTAGTCGTGACGAGACCCTCCCAAACACGGTTGAAGGTCGTCGAGACAGGCGACAAAAAAAAATATAAATATATATGGAAAATCGGCGGAAACGCGTCGCACTAAAATGGATTACCTTCAAACTGTTTGACGTACTGCGGAAATCCGGCCTGTTTGAGCCATTCGCACGCTTCTTCTGCGTCGCGTTCTGCAAAAAAAACAATCAATCGAGAATTGAAAAAATTGTCCGCAGATCATATATTATAAATGGGTTTCCCCGCTTTCAAAAATATGCCAAGACTTCAAATTTCGCGTTTTCGCGTCGAGACCCGCTAGAATATAATTTGTCGCTGTAAGACCCGACTACTGTAATCGATGATTCATGTTCTAACACGTTTTCAGAATCGTTTCGCTTGAAGACCCAACATTGGGGGTACTGTAGCAATGGTTCAACTGTGCCTCACTAATCTTCAACTAACTTTGGCCGATGTTCAATAGTGAACAATTGCAATCAGAAAATGTCGCGTAAGGTCTCGCAACGAATGGCCTCGTGTGTACTCCACACGGACAATTTCAGCGGAGCGCGATTTCGACAAAAATCGAATATTCAAATCTCGACAATTTGACTAAAACGAGAAGTTCAAATCAATTGGACGATTCGGATGAGGGGCCGATTGAGGAAATTGGGGGCAGACGAGGCCATAAAACGACATCCACCATCACCAAATTTGGTGGAATTTCGATTTGGTTGGGTTGGGTGTCACATGATAATGCTGCTGCGGACACGAAACCGGGACGGCAAAAAAAAAGCAAACTACTCAAATGTGGGCGTTTTTTGTGGCGTCGCCGCTTCGATGAAAATTGATGGAAATAATTATAATAATAATCGATGGGTTGAGGCGAATAGTCATAATTTGAATTGAGCGCGAAATCGTAGAATATCGATGGTCGCATATTTGAGACACGAAGCCAAGACAGGCGATCAGCCAAAAAAAGACACCAAAAGCTTGATGATGTCGATCCGCCGACTCCGCCCACTTTTTTCGGCGGATCCCCCCAATGATAAATGACCGTATGCCTATATTAGCACACACTTGTTCGCTTCAATTGACACCTTTCTAATGATCGCCGCTGATTTATGAGTTGATAATCGGCGTGTCGGTTTTTTTTGGAGAGGGGAAGGTGTAATATTGCGATATCTTCACGACACAAAAAGTTCTAACCAAAAACAAATTGCAAGCTATTCATAATTTGGGATGGTCTCGAGGCGACGAATCGCTTCGGTGTACTCCGCGTGGACAACTATGATCGAGACGAGCGCGTTATTCTCAGAAGACATCAAGTGTCTTACCCTTGGGTTACGGTAGCACTGATTAAAGTGTGAAGCTCAACAGCAAATGGCGTGAACCCGTCTGCGGACATTTTCCGGGTGCCGTCCAGCAATCGTTTGATTGTTGTGGGGGGGACCCCCCTGAATGGGACCAAATGACAAAACAGTGAGCTGTGAGTTTCCATCGGCGGACAAATGGCTTATCAATTGCCATCTTTGCTCGCCGCCGATGAGTCCAAAGTCCACACTCGTCCTACCGTAATCGGATTCCGTTTTTTACAACAAGAAAAACGAACAACTGTGATAGTGTCCATGATTTACGATGTGTTGTAACACGAAAATGGCAACATTCTCAAACAACACCAAATCAGTCGTTTTTTGTTTTCTAGGCCCCCCCCTCTTGCTGGTGATGGTTTTCGTGTCAAGAAACTCGTTTTCTCATCGCCTCTTCTTTTTTTTTGTTGGCTTCTTCAAATCTGTGAATGTTGCGTTTGTTTGACATCCTAATACTAATTGCAAGCCATTCGGTCTTGAAGCGAAAAAATTTTTTTTTTCTCCGCGGGTCCTACAGCGATTCGATTCTCGTTGGATTACGGTAATTGGGTGCCAAGAGAAAGAGAAATCAAAAACAACAACAAAACATTGAGAGAATCACAAGAAATCGAGGCGCACAAAATATAATTTGTTGGCGCTCGCATTCTCGAAATCGCCTTTTCCGCTTGCGTCGCGTCGGGACCCGATTACCGTAATCCGAACCGCAAACAATTGCCCGCCTCCCAATTTCTGGCTTCTGTCAACAGAATTGAAGGCCAAAAAAAACAAGACGAAATTTCAAGATTCGAGGCCTCACCTGCTAATTGAAGGGCAAACGAGCTTCTCGGCGCATTGTGGTTGATCGGCTTAGGCTTCTCATCGGCGTTCGTCGTCGTCGTCGTCGTTGCGGGACCCGCGTGACTGTGCGTCGGATTTCGCGGCAACACCAACGGCGAGAATTGGCCGGTCGATGTTACTGGAATTCAAATTGATCGGGTTACTGTAGCACTAGTTGAAATGTGTCGAGACCCACATCGGCAATTTGCGCGAAAATCAAAAAAATAAAAAACCGAATTTTCATGGTCTCCCAAAAAATTATTCAATCGACATTGATTTTTGTTTCGCCGATTTTTTTTTGATATCAAATTGCCGAAAATCAAAATTTCGGCAATTCCATTGCCGGACAGTCCGGGTTCAAATGTGTCGAGACCCCACGTCGAAATTTCGCCGAAGAAAAAAAAAGAATCGATGTCCATTGAATAATTTTGGGATACCGTGAAAATTTCAGAAAATCTAATAGCCGAAATTTTTCTTTTCGAGACCCCCCCCCCTCCCACCCCCAAAAAGCAATGCTCCTTTAAATCGAGACGAAAAAATTGGTTTTTGAGTTTTCTGCCAAAAGAAACTCACCGTGCCGTTTTCGGTCCCATGGCATATTATCGTAAACGCTGCTGATCTCGCCGGACCTTCGGAATTCTGTAATACGACAAAAATCGTATAGAGAGAGAGAGAGAGAGAGAGAGAGAGAGGCGAAAATACAACAACAACAACAACAAATATATATTTGATATGGAATCGATTTTAAAAAGTGGAAGAAGCTGGAGGCGACGAAGAAACATACACACACCGACAACAACAACAACATCATGATGACGCATCCAGGCGTTACGAAATTCATCTCGGTTCGGGTCTCGACGCGAAAAAAAACAACACTCACTATTCGGCAGCGAATCGTAGGTTTTCGCGTTGATTCGCGGCGGTAGCGGCGAGCGTTTCAGCAGCTTCTGCTCTTGCATCTCTTTGTGCAATTGCACCGCCGATGGCTCGCCGTACTCCAATAGAAGCGAGAGGCCTTCGTCGATTTCTTCGAGCATTCTGCAAAATCGCGTTTTGATTTTCTGACTCTTTTGGCAATCGCCGCCCCGCTCCCCCCCCCACCCAAATGATGTCCGCAGCAGGCAGGTAAATTTATTACAATCCACTAGAAACACTCAATTGTTTTCTTTATGGCGTTGCTTAAAATGGAGGTCTTTTTGCAGTCATTGTCATATACGACGTTCGGACGTGAAACTGCGCCCCCTCCGACGTCGAGCGAGAGCAGTTTTACATTCGAACTTGAGCAAATCGTTTGCACTGAGATATAATTAATGTATCACCAATTTAAAAATTATGCAAAAAAAGGTTTTCAGAGAGCGGGACCGAGTCCCCAACCCCTCTCTTAACAACCTAACCGACACACCACTGATCTACCACAACAGCTTGCCGAAACTGGATGTAAGCGCGATATAAGACATCCCACTATTTCATTTCGAGTTTCCGCACATTTGTATGCAAAATTGACGTGGGGAGGGGCTAAAACTTTGAAGGTCCATATCTCGATAACTAGAAGTTTGCGCAAGTAGGGACCTAGTTCATTCGATTGGAAATTTTCTAACGAATCTGCACGCAAATAATTAAAAAAAATTAAGACGGACTGCAAAAAGACCTGACTTGTTAGAATATCGCGTCTCATTCTGCACCTTTAATTTCATTTCTCGACTCGCAATACGTTTTTTTTTTTTTAATTTTGATTTTCCGCATTCACCAACCTCTCATTTTTGCACTTCTCTTCGGTGCTCATCGCGATGAGCGCCACCTCGCGATCGGCCTCGTCCGACGACGAGCTCGCCGGCGTATGACGGCTGACGACGAGCTGCTGTTGATGAGGCGTCGCGCTGATCGGCGTGCGAATGTCGCGCAACACGCCCTCCGTCGGCTCGTTGATCCAATCGAACGACGAGCTGCGTGAGGCGGCGCCGAATGCCGTCGTTTGTGTGCCAATGTCCTGAAGAGATCGCCGTCAACATCTGGACTCCGTGTCCCACCCCATCCCATTAGTCGGAATAGCTCAACATAAAAAAAAACAGAACAAGAATCGAACCTGAGCGACGACGCTGACAACATCGATGTCCGTCGGCCGGTCGGGCGCGCTATAGCGAGAGTCCTCGATTGTCCGCAGCAGTTTCGAGATAACTCGATTCACACTTGGCTTGCGATCGCTTGGAAGTGTCCGTGTCGATTCCTCGCCGCGCATTCGGCATTCGCTCTGAAGACCACAAAAAATGTGATTTGAATTTTCCAAAAAAAAACGGCCATGCGCCTTTAATCAATTCATTTTGAGCTGATGATGATGTCTCGAAATCTCTATCACTAGTAGAGTTGGGTGGGAAACCGGTTCATTTTTTCTCACACAATATTCGTGGGAACCCCATCCCAAAAAAAATAAAATGATCGAACGTACACACGGCGGCAATTCGACAGCCGACACATAATTGGGCATTTGAGAGCCCCCCAATGATTTGATCTGAAAATGACGACTGAAATCGAATGACGACAAAAAAATGGCAATGTTTGAGAAAGAGAAAAAAATGGGCGAATGACAAAAGAGGGGGTCGACGACGCGTGTGTTTACGGTCATCTCTCCAATTAACGATGTTGATGACCCGTTTTTGGACAAGCGCCAGATGAGAGGAGGAAGGCGGACAGAAATGATTCTGATGCGGACTTCGAGACAAAATATTTGGAATTGCAAAGAAACACAAAATTCGAATTGCCTCAGGGACCAACAATCCGAATTTTCATTGAATTTCGAATTTTGGAATGGCAACTCACGCGCGGACTAGAAAATATGGCCTCAAAAATAAAGTTCGGCCACGGCCACACTTGATGAATTAGTTAATTTAATAGAGTAAAACTTAATGAATCGGTTTATATTTTTTTGAAAAACCAAATAAAAGTCATATCTTTGTGAATGAAAGAAGAAAAAAATGATAAAGCAAATTCATAATTTAAAAAAAATTACGAATCTCAAAATTTGCTAGCATGAAGATCTGCCCACTTGATCAATTTGAATTCTTGTGTTTCGATGAAACGATTCATGCTAATTATCTAGAGATGTCTTAATGAGTAACCGGAATATAATTATTGCCCACAGGTAATTAACAATTCGTTGATTATCGACCCAAACATTTTCAAGAAATTAGGAATTCAGGGATCCGATCGCGAAAATCAGCGAACACTTTTTGGTTTGGGATAAACGACGACAAATTTTTGGGAAAAATGGGATTGGTCGAGGCAAAACTCGCCCCAGGTGCTAAATTGAGGGCGATGTCAAATTGGAGTGTCGTACTCGTAGGGTAAAACCGTTTTTGGGAACTCTCAATGCCAAAATCGAGGCTCGTCATTTTCGAATCGTTGAGAAGCCGCTTAAAACAATTTCTTGCAAGAAATGAAACTGGTCAAATCGAGAATGAGCTAATCAAAATATTTTTGTGATTTTTTTGCTGCCGACAAATTTGACAAAATTAATTAAGGGATGTTTAAGAATGAAAATTAATTATTGTCGGGAAAAAAAATGAAAAAGTTAAAATTAAAATTAAATGCAGAAAAAAATCGAAGGTAAGCGTGTTTTTGTTGGATTCGCATCGAGACCCATCGCATTAATAAACGGCATGCGTCTTAAACTACCGTAAACGAAAAAAATTATCAAAAATTGCTAAAAATGAAACCGCATGACGCAGAGGTACGGTAGGCGTAGTAAGACGCATACGGTTAATTGATACGATGGGTCTCGATGCGAATCCAACGAAAACACGCTTACCTTCGATTTTTTTATTTCTCAGAATTTCCGCCCTAAATTAGAAAAAATGTGAATTTAATAGTGCAGTGCGATTGCGTACAATGCATTATAGCTTACGCGCATTTAGAATTTAGTCATCGATTAATTTGAATTCGACAAAAATTTACAAAATTAAAATGAGCTGCGGACAATGTTGCGGGTTGCTCGTTGGACGAAAATCGAAAAAAATCGATAATTGGTTGGAAAAAAAAAGTGTGCTGGTCTCCAAAGTGCCTTGGATTTCAATAATAAACGACAGAAGGGGGTTGCATGCAAAATGATGAGCAAATATGGGCATGTAAAGTGGTTTTGGGAGAGTTTGTTTCGAACAACTCGCGAGCGCTGCGCGTCTCCAACACAAACATCGAGATGAGTCAGCCGAACGAAAATTTTGGGTTGTTCGCTTTTTAATTATATGGCGTGGTAGATCAAACGAGGCTCCGCAGTTTACACCGCGCGGTTGTCGGTTTATCGAAGTTGTGTGTGTGTGTGTGTGGATTTACGAGGCGATTATACTATTTCATTCAATTTGTTGAAATCTTCCGAAATTGGCTTTATGCCAAGAAAAAGGCGAAATCAAATGATGGAGTCGCGCCGAGACCTCAATAATTCGAATTTGAATGAATGTGACGACACTCCGCGTTTACAGACGCCCCAGGTTTTAGCGGCGAGAATTCTTGAAATGGAAGTCATTTGAACTTCAGTTTTGGAATTTCGTCAAACTTTTCACGTAAAAACTAGAAGTGAAAAAATTCGAGAAATCGCTCGTCCAAATTTAAATTGCAAACCAAAACGTGAGGTAAAGCTGTTTCGAGTAGATCAAAAACCTTCAAAAAAAAAAGAATATGAAATGGTTGACAAAAATGTCGAATCGATGCCGAATCACATGTGTTTATCATTAATTCGATTTGATCGAAAATTGATTAGTGAAAGTGAATCGGCGATTCGCAAAATTGAGAAGTCGTCGGCCCAATTCGAACACACAAGCTTCTCTGATTTTTTTGTCTCATTTCTCAACGCTCCGGGTGTGTTCGATAATTGATTAATTACTCATATTGCGGGGGAGGGGCAATTTCGACTCGAAACTTGGTGTCATGATAAAAAAAATTTTTTTTGTGTGTGTGTGGGTCGTTCTATGTATTTGAACAACGCGTCAATATTGTGAACGCAAATATCGATAAATCATTTTTTTTCTTGCAAAAAATCAAAGGGGGAGGGGGTCTCGTGGCGAAATGCAAATTTCAAACGCGATCGTAATTGAAATCGAAATTTCGGCCGCCGCAGCTGCACACGCACGCACCTGCTGCGGACATCTGGACCCCATTGGATTTTTGTACGTGATGGAATGTCGAAAATTGTCCGCAGCACAATGTTAATAAATAAATTGGCGGACAAGTGATGGTTGTGGGGGTCGCGCGCGCGCGCGCGGGGTCTCCCTAAAAATGCGTCGGCGCCCTCTCAAATTGCCATGCTATCTCGCGTGGCTTTTGCCCCGTACAATCTTATTATTACAATTGTAATCGCGCGCGAGTTCTGTGCACGTTGAAGAGAGAGAGAGAGAGAGAGTCCCTCTATTCACCAAAAAGAAAAATGATATGAATGACAGGCCAAAATTGTTGGCCATCAAATATTTGGAAAAAAATTACATAGTGTGCCAAAAGGCTTTGAATATTCAAATAAGAAGGGCGGGGGGTCTCAAGAGTCACACATAATACGTGGCAAATGGGCAAACATTCGGAAAACAAACAATCAAGTTTTGATGGGGGGGGGGCCTCAGCCACCAGCCTTCTACTATATAATTATAATTGATTTATAGGGTCCCCCCCCCACCCCAAAAGGATTTTAGCAGCAATGCCGAAAAGAGAGACATCGAAAAATGACAAACCATTCGACGCCAACGCTCCAGAATCTCATCGCCGCATTGATTCGCTTCATTTGATCCGTTCGCCTCGGTGTCGATCATCATTGAGACGCGCGCCTGAATCATTTGCATTCAATTCCGGTCGACAACGGCTATTCGGCTTTGTGCGATTCGTGCTGCGGACAATTGGAGGCCGCGTCAAAACATTTTTTTTTGCGGCGATAAAAATGTAAAATCCAAAGGGTTCTTTTTTCGTTGTGGGTCTCGCAACGACCGAAAAATTATTGTGGGAAATTTTTATTAAAATTTTGTTTTTCAGAATTTTTTATTGTAGTTATTTTTTGTTGAATAAAATGGAAAATCGATAAGAAATTCAAAAAAAATAAAAGCGAAATTTTTTGATTGCGAATTGTCGTCAAATCAAATGCATTGTCCGCAATGATTTTATTCATACTCATCGATCAATTTTCAAAGGTCTCGGGACCCGAAAAAGGGCCATTCACAATGCTCAATCATTTTCTGTCAAAATATTGTCGTCAAATAAAATGCATTCGGTGTAAACACGCGACACGCCTTTTTTTTAATGGAAATTCGTAATTTTCAAATTTTTCGCCTCAAATTCTTATTCAGGTCTGTTTGATAATCAATGGCACACAAAATTCGAAAAAAAATGCTGAAAATAACATTGCGGACTTGTGCATTGGATTTGACGACAATACACTGGGGACCATCGAAAAAGAGTCATACGCGTTGCGGCTCGCGTTGCGGTTCGCCAAAATTTAGAAGGTCACAAAACGAGAGCATCTAGAAGGTCTTTGAGCGAAAAATTCTTTGCGACTTGCGAGCCTATCGGTGAAAGGTCTTACAGCGAACATATTTTTTCTTGGCGGGAAACCCACAATTTCAAAAAATGTCCTATTCGATAGAGAATCGTCAAAATTGCGCCATTTTTTTTAGAGAAAATAAAAATTCGAAATTTTTGTTTTTTTTCCAAAAACCCACATTCTCATGGTCCATCGGCACGCGTCCGTACATCGACATCGACATCTGTGCGATCGACGTGTGAAGCTTCTTTTCGACGTCGTCAAGCGTGTGATGGTGACGACTCAAAAATCGCGTGCGTTTCGCCGGCACCGGCGGCGCTTTTTGTCGCGGCGGCGGCGGAATCGGCTCGATGGATCGCGTGAAATCGCGCGGTTGCGACGACAGATCGAACAGCTTCTCGAGAAGCTTCTTCTGATCGTCTTTGTTGGTCGACGGCGGCGGCGGCGTCGTCGTCGTCGCCTCCGAATCATCCGACTCGGCGACAATCGTCGACGCGCCAATCGACGCCTCGCGTTCGCGCCTCCACGTCGGCAGCGACGACGTCGATTTGTTGAGCGAGCCGTCGTCGAAATGGCTGCCGGCGAACATCGACGACGTCATCCGCGACGGCGTCGTCGACAAATCGACGCAACTCGACGGCAACGAGTCGAGTTCGGCGAGAATTTGCGATGTCCAACGCGAGACCGACTCGCGATTCGTGAAGTCGATGTCGTCGGCGTTCAGATCGCGTACGCTCAACGATCGCGATTGGCCTCTGCCAAATCGAACTTGGTGCTATTTTCTCGTCGACAATTCGCCTACCGTAGTCCGGATGACTCGTTGAGCATCTCGAGGCGACCCGTCGATTTGTGGTGTCGTCGCAGCAGCAGTCGATTGGCTCGGCGAGCAGCGGGACCTTGAAAATCGAACTCAAAAATGAAATAATGAATGGTAATGAGTTGAGAACAAACACCCAAGAATAAATATGTATATATATGTGTGTGTATGTGTATTTGGTGGTTGTGTACATAAAGACCTCAAAGAAACCAATGGACAAGGAATGGTGTCAAAACGAATTTGTCAGATGGTTCATCGGACGCGTTTGGTTGCAGCCGAAACACGATGTCGTTACAAGCTGCGGACAATTGACGGGGCTTCGCTGATGTCGCGGCAACCTCGACGATTGTCCGCAGCACGAAATTGATATTGAGAGAAACCGAATGGATGGTTCATCAGACGCGTTTGGTTGCAGCCGAAACACGATGTCGTTACAAGCTGCGGACAATTGACGGGGCTTCGCTAATGACGCGACAACCTCGACGATTGTCCGCAGCACGGAATTGATATTAGAGAAAACCGAATCGCACCTTTTTCATGGGCTTCCGGTGTGCGTTTCGATGATGCTGATGACGAGGCGGTCGGCTGAAAGAAAAATGCAAATATGGTTGAGGGGGTTTTATCGCGCCGAAAAACGATTGCGACATTGGTGATAACGCAATTCTTTCTTTTTTTTTCGTTTTATTTTTGACTATTAAAAAAAAAGATGGAACCTTTTCGTCGTCGTCGTCGTCGTCGTCGGTCGATGTCGAATCGGCTCGTCCGGCGGCCAACAACAAGCCGGCTTCGGCCTCGATTATAAACGATTTTCGTTGCTTTTTGGTGAAACGACGCCTTCGAAGAACTGGCGCTTCTTCTTCTGACATTCAGCGATGATTTTTTTTTTGGACAGTCTCAAAACTCACCGGCGACGGCGACGTTCTCGTTGAGTTCGGCCGCCGATTTGCGGCGTCGCAATTCGATCTGCGGACGTTTCGCGGGTGCCGGCACAAGGCTCGTCGCACTTTTTGAGATGTCCCTCTGCAGAGAAAAAAAACCTTGTTGGTTTTGGGACAAATTTTACAACAAAAAAAAACGGCCCTCCCCAAATGTGTTTGGAATGTCACACATCTGGAATTGAGCAACTCAATAGTGAGGAGAAGCATTCAAAAAATGTAATGGTCCCTTCATCCAAAGCATATAGGTGGCGGTTTTGACTCGAATGTACACAAATCGATGGGTTGGTGTCGTTTTTTTGAATTATTTGAAGGTGAAACATCTGGCGATGGGCCAAAGAGCAACCGCAAAAATGTCCGCAGATGATTTCATTGTTAGGTGTTATTTTGCTTTTCTTTTTTTTTATCATCTCAGGTGATCAAAAATAAAAGAAAAATGTGGGAATTGGCTCATTTGCATTATTTCGAGGCCATTTTTGGCTCGTGAGAAAAATGCCGGCCGAAATGTGTGGCGTTTGAATAGCGTTTTTCGTTTTCCGAGGCTAAAAAATCTCGACTCTGAGAAATCGGGCATATTTTTTTTTAGTTTTGGATTCAAAGAAGCTTTTAGAAGGCATTCGCGATATTTTTGAGATCACCAGCAATTTTCATTTCGAGCACCTGCCAACTCGAATTCTTTTCAAAAAAACCATCTTCGGACATTCTTGTGGTTTTGCCTTTGGATTCCAATAGCTAAAATCCAATAATTTTTTTTAAATCAATGTAAAAAGGACTAATTTATTATTTTTGTTTCAGAATATATTTAAGAATTCGAAAATACGGATTAAGTCTGCAATTGGAATATTTAAAAAACCATCTGCGGACATTCTTCCGGTTTCTGCATTTGGATTCCAATAGCTAAAATCCAATTATTTTTTTAGAAATCAATGTAAAAGGGACCAATTTGATACTTTTTTAAATTCAATGAGACCACCCATTGCAATCGTGCAGAATTAGAGAAAACCTGTTACGACTGCAATTGGAATATTTAAAAAACCATCTGCGGACATTGTTCGTGTCCGCAAATTAAGTGCACACCGTATATAGACAAAAAGGAATAAGTGTAGTGTGTTGAAAAACGAAAATTGAAAAACGAGGACTAATCAAAAATGCGAAAATCGATGGGCGTGAGGGGGGGGGGTGCCTAATACCATATTCGGCGCATTTGAACTAGTTCGATTCGGGCGGCGGTTATCAAAACCATGAATCTAATGAACGCGGTGTCGAGATTTAATCTTGTAAAAAGTTTGCGTGGTGGGGGGGATCGAAATCGACAAAACAGGAAGAGAGAGAGAGAGGGTCCCGAGTGGAGATGAATGTTTATTGTATGGGACCAGATGTTTGCGGGTAAGCGGCAACGAAAAGTTTGACGTCCGCCCGAGGGACCAACAATATTTCGATTGGTTTCCAATTTATGGTCCCTGGATTCTGATTTGATGTCTTTTTCTCAGAAAAAAAATGAAATTTCAAATTTTTTTCGAAAAAAAAAAGACAATTTGGAGGTCCGCAGAGTTGCGACGGCGTGAATACACAATTTTTTTCGGTTTTGGAAAAAATTTGCAAGATTTTTGTATGCGCCTTTAATAAAAATTATATTTCATGATGGCAAATTTAATTTAAAAAAGGAAATTTAAAAAAAATGAAACAATCTAGAATTTTTTTATTGAAATTTTCTCCTTTTTTTAAAACTAAAAATAGATTTTTTAAAAGAAAAATTGTGTATTGGGGGCTTTTTTTAAAGAATAAATTCAATTGTGCAAACACGTCGACTCAACTCTACGGACTTGCACCTTAATTTACGCTCAAATCAATTTTCGAACATTTTTTTTTCTATCAAATTCGGGTTGCCCATTTGAATTGCCGCCTTGGGTCTCGTACGGAAAACCTTATTTGCTAGACATGGAGAATTTAAAAAAAAACCTAAAAAAAAACAGAGTAAAGGAAAATTTCATTTTGGAGCAGCGCGCGAAATTCAAATTTTTCAAAATATCGAAATTTCGAATTATTCGTTATTTTTTTTTGGTTTGCGAAACCGAAAAAAATTCAAGAAATTGTCGATTTCTCAATTTTCGATTCAAATTTTTTTTATCAAGATGAATCATTTAGAACCAAAAAAAATGAATGGGAAACGTCATTTTTATTATTATAATAAGGCAGCCCACTCAAACTGCATATATTTGATAAGAAATGCTCAAATTTTGGGCATAAATTATCGAAATTTGCGTCTCGGCCCGTCAATTGTCCGCAGATGGTTTATTTCAATTTGGATTTGCGAAAAAGTTGAATCCGGAAATCGTCATAGCGCAAATTTGGCGTGACGAGACGATGGGCCGAGAAAAATCATACCTTGTCATCTGCAGGTGTCGAATTCTCGTTTCTTCGCGCCAATCTCGCCCGTATATTTGATCTACCGTAATCCATTCGATCGTGACGGGAGTCCTCCAAAAAAAAAACGAAAAAACTCGTGGAATGAACGAGGAGCAAAAATTTCGAATAAAAATTGCTCATTGAAAAATGAGAAGAAAGGGCGGGGGAATCGAAGGCGTTTTGTTTGAACAACACAATGAATGGTTGGTAAACGAGAAAGAACGGCGTTTTTCGATTAATCGAGGTGATGGAATCGAGTTGTTATCAGCTAAACACGACGGGGGCCGTTGAATGACTAATAATGGCCTCGGGAACGAATTCGAATCGGCCTTCGACTCTTCAGAAGTAGACAATTCGAGATTTTTGTCAGCTTCTCGATCATGTTTGGCTCAGCCTAGAAAAAAAAAGTCAAAAATGGAAATTCTTTTCAAATGACTCAGATCGAAGAAAAATGAGATATAAATTAACCTGATTCGATTAAAAAATAATTAAAAATCGAAAGTGTTTAAATTCGATTTGAAAATTTTGGTTTTCGATTCAAGAATATTCGAAATCGATTGATTTGTTTCTCAATTTCAATTTTGAAATCGATTTCGATTGAAATTTTGGAATAATTCGACACAGAATAATTTATATTCGATTCCAATAGAAAACGAAATTATTTTCGAATCCGATTGTTTTTCATTTACACGAGGATGCGGATTTTTTTTATTTCCACAAAATTGTCACTATTATTTCGATATTTTACGTCTCAAATCACTTTTAGTTCTTAAATTCTCCCAATATAATCACTTAAATTAACAAATCCACCAAGTGTGGCCGTGGCCGAACTTTATTTTTGAGGACAATTTTTCTAGGCCACGCCAGTGCTACGTCAATAATTTCATTTTCGAAATTTAATTTTTTTTTCAAACAACTAAAACATAGTTTCATTTCAATAGTGTTTTCAATATTTCTGACTTCCAACATCGGATCGGATTTAGGAATGATCCTCGACAGGAAAATCGAAAAGATGAAAATCACATAATTCGAGAAGCTGGTGAAGTTCGAAGTCTGTGAAAGTTGATCCGATCAGGATCGGATCACAATTTTCAACGAGCCTTTAAGACTAAAACACGAGATGAATGAAGCTGGATCGGATCCTAGGATTGGAATTTGGATCAATGAAGTTCTCGGCGAAAATTTGATCATAATTGAATTAAAGGAAAATTTGTATAGATTTGGATGGGATTCCATTATTCTAGGGGGTCCAGAACGCACAAATAGAAGCCCAAATATGGAAATACAGAAAAAAAAACGTGTTGATGATAAAGAATTCAAATAAAGGTCACACATTTAGACGGTGGTTTGGGACGACAACGACGAGACGAAATAGTGGGCACGTCGGAAGAGACGCCGACATTTATGAGCCATGAATAATTGTTGTTAGGATGGCGTGTGAGAACGCGCGCAAAAATGCGATTCGTCGAACAATGCAGGCAAGCAGCCAGCTTCTTCTTCTTCAGAATCGTATAAGTGGGGCTCTTCGCCATCATGTAGATCATCGCCATCATATTGGTCCGAACGAAACACGATGTGAAGGCGAGTCGCCAAATTTAATTGGCTGAATGCCAAGGACGGGACAACCGCCCAAATTTGGGCCAATCAATTCGTCTTCTGTTGTTCCTGTCGCTGTCTTTTTTTTTTCTCATTCTTTCTCCAACCATGCTGCCGAAATTCCAATAATTATCTCAAAAGTGAAACTGAAGCTGAATGGCGGCTTTAAATGGATTGATTGATCGTCGAAGAACAACGAGACCTTATTAAGAATGATGCGCAATGGTCCTTTAAAAAAGGCCCCCCTTAGATTTCTTTTTTTGGGCTCCCACGCGAAAACAAAATATCATGTGTTTATTTGCGTCGTGGTGTTTGCACACATTCCCTACCATTTATTTCAATTCAAATGCGAATAAATCGAAACGAAAATCGCTGCGAGACTCAACACGAAATCAACGTGCGCCTTTAATGGCTGTCCCCCCGAAATTGAATATTTTCGAAGTTTAAATCTTCGAAAGAGATTTCCAAAATTGAAAATAATAATGAAAAATTTGATTAAAAGCGCAAAAAAATGAGGGGGGGATCTCGTGGCGAAAAAAATTTTGGACGACTATACATTTTTTTAAATGTAAAAATTCAAGAGTCTCTTCAAATTTTTCCAAAAGTTTCGAGTTTGCGAATAAACGTTTTTTAAATGATTTTTCTGCATTACCCTATTCATAAAGATGAGAATGATTCCATGAATTTATGGATTCCATCCGCGGCCGCGAATAATTCGGCCATGGCACATTTCTCGTCCACCATTATTTTTAAATTTTAAATTTTTATGGGAATTTTTTTTTTGAGTTTCTTTGGAAAATTTCAACGATTTCTTTTAAGAACAATTAAATAAATTTCTAAAAAAATAATTTTTTAGATGAAATTTAAAAAAAAGCGAAAATATCATTGCGGACGGATGAATTTAAAGATTTTAAATGTACGGGCTGCTATTTAAGAGGTCGCCTTATCAATATGCACCAAAAAATCGTTATAAAATTGTGCTCTTTTATATTTTGGCTTTAATTAATCGCAAAAACCATATTTAAATAGTTTTTCTTTCCATACGAGACCCACGGCGGAATTTCAAACGTTCACGAAAACAATTTTTAATTCCTCAGGTAATTCTAAGAAAATATTTTGAAAATCAAATATTCAATAATAAATTCGAAAAAAAAATTATGAGAAATTCTAAAACTTATTGAAAATCGCAAAACTTAAAAAATATTTTTTAAAATCTTATAAGATTTTCTAAAATTTATTGAGCAAATTCTAAATTATCTCAATAAATTCAAAAATCTTCTTTAAAGTTTTAAAGTTGATTGAGAAAAATCTGAAAATATTATAGAGACACGTTAGTTTCACAACGAATCACAAAATATTTTATTCGATTTCCCTGAGTAATAAATATAAAATAAATATTCCTTGATTTGAAAAATCTGGCTCAAGAACGAAATGCAAATTCTCAAGAAATCAGCAAATCGTGTAAAATAAAATGTTATTTTCCCCTCGATCCTTTAAATTTTTTTTGGCAAATCGCTTGAATTATTCAAAAAAGAAAATCTTGATTTTTTACACAATTTTTAATTCAATTTTTTTTGCGGACCATTTTGCCGGCCGAAGCGAAGCCCTTCCATAAATGGCTTAAAATGCAATTTTCGGGTCAGGATCAAAAAAAATTGATAATGTATTTGGTCGAAAATGATGGGGAAGAAGGAAGGAAGGAAAAAAAACTACTTGGCGCGTTATCAATGTGCACATATTGCGCAGGCTTGCGCGCAACACAAGAAGAAAATAGTGATACGGTAACATTGGTGATTGTGTGTATAAGCGAGACTCTCCTGCCGGGCCGGGCCGACGACACACTCGAACGAACAAATTGCCCCTGAGATTCTTGTCAAGTGGATGGATATTCGCGAAAGGATGGGGGAGGGGAAGGGGGGGGGGAAGCAAAAAAAAATGAAAAGTTTTTGGGGGCAATGCGCAATTTATTCGAGCGCGGACGAACAAAACGAATTGGGGAGACCGAAACTCACCCACACACAACAAAAAGAGGAATTGCAATGAATATTATTTCCAGTTGTTTTTTGGATTCTAGAATTGGCTAGAATTGAGAAAAACCGATTTTGGCTTCAATATCAAAAATCGACGGCTCGGAATTCGTCGAGCGATCGGTTTGATCATGTCGCTACCATGGAGACGTCAGCGACGGATGCAAATTTTCGCTTTTGCTGCTATACTAGAATATTAAATAGATCTGCGGACAAATTGACGGGTTTGAAACAACAACACTCTTCGCTTCGAGACCCCGCTGAATATGCATATGTTGGGAGCAATTTTCGAATATATTGAGCCATATATTGGTCTTAGAGCGATTGGGTTTGATTCCTCAATGCGAATTCGAATTTCAACTGGGTTTTTGGCTTCAAATATTCAAATTGACATCGCTTCGAGAGCCCCGCTCTACAGTATCCCAGCCACGTGGCTTTCTCAGAACGCGCATATTTTGAGGGCAATTTTCTTCGATATTGGCAACAAGCCTAAGACGAAGACGACGAAAACAAAAAAAAAAGTGGTTTTGGCCATTTTTGGGACGACAGATGAGTGGGGGGGGAAAGAACGTTTCTGCGCGCCTGGCCCCCGGTGGTTTTTGTTGTTTTTTTTTTTGCTTTTCCCTCTTTCCGACCCTCTCTTCTCTGTTTTGTTTCGTTTTGCACGAAACACGTGTGGAAAGAATGGAAAGAAGGCCGATGACCTCGGTTTTTGTGCAAAAAAAACACACACACGAATGAGCACACATGAAAAATGAGCAAGTTTTGCGTTTTGCTTGAAATTGTCCGCACATGAAAAATGCTATTTCGATTTCGGCGAATTCTCAACGCGCAATTTTGTTTTTGCAGCGATATCCGATGCATTGTGTGCATACACCGAGTCTCGCTACAGTAATCTCAGCTGAAAATTATTTCATTCATTATTGATCGTTTCTTTTTATTTAAAACATTGAAAATTTACAAAAATAATTACTATACAACTTTTAATATAGATAAAACAATAAATTAATATAGTCGGCGTCCGGCGAGTGCTGTAGATTTACGCGCATGCGCCTTGAAAAGGTCTCGTCACGCATGAAAGCTTATTTTGCTGTTTTCACGTGAACTGCTTCAATTTTCTTGATGAGTTTGGTTTTTTCTTTTCATTTGTTAAAAATTATCGAACCGACTTTTAAAAATTTGAAATAACCTGTAAGTCCTTGCGAGACCATTTCGAAAGACCCATTCTCGTAAATCTACCCGCGTACAGCAGTCGCCGGACGCCGACTATAATTTTTTTAAAATAATTTTCAGTTGATATTACTGTAGCAAGACTCGGTGTACGCACACCAGAATTGCACGGAACTTAAATTTTCTAAAAAAAAATAAAATAAAATAATTTTTTTTCTCTAACTCGAATATTTTGAAATTAACAGTGCAGAATATGAGAGT